ATATATTGCCTATTTTTTCGGTTACATGCGGCATTATTAAAAGATGAAAATTTATTTAAAGCTAATATTTTTCTTTCCTGTGTGTGAGAGAGAAACATTTGCTGGCATAAATTAAGCAATTTTCGAAGGAGGGCATCAGACAGTGGCAGAGACGAAGGTGGTATATCGTGTCAATGGAAAATTGTCTGTGCTTTTTCCACTGGCGGTTTTATAATTAAAGAGCCACGCGGGGACAAAAAGTCCCTCTCTCTCTCTCTCGCCACCAAAACAGGCAAAACAGGGCTTTATTGTCAGTCCATCCGTGTGGACGGTTTTTCCTGAACTCTCCCGGCTAATTCTTTCACATCACGAAGACCCCACGGCCGAGTGACAAATTGAATTAAATGCGGGAGGATTAATGAATTTGTTTATGTGGAGAGAATTCACATGACTCGACTCCGTCAGCTTTCTTTTATTTAGCCCGGGGAGGATTCTTTATGAGGACAGGACTAATGGTGAGTCGGTGGGACACTCACTGCGAAATGGCTCTATTTGTGGCTTTGACTGTCTTCATGATTCATCCGTGGCCATTCAAGAGATGCCGGTCGTCGAGAGTGGGATTGCGACCATCGCCGGATTATCTCAGTCAATTCTCGCAAAGCTTAATTTATTGGCAAACCAGGGATAAGCGGAACTACCCGAAAATCTATGAATTATATCCGAAATATATATTTCAGTGTAATTCACCCAGTGACAATGAGTAGATCGAAAGGAATTCCACCGACAATTCCACTGACTATCGTCTTATACGTCTTCGCGAAGTTAGCAAAAACCCTCTGTTTTGGGTCTCATTAATATAAACCGAATGTGGTGGATTTTCAGGTCAAGTGTCGCTGGTCTTCCTCCGAAAGCTGGCGAGACTCCTTCCGGGCTACACGAGAACTCCACCCGCCGCCTCCATTGCACCATTTCCGGCACTTCCGAGGCCAATGCCCTCGGCAAATTGGGTCTCTCAGTGGCACTTTCCGGCGGAGACATGAAAAATGACTCTGTCCTATTTTCCATTCTTTTTTCGCGTGTCCAGGCCCGCATTGAGTGCGTATCGATTTTCCCCCTGAGCCATGTTGCGTGATTAGCTGAATTCCAGGTCCGGCGCGCGGGGGTGACAAAGAAGGTCGCCGTGGAATCATCTTGATTGATTGGGTGTGAGCCAGACAAAAAAGCATTGGGGGCCTCTTCGGAGCTGTTCATTAATTGGAAATTCGCAACATGGGGCCATTGAGAGTGGAATCTTTGAAATGCTTTCGCAGGATTTATCTGAATTCGGCATCCATGCGGGATTATTTGGATTATTCAGTCTTGTTTTCGTATTTTCATTCAATTTCCCACTGGAATGCTGTAATCGTGGGGAGATGGGGGTGTTTAGCGTGGTTCAAATCCCATTTAAACACTCCGCGCCCAGTGTTGGGAATCTCCTTAGCGCGGCCTGGAATTTTGCACAGATTTTCGTTTGGCCAAGGGAAAGTTCTCGACTCGGCCACGAGGTTAACAGTCTCAATTTCAATCCCAAGGTGAATCTCGAGAACGCGAAAGTGGTCTTGGAGCATTAAAGTTGCATTCAAGAGTGGGGCGATGTGGCGTGTCGTTGGCTCATCAAACATGAATCGAGTGTCTTTGACACGCATCTGATCAGAGAGCAAACATTTAATCACAAATTGATTGCAATTAGGCGGCTCAAAGGATGCTCTACAGATGGATAATTGCATGACACTGCGGTTTCACTCCTGATTTGAACACAGATTTTACTTTGACAACTTGCGGCTATTCGAAAACATTCGGTGGAAAAATGCGCAGACATTTCTTACGATTTCTCTCGAAATCACCTTTATGGGGAAACATTTTGTGCGGCTGAAACGTGGTGAAAATTGACGCAAAGGAATCACGTGAGATGATTCTCAATTAATCTCACATTGAATTATTGAGGAAAAGTGTTTGCCAAGAGCGCAGAAAATCGTCTGAAGCCATCAAACTAATTGTTCCTCGGAGTTTTTCCATCGCAAAAATCACATTCACTCTACGCAGAGGTGCGAGGAAAGCCGAGGCAATTCTGAGTCCCCACGAGCAATATTGAATTATGTATTTGTTCATGAGAGAGAGAGAAGAAAAAATCAGCAGATGAATTGGGAATGAAAACAGTTTAACGGAAGCTCACATCAAACGGTCTCTTTTTTCTCATGGCTCTTCGGTGGAAATCAAAACAAACTGCCGAAATTCTCTTGGCTTTTATTATTTCCCCTGATTTTTTTTTCAACTGGGTATATATAGAGCAAAAATTGGAAAAGCTCGCAACATGCTTTTCCATGTTTTCACGTTTCACCCTGCGGGCGACCGAACTTGCTCGATCGCTGCTGCGGGAGTCAAAATTGTCCATTAATCGATTTGGGTGAGCATATCTCGCTGTCTGTGGCAGTTATTTGATGCTCTCCGGGCAGAAGGCGAAAAAAAAAGAAGTTGAAAAATGTCGACAGGACATTAAAGTCCTTCTGACTCTCGGAGAAATTGTTGGGGGGTCCGTGGATAATGGAAATCTCTCGAGGCGGCTCGAAATTAATTAGAGCCCAAAGTTTTGAGCATAGCGGAAAATTAATGAGCCATAAAAGGGACATGAAGTATTTATCAGCAGGCGAATTTTTCCTCAAGTCGCTTTTGCAGGCAAATTTCAACTGCTTAAGCCCGCCAACTTGAGAACATCATTGAGACCGGCGCTTCAAAGGGATGCTCTTTATGCTCTTGGGCGGCCAATGAATTGTGCTAATTTGACTTGGCTGAACTATAGGATCGCTTTTTTGCATCATTCCCATGCCGACGCCATCAATTATGCACATTTATCGAAAGTGCTGAGTGAGAGTCGATAAATGCTTATTGCTACTTGGCAGGAGCTTTCGCAGCGAACACTCCCATTTCGCTTAATGCCCTGCGCTATTTGCTAATTGACGAGCCATTTGTCCTCCCTCGGGAGTCCTCCCGCTTCCTGGCTCTCCATCTCCCTCGGGATCATTATCAATCGCGCTGAAATTGTCCTCCGGGGAAATGACGAGATAGTGCGAGGGAATGTGCTTCTTAAAATTTAGCATGACCTCTTGTATATTTTCTTGCTTTATTTCTGCTCTAAATTTATGCAAACAAACCACACCTCCCTGGTTATTTTTGGGTGTTCCTTACTACATTCTGCTCTATCTTTACACCAGTGGCCAGTGGCAAAGTGTAATCGATTGAAAGCTTAATATGCTTCAATTGAGATGAAATTTGGTAGAAAGATAGCTTGAAATGTGTGTAAATTCTGCAAATTTCACTTCACTTTAAGTGCTCAAGGTGGAAAAAGAATAAAGAGCCAAGTGAAAAAATCGAGTAATTTACATTCTTTCTCATTTGTTTTCCGACATAGATTTCTGACCTACTTTCTCCACCCCTCGTGAGCGTCCCTTTGCCCAATTTCCGTGGGTCTGGAGAATCCTCATTTGTCACAAGCGCCGTGATGGAGTCATTTTCGGTGGAAGGTGACAAAGCTCACCCGAAGCTCTGGCGCGAGAAAAGTGAAAAAGTTATGAATATGAAATGATTTGCTGGTCTCGAGGAGCGCCCACATTTGCGCAGATGTGCTCGAAGTCATCAATCAGGGGCTCCTCCAGACACTGTCCACACGGCCCGAGAAAAGTTCCTTTCCCCAATCAAATGCCGAACAGGAGAGCCTCTCGCAGAAACATCAACACAGAGAGGGAGAGCGAGAGAGAGAGAGAGAGAGAGCGGATCTTTGACGTCATTCCGGTTCACATCAATAATATTATAACACCCCGGAAGGTTAATGAACGAGTACGCCAAATAGGACTTGTTTGTGCGTTGCCGCATGTCATGTACTCAAATTTCACGGGCAGAGAATGATTTCTGGGGGATTTTTAAAGGCCGCAACATCCTTCAGAATGTAATTAGCCACAGAGCGGAGAAAATATGATCAATGAAACTCACCCTCAAAATAGCCACAGAATCGACGAAAATGGATGTGTTTCCAATTTCTTGGCTATTTCTGACGCCAAATTGCATCGCTCAGCAGAGAGCTGCAGACGTTTTATTTTTACCTCAGAAGGCATGCCGAATCGATTTCGCCATGCACAATGAGCCACAGACTAATGTTCTTCCGCCCCCGCTCGAAGGGTGGTTTTCGGTTTGTGTGAAATGGGATGGTCCCGCCGAGGAGGAGCACTAAATGGTCAATAAATGCGGTGTTCAGTGGAGTTCCTCATGACAAATTGGTGTGTTTCTTTTATTCATGAGCCACCCCTTCGGTGTCATTCGCCTCATCCACCCCTCGAGCCTCTTCGGCATGCAATTGTCTCAAGTCCCATGCAAACACACTCTTCCGTTTGCCCTCGTGCATTTATCAGTGTTTTTCATGCCACATTTGCATTAAGTAAATCTCGCCACTCATTAATCTTGCACGCCAGTGGGTGGCGGAATGCAAATGCCCACCCATTCTCGGGGCCCTCGCGAATTATGACACCATTCCGGAGTGGCTGGGCGCCAAATGGCATTGTGCTTTCGGGGGGATTTCCTCGGAATTGAGGTCGTGGCTCTTGATGGCACTATCTTCAGTTTAGATGGAAAACTTCTGGGGAAATCAATATTTTCACCTCAGAAGACACTCGGTGGAATTAATTTAGCTCCCAAATGCCCCAGAATTTCCGGAAATACGATGAAAATTGTGGAAATGGCAGACATTTACTTAACTTACAGACTTTTCTTTGCAATTCTGACCTTTTGAAATGCTGCAATTTCACTGTGAGATCTTGAAAATTGATTAGGAATTACGACTTTTGCCACTATAGCAATGGCTTAGAGGAGCACAAATTGCACAAACAAATGGGTGGTAATTTTAGCAAATTACATTCTTAATTTATACATAGAAATAGAAATTTTGTAGCATGAAATTAGTCACTAAAATCAGTTTTTTCTCTCTCTACTTACAGAAATGTGAACGAGACGAAGTAAATGGAAGTTTGGTGAGTGTGAATTTGAATGTTCAGCATATAATTTTGGCAAATCCTCAAAAGTGCTCATAAGCTAAGCCAATATATCCTCCAAATTATCCACAATAAATCCGATTCTGCAACAATTGTTTCATTCAATTCCATGTTGACGGATTATTTCGCACAATATCATCAGTTTTTAGTGAATGCCAGAGAGAAAAGCTGCTCTGTGATGAATTTTCCATGCTGAATGTGAGATTAAGAGGACTCTTGGAATTCAATTGACTTCCTCGCGGAAGTCTATTCTCTCCTCGTCTTCAATATAAGTGAAGAGAAGAGAAGGCGAGTCGATGTTGAATGAAGAGAAATATCAAGACCTTTCCGATGTGACAGCGAATTGTGTGTCAACAGAATCGATTACAGTCGATAGAGATAATTTTCCTTCACTCTTGCACTGGCCTTTTTTTGCCATACCAATTTAATTATTCCTGTAGTACAACCTCGTAATAGCGTATTAATTAATATTGATATCAGGAGTCTCACGCACAAGACCTTGCACACCAATTTTCGTGGTTGTCCGCAGTGGTCAGGTGAGGGCAAAAACAGTCCACACTTGTCACATTGCTGCGACTCTCCTAATTATTGCACGTCTGATAAGACTTGAATTCAGTTTTATCGGGTTAATTTTCTCGCTGTCTTCGCGAGGGGATTTAATGTAGTTGACATTCAAGTGTGTTATGAAGTGTGTGTTGGATTTAATAAACACAAATCGCAAACCTTGAAGTGTCTCTCTGTCGCTTCTCGCTTCGCGCGGGCTTTTCACATGCCTTTTTCGCGTTCTCGCTGAGAGAGAAGAAACAATTTATAAGGGTTTTTGGCTGGTTTATAGCCATCAAATCAAGTTCTATACATAGTTTCACCGCAAATGTATATCCTTAAGCTCACAGGAAACTAAATTTCCACAGCGCACGAGGTAGATTTTCACGCCCATCTTTAGCGAGAGGAATCTCCATAACTCAAGCCTCGCGATCGCTTATTTTAATTGGTCCCGCTTGATGGGGCGCTCTGTAAATATCTTATGGTTGATTGTAAATATTCAAGGTGAGCGTAAATGTGGGGTGGTTGATTTTAATACACCCCACACGGCATCCCTATCAAATTCTGCCTAAGTAGAATTATTATCGCGCTTACGCCCAACCCACGAAACTTTCCACTTTATCCCGTTTAGGCGCTGCGGAGCTTTTACCTTTATGGCCGGGGTTGCATCGTAAAAGCTCGGCGCTTTTTAATGAGACGCCGCGTGGAGGCATTTTGGCCACCTTTTGCCATGCCTTTTGCCTATGAAATATTGAGGAGTTTTTAATATCACCACGGCATCTCTATGGCGCTAGAGGCGCACTTTTTGCCGTGATGTTGTCAATTTTTGATAAGTGTGATACAAACTAATGAAAAAACACTGTGCAAATACCGACCTCTCAATGGCTTTAGCCAGTTTATTTGATGTTGAGTCCCACTCTTGATTGTCATTTTACGTAATTCCCCGACACTTTTCATCAAACAACTGAATTCTCTCTCTCTCTCCTCTGTCGTGCTGTGCAATTTTGGCCGTACGCTCGGCAAACAGTCACTCTAATCGTAAACAATAAACAGTGGCTCAATGAGGAATTGAAGCACGTCTCAATAGTGGTATTTTTTGCCAACACCGAGAGAGTGACCAAGGAGGACTCACGTGCCGAGGGAATGCGAACTTAAGGCAATAGAAGTTGATACTTGATTGCTATAGTGTCTCGTACACTGTGAAGAAACGAGCGGGGAGTGTTTGCAGTGTTGTGGCGTGGGTGGGAAATCCAAGATTTCCTATCAGCCAGAGAAGAAAGCACACCGTCAATGAAAACAGAGCGATAAACCCTCCGCCAAAGGGGAGCTCGGACACGCGGAATAGCCGCTAAAACAATGGGTGAGAGCGCGAGATATCAGCTGAAATCCAATATAAACACTCCTCACGCCTTAACCCTCGACTTGGCATTTCTCACATTGTTCCACTAATAAATAAACAGGGAGCGAAATGTCGATTTATTCACAGAACAACAAACAGCGCGATATTGGTGGAATTTATTAATTCGACGACCTTTAATTGATATACACAATCTCAGATTCTCGGAGGCTTTTTTCTCTCTTTTTTTTGATAAATTGCAGAGAACACCATACACTCGACAGATCCCAGTCACTTGAGAAGAGAGAGAGTGAGAAAAAAGAGAGAGACACAAATTAACCATGAAATTTGGCGTTCTTGACCCATTTTTTTCACTCAACGTCACTTGTGGTGCAAACAAGAAATTAACGGTAGGGTTAAAAAAGCACGAGAAAAATGAAAACAATGACGAATACAGAGAGACAATCCGCGAGTAACCAAAAAACCGGCACACATGCGTTATAATTTAATAAAGATTGATAAGAGGCCCCTCTATTATCATCGATATGGCGGGTGATTAAATGGACAGAAAAACCGCGAATAGCCGAGCGAATGATGACGGCAGTGATAGAGATGAAGAGCTCAACGTTTAATTCAAGTGATGTGAAGAGATGAAGACCAACAAACTACGCAAATCTCCACCGCAAAAAAGCGCCACGAGAGCTTTTGCTGTCTCTCGAGAAAGTGAGGATTATTGAGCAGAATTCGAATTGGCGAGTCTTCGCGTTTGGAGCACACTGTGCGATTTTCTCGTCGAGAAAAATCACTTCTCACTCTCCGATAGTGGGCACTTGCCAAGAGCGACGAGCTATCAATTGCATAATTGATGGTTATCTGTCGTGAGATCCCTTTCAGCGCCGATCTTGGGAATCACTCAGCGGCCTGAAAACCGAGTCGCTCGCCTAATCGCTAAGTAATTAATTGGTTGATGTGTACACAAACGTAAAAGTGAATAAATTAGCGCGTCTCGAAATTACAAACTTATGCCTTGTTGTTTGATTTATCCGCTGAGGCGCGATTCTCGTGTCGCGAAGCGTATAATTAGTGCGTAAATGTTCTCTTGACACTTTTTCAGATCTTTGGTGAGCTCTTTTTTACTCCTTACTTCTATATGTAGAATGTGGAAACCCAAATGAAAGTGGGCAGGGTTTCCTAATAAAGCCACTGCTGCGGGGGCTTTTTTTTTCTTTTTCTCTTGAGAAAAGTTGGAAAAAAGAAAGAAATTTTGTAATTTTTTCGGCAAAAGTTGTATATCTGTTGTCTTTCTTTGCCTGAGAGAATTCCTTTTTCTCCTGTTCAACTTTCCATTCCCGGGCCATAAGCATTTATTATGTGCCTGTATATTGACATTTATGTTGACACACACACACTCTCTCTCTCTCTCTCTCAACTTTCCGTGTGATAGAATAACAAGATTCGTTTTGAGAGAAAAGAATCTCGCATCTGTTTATTCTTTATCTCTGCGTCGCGAGCCGCGTGTCAGGATTTCCACCTCCCTCGAGAGTCCCTCTCCCATCGGGATACACCCGAAAAACTTCAAAGCCAGAGGTATGAATTAGGGAGCAGGAAAAAAGCCCAACTGTCGCGTCATTTGAAGACAATTTGAAGCAGTTTAATGAAAAACACTCCCTCCAAGAAGATGTTTGACTTGAAAATGACTCCAAATATGATGAGTATTTTCCTCCATTTCCCATCGTGCGCCTCGACTAAATAAATGATCAAAGCCAAGGCCGGGGAAGTTCTCTGCGAGGCGGGAGGGGAAGTTGAATTTCTACCCCGAAGCAGAGTTTCGGCGTTTCCCTTTCGACAGCACCCAATATTCCGGTGTAGTCAAATTTTCCAGATGAGCAACAATTTCGTGGAAAAAGCTCATTTTTCTCTTTCAGGGAAACCGAATTTTCACGCTGCTCCTCGCGAATCCATTTACCCCTCTTTCATATCGACGTTTCAATTAGCATTTGAGGTGTATATTACCGCAATTCTTGGCATTCGAGCTGAGAGCTGGTGGAATCTCACCCTCAACATATCGATATTGTGTGCAGTGCGAACTTTCATTGAACTTGTTCTTTGTCTCCTGAAGAATTTCCCACAAAATAAATGAGTAAATTATTTAATTAAATATGCTAAGCATTTTGGGTTATTGTGGTTTATCTGTACTTCCACTTTTGCCATGGGCTTTTCCCACCCCCGACCATCCGACAAATTACGGCAACTTCCGCTCTCGTAAAAATATTTATTCAGCAGAACGAAGAGAGAAACCAGGCGTCTCCACTTGTGGAGTGTGAATAAAATTTCATTAATTACCGATGAAATTCACACGCAAATCTCACATGGAGGATGATTAGGCTATTTCAGTTGGTGGGACGAGGAGGAGGGAATTACGCGCTCTTTATGCTAATGAACTCCTTTCGACACACTTCCAACGCACTTTTTCGGCGCGCCAAAACAGCAAATAGCAGGAAGGCTTCCACGTGAGCAACGACTCAATTTCTAGGCGCCTAGGCTCGGATTATAGTGCTCGTGACACACGTGCGCGTCTGAATCTGCTGACAAATTTCAAATTTATGGCCCATAAAAACGCCACCAATTTATCGGAGGTGCGAAATGATTTCTCAAAGAGGCATTTCAAGGAGAAAAATTGAGAATTTTCCATTTTTGTACACTCGTATTGTTAGAATGTAATTGATGATTGAGGAGAAGACGAAAATTCTTCAACGCACATTTACGCAGAGGCGTAAATCTCACTTTCCAAATAACTGTCATCATCTTCTCTCCTCGGCGGCTCAGCAGCGAAGGTTGTCCACAGTAATTATTACAATGATCAAATGCAATTATAGGCAAAGTTGGCGCACGTGTCACGAAAAAGTCTTTAAACTTCAAGCTGGGTTAATGATTAAATCTAGCACGTTTCAGGGAGGCGCTATTCTCATGGAAATAACAAATAATCGTGAGCCAAAGACATATTCTCTGCGAGACCTCAACATTCTTTCGCCTTAAGCCATTCTGCCGTGAAAATCCGTGGACCTTCTCCTCGAATGTGGCTGACAAATACTTGGGGCATTGCTCACATGAAAATGAGTGAGTCTCCGGCGAGAAATATTGTCATCGCGCGCTTGAACGTGTGCCAAGAAGTGATTCTTTAGCATTATTGCTTACACATTACTTTTTATTAATAATTATTGGGTTGAGGCCAGACTCGGGCTCATTTGTCACACACCCCCACTCAAGAGCGGGCGGCTCTCCTTTATGGAGGCATCAAAAAGGAATTTATTGGAAGGCAGCTGTCTTGCAATTTATCACAATGACTTCATATACCATTGTTGGGGGAGAATTTTTCCCCGAACAATGTCAAATTTTCAAGACTGGAGGTGCCTGTCAGATTTGTGCACAAGTGGGCATTTTGCTCCTTGAATGCCCCGAAGAAAGACAGACTCGTCGGAAACAGTCCCAGTGAGAAGAAAGTTTGTGGGAACTTTCCCGCCAAGATTCGCAAGATATCACATTCCAATGAAGAAAATCTTTTTGTCTCTCCTCAAAACTTTTCACCCATCATCCCTCCTGGCCAACTTTCAAATTGAATAAAAGATGGATGGACAAGAGAACAAGCGCGATTGCGATCTAATGCAATTTCTCTGCAAAGTATATCGCGTGATTCTGACCATATCTCTTGCAAAAGTTGACAACTTGTTTTGCAATAAATGTCAGGCGGAGAGTGTGGAAAAAAGAAACTTTCTGCAGCGACACAAGTCATGAAAAGTTGCCATGAATAAAAATTACCGCCAAAGGGAAATTGTGCACTGATAAGAGATGAGCGTTTGAAGTGGTGCCAGACTTTATTGGTCTTCGTGGCAATTTTATAAATACCCTTCCCGCGGCCACCCACTCTTTGTGCCTCGTGGCCGCTTGAGTGGCATTGTGAGACCCACTAAAATAGAGATGGGAATGGATAAAAGTGGGACTTTGCAAAACAACTACGAGACCCACTTTGTTAGAGCACAGACACTCACATCAATTCCTCGAAGCTCTCAATGGGCAGGTTTTTATTCAATTGTGAGATTTCAAAATGAAATATTCTATGAATCACAAGTGAAAAGTGAAAAGAAATTTGCACCGACTACAAATGGAAAAAATTGAACTATAGCGTGACACATGCTTTTATTTATTATCAATGATTCTAAGCCAAAAAAAACAGATAAAAGTTATAATTTTTTTTGCACAAATTGAGTTTACATCATATTATTAGTACATTTTGCGGAATGTCTGCTTATGGTTTGTGTGTATATTTCTCGAAATTTTAAATTCGAGCTTAAATTTAGAGAGTGAGTCCAGTTCTATCTATAAGGGAAATAAATACACACATTTTAAGACATGATGATTACAAAGAATTTTTTATTCAAACACACTCACCATATCCAAATCGTCCAGTCGCTGAGGATTTTGATCATAAAAGTTATAGACATTTGTTAATTAATATTTTTGAAACAAATATATGTCCATTTTGTATATCTGAAAATATGCTCACCACCACCATCATTATCACCGCCATCGCCGCCATCAGGCCTAGTGTCACTGCCAAAACCATCGACATCATCAATGTTAGCATTACTATCACCATAACTAACAAACGTAGTAATATTCAAGATCGCTCCAAACAATTCGTCCAAATCCGGGATAGTCCATTCTATTCCTACTACAAAATATATTGTAAATTACAGCAAATACGTACTTATGTATATATGAAATATTTTTTGTATAAAATAAAAAAAAGACTCACAAACATTTAAAGCAGCGGGAACGGCCATCTTAATACAAAAAAAATTACAGACATCACTTACATTATTGCCTACTTAACTCAAATACTTACCACCAAAATTGATGAAGAAATCAGTAAGTCTGAAAAATATAAAATAAATTCTCATGAATAATTCATAAGAATATCATTTTCTGACTTACTTTCAGAAATGTAGAAAATAATTGCGATCACTGAGATCGATATAATGAATTTCCATTTGAACTGCATCGCTTTAGGTTTTCAACTAACTTCAGTGACTGTCTTTGTAATCGTTTAACTTGAAAATCACATGAAAGGAAAACTTTTAATGGCTGAATTAAGAGCAAGTTCAGGGCACGTGTCACGAAAAGAATATTTACTACGTCGCTGTATTTTGAGAAATTTGACTCAGTAACTGTTTTTGTTCACTTGGCTGCCAGTCCTGGTGGAATTTCCACCGTGGCGCCTGACAAAGAGCTTTCTTGGAAAGTGTTGTGAGTGAAAAATAAATTGGGTCACAAAAGAATCGAGAGCAATCTCGGTGGAAAATGAAGAAGGAAAAAGTCCCCCGAGAGGCGGAGTAGTTCAATAATCAAATCCGATCTCCTTTGCCATTTGATGTTCTTTCTAGTCGTTGGAAAAGGAGGGTTGTGAAATCCTTTTTAACCCTTCTTTCACCCAGTCACTACGCTCCGTTCGCCATACTTTGCGGGAATTACCACTCGAGTTGTTCTCACTAAAGCGGAATTTCCCAATAATAGAATTATCAAAATGATCCCTTAATATAAATTGGCAACAATATTCTTTGTCTCGCACTTTTTGTCCGGCGAAACCATACACGAAAGAGACTTAATCACTCCATCGAGGGAAGAGCTTTCGGGAGGGGCGGCAGGGTGGGGGTGTCTGAGTGTGGAAAATGCGGGGGAAAAGCACAAAGTTCCATTCATTGTTTGAGCCACGCACTTTCCTTTTGTGCGTGCGCCAAAAACGGGGCGCAGGGGGAGAGAGAGCCCCAATGGAAAATCCCTTTATGTCGTGCTCCCTCTCGTGCACCGGGCGAATGGAAAGCTCGCCTTGGCGGAAAACCCATTCAATTCGAGGATGATCCCTCGTCGAATTTCAATCCTTAAGAAGCCTCTCTCCTTCAATGACTTATATTCGTCACTATTGAATGTGTGAAGCAGGTACGAAAGCGTGGGCGAGGATGAGTTATTTGAAAGTTTCACGGTTTAGAGGAGGTGGAGCTTCCAGGGAGTCGAAAATATCCAGTGATAAGCATTTTTTTTTTGAAAGCTTATCTGAACATTATGAGGAGCATTATAGAATTGCCCAATAAATACCTGAGATTGTAGAAGTGGGGATTCAGGGTGAATGAACTGAATTATATTGCATTTCTCTTTTATTTCATCCTATGTGTATGGAAAATGTGTATAGCCTTCGCAAAAATGCCCCAAAAGAACCCCGATAAAATTTCCATGCCGAGATTTTCAGTGCCTTTCGCAGACCGCATAAATATCCCTCTCGAGACAGAATCCGTGGAGATGTTTTCCCGTTAAATCTACAATCTTGCAATCAATAAACAGTTTTCCAGAGTGTGAGGAATGTTTATGAGTTTCCGGTGGATAAATCGTCGAATTTTTCTGAAGTTTCACAATTGAATCGACAATTTATTGCACCCGCGCCAAAAAGACGCTCAGCTGCAGCTTTTCCTCGTGTGAAAAATATTGCTGATGATGTGTAAATATTGGATGTGAGATGTTGCAAAAGGTGGAAAAACACTTGTTCACATGTGAATTTTTCCACCTAAAGAGCGCCCATCCCTTTTGGCTTTCGACACTTTGATAAATGATGTGGCCAAATAGCCTGGCACTTCTTTTTGCCGCCTGTTGTTCCCAAAATACACCAACAGTGAGAGTAACTATGCAATAAATTAAATAAATAATTACACGCATGAGAAATGCGTGGAAATTGGCCAAAGTGCTTCGGCTCAGAGAGACAGCAGGAAGGAAAAGGCGTCTGGAAATAGATTTTTCACAGCAACTCAAGACTCACACTGCCTCATCTTCTTTCGTGTGAAAAGCATTGTTTTCCACTTCGGCGAAGACACCGGGAATTATGGGAATAATCAAGAGGTCTCGGGGGGGATGACAAGTAGGGTATCTGAGTGGGCCTAATTAGCTGCTGATGATGGCACTCATCTGAAGATGCTCGCCGTGATCTTTGGACTCGGCCAGGTTGCTCCCAAAATTCCTTTAGTTTATCGCCCCCTCGTGATATATCCGGCTTGTGTGTAATGTTTGTTTGGTGAAAACCAAATTAAATATGAGTGACGAGAAATTCCTTCGTAAATTTCTCTGTGTTTCTCTTTCCCATGAAATTGGGTGAGTATTTTTCACGCGCCCCATTATAAATTGATCGTGCGGCGGCGGAAAACTCCTCAGTCTCGAGTAGGATTTCGCAATGATCGCGTCGGTCTCGTGGAAAATCATGGAGAAACTCCTCCGTTTCCTAGCTCGAGTGCAGGGCGCAATTTGTCGCTGTCTCATGGTGAGTGTTGGGAGCTCCTTCGAGGCACGTCCGCTGGCCATAAATCACTTTTAATTTATTGACACATTCGCCCAATCCTGCAGCATTTCACTTAGTATTTCCAGCGCCACTCCATTTCAATCTGGCGACGTGCCTCGGCCCAGATGGAATTATCAAAATTGCCCACACGTGGCAGGAGCGAGTGCTGATTAGGTCATTTTCCTCTCCTAACTGGGCATCAGTTGGGCATGAGTTGCTGCGAAAGTGCTTCCGTGGCGGAAAAAGTGTTGAAGACCCCTTGATTGGCTTTCAATTGCAGCATGTTCCGACGGGGAGCTTTTGTGCTTTTGCGCTATATTTTCAATTTTATTACTCTCTGACATTTTGATAGGAGAGAGAAAAAGCCTTCCCGATGTCAGTGTTAATGAAAAATTACAGGCCTTCGCGTCGCGATGAAAGGGAGGAAGTGTATCAGGAGTGAACTCCTCACGATGGTTATTTGTAATTTAAGTGTCTATTTGTGTATGTTAAAAATGTTTCACTGTTGCGGCATTGGTGCGAGGATGAAGGATGTGGGGTTGAGAGCCTCATTTGAAAGTCAAATGCGAGACGTGATGCAGTTCAAGGAATGAATATTTAATATTTTCTCCTCAAGAGCAAACACGGACTGAAGGGGCGCGCCCTTGTCTGGAGGATCCCTCGTCATTTCCTCCAATGTGGTTCCATCCGTACAGGGTTTTTCGCAGAATTCACTCATGGCTCTTTCCTTGGCACGGTGAAATTTCTCTCCGTGTTGAACAAACTGGATGATAATTCTGTCAAGTGTCTGCCGGGGGAAGTTTATTCAGATCCTCAAGAGCATCCCTTATTTTTCTGCGGCAGTCGAGCGGAAATTGCGAATTTCAATCAAACAGCTCTCCTCTCCTCGGCAACTCCTTCATGCCGCAAATCTGCGCACATCAATAGAAATGATGTGGCAAATGAATTAATTTCTCCACTTGCCATTGCCCGGACTACTTCTTGCCCGGCCAAGACAATAAGGAGAGTTTGTTGTACTAATTCCACGATGGCGTGTTTATTTATTATTACGGCCACCACTTTTCTCCATCGTGGCTCAACAATATTAAAACACAGCGATTGGTTAATAAATAATTTCCGCATGTGACAAACCATGGGAATTATTTATGTGTCCGGATTGTAAATTCACGAATTATCGTATCCACGGCCGAAACGACATAAACACACATAGAGTCATTAAATAAATAAATATAAATTGTGAAAATAGATGATTTATGGTTACATTCATGCCATGTAATTGACGTACAAATCTCTCTCAGCTAACAGCATAATTTATTCATGCAAATTGCAACCAGAAACTCCATCGTGGCGTCTTGAAAACTGTTTATTTCTGTACAGCTTTAGTTTATTTAATGTCGGAGCTTTTCGGAATTGCAGGACATCTCATGAATTTACAATATTTACAGATGATGGAATGTAGCTGAAATAGCTCCATTTATGCTATTCGATTGTTTCCTTCGTGTAATTACTTCATTCAACCTTAAAGCAGATGTTCAAAGCTTTAGTTTGTTTAGTTTTAAGCCATTCAAGTCAAATAGTTTAATATTCTGTGACACAGTCATTTAAGTAATTTGAAACAATCTTCCATATCGGTTCTGATGCATTATTATTTAATAGTTTAGTAACTAGAAGCCCATTAGAGACATCTGGGTCTGCCTGAAGTCTATCAAAATACAGTGATAACTTGGCTTTCCTATTATAAGCTTGTTTTGTAACTTAATTATTTCGTTGTGTTGTTCGCAAAGAGATTTGTCCATTCAAAAAGAACACATCAGTTGTTCCAGTTTAAATTTTCATAACATTTTACTAAAGCAGGCCAAAAGTTCTTAAATTTATCAAGAAATACAAGTCTTAAGAACAGGAAATATTTATTGGCATTACCTGAAAAAAAAGAATTACATAAAATGATTGCAGATAATTGATTTAAAACCGTGAAAATAGCAACGGTGGGTGTTTTTTTTTACCGAAAAACCCCCTTTCTTAAAGTGCACTTCGCCAGGATATTGAAGCATCTGTGAACTTTGTTGAACTTTGAGGGTTGAAACTCAATGTTATTTCCTCAGAGAGCCTCCATATATCCCGCCCGCGTCGCTCCAAAATAGCATCGAGTGGGATTGAGAGTGCGAGAAGATTTTTGAGTGCTTCGAAACGAGCATCTCCTGAATCCCTTCCCACGCCCGGCTTTTCATCTTTCAACTTTGCCGGCGCTAATCTCGGCAGGGGATCTGCAGTCCCTGGGAATAATTCTGCAATTTCGCTGCACGACCAGGGCAATATCTTATTATTCATGGAGTTCCTGGAGTGCTTTATGCCATGCAATAAGTCCCTAAATGCGGGGAAGCCCCGGGATTATTTCGGCATGCTATGTTTTCTCATCATTTATCTGGGGGTGGTAGGAATTTTCTGCTCTGTCACTTTTGTCATTCTGCATGCGGTACATTCAATTTCCTGCCCAACTCATTTTCCCCGGGATTTTCTGCCATCGGGAAAATCAATCATCTCGCGAGAGTGGGGTGTAAAAATACAACTCTGCCGCGCCTAAAGCACATGGCGGAAATAGACGCGAAAAGCTGCATTTTTGCATTTTTCCGCTCGAAATATAAATTAAATTTAATGCTCTCAGAGGTGTTTCCCCGGAAAACTTTCAGCAAAACATATTTTCACCTGTTTTTACCCATGTTTGGACTCATAATTGACTTGTACAGTGGATTACATCTCTATGGGGTGTTTTTGGGGTAGTTTATCTCTGGCGATGTTTTTTCACCCAAAAATTTAGCTTGAAGCCTGCTCAAATCCATTCCAGTGCCGCCAGTGACGCATCCCCGGAGTCTAAAAATAGTTTTCCAATTTTTGAGTGATAGTTTGCGGTTGAGCAGAGCTTCTGAGCACGAGTTGGTGAATGGAAACGAGCAAAAGGGTGGTACAGCAGCGATAAAAGCTCCCAAACGATGACTGGGAATCTCTTTTTGAGGGAGAACTTCAGCACATTCCTCACCTCGGGACATATTTTCCCGGGCGCTCGGCAAAAAGCCGTTTTTCCCTACATTTTTCACCAGCTGGGGCGGGAAGAGGAAGAATGGGTGGAAAGGAGAGAAGAGATGTGTATGTGTTTGGTGGGAAAATTCATGCGAATGAAAATATTTTACAACATTTGCAAGCATCGAGGAATATCTTCTCACTTGCTGGCTTCTCCAATTTCCGGGGCAATTCTTTCTCAGCTTCCTCTTCGCCACCCGCTGATGAAATGCCACCGTGGAATGCGATAAAATAGACCCCTCACAGCATTTCTTCATCCACGACTTTTCCTCTCTTGAGTATCATTCTTCATTTGCCCTGGCATGGAAAATCCATCATATTTTCCGTCTGCCTTCGCAACCACTGAGGAAAAGGTCTCCAGAGTGGCCGCAATTTTTGGCCCCATGAAATGTATGCAAATCACGGTCGAATGTCAATTACAGCAATATTTAAACTTTTTCTCTGGACGTGAAAATTAGCCATAAACCGCAGTGGGGGGTGAGCCTTTTTTCTCCCCCAAAAACAATTCCATTAGAGATGGTCGCTGGGGGAGGAAAGCAAAAATGAAATGTAATTTTGAAATACATCAAAGTGCGAGTAAAATTGCAAACACGAGAGATGGCAGATAAAGAACCCTCTCGCTTCTTGTCAGCAATTTTTCTCCGCGCTGAGAAAAAGCTCACATTCTATCACAGGACAAAGGGATCCCGAAATGGGGCCAAGAAATTTTCGATAAACACTCTGAGCGAGATATAGAGAGTCATGGATGGTCTTCAGGGGCTTATCATGCAGCAAAAGTGGTAACATTGCGCTAGATAAGTGAGAACAGCTGAGAAATTGCTCGCGATGCCACATGACGAGCCCCTTGTGGTGTCTTGAAAAGCAATGTTTCATCTTTGCTTCGACAAACACTCAATCTTGGACGAAAATACGACCACCGCACTGAGTGATTTCCTTGCACCGCAAGAGATGATGTGCAATTTGCTGAGCGCTCGAAATGGTGTGCGCTCCCCTTAAAGCGCTGGGAAAATATTTGCAGTTTGAATGAAAGCACGAAGACGCCACAGTGAATTGTGTTGGCCATCAAAGGGGGTGTTTTTTTTTCATGGCTCTTTGCCAAATTTAAGTCTCTTTCCTATTTTGTGTGTGCTGGATGTTTTTTTTAATAGGAAACCCTTTGAGGTTTGTGCAAGACACAGAGCGTGAGAACTTGGAGTGAGCTTGGCAAAAGAGAGAATATTTGTGGAGCAAACATTTGATAAAGCTTTCGACATTTTAATCCACGGGATTTCAAGTTTGCGTGGGTGATTTCCATGGAGACTCCCGAGAGCATTTAGAAAATTAAATTTATAATCACAAATACTGAGATCAACACTCTTCCAGGCCATTGGCTCATTGCGCGCATCCCAGAAATCATTCGATTACAGATATATTATCGATTTGTCTCACACTTTCTCCTCTCCTTTCCAGGCACCCGATGTGGCCACAATGGAGACAACAGACAGCTCAATCTACATCCGCCTAATCCGTAAGTGTAGCTAAGACACCTTCTCGGAACTGTTCCCACACACCATGCCCATCATTCGCTTTCGGAAGTCCTTCAGCTTGTCCGGGGCGGTCGGAGGGAGGGTGTGAATTGTGGGCGACTCCTCGAATGCATCCCTGCCTGGTCATTAATCAGTAATTGCTTGTGATTTCATGGGGATACAGCCACAATGATTTCCGAGACAATTGGTGAGAGATTGCTGGCGATTCCCTCTGTCAATTCATCACTCACTGTTTCCACTTGAGGTGAAGACACAAAAATAAATTGACAAAGACCACAGCCAGGGGCGGGAGGGGTGGAAAATTGCAAATTTAGATTGTCTGCCTCGGTCGTCCGGGGACACACAAAAGGCAGACAATTCTGCAGAATCTGGATGGTGGCAAAGTCGCCCAAACAGGGCGATAATGGTGAACAATGAAGCGAAAAGCTTCTCATCCATTCTCTCCCTTTTCTCTCTCTCTCTCTCACTCACTCTCCACCCCTTGATTAATTGAATGACGTTCCAGTGTTTGAGATGTGAAACAGAAAATAGATAGCCAGAGAGATGAAAAATCTGATTTTTCCTCTCCGCCATAGTTCCATTTTCTATTTCTCTCCAATTCCCTTCCAATCAAATAAAATTTCCCCCCTCATGCCGATAGGGTGTGAGAAATGGTTGTGCGAAGGGAAACTCAATCGCGTGAACTTTCATCTCCACGAGCTGAGGAGCTTTCATCTTGAGCAGAGTGAAAAAGTGATTTCTTATTAAAATTAAATCGATTACAAGAAGCAATTTCTATTTACTTGTAACTTGAATATTTAATAAAGGGGGGGATGAGCACAGAACATTATTTACATGGCAACGAAGGATGGTAGGAAAATATCAGGAAAAGCCAGCTATCAGACACTGAAAGGAAAAAAAAACCCACGATAAAATAGTTTAAGTACGAAATAATATAAGGAATTGTTTGAATTCTATCACTATCTTTACCGGGAAAGAGAATTTATTTTATTCTATATTTGAAAAATCATTTTATTCCACATTGGCGCCACTGGCGGTACTTGTATGAACTTCAGATGTTCATAAAGTGTAACATTCATTTTAACCTCTCAACCGAGCGCAAAATCATTAGGATCTAATGTAATTGAATAATTTTAATTCGAAATTTCAAATTGATCTCACACATTGCTAAAATCTCTTTCCATGAATGCTTTGTGTGACTATAAAATCTGACGTCATATTGTTGCTTTATGTCTCATCTAGGATTAGGCTTTAGATTAGGCATTAGAGCTATTCCATTTCATTACAAAATAATCTGTTTTCAATTGTTTCTTTGTGCTAAAGTCTCCATTACTTTCTGTCTTTGTGAACTGTTCAAATCCGAATTATTCCTCCTTATTTTGTAACACATACAGCAATTTCGCTCTCAGTGCAGTGACGAGCACTTCCGATTCGTGAAAGCCCCTCTTGAGAAACACTGTAAAATGCTGACTGAGACAAATTCGACTGATTCTCCTCCCTTCAATCAATTACTGCCATTTCCGAGAATTGTGTATACATTCTCCTTGGTCAGACTTGCTCCTTGAGCGAAACTGAAGAGGGCCAATTAGGAGTATTCGAATACGGAATTGAGCGCTATTTCCATCTCAGGCGAAATACCAAATGAATTAATTGCCTATAATCGCATTATACAAAATTTTTCTCCTCGTCTCTTCCTCTTCTGGATAAATGCGGAAAAAACGCCCTTGAAAACCCTCCCAATTATTCATAGATATATCTGCGAAATATGTCACCTGTTCAACTATTTAACAAGCCCATTGTAAACTGTTGGCAAGCCGTTAAACCGCCGGTGGAAAAGCACGTGGTTTTTCTGCTTCCATTAATTGCGAGGAAGCCTCTTTGCTGGCTTAAAAGCTAATTAACCGGGGAGTCAATCTATCAGAAAGTGCGGGGCAATAAATTCACCGATAAATATCCTTCGGTACATCGAAAAGCAAATGAGGGACCTTTCTGCACGCAATACAGCCATTCGACGGTGTATTTTTCATGTCGGCGAGGAAAATGGGTTATAAATTGTGAATTTTTCTCTCAATTAACCTTATCACCGATTCAACATCGCGCGAGATGATGTTCTGCGGCAGAGTCTGGCATTGTGCGCCGCGTGAAATTCCCGCGGCGGGTCTTTTTTATTCACTGCACAACCTCTAATTGACCAAAAACTTAGAGCTCGGCATTAATAATTCAGTGGAGTGCTTCGCTCTTCCCCATGAAAACACACCCAGATTCACCCCAGAGATCAATTTGCATAATTTATTTGCATTTTGTATGTTTTTCCGACTTGGAGATGCAGAAGAAACCCTTCTTCTTGCGTGGAGTGTGGAAAAAAGGCGGCGATAAAACTTGAAAAGGGGTTATAAGTTTAAATTAAATTATGGGAGTCTGAGTGTAATTTATTTTTGGGCTTTTCTGACACGCCTGAGAATCCACAAAGTTCACATTATTCTCAATTAGGCGTGAGGCTAAATTGATAAAGAGCGAATGCACGTGAAGAGATAAAGCCTGGCTGGGATATTTATATGAAATTCCAGGAGAATATATTGACGTGGCGGAGAAGCAAATAAATTCTCAGAAAATCGACAGGGAGTCTTTAAGAATTTATAGGTGAAATTTCGCTGCTCAAATTAATTATTCACACACACACAGAGATTCTCTTCTCAGCCATAATGTTCGATTTTCAATGTTTAATACCGTCTGAAGAACCATGAGAAATGACGTAAAATTGATAAATTCAACAAAACATCTCCTCGTCAACTACAATTTTGTCCGACTTTGTGAAAATGTAGACATTGTCCTGGAAAACAGATCGTGATCTCATAATAACGGCATACCAGAGCATGGAAATTCCTCACCTCAGACCGTTTAGTCCCTTTGAAACTGAATGAGAAGGAGTTGTTTTGCAGCCTTTGTGCTGAATATAAACTAAGCCCCTGGCCGTTGAGGAATGGTTAAAGTAACAAAACACTTGAGCTATGTGCCTCGAATGTAACGAGGAATGATATAAATTCATGAATTTCACACATTTATTCACTGGCATTTTGCACAAAACTCCTCCCAGTCTTGGTCCCATTTTTTTTCCTCTCTGCTCGTCTTCGGATCAACCCAACTGCCAGGCGAGGCTGTTTTACTCGTCCTGAAGACACGATTGTCACAGTTGCTGCCTCAATTCTTGACACACTCCATCACGCCCACCAAAATAGATGATTCATTGAGTGGGGAAAATTGAAAATTCCGCGCAAGATTGAAGTGAATTCAATGTAGAATAAAATTCCACTCTTTGATGGAAATTGAATGCATTCTGAAAAGTTATATGTTTGTTGTGAAATTCAGGAGAATTTTAAATAAAATTTGTTTTAGCGCGATTATTAGCGTTATTACTATTAAAGTTCTCGACGCTGGAAAAAAGCACTATAAATTGCAAATTCTGTGAATTTCAGCGGCCAAAGGAAACTTTTTAATAAAACTCAATTATAATACAGTGATTTATTGCTTCACACCAGCCAGAAAAATAGGTCAGTTCTTGAGCTTTCTGCCAGCAGTGTTAATGGGGAAAGAGTTGCGATGCTTCGTCCTGGGAGACAAGCTCACAATTTCCTCTCCCCTCTTCTCAAGGGCAAAGTTTTTAATTAAAGTCAACATTTAACTGGAGAAAAAAATGCAAAACATTTCATTGGCATCTCACCCACCTTCGCGTCTAAATGAGCGATACGCCACAAGACGCTCTCATTTTCCCTCGGCGGTGCTTTTCCTCCCCTCAGCGCCACCGCGACGTGTGTCACCGTCTCTCGATTATTCGCAAATTTGAATAAATTTTCACATACACAGAAAATTTTCCATTTTTATTTCACCCACGCGCCAAGAAGTGAAAATGCACATAAATCTTCGTCCACGGTTTTTCCCATCACAACATTCAGCGTCTCTGTCGCTGAAGGGCGATGAGCTTTTTGCAATGTGATTTGAATTAATGGTAAATTGGCGCTTTTTGTCATCTCGCGATTTGTCGTTTCACTTAATCTCATTCGCCAAGCTTTTGATTTCCACCCCATTTTCCCGCCTCTTTTCTCACTTTTTCTTCTCTTTCTCTCTTGTAGGCATTCTCTTCTCTGGTACGTACACTTTTTTCCTCTTCCTGCTCACCTCAAATTATATAGCCTTAACTAGAGCTCACAAGATCCACACTCGAGTCGTAGGCAAAGCCACAAATTACTGACCGGAATTGACGCTGGCAAAATCCCTCAAACACTATCATGATGCTCTAATAGACATCCTCTGTAATTAAAAAGTTTGCAGAAGAGGATGATATAGAGAGTATAATTAGGTTTCACAACGGCCAGAGTCCAGGATATTTCACGTAACTCAATAATGCATCAAGCGCTACTCGCTCAGTCAATACACCGATGAACTACACCCATTGAATTTATTGTGTTATGTGGCTAGAAAATGAAATTCCACATAAAAACATACTCAAATATATTCCCACACATAATTTTAATTACTAGCGAAATTCACTCAAAGGCTCTTCCACTTCCCTTTTTGCTTTTGTGTTGCACAAAGAAGTCATATTTATTAATGAGTTCTCTCTGACTGTGTATGGCTGAAAGCTTCCGCGAAAGCTCGCTCTTTCCTCCACACGAAACCCCATGAAATAATTGGAGAACCTCTCCCACTCTCGTTCACGAGTAATATATAAAATCCAAATTAATTACAACACGAAAGCAAGATTAAAGGAGAAAAAAAGAGTTCTGCACTCTGCAATTCTATTTATGCTGTGTAGTGTTTCCGCACACTGCATTATTCTGGCGGATAAGCTTTTTTCACTCTCTCGGGAATTCTTTCTGTGAAGCTCTTCACTGTTTTCCCACGCACGACAAGCAGAATTTATCGAGAACGTGATTTTTGCCTGTCGAGCTGAGAAAACATGCCATAAAATATTATCGCACAACTTTTGATACATTGCGACACTTCTCTGGAAGAAAGTACTCGTATAAGAGTGTCTCTTTTGTCACTGTTGTTCTGCACCCGAAGGAGTGGCGTTGGGTGGCTCAATGACAGTAGCGTTGAACCTTTTCACCTTTGATATGAGTTTCAGAAATTAAATTGTTGTACTTAAAGTAGATGCAGCTTATGGAATACCCATAAAATAGAGGTTTTAGATTCATCATAGTATTTTGCAGTTTATCAGAATCATTGTCGTCATATTAAAAAACTCTCTCACGCCATTGCTCAATGAGATAGACTTGCATATTTGTGGAGATTTAGAAGAAAAGCTGTCTGAGAAGAAGGAACTTAGCGCACACTGAAAGTGTAGATGCTCATGAGCGCATGATTGCAATTAAGAGGTGATTTGTGGGCTCTTTGGGCTTGAATTAATGTCCCACCAATTACTCTCGAGCTCTTATCGCATTTACGTATCGACAAATTGAAGGTTGAGGCTCAAGTGCGAAGCAACAGTGTAATGAAACATGCAAATAGCAATTCTTTGTTTCACTCTCAATGCCTCACACGCCTCAATATTTGCCCGGGAGGCTGGCAAGTGGATTAAAAAATATCGCCAGATCATCCTGAATGCCTGCACGAGAGGCGCAAAGTCGCGATGAGAGAGGGGAGACAAATTAATACAAATTTGCCGTATTTGTATATGCAAATGTCCGCTTGATTTATTTGCCAGTGTCTCGATCAATTTGGTTCCAATCACTTTTCGGTGGGGCCTCTAATTGAGGTGTAAATTGATATTTAAATTAGCCAACGCGATATTTTTGCATGGCATGCGCGCTTCGTGATCGGCCAGCAAATCACCTGAGATGACTTTGAGAGTGTTTGAGGAAGTGTCCTCACGCCAAGACACTTCCCATGGCTTCCGCGTAGATGCGAGAATAAATTATCCACGCTTCTGATGCACGTGGGAAATTGGCGCGGCCAGAAGTGAAATTTACAGCCACTTCCCGGGGAATTTGTGGCATCCACCGGGCGTCTCCACCGCCAAAAGCTCTCCATCCAATGAATAATGAAGTGACTTTCACACGCCGTACAAAGAGTCCAAATATACTCACATCAGTGGAGACTTGAAGGATTCCCAAAAGTGATGTTTGCACGCTAATAAATTATTTATACGACCGTTCTTGCGTTTTCTGCGCGAAAACATACACTTTACGCAGTGCTGGCAAGATGAATTTCATTGAGAATCTCGCAGAGGAGCTTTTTTATTCAATGCATCGCCGCATACTTTTGCGCTCCACATGTCCAACTCAGCTAATACCATTAAAGCCGACTTAATTAGCCGACCCACCCTCACACGCAGTCCGTGGAGGACGAAACGTGATTAAGCTCCCCAGCGTCCATGGGAAATGCAGATGGATCAATTGGCAGGAGACTTATTTGCTGACTGTCGCCTGTCATTTATCATCATCGGCAAATTGGACGTGGGAAAAGTTCCTGAGCATATGGACTGAAATCCAATTCTGATGTGTCGTACCTGGAAAATGCAGCACAACAACAGCAGAAAAGCACCCACATTGGATTGCCTTCAGATGAGTGTGCAGTATGCGAAAAGAGATTGAAAAAGGCATTATTAATGGCAATTAAGATGCATTTTGCATGAGCAACCATGGCACCGCCATCCATAAATATCAATTCACGGCAAATGACTAATAATTCTGCGCTGGAAAGTGCGCTCAATGGCGAATTAGCACCATCACCTAATAGAATTTAATGCTTGCCAACTGTCCAATTGGGGCTGATGAGCAAATTGCACTGACTTTGTCTCAAAACATCCTCAAGAGCGACGCATTTTGCCAAGATTCTCACACAATTAAGCATTTAGAGTGAGATTTTAATGCGCTATTTTATTCACTTTTCCCCGTTCTGTTTATTATCTTTCCAACACGGGAAAACTTGTTTACAAAACAATCACTAGCACTTGCAGTCGCGTGATTAATAGGTAGGAAAGGTGGGTGCTGAATGGTGTGGTTGCAAATTTAGAACAGTGAGTAAACGATGCAGTTGTAGCAAATATATTCACAAGTATCGTGTCCGTATTATTATTTTTTTTATTTTTAAATATTCGGCGTTAAAATGCAGGTAGTTGAGAGATAGGCAATTTTCTGCAATTTAAGTGAATTTTTCTCATTGTTTCTGTGTTGTCAGTCACTTATAAATTTCAACAGCGCAATTTATCTTTGAATAAAAAAAGAATATAAGAGAAAACCGCCTCTTATTTTAGCACTTGGAGACCATTAATTACATGGTAGAGTTATTAAATTTTGCCAAGCGATATTTGCGGTAATTTTAAAGAGGCTTCTTGTGGGAATTTCTCGAGAAATTCCTCACGATATGTATTTGGGCAATATGTTATTTCTGCCCGCAAGAACAAATAATTCATGATGTATTGCTCACGATGGTGGAAAATGTGCAAAACACACTCTTCGTTTGATGTATAGTTTTGGCAATGTTGTGAGAAAATGCAGGTGTGCTTTTGCTCTGAAAAAAAGGCGCTCTCGTCTCATTAGCAATTTTCATACATATGTGAAAGTGCCACAAATTCAAACGATTTTCCTCAATGTACTCCACACTCAGTACGAGCGACCGTATATTCACTACATTATGTCTAATTCAAACTATGCATACTAATCATCCCGGCCGATTACATCCCACAATTTGCATAAATTACATTAATTACCCACCCCCCGAGGGCACCCCTCGAGGACTCAGAGTGCAACGTAATGAAGCTTTTGTACCACATTCTTGCTCCACTTTGGCAGCTCTTTCGATTCCGCCTCTTCATCTGCCTTGGGAAATTCAATTAGAAAATTCCATATTCATTACTGAAGATAATGGGGGAGAGGCTTTGGAAGAATTCCTCACGGCCATTCGATTCGCAGTGCAAGTCAAATTCTGGAGGAACTCATCTCGTGTTGAGGAAATTAATATTTAAATCCCTAGAATGCCACCATAAATCAGAAACAACTTCAACTCCACGCAAAGTTAGACAGCGTGTCAACAATTTAATTGACCCCGGAATTTCCACTTCAATTACACCATCTTTCAATACCTGCCTTATGTGGTACTCAAATGCAATTTTCATGGAGGGCAAAACTAAAGGTTTCGCCCCGTTGAGACGCCATCTTTGATGCGGAATGTTATTTCTCTTTGCAGCGACAGCCACGTCGCGTCGGATGTCCGATTCGGACAAGGATCGTCCTCTGCTGGAGGCGCTAATTAGCGGCGATGATCAGCTACCACCGAAGCTGGAAGGGAGTCCGCGCAGGAGGCACGCCTGCAACGGACGCTTCCTCACGATGCACAAGAGACGCCGCAAGAAGCTCACAACGCGAAGTCTGGTGCAGGACGTGGCAATTCTGGACGACATCCTCCACGGCCAAGTCCAGTGCATCCTCAATCAAGTTGGCAACTGGCGATTCAACGCCTTCACCCTCGAAACGGTCACTGGAGGTAGGCGCGCTAGACTTAGGTACGCAGGCCAGCATTGCTAAGATCCTTTGCTTTGCAGGACGATCACTGCCTGTTCTATGTGTTCACTTGTTCCATTGGTACGGCCTATTGGACCACTTCAACTTAGATGTAGTTAGGTTATGGAAATTGTTCACGCTGATCGAGGAGGGGTATCACAGCACCAATCCCTATCACAACGCCATCCACGCCACGGACGTGACGCAGGCCATGCACTGCTTCCTGCAGGAACGCAAGATCCTCGAGCATCTGGAGCCCCTGGAAATCATGGCCTCGCTCATCGGCGCTGTGACCCACGATCTTGACCATCCGGGCGTCAACCAGCCCTTCCTCATCGCCACGTCCAACCACCTAGCGGCCCTGTATGAGAACACCAGCGTCCTGGAGAACCACCACTGGCGCTCGGCTGTGGGCTGCCTGCTAGAGAGTGGCGTGGCTGAGCAAATCCAGCACATCAGGCCCGAACTCGAGCGCCAAATCAGCTCTCTAATCCTCGCCACGGATATCACGCGGCAACAGGAGTTCCTCACCAAATTCCGCAACTTCCTCAACACCTCTACGCTCGACATGAGACAACCTGACCACCGCCACTTCATCCTCCAAATCGCCCTCAAGTGTGCCGACATCTCCAATCCCTGCCGCCCCTGGGATGTCAGCAAGAAGTGGAGTCAGAAGGTTTGCGAGGAGTTCTTCCGTCAAGGCGACTACGAGCGCCAGCTCAATCTTCCTGTGACTTCACTCTGTGATCGCTTCTCGACAACGGTGCCCAAGATCCAGGTAAGAGACATCCTTGAAGTCCTCCTTGACAGCACCCTAAGACCTCTGCTTTCAGGTGGGCTTCTTCAAATTCGTCGTGACGCCCCTGTTTGACGAGTGGCATCGTTTCCTGACCACTGAGCTCTCCACCAAGATGATGCGCTTCCTCAAGTATAATCAAGTGCAGTGGGAGAACCGCGTAGCGGCCGAACTGGCCGAGGAGACGCGCACCGAGATCAGCGATGCTGAACTCCTCGAAGAAGACGAAGAGGAGGAAGAAGAAGAGGATGAACCAGATCAGGCTGGAGCAATGGCTCGGGAGGAGGAGGAGCCTTGCGTTGAATTGTCCGACAGCAGTGAAGTTCTCATCCCAACGACTTCTGTGAAGCTTCCGAGGCGGAGTTCGTTGCAGGTGCCTAGGCTCACACACTCTCGCCACGACAGGCGTCACTCGATGCCCGTGAATGCACCTAGGATCATCCTGCCGTCCAGGGAGCACGCCTCTGGCAGCACGATCCAGGAGGACGTGGAAACCAGGTTTGAGGACAGCTTTTCCCTGCTATCGTCCGACAGTGACTCGGGCCCCAGAGCCCGATCATCTGGAGAGAGCGTGCCAGACCGAGAGCGTCCTCTCAGTGCTGAAACCCTAGTCCCAGACCTCAGCATTGCCACCATGACGGACAGCATCTGTGCCAATAGGCTAAACCTTGTGATGCACGGCGGGAGTGTGGGCAACACTAGCATACTGCCCTCCGCCACGTCCAAGCAGCTCGTGCGACAGCAGACTTTCCCACCGCTTCAGCCCTACATCCGCACTCGCTACATGTCCACCACGGCCGAGCTGGGCGGCTGTGCCGAGACCCTGGCCGAGAGCCGCTCCAGCTCGTCAGAGTCCCAGGGTGATGAGCAGCGAGGAGTGCTGATCAGCAAAAAGGAAAGCTTCAAGCGCGCAGATCAGGACTTTGCGCCGCACGCCAACAGCAAGATCGCTAAACTGACCATTGTGCCGGGCCAGAAGGAGAATCTCGATCCCACCATTCTGCGGCGAACCCTCAACAGACGTCGAGGGTCCGCGCCCGTGGCCACAGTAGGAGTACCCCAGCGTGCCCCCGACGCTCCGCCGACAAAGGAGCCTGTCACACTGGTGATCAGATCCTGCGGAGATCACCTGGTGAGACGTGGCTCAATGCCGGCGGAGACAATGAAGATAAGTGAGTAAACTCTCTTCCAACATTTCTAGCTCAGGGTGTGCTTATCCCTCGATCTTGCAGCTCCTACTGAGGGAAGTCAGTCGGACAATGGCTCCTCAGCCGCCGCCGTCGCTGCCGCTGTTCCCACATCCCTGTCGTCCATCCAGCGACGGAGTTCGATGCCCTGTGAGAATCTCGCGGCTTTGGGGCGCTCGAACGGCAAGTCCCGGAACAGGAAGAAGCTCCTGCGGCGGCGATCATCGGGCGGGGCTGAGATTCTCAGTCCCATCCTCACCGAGGAGGCCACCTCAAGCGGCGGCTCCGCGTGGTATCGCTTCAAAAGAGAACTCACGCGGAGTCGCACGGATCAGGACGCCCTGCTATCGCGTCGCCGCGGCTCACTGCCCGTGGAGGTGCTCGCAGTGGGATTGTCTGGTGAGTAAGAGTCCCTCTTGCCACGTAGTGGCAGATGACAAAGCGCTTAAACTCAGGCAAATGCACTTTCTTTGATGAATTTACTCAAAAGAACCTCCTTCGGGAACTCTTCCTTTCTGCGCTGTAGCCATAGAAAAACCGAGAATACCCCTCGGCAAAGTTTACTTAATCCATCAAACTTGAGTGCATTTTCCCGCCCCCGTGCTGAGGAAGCAACTCTGCCTCTCTGCATTTCACATGAAAGAAAATCAATCGCAGAAGTCTCTTGCAGTAGAGATGAAATTCGAGAGGATTTCCCGCAACTTGCCTCAATTGCAAGGCTCCGAAGAGCAACTTCCCGTCTTTTGATACATATTTTCTCAAACATGAAACTTTGCATGTGTTCCCCCCACTGAGATACCTTCACGTGGACGGGTATTTCGCGAGGCAAGAGCACTGAATTTCCTGTGGAATGAGCAGCCAAGTTTCCTTGTTTGCACGTAAAACGTGAATTGCATTTTCCAGCCGCTCTACAACCGATAAATTGCAGGTGGGCCGACGGGTGGGGTTTGCAAAGGAAAGGTGGGAAAATGGAGTCACCACGCTCTATCAGACACACATTCAGACCTGGTGGAGTTTTTGGGGTGTGAGCGAGTTAAAATATCGCCATCAGACAAAACTTTTTCACTTTTCTCCCCACCTTCAACATATCCTTTTGTGCAAAACTTCCTGGCCACTTGGCGAAAAATGTACTACTTTTGGATCGGAGGTGTTATGTTTAAAAACAGGGGGAGAGGGGGAGGGGGTGGATGGAGGGAATTTGTGGATGAAAACTCCGTGCAAATTTATATGGAAATTTCACGGGAAACGTCCTGATATGAATAATTTAAATAGTTGAAATGGCGTTTGCAGTTGAAGAGTTGTGATGAAAAATGCCCAATATTTTTCATCATATGCAAATGGGCGGTGCTTGCAAGTGGGTGGCATTGGAAAAAGGCTAATCGACTGACTCTCCGTCTCTCTTTTGCAGGTACAATGCGCCACTGAAAGAGGATAATGTTGTAGAGTGTGAGAGAGCACCGAACGGCGAGCGGCAGTTTTGTTGTTTGTCCAAATCACGGACAATATCAATTAAGGCGGTGAAGACTTGAAAAGTCCATCGCCTGCAAGGGCTGGACCCTTGAAAGCCCTGCAGAAGGTTAGTTCTTAGGCATCTCAGATTCATGCGTGTTTAGACTTAAGATTGTTTGGAGTCACACAAGACATTTTAGGTGCACCTTCAGCAGTTTCGCATGTGGAATACATAATAATTTGAGGGCAAGTGAAGAGAATTTTATTGAAAGGATGGACCGAAAGAAGCAGCTTCTCGCATGGAGAACGTTTAAAGACAATCCAAAAAAAATTGTAATATTTAAAGAGGAGGAAGAAGAAGATAAAAACTAATAAAGAGAATCATAATTGTTCATTTGAAAGACGGTGACTTTAGCGAATAAATAGGAACAAGCTTTACGGAGCATTACGATGGTGAATATGGCAGAGTGAGATGGAGGGAATCTTCACGGGAGGTTGGGTGAATATTTTTATCTTCAGCCTCCGACGGAATGGGCGAGGAAAAGCCAGAGAGAAGGAGAGATATATTTAAAAGAAATAATAATAAAAATTAATGGAGATAGTGTGAAAAACCTTCTGAAACAGACACGCAAATCGTTCTCATTCTCATGTCTCGCAAAGTGAAACAAGAGTGCAATGTGTTAATAAATTGATTGTTAGATAATAACCGAAGGTGTGTGTGTTTTTTTGAGAAGAGAAAAATATTGTATAAATTAATTGAGCCAGGAGCGATTTAAACAACAAAATAAGACATTGATAGTCTGAGAAAAAAAGATAGAGAAATTAAAATTACCATTGGAAATGTTGTACCTTTAGCCATTGTACATTAAGAAAGAGAGCGAGGAGAAAAGCAAGATGTGAGAAAAAAGAAGCTACAGCAGCAATCTCCTTCGTCCCTGTTTCGTCTCCACCTAACATCGCGCATACTTCTTTTTAATCAATTAAAGTGCGAAAGCATAGATTCTACTAATTAAATCTCCACCTAAGGCATCTTTCTGCGTCATTTTCATTGAGATTTACGGGCTCGGCTGCTCTGTGAAAAGTTTTTTTTTCTTCTTTTACCTCCCCAGATAAGGGAGGATTTCCTAAGATTTTCCACCGGCCGAAGAATTTATTACACCCCACATCCAGGGTTGTGCGAATTTATCGACAAGTACACTGTTGACCAAGACACTTTGTGGCTAAATTCATAACTTTTTATTGCACAATTCACCAGACAAACGCATGTTCTTGTCATCGAAAGCGCAGTGTAATGACAAAATCAACACCAAAACCACAAATACAAAACTTTTTTCTCCCAGTATTTCGCATTACGCCAATCAATTGTCTGACCAAAAACACGCGCCGGAGGACAAAAGAACAGCAATTGTGGTATGTTAATCACTTACTGTGCTATTTTTGCAGAAATCCGCGTAAATATCAATTATATTGATCATGTTTTCTACTATTAGCGATGCTCCCACACCCCCAAAATCCCACTTCGCGACCCATAAACATACGCATTTCGCCCTTGTAATTAGCAATAAATTATACATTAATCCGGAGTGGAACCATCGCAGATATGGCACTATATTAGTCCCACTGGTTAATGATAGTGGACAAATTCTTCAAATTACAGGTTGTGCTTTCCCTGTCACCCCATTTCCCGCCCTCTTTATCTTTGGGTTCAACGCCACGAGCGTGTATATAAATGTAGAGTAAGCTTTAGGCAGGAGGAAAAACGATTAAATGTGTGTCTTTCGGTTTTTAGTAACATTATAAATAGCACGTGTAGAGAAAAGTTTCTTGTAAGGTTGTAGCATTAGTGCAAGAGAGGGTAATCAATTGACGTCATCAATTCAGAGACGCCTTTTGAGGGTAGAAAGATGATGGAGAAAACCAAAAACAGACGGGAAATTGGACAGAATTAATTGGAAGAAGACAGTTTTGCTGTAAAATCTCCCCAGATTGATTAGTATTTGAAGGATTTGAAGAAAGTAGAAATATATTTTGAGTGTTCTTGTGACCAAAAGTGAAACACACACGAAAATTAGCAAAGAATTGTAAATAGAAAAATCACCAATTTTCTCGCAAAATTGAAAGAAAAAAAAATCATACAAGCAAGAAACTTAAGTAAAAAAAATCATTGAATGGTGGTTAATAGATTTATGGTAACTTATAAAGTGTAAAAAAAATAATCTTAAGAAATCATACTTAGGCGATAGAGAAACTGAAACATATTTAAAAAAAAAGATGAACATTTTACTTAGTCGAGACAAGCAAGAATTGCTGAAGAAATGCAAAATCTGTTCTTTTTGCAAAACAACAGAAAGGAACTTATATATTATTATCTAATATACAATTTTAAAAGAAATATTAGAAATTGTGTGGCATGAAGATTTAAAAAAAAAGTAAGGGCAAATGTTAAAAAAAAATATTTAAAAGTAATTATTCATGAGAATTAAATAAGAAATCATGTGGTGAATATTTAAGAGAAGATTTTTTGAAAACCAGCCGGTCTGGTATTTTCACAAGATTGTTTTATAAAAATGATGCAAAAAATGTAGAGAATATTAATTTAATACTATAAAATAATATTCTAGTGGATACAATTATAATTGTAACATTGAATGCATGGAAGCCATCTAAAGAAAAAAAAGCACCCATTTTAAAGATGAAAAATATGTAACCAGAAGGATAAAGCATATTAAGAAATAAGGACAAGTAATATTAAAGAAAAACAGACACACAACAGAGATATCATAACGAAGGAATATTTAGAGGAATAAATGGGATAAAATGTAACTTAATAAAAAAAAATATAGACACAGTTTCAAAAACTTGAAGGACACAAAATCACACCAATTTACCAATTTTGTCTTTAGGAAGAGTAAAAAAAACGAAAGAAACTATTAAGAGTCTAAAAAACCCAACCAAAATTATATATATACATCTCCTTTTCTTTTGTATGAATTTTTGGAAAAAAGGAAGGAAAAGAAAAAATTGTGAAAAATATTATAGAAAAAAAAAATTCGAGAGACCTTTTCAAGACACATTTTCACGGGGTTTCGGAACAAAATTTACCATGTGAAAAACAATGTTAATCAATTAGAAAACATGTGAGAAAAATTGGTCATTTAGCAAAATTATTGTGAGAGATAAAATCGCGGTCTTTAGCTCTTTAGACGATGTTTTAGATGAGATAAAAGTCTTTCTGCGAAGTTGTCCAAGCTTCTCTTCGGCTGTCGAACTTGATTTCCAGTCTTTTCGCATGATCAAAATTGTAAAAGTGTTTGCGAAATCAATATTTATAATCACAGGGTGTGCAAAAACTTACCTACTTGATTTTTCTTTCTCCAAATTTCATACAAATTTCCTCTTATTATGTTCGGTAATGAATTATTGTGTTCACGACTGACCGAATATTAGAAACTTACGGTGCAAACTTCGCAGAATTCTATATGAACCAAAAAGAAAAAATGTAACTAAATTAGTTCACCAAAAAAGGAAAAGAAATCAATCATTTTGAGAAACAAGAAAAAAATATATCGAATTGTGTATAAAAAAAAATCGGAAACACTTTTGAGGGTAGACAAAAACAATTGCGAACAGGGTCAAAATTAAAAAAAAGAAGGAAGAAATGAAGGAAAATCGTTGATTGAAGGATAAAATAAAAATTAACCAATTAGTCGTTTTTTTCGAAGGGAAAGCAATAAAGACTGTTAGCAAAAAAGTGAAAAAATAATTAGTTATTTTTAGATAGCCAAAAAGTGGTTTATAGCTAGAGAATTCGAAAAAAAACAAAATTCAATCGATCAAATGTTGTGTAGAAGAATCACAATAAAGAGAGCATCTCCTTTTTTTCGTTTTCCGGGGATGGGACACACTTTGGCTGGTCAGGAGACGCGCGGGCTGCGTCGCCAAACTCATATTGGCCAAGTAGGGATAGGGCAATCCTATGAGATTGATTGTAAGACGATAATCAAGTTTTATCATTCGATGTTGAAGTAAAAAAAAAATGAAAAGAATCACACATTAAAGGACAAGAAAACCAATCGATGTACCCGATATTCTTCCAAGAAATCTGAATAAATTGACAAGTAAATACCAGAGTTTTCCTTTATTCGCCTTTATTCAGCACGACGAGCTGTCCGGGAAGAATTCAGACGTGTTGTAGACTTCCGGAGGAACGTAAACGTCTTCTGGAGACAGATTTGTGGCCTCTTGCTCGGGTTTCTGGCGTCCAAAGATGGGCTTGAGGAAGCCCTTGAGTCCAGACTCCGTGTAGCCCAGCTCCTGCTCAGCCACTGCCAAGTGAGCCTCCATCCGGGCCAGGTTGTCTCCGGCGATGCCCACAAATCGCTCAAAGCCGTCTATTCGTCGGCACAGCTCAGAGAAATCCGATTGGAAAGCACTGATTTCTGGTAAGTTCTTATCTGTGCTCACTGAGATGTTTTCCTTTACCTGTTGGGAAAGAGAGAAGCTTGTAAGAAAGCCCCCAGAGATTCATTGCTATCCGGAAACTCACAACATTCAGGAGGCTCTCAAATTCATCCAGTCTCGTCAGCATCTCATCAATATTTCGACAAATTGGATCCACCTGTAGAAGAAATCAGTAAAATCACCATAATTATACTGAAATACCCAAGAATGAATCTGCTTCCTGGTGTTCCTGGCCAGAAGTAGTCAGAGAACGTAATTTGAGAAAGAACTGTTTTGTCACAGACTTTTCCCGAGATTCTCCATCACCTCTTGTGAAATACTGTTCTGCACCAGGTAGTTCGAGTAGTCTCTGGCCAGGATTTGATCCATGTTCCCAGAAATCACAGTTTCACTTTTACACTTTTGCGAAGAGCACAACAAAAAATCCAACCTCACTTTGTGTCTGGCTGTCAATTTCTTCTTCCCGCCAATTCAAATGAAGAAAATACTCGGAAAAATATTTTTTATTAACATTTATTCAGAAATTCGAGGAAATCCAAAGCAAAATCGTGAGTAAATTGAGATGGCACTTCTAAGGAATGCAGTGATCAATCCTACCTGAGAAGAATGGCTTTCTAGGCTTTGAGAGATTTCATGGCTGTATTGTAGTTCACCTGGTTCTCAACCTTCAGTTTCAAAATCGATGCCTTCTTCTGATAAACAGGACACGTCTTGTCCCAACTCTCGTGTGGCCCCTTACAGTTGAGGCACTTGAGGGTTTTCTTCCCCTTCTTGGGGGCGCTTCGCTGGTCGAGATTCTCTTTGCAAGTGATCGCTGCGTGTCCCAAACGCTGGCAACGGAAGCATCTAAGCGGCTTGGGAATATACAACTTCACTTCGGCCTTTCTGTAGCCCACGTTGAGCTTCGCTGGAAGATCAGGAGTGTTGAATGTCACCAGGAAGATTCCAGTATCCTTTCGGCTCTTCTTCCTATTCTCTTTAACACACTGCGCCTCCTCATCGTCCGTCATGTGGCGCCGAATCTGCCTCAGGCCCACCACATTAAACTGCTTCATTTCCATCAGGAGCTCTTCAATGTCGCATCCACAGAATTCCCAGCATTTGATAACACCGCGAGATCTGTTCAGCTTCGGATGCTCGTACACCTTCACTGGCGCCTTGCCAATAGTCGTCACCTGGAGGATCTTCTCAGTCTGCGCAGCGTTCTGGGTCTCGATCAGAAGCGTGTGGTTCTTGAGCTGAGTGCACTTCACTTCCTTCATATCCCCTAAGCCTTTGAGGGCTTCCAGAATGACGTATGGGGAAAGCGAAGCTGTCCCGGCAGAGTGATTATCAGTCCTCTCAACGACAAGGAAGCGCCGACCAGATTGCTGATCTTCCTGCTCCTCTTCTTGATCATCGTGGTCATTGTGCTGCTCCTTCTGCTCCTCTTCTTGATCATCGTGGCCATTGTGCTGCTCCTTCTGCTCCTCTTCTTGGCCATCGTGGCCGTTCTGCTTCTCTTTCTCAGCCACAGAAGGCATTTCCAATCGCTGAAGACGCCAATTTGGGAATTATCAGTATGCAGACTCAAGACTATTAACGTAGGAAACTTACTTGATATCCTTCACGTCCTGTGGGGATAAAGAAAACAGAGAAATCGTAAAAATCTTGAATTTTCTCTGATCTTCCACGGTCTTCCAAGAAATGAGAAGAAAAACCGCTATAGGATTGCCAGATTGGAGCAGTTTTCAAATACAAACAGTAAAAAAAATATTTACAATTTTCAGATAGAAATTCCGGTTATTTCTAATTTTTTTTCGCAAATAGTATTTAACTGTTGGAGGAATACAAAATATCATTACGCTATTTCGAGGAAAATTGTGAAAATTCTCTGAATTCCGAGCTGAAGATTTTTCAAATCAAATGGCGCCACTATCGAGAAACACTGTACTTTCGTTTGCGAAACCTGTCAGCAACCATTTTCAACGTCACCCACACGACTCGTTTTCTGGCCGTGAAAAACCAGAGATAAAAAGTGTTGTTTCCCCCACAGAGTGTCCCGTGGCATGTGAAAATCCCCTTAGAATACCTACGGACCCCATCGCAAGTGAATCACCGTAGAATAGCCCCGGAGAATCCTTGAAATATGCCTACCATATGTTAGTGAGAAGTTCCGCAGGATTGAGGGCTTTTCCGAGACCACCGACGACTCCCGGAGGTTGCGACCAGATGACGTGGTGAGGTCATGAGAGAGACACGCTACGAGAGACTCCAGGCGGCGGATCAGCACGATGCAGACGCAGAGGCGACTCCACAGAGCCTTCCGGATGTGGAGTTGGAGCCGAAAGTGGCGTCAGGGAGCGAACTCCTGCCCACCGGGCGGATGACACTGGCCCAGACTGCCCTCTTCACTCTCTGCCTCATCCTCATGTACTTCACCCTGTCCATTGGACTCACCTTCTACCAACGCTCGCTTCTGCAGGAGTTCAAGTTCCCTCTCAGTGTCGTTCTGTACCATCTTGTGATCAAGCTGCTTCTCTCTGGGTTGGTCAGGTGCCTGTACCGCCTGATCACGGGCAAGCCCAGAGTCGTGCTGAGCTGCAGGAACTTGCTGAAGGTCGTGCCGACTGGTCTGGCCAGTGGGCTGGACATTGGCTTTTCGAATTGGGGCCTGGAACTCGTCAACATCTCACTGTGAGTCCCTGACTTGTTCTCCATAATTTATCACTTAGCAAATGGAGGAATTCTCTCGCCGCAAAGTCAATACGAAGCACACCTAAAATCACACGCGACGTAGCGATTAAATTTTTTATCAGTGACAAAATGAGGAATTCGTTTGAGGCGCTGTTCATTCAATCAAGCGCAAGATAATTGAATTAAGAGTCTGACTCTTCCAGAAATGACCTCATCTGATGGCGTTCCTTCTGCTCTTTCCAGATACACCATGGCCAAATCCACGACGATCGTGTTCATCCTGATCTTCGGCATTCTGCTGGGCCTGGAGAAGCGCAGCTGGTCGCTCGCAGCCATCGTGGTGCTCATCTCGGGCGGCTTGTTTATGTTCACCTACAAGTCAGCCCATTTCGAGGCCATGGGCTTCATGTTCCTGCTCATCGCGTCGCTCTCCTCCGGCATCCGCTGGTCCTTCGCGCAGCTGCTCATGCAGAAGTCCAAGCTGGGCCTGCACAATCCCATCGACATGATCTACTACATGCAGCCATGGATGATTGTGGCCATTGTGCCCGTGATGCTGGGCTTCGAGGGCAGTCGCATCATCGAGGGCTGGGCCGCGGTGGCGTCAGCCTCAACCGCGGAAGTCCTCGCGATGTGGACGAAGATCACCGTGGGCGCCGTTGTGGCGTTCGCGATGGAGTGCAGTGAGTTCCTCGTGCTCTCCTTCACGTCCAGTCTCACGCTCTCCGTGGCGGGCATCTTCAAGGAGATCTTCCAGATTGTGCTGGCCGTAGAGACAACAAGTGACAACCAGCTGTCGCTGCACAATGTGCTGGGCCTGGTGCTGTGCTTAGCTGGCATCTGTTGCCATGTGGCTCACAAGTACTGGACCTTCACGAGGGCAGCGCCGTCGGGAGAGCTGAAAGTGGCCTACGAAGCGGAGACACAGATCGCCACGGCGTCCACGAGCACGGGCGAGACTTCGCGCCAGCAAGTGCCACTCCTGGACACTGACCAGGAGACCAGCGATGAGTCCGAGGGCGCGACACCGCGCGAGAGACGCACTTCGGAAGTCCTGTTCGACGTACTGAAGCGCAGGGATGCGCGAAGATAGGAGGAAACGGACGTAGAGTGGCTCACAGACGAGGATTTCTTACTTCAATGACCAATCCAGTAACACAGTTAGCATTTTGGGGGAATGGAAATGACCAGGGTTCTGGCTTCAGGAGCATTTTGTGAGTCACTTTAGCCACCACAATAGCCACAATTATATCATAAACCACAATCAATATGCATTCCGAATGAACGAGAAAACGAGAAAAACCACACAAGAGCGAAAAGAGAAATTATGCAGGAAAATTTTGGGGATATTTGTCGTCTTTTTCACACAACTGATCACTTAAGAGGACTCCGTGTTCAACAGGAGGGAAAATTTATGGACTTTTAGATAGATTTATCTCGTGATAACTTAAGAGTGTCTGCAAAGATTTAAGTGTGTTTCACAGTGTTTTAAATGTAAGGAAAAGAATCAACTTATTTTCATTGTTATAAATCTGATTGTAAAAAAAAAATATGAAGTCAATGTGAAATCTGTGAAATGTAAGTAATAAAAGATCTAAAAGAAACGCATTTTTTTTTCTAAAAGCGTTAAAATATTTTCATTATTTTCCTCATTACAATAAATTACAATATTATGGTATTCAAAATATACAAATCTCTCTCCACTTTTTTTTCCACATATTTTCTTCCTTACACAATATTTACACCTTGCAAACTGCCTTGAAATCATCCGAATAAAACTTAAACTCTTCTCTTTTTTTTTACTTTTTTAGAATTTGCTTTCAAGATTTCTTGAGTGAATGTAATTCAGAAAGGGATTTTAGTTGTTTAACAATAAATTAAATTTATACTCTTAGATTTGGATATTTAATCACAATTAGTGGTCTTTTCGTAAATCTATACCTTGTTTCTCAGCATTATTGCAATTTATAATTTCCTTCTCAACTGGGAGATATTCTCAAACATGCTTTAATACTAAAGAAGGGAATCTTTTTAAACTCTACAAGTGCGGTTCTTTCAGTGTGAATTCATCCTAGAAGTGCTCAAGTATTTTGTCTCCATCCTTTTATATCTCATTAAAATTTCACTATACAAACATTTTGTCAAAAAATAATATAACTACAAAACTATCCTCTACTAAAAAAAAACCAGAAAACACATTGTAAAATTTTCTCTAACCTCAATGTTAAATGCAAGGAGACAAGACGGCTCAAAACAATACAAAAAGAGAAAAAAAAATCGATAATTTATAATAAATTAATTTTCTATGTTTCTTTCTCCTTTAGCTAAAAAAAAATACGTTCTAGTAATTAACTTTCTTGCAATCACTGGCTTTTCTCACGCTGCCTCGGAACTTTCTCAGCTTCTCGTCCTCACTCTCTTCTCATTCCTAAATTACAACATTTTTTTTATACAATTAACATTTCCTCTTAAATTGTTTCTTCTCTCTTGTTCCTAAACAATATAATTGTAGAAATAGTTCTTTAGTAAATTGAAGTAGTAAATAGACTTTAAAAGATGAATTGATTGCCATTATTAAAATCTCTTTTGTTCTTCGATGTTAGGCTAATTTTTTTTTTTTAGAGAGTGCCAATTGGTTTCCCGCAGTGCGTGATAAATAAATACTAAACATATACTATAATATTATGCCAATTAGTGGATAAATAAATCCAAAGGAAGGAGAATACAGTCAAATTTTGAAGACTCACAACAGGGTTGCTCATAGAATTTGCAAATGAAATGCAAGAATATTACAATACAGAAACACGCGGAGCGTCCAACGGAATATTTACTATGATTGAATCTGCTGTGTTCAGTGGTGACCAATTAATGCAGAAACTCCAATAAAGCAAGGAAATGTCCTCTTATTAAATGATCATTATGTGACGCTTTGCCGATTCACTGAGTATTTTCGAGTTACTATTTCTCGAGAAAATCACTAAAACTGGACTTTTAATTGCATTTCCGGGCATTTGTCAAACGAAATAAAACGGAGAAAGCAAAATAGAGAGTGTTTTACAGAGACTGAACGCGCTTATGGGCGGAGCACTCAAATGGGCGTGGCTTCCTCTCACAATCTCTCGTCAAATGTAGTGGAAATTCATAATCTCCCTTCATCTCACTGCAAATTCCATGAGAAACCCGCAAAACAGTCAAAAGAGGATTAGAAAACGCACCTGTGCAGCAGCGAGATCTGCGCTTAGGCCGACACCGTCCGGATGGGCACTTCCTGGTCGTCCACAATGATGGAATGCGCACTCCCGGAGCCATAGCTGGTCGAGGGCGTGGAAGCGGGCGGCACGGGGAAGGGCACGCGGAGAACATCGGGCGTATACACCGGCGATGGACCTTCGGCCTCCACAATTGTGGGCGGCCGCGTGGTGCAGCGCTTGATGGGCGACATGAAGGCGAAGAGCGTGAGTGTGACACAGAGGGAGATCACCAGAACCACGGCGCGAGCGTCCACGCCGGCGGACCGGACGCTGGCCAGCGCGGCCATGATGATGAGCAGCAGCACCACGGAGAACTTCGTCATGGTCACAGCCGTGGAGTGAATCTTCCCGCCGCCCTGGCTGATCATGTTGCTGTAGCGATAGGCGAAGTAGAGATTGTGGCGATCGTTGAAGTGCTTCAGCAGCAGGTAGATCATCGCGAAGGGCATGATTAGTGGACAGGCGAGACTGTACACCACGCTCATGGTGAACACCATGATCATCCAGGCGTAGTGGATGCCAAAGGGAAACTCCACGACAATGGATTTTCGTATGTGTGGCGTCTCAGCTTGTGATTTGGCCGTGCACAGCATCCACATGTACACGATGAGTTCAGGAAAGCGGATCAATTCCAAGCCTGTGCCGATGAATCCCGACGTGATCACGTAGTTGACGAAGAAGGCGCCTCTGTCCGGCAGGAAAATGCACTCCCATCTGGAATTGAGACAGAGAAAAGATCAGTAAAAGTCACATCAATTCACTCTGGGAGATATCACCTATATGTTCCGTTCTCTGAGTAGTGCAGCGTCCACTCGAGGAAAGCTTGGGCGCTGGTGAGTCCCAGCGAAGGCAGAATGAGGATCATGAAGAGCAGGTAGCCGAAGGACTTGGTCATGATGGAGTAGTTCTGCTTGGAGCGCGTCCAGTGAGTCAACCACTTGTCCGAGTACGCCACAATCACCGGCATCAGGGCGGACAGTGTCCAGAGCAGCAGTGTGGGCAGAAACTCAGAGATCAAGGGGCTCAAATGGGCCGCGGACCTGTTGAAGGCCACGGAGTTGAGCATGTTGACAATCAGCACTGGCGTGGTGAGGAAGAAGAGAAAGAGGAACAGGCACAGATTCACGATGCTCCACTTGAAGTACCACTGCCTCGAGCTCACGCTCAGGTTCTCCCAGAAGATGTCCGAGGGCGCTGGCGCGTAGCTCATTGTCCACTCGCGGTAAGTGCCCGGGCGGAAGTTGATGAGAATACTCTGGGCCGCCTCAGCCGAGGACACTGTGATGAAGGCAATGCCGAGTGGATCGTTGAAGGCGCTCGCCTTCAGTCTGGCCACTTCGCCGGCCAGCTGATTCTCGCGCTCGCGATAATACTCCAGAGCATCAATTGCCTTGCAAGTGAGACAATTGGGGAACACTTTCACGTGAATCCCGCGGGTCTTGTGCGCTTCGCAGTAGATTCTCGCCTCCATCACTTTCTCGTATTCCTGGAAAGATTGCAGCAAAGTGCAAAGAATTAGCGTCAAAACTCTCTCTCTCTCTTCTAAGAAAGCCATCAGAACTCACTTGAACCACCGAACTGAGCTTTGTGATGTTGTACGTCAGATGCACCTCTTCGATCTCAATATCCGGGAACAGCTCCCTCACGTAACTCCGGATGTTGGCTTTGTTCCTGTCCCTCGTGTCGATGTCCGTGGCCATGATGGTTCTCGTGGGCGCCACTTTGCCGGCATACCTGCCCGAGGAGCGCCTCATGGTCAGCACGACGAGAGGCACGAAGGCAATGGCGCAGATGACGTGCACCCAGAGAACGCTGGACGTGGGATCCAGATTGGACACCGTGGTGTGCCCGAAGGTGTTCACATCCCCAATCAATTCCCCGTGGAAATTGATCGGCAGGATGATGACGATGGCCACGAGCGTAATTATGGCCGTGACGACGATCAAGTGCTGCTGAAAGGACAGATAGTGCAGCGCATCGGGGCCGCTATGTGCCAGGATTTGCTCCTTCCGCAGGCGCAGCGTCACAGGGATCCACGACAGGAAGCCCCGGTCAATGGGGGCGCCCGTGGATGTGGCGCTGCTGCGCTTGCTCGCCGCCTGGCCATTGCTGGTGCCCGCCTCTGCCTGTCGCGCCCCATTGATGGCCTGCCGGCTCTCGTCGGCCGCCGTGTCGTCGCTGCCCTGGGCGTAGAAGAGCTGCGTCCAGCGGCGATTGTCACCGTGCGAGTTGACCAGCGCCAGCCGGCCGTAGTCCCAGGCCTGCTGGCGCAGCACCGCGAACAGAATCATGAGGAACACCCATGCGATGATGTTGAGGATCAGCGTCTCCGGGATGCCCTCGTACAGGTTCGTGATGATGGTGGTCTTGTTCTGTGTCACTAAACACGTGCTGCTCGGACTCAATTCCTTCAGCATTTCGAGCATCGTCGCCGCGCTGGAAAGACAAAGAGGAAAGTCTCACTCTCACATCACAACACAGTTAGTCAGCCTAAGAAAACATCAATATCTCTCATTCTCTCTCTCCTTATCTAATACTTTCCATGGCGCGTGGATTCGATTATTTGCTTTGAAGATTAGAGAAAAACCATTCATATTTTGAACCTTATTATGCAATTGCCTAGCTGATGGTTGAACTCTATTTTAAGGGACAAGATTTTGAAGACAATCATATCAAAACTCCAAAATTCTCATACTGAAAAGTGCAATGCTTAATCTCAAAATTCCTGCCAATTAACGCCGTCATTCAGCGATGGGTAACACGAGAATCACCCAGACAGATCAAATGATTTTCCCCTTTCTGCTGTAAATTTCATGACATAATCTAATCTCGTCTCGCAAATTCAACGCCATTTGATTTCCTGTTTGAGAGAATCGATAGAAAGAGAATAATTCACACTTTAACAAATCCATCACGAAATCGCGTGAAAATTGTCATTAAACATTCATGTTTTTGCATTCACGCTCTGTCATTTCTTCTTATCCGTGACATAATAGCATGGAAAGTGGGGAGAAAATCAATCTCTTGAGCCGCAATATTTGTATTTTTCTTTCCCGCCGAGTTTATTGCTCTAGAAGAGAGAGAGAGAACGATAAGGAGTGGCAAATGTGAGATTCAGTCGCGTGCGATTGTGGTTCTGCCCTATCTCTTCGCAACTGAAGATGATTTAATTAGACGTCTGACCTCAACTTAACACTCCGCAATCTCAGTAAATGATGCATTCTCCTTAACTCGAGGAAAAATGTCACGGAATCCGCTGACTAGTCTCTTCCGATATGTTCCAATCGTCTCGTAAATACGAAATATCTTATAAATAAAGCGGTGACTCACCGTTTAGGTGACTTTTCCGCGTTTACACAACTCACACCAATTAATTTTTTGGCCAGAACCACACATTCCACCTTATCAACGCTGATAATGAGGTAATTTGTGGGCTTTTTCCCACTCATTTTCCCCGATGAAATGTCGAGATTCGCAACTTCAAGCTGTGCTCAAATGATAATTTGTGTAGCAAGATTGAAGAAAACCCAATTTTGCACGCAACATTCTGTGACGATTTACCGTGATTCTGCTGCACACCACCCGAGAGACTTTTAATATTTCTCTCTGTGGCCCACAAAAAGCCTCACTTTACTGTTTTTATTATTGTTCTTATTGAATACGAGACGGAAATAGTTTCTTCCGCTACTTTTCTCCCTCGTCGCATTCTTCACGCCTCCAACTTCAGCTACACTTTGCTCTGGTCGTCTCAAGGAATTCAATTGGAGTCTATTGAGCATGATTGATTCATTCATAAAGTATTTTCGGCAACAATGCCGAGAGCTTTGACACTTTTTACCCCCGTTTGACACGCTTTTTGCTGTTCTCAGCCAAAAATAATCATACAGTGAAACATTAAATAAATATTTAGAGAAGAAAAAAGAAATTACTGACCCAATAAAAACTGTTTTGCTCATTTGAGCGGCGTTGGGAACTGGATTGAGGGAGAGATTAAGGTTTTTTTGTACATGTTTTTAGGCTCTTCTTCCTCTTCGAATTCATTCAATTCATTTCAGCATTGCGCAAGTGAATAAAAAATGTGTATTTTGCTATATTTAACTCAGTAAATGGATTTGTGGTTTGGCAAAAATAATTGAAAATATTCGGCTTCATAGAAAGCTCTCTTCTCAGTCAATTACAATATGCTGGGCGCATTGAAAGGCCGCGACACCCCCGCAAATTTCCAGTTAGATTCGCAAGGCAACCTTGCAAGTGAACTTGTGGGGAGAAATTCACCCGATTCCGGCCGCTCACACCGCGGCAGTGGCTTTCGCGGCTGCCTCAGGTGTCCGGAAGGCCCCTCAGCGGGGGCAATGCACTTTGTAGCGACTTTTTGTCCACTTTTCGAGGTACGGAGAAAAACTTTCACATTCCGTCGCGGACATCGATTGTCCGCGGGGGCCTCGGGGCTCGCGTGCCGCCATAACGTGGCCCTGGGTAGGCGTCGGGGTGGCCAAATTGGCCACGAATGGGGCGAGAGGGCGGCTGACACAATTTCTTTGTGTGCCACCGCGAAAGCGGGGAAGACACGCGAAATCCTAAAAGAATTCGGTTTCGTTTAAGGATAAATCACTCACCACGGTCACTGGGGGTCACTTTGGGGGCTTCACACGCAAATAACTGGGGCAGAGAGTCACTAAATTTGGCAAAAACACACAAAACTGCGAGCATCGAGTGACTCTCGCAAAAACATTGACACATCGACTGTCACAAACTGAGCAATTTGCGCTGAACTCAGTTCGAAAGATCTTCGAAGCCAGAACCGAAAACCCGACTGGCGGCCGCAAGAATGTTTGTCGCTCACAAAAAGCGAAATAGAAAAGAAACTCCAATGAAACATTTATTCAAACTAATTGTGTTGCCTACGTTGCCCATTGCATAAGAATTTAAGCTTGGTGGTCTCGATTAAAGACATTTAAGCAAGTATAATTACTTCCTATAATTCATTTTATGTAATTAACAATTAATTAAACGTAAAAGAATCTTAAATCTTCCGAGGAATTTCACTCAGACTTTATGCTTCTTTTGCTTGGTCAAAAGCAAGAATTAAATTAATTCACAAATAATGATTTCCTGTCTATTTAGGAAAGCCACATTATTGGAGGAGAGAATGGAATGAGGTTCAATTCGAGTGATTCAATCTTACCTGACTTGAAGCCAAATCTTTAATGTTGAAGAAAAATCCAGCAATTAGTGATTAAAAGACAAGTTTTTACTCAATTTATCTTTATTTCTTCACGTTTTCTATCGAGATTGGGGAGGAAAAGAAGTGGATCGGGATCATTAACTTTCAGAACTATTTATCAAATTCATTTATCAGAAACCAAAACATTTCACTTGGCAGTGCAAAACAGCCAGAAGAATATTACTCAAATAACAAGTTTACGCTTTAATCCATCAATTTATTCAGCCTGATTTCTTACTATATTCCAGAGAAGTGTTTAGATGTGTTTAACAAAAATTGGTTGAATCTCAATTTAAAAAAAGGGAAAAGAATGTGAAGAGGAAGAAAATTGTCCTACAAACTTGTTGATGCAACTAAAAGAAACAAAGATTCACACTCTCTGAAGACGTCAATCGCTCCAAGATACATTTCTTAATGCAAATAATTGACTTTGCATTGAGATAAATCCATTTACATTTACTTTCTATCGTGATTTTGCAAATTATTAGCGTTTTCCACTTAAATTTTCCATTTAAAATATCGGGCTCTATCTTTCTCTCTTCACTCTTTATCGTCTGCTCTCATTTAACTACATTCTCGCTATCTGTTTTGGATTTCCATTATCTCTGTGTCTTATGTGAAAGAGAAAAAAAAACAGTATTAATCTCGTTACAAAGTCATAAAGAAATATTCTCTTCTTTCGTTCGAAACACTCTCTCGAGGAGGGGAAAATTGTCTACTAAATCTATTTCTTCAGTGCTCCTTTTTCTTTACATTCAGTATGACAGGAAAAGTTTAAAGAATATCATCGGTTTCAATATTAACTTTATGTTGTGCAATTAAACATTTAAATTTATATAGAGAATCATTGAGTGTTGGATTTTTTTTTATAGTTGCAAAATTTTACTTTTCATATATGCTCAACGACGAAGGATAATTACATTAGAACAAGTTTGTGGTCTTCAAAAGGAGTTGAATTTTGCCTATATCAGTTTCATTTAAAAAGAAAGTCGCCTTCGCTTCTCATCTGAACTCAATCACGGAAAATTTCCTCGTCGTCGCCCTTTCTTTTCTCTCCTCTTTTAGCCGGCATTCATTTGATTGATCAATGTTGACGCCACTTCTCGTTTGCTATCCGCAAATGACAACAAAATTCTCTCTATCTGAGATGAAGACTGAGATTTTCACGTCGCGCTCGCTTTTCGAAATGTGTGTTTGTGTTATGTGTGGTTAATTTTCTCTCCTCCGAAGCCGCCTTCGCTGCCGGACTTTAGAATCCGTGCACTTTGAGCTGCTCCGCCTTGGCGAGCCCGGATTTTGTAAGCCAGCGGCAAATATTTTCACGCTGGTCACCTTGCAATTGCAACACTTCACCGTACTCTGGATGCTCAATTACAGTGCCATTGCATGCAAATTCCTGCCAAAGTAAGAGGAACCAAGTCAAATCTCGCCGCTCCACAAGTCAATTGCCACACCAAAAAAACCACTCACCTTCTTACATGTCCGGACAATCTTCTTCAGGTCATAGTCCGAGGACAGGCCCTGAACAGTAGTTAGTGTCTTGCGACCATTCCTCTGTTGAATTCTTATATGCACAAGACCGTCTTGCACATTTTCATCAGCACCCTTGATTGCATCTGCAAAGGGGTCTGCAAAGAGAGAAAGCACGAGTGTCAATTTTTGGGAAATCGAAAGTAGGTCAGAAAGTGCACGAAATATCAAAATGCTTCAATTGAGAAACCCCGCTGCAAATCGCTCTTATCTTTATCACCCTCAAGTGAGTGCACTTGGAGGACAAACACAATATTATCTCTCCACTCAATACAAGTCACACACAAGGAGATAATAATGCAAAATTGCAATGGCCTTTTGTTCCTTCGCACGGCGAAATTTGTCTTTTCAGCCAAGGTCTCGTGAAGATTCCGTTTGTATCTCAAAAGAGTATCGATTCTTACTCTAATCAGCTAACCGAATACAGGGATTATTTAACCAAATTAAATGCTGGAAATGTGTATGCGTTTTTCTGTCAAAATTAAGAATTGAAATTCAGTAGAAAATCACAAAATGTCTTAAGCTAGCTTCTCAAGCTCAATTTTGACAATAAAATGACTCTCTTTATTGCTAAATCTTGCTTCCTGCTTTATTTTGCCATAAAATCTACTAAACCACCACAAAAAAACTCATTGCGATAAACCTACTTTAGCAAATCAAATAAAATAAAAATCCATCTGCGTCAGCATTTCTCATCCGGATCTGTACCAGATCTGATTTTTGCGTCCAATGTACATAAACAAAATGCCAAAGTCCAATTGATTGGTTTTCTTTCTCTGGATTCTCAGAAAATTCACATTTCCTGCCCGTTTTCATTCTCGCCAGCGCACAAAGACGAGACGTTCTTGGGAAAGGCCAAAAGTGACGCAGTAATAATTCATGTGGCCATTTAACTGTAAAATTACTGCCCTCTTTCTTTTCGTCACTCAGCGCACTTCTTGACGAGAGGATTTGCCCATGGAAACGCCACTTGGCCTCTCCTTTTCCACGAGGCGTGAGATAAACTTCCAGACGATTCGTAGAAATCGCAATGACGAAATTTCGTCCATGAGTCACACTATGTGTCTGTTTGCCAAACGAAGGGAACCTTGACGACGGAATTGCCTTCCGGAGCGCCCAAGGAGGACTTCTCTGGTATTTCCCCTTGGAATTCTCCCTGAAAACCACATTTTCACGCTGCCAAATCGCGGTGGAAGCCGCATTTGGCCCCCTTCAGCAAACAATGACACCAGAAAATATCCAACGCGCCATCTTGAATGGAGATTTGTGAATATTTGCCAAGGCATCCCAACTTACCGAATGTATTTAGATTCTGGATGGACATACGATAAACAAATGATACACGACCAAGAAAACAAACTGCAAATTGCAGACTATGCTAGCTGTGATTCAGTGGGTCTCAATTGATTTTCAACAATGAGGTTTTCACGTTTATTTTCACGGACTTCGCGTGCAACTCTGTATGCTCTCTCGAACGCACTCTGTCTCACTTTGCACTGCACCGCTCTCGGACAACTGATGACAGCGTGGCAGGCACGACGGTGGCGTCGCGCGGCGGCTGGAATTGTTCGAAAGAGCATCGAAAAAAAGACAGCATTTTCCCGCATGAGAAAATATGAGGATTTTTCTTTATTTACAATCGATTTACAATGGAAAATTCGATGCTGTGCGTCCTACTTCCGGCGGCGGCACTTGTTCTTCCCACGGCGGCGCTTCCCGCCCGCGCCCTTGCCGGCGTTGTTGGGCGAGCGCTTGGCCGCCGTGGTGGGAATCTTGCGCGGGAGCAGAAGGTGCTGCGACACGAGCTCCCCCAGGGCACCCTCGTGCGCCAGCATACTGAGGAACGTGCAGATGAACTCATCGTAGTTATGCGTTCTCCGGCAATCGTCCACCTTAAACATGGCCCTCTTGTCATTCTCGTCGCTGAGGTGCTGCTCCGTCGTCGTGATCTCACTGTCTAGATTCTTGAGCAGCGCCAGCAGATCCTTGGGCGAGAAGGCTTGAGGCTCCAGGAATGGTTGTGGCGAGGCAGGCGCGTGATCTTTGTGGTTTGTGTGATTCTCCTCCGAGTTCACGTGATTCCCAATGTCATTGGGCTCAGACTTGACAGCATCCGGAGGATCCAGAGCTCTTCTGTCTGAGATGGAATTGGTGTCTGGCTTGGAGTTTGTAACTTTCAGGAGTTTTTCTAGGGCGGCAGTAACTATTGCTTGATTTGTCTTCAGCATCTTTAGTTTGTGAGTGATGGCGATGCGTCTATCAGGTACAACGGCCATTAAATTAAAGCGGATGTCCTGCTCTCCGGTTGAAATGCCCAGGCGATCGGCCATGATTCGCCTGAACTTGTCCGTCCAATCTTCGCGCTCCTCCCAGGGCCCGTGATCCATTGGGAAGGGCTTCAGGCCGTCCAACTCGAACAAGTGGCCATTGATGGGAACAAAACTGACAAAGTGGAACGCTTCACCGGTGAAGCGCCCCGTGGAAACGCCACTGCTCTTGTCAAGGCGTCTCTTGGCCTGCGGCATAGCGTGGGAATTGTGCGCGCAAGCGAGTTCCGGCGTGTTCCCAATCGCCCAGCCCTTGTTCTCCGGACACATGGCCTTTGTGTGCACTTTTAAGCGACCCAGAGTGTCGCCCAAGTGCAATCCGGAACAATTAAGCAGCACCGACAGCAGGGCATGCGTTGCACAGCTGTTCGGCACCATTTGTTGGGCGAAGAAGATCGAGTTCACTGCTTCTTCGTCCTTCACGAAGATGTCTATCGTCTCCACGATCTTCCGGCGCGCCCGGCGCTCCTCAATCCAGCGAAAGAGGAAGATAAACCCGTACACCGGTCCCTCAAGCGGCTTTTGCAGATCGTAGATCTCTTCCACTTGCACACCCTCCACACCAAAGTCCTCCAGCAGGAGCGTGAAGAGCCCCGGGTCACTCTCCAGCTCCAGCCATCCCTCCGTCAGGCGATTAATGTCTACAGGCATGCTTTGTACAGGATTTCGTCCGGGATACACACACAAAATGCAAAAATAATCACAACTTTGTTGACACAATCGCGCCGCATAAACAATAATAACACAACTAGCGCCGCCAAACACTGTCACGGATGAAATGCGTTCGAAAATCCCACAGCATCGAAAGTCCCCGCCCGACAGTGAAAAAGAGGCTGTCAGTGGTGTTGTCAAAGCAGCAAAAGTTTGCAGAGTTTACAAAAATTCTCAGTGTTGAAAATGCAAATTCGCCACATTTGCCAATAGCAATGTGATGTTGTATGTGCAGTAGTGGATATTTGTTGATCATTGACACATGATTGAGTGGATGTTGTGAGATATTGGCGCAGATACGAGACAATGAAGTCCACCATTCTGTTCCGATCTGCTCATGGCGTCGTTCGGAAGAATTTGTTTAGGGAGGGCAGAGAGGGAGACACCGTCGGCAGAGGGTGAAAAAAAGCTCATGCCCAATTTTGGCGGGAAGGCAGTCTCATCTAATGATATGGGCTTCTTACAGGGACACCACGCCAGAAGTTCAGGAGTGCAGTCACACGACAGTGATTAAGGACATGTGCGCCAACTGTGGCGCCGATTTGCGGCAGAATGAGAATGGGAATCCCTCGGAAGCGTCAGTGCCGATGGTGCACTCGGTTCCGGAGCTGAAAGTCACGCAGCAACTCGCGGAGGAACTCGGCCAGGCTGACACTGAGCGCCTGCTAAAGGACAAGAAGCTGGTGCTTCTGGTGGACCTCGATCAGACGCTCATACACACGACGAATGACAATGTGCCCAACAACCTGAAGGATGTGTACCACTTCCAGCTGTACGGCCCCAATTCCCCGTGGTATCACACGCGACTGCGTCCGGGAACGCCTCACTTCCTCAATCGCATGTCGCCCTTCTTCGAGCTGCACATCTGCACATTCGGGGCGCGGAATTACGCACACATGATCGCGACGTTTCTGGACGAGAACGGGAAGTTCTTCTCGCATCGCATCCTGTCGCGCGATGAGTGCTTCAATGCGACCAGCAAAATGGACAATTTGAAGGCACTGTTTCCCTGTGGCGACTCGATGGTCTGCATCATAGACGATCGCGAGGATGTGTGGAATATGGCGGCCAATCTGATCCAGGTGAAGCCCTACCACTTCTTCCAGCACACCGGCGACATCAATGCTCCGCCAGGACTCGCCAAACACGAGCTGGATGGCAAAGGAATAGACTTCACCGGTGAGTTGGTCTTTGGGTCTTTGAGGAAGATATTCTAATACTCTTGCTTCCTTTCCAGAACTGCAGAGTCAGATACAGAAGAAGCAGGAAGAGAAGCTCTCGAGCGCGGCTGAAGGTGAAGCTGATGCTCCTGAGAAGAGCGATGAGGATAGCGGGGTCAAGGAGGAGGAGAAGGAGGCGACGAGTGCGCCAAAAGAGGAGGAAGAGAAGCCCAAGGAAGAGCCTAAGCAGGAGAGCGAAGAGGGAGAAAGTCCCGAGAGGAGCGAGGAGAAGACAGCAGAGACTGAGACGAAGGAGGAGCCCATCCGGAAGGTGTCCACATCGGAGACGGACGACAATCTGATCGAGATCGAGGATGCGGACGACTACTTGCTATACCTGGAGAACATTTTGTTGAAGATCCATTCGCGCTTCTACGAGACGTATGAGAAGACTGGAGAGATTCCCGACCTCAAGGTTCTGATCCCGCGGATTCGGGGAGAAGTGCTGGTGGGACAGAATATAGTGTTCTCCGGCTTGGTGCCGAATCGCATAAGGCTGGAACACAGCAAGGCATTCCAGATCGCGCGGAGTTTGGGCGCGAATGTGACACAGGATCTCGCCGAGGGCACGACGCATCTCGTGGCCGCCGCGTCTGGGACGCACAAGGTGAACACGGCGCGGAAGCGTGAGGGCTTGTATATCGTGTCGCCGGACTGGCTGTGGTCGTGCGCTGAGCGCTGGGAACACGTGGATGAGCGGGTGTTTCCACTGGATCCCAACAATCCGTCCAAGATGCGCCAGCCACCGCCACACTGCCACAGTCCGGAACACGTGGTGAGCTATGGCGAGCGTGCGGACACCGCGAGCGAGCCCAAGTTCATGGACACCATCAATCCCCTGCTGAGCTTCTCCAAGTCCGACTTGGCGGAAATGAACAAGGAGTTCGACCAGTTCTTTGACTCCGACGCGGACTCCTCGAGTAGCGACGAGTCTGTGGATATGGAGAACCCACCGGAGAAGAGGAGCGTGCGGAAGAGGAGGCGCCAGGAGGAGGCGGAGAGCAGGAGACACATCGAGGAAGAGAAGCTGAGAATTGCATTCGAGGCCAATGAAGAGAGTATCGACAAGACGGAGAACAGCTCTGAGGACGACGACGAAATGCCGAGCACCAAATTCCGGAGAGGTTTGTTCTCACGCGAGTCGCGATGGCGTGTTCTTGGGCTGATCTGTGATTGTCTTGCAGGTGGAGACTTGCCGTCCGATCTAGACATCGGCTCCAACGACGGGAGCGAAGGCAGCGAGAATCCCCTGGACGATGATGACGGCGACTGGAACATGATGGGAGCAGCTCTGGAGCGAGAATTCTTGGGCTTAGACTGAATAAAGATGAGTGATTTGAGTTCAAAAGCACGCACTGGGTGTGAAATAATCTATTCTGCGACATTAAGAGACATTACAAGATTGCTAAACTGCAAAAGGCTGATCTGTTCCATCTTCGTGGTACTTCTGGTACGTCTCTTGGTGACTAAAGTCCCGCTTGCCCTCCTGGTAGCCGCGCGGGGGTGCTTTCTCGTAGTCGAATGCCTTGCTGGACTTACCGTACAGCTGAGTGGTCTTCTCAACTTCATCTCTGTATTGGCTCACGACCACCTTCCGGCCGGTGACTGGACACGTGACGTCGCCGTACGGATAGACGACCTCCACGGAGTGTGTGATTAGGGTGGTCAGCTTCTGTGGCAACTCCTTTACCAGAACAATGTCCCCCACTTTGCACTTCTTTTCCGGATCGTGGGCGAACAGGAAGTTTTCCTTCTTGAAGTACTGCAAAGAAAACAGAGGAATAATCTCTGTTTCCCGACCGGGAAAAGCACAGACAAACCATTAAGAGATTCTGATCCAGTTCCAGCCGCCGAATTCTTACTTTGCACGCATTTCGCTTTATATTTGGAACCACCTGGCCCAGAAGGATCAGAGATCTGCTTGCCATCCCTGTGGTGGTGTGAAAAATTATCAAAACACTTCCGCGGATTCTGGGGTTATATTTCTTGTGTAGAATGTCTAAAGAAATTACATGGACTTGTCTTGTGGTACTTTTTCACGAATTTTAGCCAAATTTTATAATAGAGTATTAGAGACTGCCCAAATTTTAATGAAGTAAAGAATTCAGTAAATTGTTTTTATTATCTATTTCATAGTTATATAGACGACAAGAAAGCAATTTTCTATTGCGATTCTCGTGAAAATACCACAGATTTTTCCGCTAAGATTCTGTGGTGTATGCGATTGGGTTTTCGTGTGGCGTTCGACTTCACTCGGACTAACAGCATTTTCGGAAATCTTCCGAAAAAGTGGTTCGAGGTAAAAATTTCAGCACATTCGCTGAGGCTCTGCCATTTTGATTTGCGCTCTGCAACACTTCGGCAGACATTAAAGAGTGCTCACAGAATTTCACAAATTGTACACAAAATACACCGTTCACGTAAGTTCTTTTATCATAAATCTATTATTTGGGGGACAACGCATGAATTGTGCGTGGAATTTTCGGGGTGGGCGAAGAAATAGGCGAAATATTTGAGGGTGAAATGTGCCACCCAAGCGGTTGGAAAGGAGGGCTTCACTTTAGTAAAATGGTTGCGTTTTTTTCCCCAATTTTTTACTTCAGATAATGGCTGATGAGGATTTGTCGTTGAATGAGGATCCGCTGCTGGACACCCTCGATGACGGGAACGACGTGAGTTTATCGGTGGGTATAGATTTCCAGGAATCCGGCAAAGTGACGCCGCTCGGACATAACCTCACTCGCGTGCGCCCTTTCAGGAGGACGGCAATATGCAAATCGATCCGGAGCTGGAGGCGATAAAGGCGCGTGTGAAGGAGATGGAGGAGGAGGCGGAGAAGCTGAAGCAACTCCAGTCTGAGGTGAACAAGCAAATGACGATGGGCTCGCCGACGGGACTCACGCCGATTCCGCTCTCACTGGACGAGAAGATGGAGATCGACAATAGGTCGGTGTACGTGGGGAATGTGGACTACGGCGCGACGGCTGAGGAGCTGGAGGCGCACTTCCATGGCTGTGGCACCATAAATCGCGTCACGATTCTCTGCAATCGTGCCGATGGGCATCCCAAGGGATTCGCCTACATTGAGTTCGGCTCCAAGGAGTACGTTGAGACGGCGCTGGCCATGAATGAGACGCTCTTCCGCGGCCGACAGATCAAAGTGATGTCCAAGAGGACCAACAGGCCCGGCCTGAGCACCACCAATCGCTTCCCGCGCGGCACTTTCCGGGGCCGGGGAGCCTCGCGAGCCGGCCGCTCTTGCTGTCACACGAGCTTCCGTGGAACGCGGCGTCCTATGTGAGTGCCAGCGCGACATCTTCTCTCTCCCACATCGCTAAGGCTGTCTCTCTCTCTCTCTCTCTTCCAGCCGAGGATATCGAGGACGGGCCAACTACTATGCGCCATATTGACGGAGGGCAGCCTTGTTCAGCTATTACGGTATGTTTTACGTTATCAGATAGTTCTGTGCTATTTATTATTTCCTTCTCCGACTGACCAACACGTGTGATAGAGCTAAGAGGATATTTCGCGGTAATTCAGACTTATTTCAACTTGAGATTAGACACTTTTGTGTATTTGAGTTCCTTCTGAGAGAGAGATTTTGAGTAGACTTGACTGCAAAAAGAGAACATCACACAGTATTGAATATAGGGTTTCATAGGAATGTATTTTTTACACTTGAAGACGTATTGTACATAAAAGATAGTAATTTATTCATAAAAAAAATTTGGAATGTCATGAATGGGGAAAGTTTTTCTTTTACCATAACACAGTATTTTTAAGGCATCTCAGCTAATCTTGTTTCTGCCATGAGATGCGTCTTCAGACTCTATAATCTCACTATTAATGGCTACTTAATTATTAAATACAATGAAATACTCGTCGCCAGTATGATCTCTTCAATCAGATTGAAGTAATTGCATCTTCAGCCAAAAAAGCGATCTCCTTATTCTGAATAACTTGAAATCCATTTGAAATGATATTTGACAATATAAGAAGAAATTACTAAATAACTATGGGCTTGATAGTGACTATATAAATTAGTAGTTACTAAGTTGCTGAATGAAATCAAGTTCAAAAGTTCATCAATGTTGACAATGGAGCTAATTTTAAAATCTTCTCTTTTTTAATGCAACATTGTTGATTTGATGAGTGATAAGTGAAAAGGGAAAATAATGTAGTGCAACAAAATATTTACATAATTCTTTTTGTTGCTGCACTTAATTAATAACTGATAACATGCAGTTTATGCATTTAGATTTCATGATGAAACCGCGTAATTTGAGATCCAATTAAAATATTACCTGAATGTAGAATGAATGTACTAAAGAAGTAAATTTCCTACACATTTATACTAAGTGAATATTTTATTTGAATTCACTCTATATCCGGCAAGTTAACTGCAGTTTCTGCAAAGTCTTCTATAAACTGAGACTTGATATCGAAATCATAGTCTGAGATCCAATTAAAATTTTACCTGTAAAATAGAAATGGAGTACTTAAAAAATAGTGAATATTTCAATAAATTCACTATAGCATCCGGCAAATTTACTGCAGTTTCTGCAAAGTCTATAAAGATTAAAATATCTGACGATATTATAACTTGAGGTCCAATTAAAATATTACCTGAAAAGATATGAAATATACTAAAGAAAATCCTAATTTGAGTAGAAAGTGGGAAAAGGATTGAGAACATTGAGTGGAACATTTAATCTCAATTTAACTTTCATTGGCGCGATGAATATCGATTTGCAAGTCTCACTAGAAATGCTTGCGCAGCGTTCTGTTTGGTTATACATAGAATTTTACTTTATAAACATCTCTGTTCATTGTTGTTGTGTTTGTTACCAATATAAATGACTTTAATGCATACTTTGGGCTGAGTACTTACACGGAAATACAGAGAAAAGAATTATGGTGACTCAGTGACTTATCGTCATTGAATAGTTCGTTCTGATAAATGTGAAGTTTTAGAAAATTAGAGATCCAATGAAAATCAAACGTGAAACTGTGAATAACAGGATTTATGGGGGTGGGGAAGATTTTTATGTTTATCCGGCAAAAAATAACTGCAGTTTCTGCAACTTCTGCGATGAATTCGCAAATGTATTGAGATCCAATTAAAATATTACCTGTACGAGTAAAGGAACTACTCAAGAAGTATTTTAGAGTCAAAATGTTTAGTTTTTATATCCGGCAAAGTAACTGCAGTTTCTGCAAAGTAGATCCAATTAAAATCTCACCTTGATAATGATACAAACAATACTAATAAAGTTGTACTGACTCTGAGGTCAATTTTAATTGCAGTTTCTGCAAATTAATCATCTTTCGTGATGATATTTCGGTTATTGACATTCGATTATTAGAAATCTAATTAACATTATACCTGTAATGAGAAAGAAAAATGCTTAATTTTTATAGACTTCGGCATTTTTTTTATTAATATTTTCTGTCTAATTTTTGAGAAAGTCATAAAATTTGATGATAATTTTTCTTAACTAGAGATCCAATGAAAATCAAACGTGAAACTGTGAATAACAGGATTTATGGGGGTGGGAAAGATTTTTATTTTTATCCGGCAAAATAACTGCAGTTTCTGCAAATAATCATGAAATAATAACTTGAGATCCAATTAAAATCAAACCTGATTAAATAGAAATATTTGTTGGCATTAATGACTTTGTAGTGTGTTTGGTGATCTCGTGTGATTCTCGGTTGATTTGAGAGTTCAGGCAAGGCCTTTCTGAGTCTCTCATGGGTGTTTTTAATGGATGTTTCATCCTTTTTCAGCGACTGAAGTGTCGCAATTTGAGGTCCAATTAAAATCTCGTCTTCAATTAGAATTATAGATTTGGCGTAATTTTCTCGTGACTTTCATGAGATGGTAATTTGAGATTCTATTTTAACGTTTTGTTATCCTGCATTTGGTTTTTTCCACTATTTTCCATAAACATAGTCTAATATTTTCACTAATATGCCACGTGCAGATGGGTCAGATTAGTGTGTTTGCGATCCAATTAAAATCTCGTCTATACTTTGTAAATAAGTTTAATCCGGCAATATAATTGCAGTTTCTGCTAGAAGATCCAATGAAAATCTCACCTTTAAGAGAAAAAATCTATTGATTTTGTGGTCAGTTTTAGTCTCCGTAAAATTGAGATCCAATTAAAATGATACCTGGAGTATAAGAATATAATACTAAAGATATCTGTTTGAGTGATTCCGGCAATTTAATTGAAGATTCTGCAAATCTTCGTGTTCCATCGTAATTAATTAAATAATGAGATCCAATTAAAATCTCTCACCTAAAAAATAGAGAATATTCTAATGAAATTATTTGACTTTGAGAGTCAAGATATTAATATTATGAAATCATATATTCTATATCCGGAAAAATAAGCGCAGATTCTGCGAATTCTAATATTTTCGGAATGAAATCATAATTTGAGATCCAATTAAAATCTCACCTTGAGAATAGAGAAATCATTTTGAAGAAATTCACTAACCTTCTTGGTTAGATTTTTAACTACAGTTTCTGTAAAGAGATCCAATAAACTTGGTATAGTGTGTTACCTGAAGGGTGTAAATGAAGATGTTAGAGATTGTTGCGTGCGTGATAGCGTGAATGGTTGACTGTGTCTTTACCTGGAAAGAGAGTGAGGTTAGGTCTGGCTTAAATGACCAAATTCCTCCTCTCTGTTGTGTGGATGATTCGAGGGATAAATTCACTTGATTGATCTTTCACGTTATTTATTTAACTAATAAAGAATAATAAAAAGACTTCAACTGAGCGTCCAAACCGGAAGAGAGTGAACATAGGCGCATTATGTTGTCGGCTTGCGCGCGATAACAAAACTAATTCATTAATAGTATTGTTTCTTCTTTCGTGAGGTTTGTTTTACATAGAGATCTAATTAAAATCGTACCTGAATATGAAATACGTGAATGTCGACGAGGTTACATTGATGTATTGATTTACATAATATCCGGCTCGAATCAATGCCGAAACGAAGAGATTCTGAAGACGCAATCTTGGACATTAAATGGAAATTAATTACATATAAGTTATGGTACAATTTTCCCTGTGACGAAATTCCAAATATTGTTGCATCAAAATGATGTTCTCTTTTATATTGTGACAAATATAGAGATTTGTATAAATCATAGTTTGGTCTTATTTTTGGGACTGGTTTAAATTCATAGAAATAAAGACGAACTTTTTTTTTATTGTTTTTAAACGTAACTTTAAGGGAAATTCCGAAAGGAAAAATCATGGATTTGTTTTATATGAAGAGATTAGGCAAAATTTCTTATAATCGCTGTTGAATTTTGTATGTTGCAAATATATATACATTCATATTTTTTAATTTACGTGTTTTCTTTGCATATGAAGAAAAAAAAATATTATGAAGCCCCCTTTTTATCATAAATAAACCAAAACCCTTTCCTCATCGAATTGATTGAGTTTTTCTATTACCTTCTTTTTCCATTAATATATTTTCAGATTATATTTTACTGTAAAAAAAAGAAAGCATTTTCAAAAAACATTATTACCTTCCTTGAAAAAAAAAATGAGAGAAGCACACACAAAAAAGCAACAAAAAAGAGCACACGTGGTAAAAAGAGCGCATTTGCCAAAATGATAAAGAGTTACACAGAAGAGATTCTATAATGTTTTTTGAACACAGAAAAAAGAGAGAAAGAGTGGAAAGAGGAGGAGAAAAGAGCCAAAGGCCAGATGAAAATAAGAGGAAAAAATAGAAAAGATGCCAGAAAAAGGAAAAAAGAGATGAAAAAATGCTGGACAAAGAAGAAAAAGCTGAAAAAATACATGCAAAAGAAGGAAATCATAAATCACATTGGAGTAAAACGGATAAAAAGGAATAATGAAAAATGGAATAAAAATATGCTTGCAAGAAAAACTGTGGTCTTTTCATTTGTTTGTCCTTTCTGTGGTCGTCTTTGGTCATCGTGAGTTTGGTGCTGTTTTTCTTGTTCTGTGTCGAGTCGCGGACTCGTGAATTTCAAAATGCTGTCGGTGCTGTCAGTCTAAAATTATTTTGGCGCCGCTTCGGCTCAGACATCAATCTGTCAAATATTTGTTTACAAAACAAGGAATCTTTGTTTTTCTAAATTCTCTAATTATGCCCCTCACTGCGGAAACAGCCACACTACAGGTGCAGGTAAGGAATCCCCTGTCCTTCCCAAAAGGAAATGGCTGATTGTTGTGTTTTCAGGAGCGTCTCAAGTCCATCCAGTCGATAATTCACGAGCTCGATAATGAGCGAAAGCGCAACGAGGTGAACATCAACAACATCCTGAAAGCGCAGGGAAAACTCTCGTCAGAGGACAAGTCAATGGTGTATCAGCACAAGGTGAAGACGCTCTACAAGGTGGGCATAGCGGATTGCGTACAGGAGGAGAACCTCATCCGGCAAGCGTTGGCTAAGATTCACGAGATTCGGGCCATTCGCAATGAGCGGCGCATCGAGGCGCGCAATGCTGGCAACAAAGAGACCATCCGCCGTGGAGCGCTCATGGTTATGCTGGAGATCTCGGCGCAGACTCTGCCCCTGTTCGTGGGCAAGCCCGGCGAGAAGGCGCCTCCGCTGTGTGGCGCCGTGCCCGCCGAGAGCACCTACATCGCCAAGCCAGGAGACATGGTGGCGGCGCAGGTGAAGGTGACCGACCAGGAGAACTGGATCATCGCCGAGGTGGTGCAGTTCCTCAGCAGCCAGAAGTACGAAGTGGACGACATCGACGAGGAGCAAAAGGACAGACATGTGCTGAGCAAGCGGCGCATCGTGCCGCTGCCCGTAATGAGGGCCAATCCCGAGACAGACTCCCATGCTCTCTTCCCAAAAGGCACCACCGTGATGGCCCTGTATCCGCAGACCACATGCTTCTACAAAGCCATCGTCAACAGCCTGCCGCAAACGGCCACGGAAGGATACGAGCTGCTCTTCGAGGATCCCAGCTACCCGGAGGGATACTCTCCGCCGCTCCAGGTGGCCCAGCGATACGTGTTCTCCATCAAGCAAAACAAGAAATTCAGCTCAACAGCCACGCTATGAAGAGTTGGTAAATAAATTGTAGAAATTTGTTTCAGTGTTTTCAGTTCATTTTCGTATTCTACACACTGACAACATGAGGCGCTGCAGTCGCGCACGTGCATTTGACGTTTCAGTGTTTACTTTTCTCCGGGAAATTCTGATCCCTCTGTGATTTCTGACCAGGATCTAGGGAATTGCGCCATGTCAGCTTGCAGTGAGATAATAGACGATATCGAGGACTTGATCTCCTCGCAGGATATCACGCCGAAGGAGCGCTACGCCAATAGGAAGGATGTGACGGTGCGCATGAAGAAGGCCGACAAGGCACCCAAGGAGAAGCCCATTTTTCAGAGCATCGTGCCCGGAACACAGCGCATCTACGTGAAGACGTGGGGCTGCGCTCACAACAACTCCGATTCTGAGTACATGGCAGGACAACTCTCGGCGTTCGGGTACAATTTGGTGGATGACAAATCCGCGGCGGATCTGTGGCTCCTCAACAGCTGCACAGTGAAGAATCCCTCGGAAGACACGTTCAGGAATGAGATCGAGGCGGGCGTGGCGGAGGGAAAGCACGTGGTAGTGGCTGGCTGCGTGCCCCAGGGCGCTCCCAAATCGGAGTACTTGCGTGGCTTGAGCGTGATTGGCGTGCAGCAGATCGATCGTGTGGTGGAAGTTGTGGAGGAGACGCTCAAGGGGCACAGTGTGAGACTGCTGCAGCCCAAAAAGGAGGCCGGGAGGCGACTGGCGGGGCCTCGATTGGCGCTGCCGAAAGTGCGCAAGAATCCCCTGATTGAGATCATTCCCATCAACTCGGGCTGCCTGAATCAGTGCACTTACTGCAAAACGAAGCACGCCAGAGGCGATCTGGCCAGTTACGATCCCGAGGAGATTGTGGACAGGGCGCGCCAAGCCTTTCGCGAGGGCGTGTGCGAGCTGTGGCTGACATCCGAGGACACTGGAACTTACGGCAGGGACATTGGCACATCTCTTCCGGCTCTGCTGTGGCGCCTCGTTGAGGTCATCCCAGAAGGATGCATGATGCGCGTCGGCATGACGAATCCACCCTACATTCTGGAGCACCTCGAGGAAATGGCCAAGATTCTCGCCCATCCGCGCGTCTATGCGTTCCTCCACGTGCCCGTCCAGAGCGGCAGTGACTCGATTCTGGCCGCGATGAAGCGCGAATACTGCCGTGAGGACTTCGAGCGCGTCGTGGACTTCCTCAGGGAGCGCGTTCCTGGCCTCACAATCGCCACGGATATCATTTGTGGCTTTCCCGGTGAGACGGAAGCGGATTTTGCCGAGACAGTGGATCTCTGTGGCAAATACGAGTTCCCATCGCTCTTCATCAACCAGTTCTTCCCGAGACCCGGCACTCCGGCCGCCAGGATGCCCCGAATCCCAGCCAATCTCGTGAAGACTCGCACGAAGCGCCTAACTGAGCTGTTCAACAGTTACGAGCCGTACAGAAATCGCGTGGGAGTCGAACAAACCGTTCTCGTGACCGAGATTTCGCACGACAAGCGCTTCTACGTGGCGCACAACAAATTCTACGAACAGGTGAGATCTGAAACCATTCTGGTGTCCTGAGTATACTGAAATGAATCCTTGCAGGTTCTTGTGCCGATGCGAGAGAATCTCCTCGGGAAGTCGGTGACTGTGCGCATCGTTTCGGCTACAAAATTCAGCATGCAAGCCGAAATCCTGGACTCTGAAGCTTCCTGGAAGGCATGTAGCGTCATTTCGGAGGAGAACAAGCTGCAGAATGGCTACATCAACTGTCCAGACTTTGAGGACACCAGCGGCCAAGAGCCTCCTGGTCAGGCAATCGCTCCTGTGCCGCTCAATCAATCTCCGCTGCTCGCCTACGCCATAATCGCCCTCCTCCTGGCAATCGTGTATCGCTTCGCGTGGAAAATCGTCACGGAGGCGCAATAAAAGCTGCACAAGTTCAATCTTTCACTTTTATTCCTTCGATTAATTACAATTTCCTCGAAGATATATTGATAAAAAAAAAGAATTGCTTTGTGTGTGTGCTACAAATCTGTGATTGATGGTAAAAATGAACGAAATGACACAGTAAGTAAATCTAAGGGGCGCTCGCGCGGCTACAGCGACGGCTCTGTGCCGAAGTACCTGTCGCCAAAGTTGCCGATGCCCGGAATCACGTAGAACTTTTCATTGATCTCTGGATCGATGGCCGACGTGACGATGCGCACCTTTGGGAAGGCGTACGCAATGGAGTGCACGCCGATGCCAGCCATAAGCAGCGACACCAGCAGGATGTTCTCCTCCGGCACGTCGTGGTCCAGCAGCACCCGGATGGCCATCATGGCAGCGGCTCCGGTCGCCACGGTGGCGTCCATCAGGATCACATGGTAGTCTTTGATGTCCTTTGGCAATCGTAAGTAGTACAGCTGCAAGGATGCAAGACATTAGTGCACTGTTGGTGCGATTCATTCGATTGAGGACTTACTTCCGGCTCCCCGGTGGTCTGATTTGTCTGAATGAGAATCTTCCCTATGCGGATGTCCTTGCAGACATCGCACACCGCCTGCTCCATCGTCTCGCCCGCCCTGAGAATCGACACGCCGCACAACTTTTCGCTGCCCAGCCGCTTGCCGCTGTACGAGACGCCCTGCGGCGTCTCCACACTCACGTCCTTGAACGGCAGGAAGCCCAGCGCGTACTCGATCACCAGCCTGATGAGGCGCTTCGAGTAGAATATGAACTCATCACGGGGCGTCGCGTGGTTGCGGATGAACGTGTGCAGACCCTTCACTTGCGGCGTCGACGGCAGTAAATGCAGGGAGTCCGGCATGGGCTGTCCCATGGCTCCGGACTGGGCCAGCGTCTCCCTCAGCTTGAAGCCGCGCTGCAAAGGCAAATCGCGTGTTAACAAAACGCGGACATTCGCGTGACTCCGTCAGAGGACAATCATGCTCACCAGCTGCAGTTGCGTGTGCACGTGCTGCACAATAAGTTGTATGGCCACTTTGTTCTCGCCGCCGCGCGGCACGATGATGTCCGCGTGCGCCATGCTCGGCGCGATGTAGTTGACATACGACGGCTGCACCATCGTCGAGTACTGCTTAAGGACGCCCTCCAGGTCGCGGCCGCGCTGGCTGATGTCCCTCTTGAGGCGCCGCGCCAGCCTCACGTCGGCGTCCGTGTCCACGAACACCTTCATGTCCAGCATCTTGAGGATCTCCGGACTGTGAAACACGAGAATGCCCTCAAATATGATCACGTTAGCGCCATACATTGTTTTCTGAGGGGTGCAAAGGAGAAAGAAAAAATGTGATTCTTTCTCTAAACCATCCTCAGTGTGTTCAACTGCTCACGGTTGTCAATTCACGCGAATGGGTGACAAAGTTATACACAGGAACTTCCACTTTGCGGCCCTCCTTCAGCTTCTTCAACATTTCCACCATCAGCTCCAAGTCGAAGGCGTCGGGATGGTCGAAGTTGTATCTGAAAGCGAGAAGATCAATCAAATGCACGAAGCAAACTAAAATCAAATTAAGTTTTTGCATGTCTCGCAGATACGATATCGGCCGATGCAGCCAACGACTTCGCAGAGTGGGAAGAAAACTCGCTCCCACGCACAATCGTAACTCGTAAATCAATAAAGCCGCACTCACTCGTTATCGCCGGCCTGCTGGTGCTGCTTCTCGTTGAGGATCTTGTAGAAGCAGTCCATGGAGAGCAGCGTGACCCAGGGCACGTCCAGACTCTCGATGATCTTCTGCGCCACCGTCGTCTTGCCGGACGCCGAGCCGCCGCAGATGCCGATGACGAAGGGCTCCACTTGCTGGCCGGCGTAGTTGTACCACGGCGGCCGGCCGGCTGTGTAGATGGTGCGATTGTGGGCGCGGATGATCGACTCAGACGAGCTGATGGTCGTCGTCTGGTTCATGGATGTCGTGCGCTGGCGCCGGGGCCGCGGCGAGCGGGCCTGCGGGCCCTTCCAGGACTGATGGGGCACTGTTGTGGGCGACGCCGGACAGCCGAAGTCCATGCTCTCGCCAGTGCCATTGGCACTGCCCGGCGTGTCCGGGAACACCGAGTCTCCGTACTCATTTCTGTCTGCCACGTCACTGCAAGTCCAAGAGATTTAAAAATAAATCCCCGCAAAGAATTTGCATGGCGCAGAATGTCAATGAACGCCTCCGGAATGGAACACACAGACGGAATAGTGAGGAAAAAAAACAAGACGGAGAGCGACTCAGATTTGCCTTGCAAAGCCCATTCTGACACCACATATTCGCAATGCGTCCGTGAAACATGATAATCATACTCAATAAATGTGTCAGCGGCATAAGAAGAAATCATAACGCGATAAGAGTCAATGTGAAGTGCACATTTTGCATAATGTCTCAGATAGCCAATATAGTGTGTGTCGCGTCGCTAGATAAATGTTGAGATAGTTGAGAATATAAATAGCCAGGCAACTGATAAAGACACATTCGCGGTTGGCCAAAAAGTCAGAGAGCAGATTTTTGCGGAAACAGTCACAAAAAACGCACTTTAAAGCAATCAAATGATAGCAACGAATGGCGTCAATTTACTTTACACGTTTTCCAAATAACTCGTGATGACGATCACTTCTTATTTCCTACGTTAATTACACGTAATCATCTTCATTCTTGCAATAAAAGTGTATCAGAAATTTTCTCTGGAAATGATCTTTTGTCAAAGTGTCTTTAAGTTTGCGCTCCTAATCAACTATCAAGCAGTGTTCATGGAGAGCAAAATGCGCAATTCCGAGGCGCACAGTATCGAAAAATCGCACAAACGATGTCGGTCAGTTAAATAAATTGACACATTGACTGTGTTTTATGAGGAAATGTCGCATTTTTTGCCACTACAAAGCTGGTTTTCTTAAGAGTGTCTAGCAGCGACATTTTCTTTGGAAATGCGATAAGAAATTGTGCTGCACAAATGCTCATGACAATATTTGCAAGAACGTATCGCGAGCTTTAATTAACCCTCGGGCGATGGAGGAAGTTGCATGACTAATTGAATGGCGACTTCTGCGTTGGCAGAGTGATAAATTTGTGCTAAATTGGAGTGTAACACACCGCCAAACTTCATGGTTCCGTGAACTTGAGAGCCGTGCAGAAAACAAGAAATTCAACTTTGGGTGACTTATTGAGTCGATCGTGTCCAAAAGCTTCAAAAAGGTTTTTGACCTTCACATCTTACAAATTCAAGGCCTCCTCGCCAATGTGGAGAGTTTATCTAGATTATTGCAAAAAAAAATCACTCACACGTTTCATTATCTTAAGTGGCCCAATTTTGTACACAGAAAAGGCATTTGTGAGCACACACTCTTTTCCTCCATTCGCCTTAGATAAATTAATATCACGAGATACAGAATGACGCGAAGATTAAAGTAAATGTAAACACGATTCTTCTTTTCGCTTTGCATTGCAAAACGCAGACAATTTTTTTTTACGGTTTCTCTTCTCTTCTCTCCGAAGATGTTAGACGCCATTTCAATTACTTCATCGCAGGCTCTCTTGGCTGAGTTGACACGAGGATTGCTAAGCAAAATCTCATATTTTATGGCATTAGAAAGCGGCTCGATGGCTTTCGCGAAGCCAGCGTGCGAAGAGTTTAAGCGAAAATCACCCTCTCGAGATGCATCGTAAATCTTCTGCAGAGTCTCTGAGCATTCGTATCATTGCACGATATTAAACACTGAATCACGCATGGAAATCATGGTAAAATATGGTTTCATAAACTCAACAACTGAAGCAAAAGTCCTTTTAGACTTTATCTTAAACTACATAACAAGTTTAGAGAGTTTTGACAATATTTTAAACTCTGGTTTGTAAACGAATTTCTGTGAAAAACTATCAATTTCAACAATTTCAATTTAAAAAGTGTAATAAATTTAATTGTCATCTTTTAACAGGTCTCTTTAAAAAGAAATATGATTGTTTCTGTGTTTTTAATATTAGATTTTCGTATAGATTTTTATTGGACCTGTGAAAAAGTTTCTCTATTAAATTCAGAGATATTTTTTTTGGAATAAATACGATCCAATTCTCTTCAATTCTTTCAGGATATTATCATTTTTGGCTTCTTTTGAAACACTTTGGAATAATAGGAATATTTTTGCTCTTTCAAAGCAACCAATAATGATTTTATGAGGTAAATTAACCTTTCTTTCTTCATCCGCGGTCAATGAACTCTTTGTTTTGTCTCTGCATTATGCTAAAGTGTCCCTAATAAACTTTTAGGCAGTGTGAATTCACAGAATGCTTTTCTTCGCGTGAATTTTGATAAGATTTCTGACATTTTTGGCGCCTCTCTGGATATTTTGCTACGTGTTAATTTCATCCATTTGACCGCATTGTATTTGCCGGACAATTATCGCGCATTATTAACAAGTTCGCCCGCGTGTTTTTTGCCGTGAAATTTTCCACAAGCGGAAGCACATTTTTCCGCACAAAGAAGAGATTCTCTGAAATTTCGTCATGCCCATCGGGATTGTGCCAGGTCATTGGCGACGTGTTTAGCTAAATTTAGAGAGAATAGAGCAATCTCACACACCACGTTTTCCCCCAAAACGAGAGACGCGCTTCTCTGTCCGAGAGAAAAGCGTGGAATACTTTGAGGTTATCCTCATTTCCCAAGCGCTGGGCATTTTCTTATCTATGATCGCATGGGATTTGACGCGGTGTGCCACGAATGCGTCGTGGATTCTGAGAAATGTGGTGAAATTGCGCGTCACACCCGGAAAAGCCAATGGAGAGTGGATAGTTTTGGGGGAAAAATTACATGTAGAGAAGATCAGCAATATCATCTCCGCTTGACGGCATCCTCACTCACTGTGCACAGGAAAAATCAACACAATTTTCACGGGATTTTCCACACGGTCAATTCCGCCATGCGGGGGCGCGACACGGGATTCGCCTACAGCGCTCTAAACGTGACAAAGGCCCGCCCGGGAAAGTGATTCGGAGTGTGAACTGTCGCTGCCAGACTCCAGCGGCTAATGGCAAGCAAGGAAATCGCTCGTGCTTTTACCTGTCTGTGTCAGAACTGGCCGAACTGTGGAGAGGATCGAACAATTGCGGCTTCTCGTGTGCCGACATTTTTGTTGGACTGCGAGACTGTGTTGCGTTTACACTGTGTTCCACTTTTCGCATCCTGCATCCCGCTCGCACTGCCGTCCGACAGCGCGAGCGCAACGGAGACAGCCAGCTGTGCTCGAGTGATTATCGAAAAGTCTGAATGACACATTTTCAATTGAGAAAATCCCCCTTTCACGCAATTATTTATAGACATTCTACTATTTGCTGCCTTTTCATCGCCGATGCTCTCGCGAAAATTCACCAAGAGGGTGGAAAGTAGGTGAAAATGCCGCTCTCGCGAGGCACACGACAGATTGTAAACACTCTTTTTGGAGGGGATTCTCCGAATAGGCCTTCAAACAAAAAAACAGCAAAATGTAAACAAACCCGAAAATGTACATTTTCCCCCCTCGTGAACACTGCCCGATAAGACCATCGATGGTGATTCAGCGCTATCTTGACATAACTAGGAATTGATGGGCTGAAGCTCGAAAAGAACGAGCTTATCGTGCTTGATAAAGAGCGTTTTGGGCGCAGAAAGTCGTGAGATCGCTGGTGAAAATGTGGGAAATTACTGCGAAGAGAGTGATAAATCTGCTGATAATCCTCCTCTTTGTTATCCTGTGGCTGCTCCTCTTCTTCTCGCCACGCTCCGTGATTCCTCACATCTATGGAAGTGAGAAAGAGGCGTTTGCTGGCAAAAGTGTGACATCTCATTGAGTTTTATTGCCCTTCCCAAACACGGAAATGAGTCGTCGTTTGCGTGAACCTAATTGCCTGTGTCGCCTCAGCAGCAGTGCCCATCGTGGTGATGATGATCGGACGATGAGTGATTCCCACTGACCACTTCAGCCTTCGCGTTGCGCTCGCCGCCCTTGTCTGGACTGATCTGCTTGCAGAACTCGGACAGATCGCGGCGCATGGAGTAGGCATCCTCACCGTCGGCGTAGTACTTTGGCTCTATCTCCAGTATCTTGAAGCCCAGTGAGTTTGTGTAGAGATTGAGGGCGGCTCTGTTGCTCTTGCGCACGTGGAGAGACACGTACTGGGCGTCAAAGCACTCCACCATGGCCTTCGATGCCTGTCCGTGGGAATAAATGCATTAGAGACTGTTATCGAGCTATTTCTCGCGATCCACCTCACCTGGTTCATGAGCTTCTGCGCCAGTCCTAGTCGGCGGTAGGATCTCTTCACTGCCAGCGATGTGATATGTCCGTGCTTGCTCTCCTCCCCCGGATCCGGCTCCTCCATCTTGGCCAGCACGTAGCCCACGATGTTCCCTTTGTCATCCTCTGCCACGTAGCTCAGCTGGGGCCACGTGAGACCGTGATAAAAGTAGTACTTCATCTGATAATTCTCCGGCAGACACAGCAAATTGCAGTGCTGCATATTCATGAGATCCTCAGGCTTTGCACACCGAATATTCATCCTGCCCAGCGTCTTTCTAATCCTTCCGGAGGCGCTTTGTCTTTGTTCGTCCCTTCGTCTCACCGTTTGTGGGTGAATCTCTCGCACCCAGGATTTCACGCACGAGCTTGAAGCGTGACAAGAAGAGTTTCCACACCAAGTACCAGCCTGAAAGTATAGACAAAGAGACGTGATAAGACTGTCCAGAGCGTCAAAACACTGGCATTTACCAACGAGGACCACGAGAATCACTACCCCGAGAAAGGTAACAAACGAGAGAGCAGTGACAAAGTATTTCTGTACATCCATTTGGGAGATCTTCTATCGGAATGAAACGTATTCCGAGCAGTCCATTGAATTGCACGTTATCACAAGCGCAAAGCAACGATCAAAACAAAGCCGATATAAAAGTAGAAATAACAATATTTTGCAAGAGTTTTCCTCTTTTTGCTTTGTGTACAAAAAAAAGTCTCACGTCAGTCTGACATTTCCAGGGCTGCTCGCTGAGGTTATGTCGTGTAAAATGCCTTGTACACCTACAATTTCACTTCTAATAAATATTTCCCTTCAGGGAAACATTTCTTATCACTTTGCTCACCTGATGTGCAAAGTATTCACGTTAAGAACGCTCAATTGCCGGCGAATCCCTTGAAAAGTCACGCTCTTCTGTCGAATCGACCCACTTTCCGACAAAAGCCAAAGGCCTATTCACTTTCGAACTTCTCGCCAGGCATGCTCTCTCAAAATCACAGATATTGCAAGCTATATTTATTACTCGTCCTCTTCTTCTAACAAATGATCCAGCTTCATTTCCTTCTCTCGCTGTGAGGACCTCGACGGTGTCTTCTTCTTCTCTCGCTTTGTCGGCTGTCCGATGACATATTCCGGCATGACGACCTTTGAGGCGCGGAAAGTTGCGGTGTCTTCACTCTTTTCGGCCACCTTCTTCAACTTGGCGGACTTCTTGAAAACAATCTTCTCAGGCCCTTCCTTGTCCTCTTGGGATTCCTCATCTCTCCTGCGCTGCTCGCACTCGGCCAGGAATGCGAAAGCTGCTGCTGTGTTGGTGCGCTCGGATGTGTCCACATCGTCTAGGGAGTATTTCGTCCATTTGTCAGGGTGCACCTGCGCAAGAAAGGGAAAATCTTAGGGTTCGCCTTGCTCTTTGTTCCACTAACGATTTACCTGATAGTCAGGACGCTGGCGGGGCCGCAAGCACTGTGAAATGGGCGCCTCGGGACGCTTGAAAATGCTCTCACGGCCACGGAATTTCATCACTTGCTTAGACTCATTCCTCCTGTCCACCTTTGGACGCTCCAGCGAAAGTCTGCTCCTCTCGTGAGAATCACTCTGCTCGAGACTCGTCCCTTTTATCGCCCTCTCAGCTGTGTTTAAGGAGTCGAAGAGTGCCTTCCGACGATCCTCAAAATGAGATCCTCCAGGATTTTCCATGTTTTGTGCAGCTTTGTTTACAAAACTAACTGACAGCTCTGTGCCTGTGTTTCTCCCGTGAGAATGTAGGGGCGCTGAAGGCAATTACGAGAAATACGAAAACAGCTGATTTAAAAGGCCCGCGCTCTCGAATGAATTAAATACCCGCGTGTTTATTTTCTGTTTCTTAAAACATTGATCGTGTTTGCACTTTTCTCTGATGCTTTTATTTTATAATTAAACAATAAACAGACGGTAAAATGATAACATCTGATAAGCCTTTCTCTATCAAGTGTCTCTCCAAATATACATTTAGCAATAAATCTAATAGAAAGTCCATTAAACATAGATTTTTCTCTCTGAGATTGTAAACAGTCATAAATCCTTCATCTTTCCTTTTAAATATTCCTATCATTAACATTCAATATTTCTCTATCTTATCAACACACTGATATACAATTTTTCTCATAGAAATCTCCTCACAATATCCATCTCTTCGGTCCTTTCCAAATAATTTTACTAGAACATCTAAAATCTCATGCTAATTTGAGCGATATTCGCAAGAAGTACAACGAGTATATTTTTCTCTTTCACTATCTCACATTGTTTGGAATAAAAATCACATACTTAGAAATTAAATTATGGCAAAACGTTAACAAATTTCTTCTAAAATCTTTCGCTGTCTTTTCTCCAAAATATATAAGTTTTTTTTTCTGTGTGGAAATTAAAAATTGGTAACAAATTTTCCCATTTTTAACGACTGGGCAGATGTCATGAAGGCTAGAAGAATAATTTATAACATTGATTTTGTATCTCTGTTCCTCTGTGCAGTGTCACTATCCTTAAATGCCTTGTTCAGTGGCCTAGCAATTGTAGAAAATCTAATACTATTTTGCTGCTTCTTCTGGCTACAGTACGAGTTTGTCATGTTGGAATTATACAAGACAACATCTCTAGCACTGGTAGTTTGCGGTCATTGCGAATTTAGATGTGAAAGTGGATGAAATGGGCGTGGTTTTTGAGTGGGCGTGCCTTGGCGTATAAAAGAGTCCTACTCTACGTCGCAATGACCTTAAGTACCTGCTGGAGGTGGAATTCAGTCGAAACAGCAGACGATGATGGACAAACAGTCCATTGCACACGACCTGTTGCCTTCCTTGGAGTGCTTCCTCATCTTCCTGGAGTAGTTCTTCGGGTTGGAGCGTTCACTCAGTTGAATAGGCATTGAGGGTCGTTTCGTGCGACTCCTCTTGAAGCTGTCTATCATCTTGAGCTGATCCGATGTGATGCTAGAGTTTCGACGGTTCTTCATCACATCAATCACGAGATTCTTCTCATTCTCGTCCAACAGTTCGACTCTGCTGAACACAATGTCGAACGATTTGGTGGGCATTGTGAGATACCTGCAAGAGGATGAAATATCAATTGCATTTCTCTTCCTGGGTGTGTGAAGTGATTCTTCTCACCTCGGAGCGTAGCAAAGAGCGCCCAAGACTTTTCGTCGATTCTCATCCGTGAGCTCGAGATGCCGCTCCTGACACGCCAACCGACTCCACTCCTCCAGGACTTTTATCACGTTCACCTCTGATCCGATCTGCAGCGTGTCTCGCGTGAGGATGAGCACCAATTGACTGTAGGTCAGCGTGAGAATCTCCGGAGAGCTGACGACTTCCTTCGCGTAAGTGTCTATGAACTGCAGGCAATTCTCCAGCAGGGCGCTGATGTACTCGTCCGTGCACTCGAACTCCCTCCTGGGCCTCCGGCAGCATCCCTGGCTCTTGAACGGCGGCACTTTAGTGCCGTTGCAGTGCGAGTGCATCAGCGTGAAGATCTCAATCACATTCTCCAGCGTCAGATGGTCGTCCAGGTATTTTATGCACTGCTCCTTCAGCTCCTGGCAATCATACTGCGCGGCCACTTGGAAGATTTGCTGACACTCGCTCACGTCGCGGATCCTAATGAATTTTCTCTCGATAAACCTGTGCAAAATTATGACATTTCTGATCATTTTCCTGGCTTGAATTTTAAAAGTAATTAGAATAAAATATGGCCTAAAAGCACGGGTTATACAAAATTCATATCAAACGGTCAGTCAATTCAAAATACAGAGTTGAAGCCAAACATTACTTTTATCATTTCTTTAACCTCCTATCATTTAATATTAAAGAACAGAAAAGAACTTGATGGAATTTTGAAGGACTCTTCCGCATATTTAAATTCCTTTTTGTACCCTTTGTTGCTTACATTTTCTTTTCAAAATCACCATAATATATGAATTAATTATGTAAATTACAATATAATGAGTAATCCTGTTGTTGAATAGTTCAATCGTCTGAACAAGAAAGCAATCTCAGTGCGTGGCAATATTCTTACCCAATTAATTCCGCGAAGATCTCGATTTTGTCGTACTTGAGGATGACCTTCTTGCCATTGGGAAATCCGTTGACGATGTCCGCGAGTTTCGTGCCACTCTCGAGGATCGCCTTCCTGTCCGCCACGATGTCCCGGTTGCCTTCCACGGGATTGTGCACTAGGAAGCACACCGTCGCGTCCGGAGGGCACAAGTTGAAGGCCTCCTCGAGCGACGGCGCCGAAGGAGTGGCCATGTAGAGGGGCTTGTGAACTGTCTGGCCCTGCTCATTGACGACCGTCTCGAATGGCACCACCATCTTGCGCGGAAGCTTTCCGGGGATGACAAAAATGCGAGTGTGCTTACTTTACTTTTTATCAAAGATTTTGAGAGTCAGTTTTTTTTCCTAATAAAGAGTTCTGCGCCCACTCAGAATCACACTGAATCACACGCGAGAGCGCAGCTATTGAAACGTGAGACCGTCGAGAGCGACAAACATTTGTACAACACCAAACATTCTGTGTTGCAATTCCACCAAGTGCGATCAACTTGATCAAACACAGCCAGACGGATGCATTTTCTGATGATCCTGCACAATTTTCCAAATGCTCTCGCCAAACGACAATTCTCTAGCGAGCGAATTTGTATCTCAGACTGACGCGAATTTGTGAAAATCGTCGCGATCACCTCAAGTGTGCCAATTCGCGATACGGCGACAGCACGCTGAGTCGCCGAGATATCAGTGAATTGATAAAAATGTAAACATATCGCGCATGTTATCGAGGCACTCGTCTTTAGGCGAACAGAGTGTCACCGTGCGATTTTCCATTGATAGCAATTTAGAGGACATGCGAACAGGAATGAGTCGCGCTCTCCCTGAAGCCTTCAAATTAGCCCAGGCTATAAATAGCAATAATGTCTGAATGATTCCACGTGATCTACTAACGCGTTATCTCCTTCTCTGGTGGTTTTTGTGTGCCATTGATAAATAAAAGTGAGGCCGAGATTTGACTACAAAGAACACCAACCGCAAGTTCTGATCCACTATTGTTAAAGGTGCTGCTGCTGAATTTATTGCCAAGAAATGCAACTGAGCACTGAGTTGAGTATTGTGTACATAAGAGCTTAAGATTTATTAGAAAATTATTGTTATTTAATGGGTGCTAAATTGTGTTTGTTGAAAAGATAATTTTCTATAACTAAACATTGTTTAAACACTGTATTTTAGTTCAGATAATAAAATTCTCTATCAGAAGTTCTAACAATTAAATACAAAAATTGACGAAAATTGATTATTGAGACAGAACGAAAATGCTTATCGCTATTCATTCTGCATCTTCGCATGAGTCACGCATTGTGGAAAAGATTGAGAAGACACAGACTAGCCACTGACTTCAATCGTATAGATGTAATTAAATAGGGGAAATCCTTATCAAAGTGCAAATGTTTGATAATGAATCCATCGACTTTTATTGGAATACGCAAACTCCGTCTTAGATTAGGCTGTTTTCTTTACGGCTCAGAGTCAGTAACATAATGTAATTGTTTGACTGAGGATTTTGTAATAATGACTCCGCTATAAAACTACCATGTCAAGACTTTGCATAGAAATCTATTGCTCTGATCGCTACGATGGTTGATTTGTTGTAGGAAATAGGCATGAAATCAATCATCTTTGTGAGATGTCTTGTTTTATAAGCCACAAAGAATCGTGAGCTTTTCCGTGAAGCTTAAGAGATTATCGCTATCAGTTTAATTGATACACTGAACTGTTAATGAGTGCGATAGGGAATATTTGGTGATAATTGTGAAATTGAAATTATATTCCAAACATCAATTAATTAGCCTTACACTGTAACGGCGCCGTAAGTGGGAAGAAATATTGACTGCTTATGTCTGATAAGACGCATCGTATTCCAAGAAGTCTAAAGAAAGATTTTAATGCGCGTTGGGTGGAAAAATCGCGATATGGCTCTAAATTGTGCAAAAACCACACGACAAAAAGACTCTCGACATTATTCTTCACCAAAAAATGTATCACTGTTGTGCAAATTCAAGTGATTAATACCGTGCTAATGAGGAAATAATTGAGTGAAGAAAAGATTTTCACGCATTGATTGCTTTTCTTCACGGCGCCTCGAATGCGTATGATTTTTGGAATAATTAAGTGAATTATAGCGAGGCGAAGCTGATCAAGTGTGACTCCGGGCACACGATCAGTGCAAAACATCTGACATTAAATTAGTATGCAAAAATAGAAAAGAAGCAATATTTTTGCCAGTCTCTCTCTCTCTCTCTATCTTTGACCCGCTCTCTGATCTTCTTTGCACTCGTCAATATATTGAAGACGGGAAGGAAAGGCTCGTAAATGCGAAAGAGTCACACAAATCAAGAGACAAAGCATTGGGGAAAATGTGATGCAATGCGGGTCGATTAATTTCATATATTCTCTAAATTCACTTAATCTGTCCATCTAATTGACCAAATTAGAACATTGTGTGAACCGTTCTGTTGCAAATGCTACGCTTTGACTGCCACCGTGTGATTCAGACATCATTGAACTTGAGGTAAATTACTACAATATCAAGTTCAATATCGATCACCAATGAGTGCTCATTGGCAGGAAACTTAGAAAACTTCAATGGCTAGGAAAAGAAACTATCAGTGATTTTTCACGCCTTGCTGTAAATTGTTTTTCTTTCTTCCGCGAATCACAATGAATCGGTAGCATTCAAATGAACTGTCCGCGCCTTTTTCATTAATTTCGCAGTAATGTTTTAAGATCGCTTTCGGGATTTGAGTCAAATCAGCCAGATATACAAAATGGGAAAATATTTAGGATAAAACAAATATTTGCAAATTTATCTACACATCGTTATCTCTACCGAAATACAATATATGGACAATATGGACAAAACATATAGCAAGTGTTTATTTGTTGTGCAATTGATACAAACAATGCTCTTATGTTGTGAATATAGGGGAAAGTGCAAAAACTATTGCATGAAATCCTTAAGTTCATTCATAATTATAGTTATTCATTATTTAGCAAGGTATTGAGTCAATATTTTAGCAAATAATATGAAAATGTTCCATTTTTTCTAAATTCAATTCATGTTTTTGGAAAAACTTCCTAACATGATAAAAAGTGAATTGATAAGGATTTCTGTTCAAACTAGGACCGCCCAGTGAATTTTCTCTGTATGAGAAAGAGGCGCAAAATGCGCACAAAATTGAGAAATAGTCTATAAATAAAAGACTTGGGCAAAACAGAGTGAGACACTTGTCGAATATTTCTTCCTTTTGTCATTTCACATCAAGTTTCACAGTGAAAATCACGAGAAGAATTTCCAGTCAGCCTGAGAAAATTGCGAAAGGTTTCACGGGATAAATTTAGACATTACTCAATGACTCCGACGAGCGACAGAGAAAGAGAGAGCGTCAGCGAAGGAATTCTATTTCGTGCCTTGGCAAGTGGTTCCACTGCACTTTTCCACACTATTTTATCGCGAAATGTTCCCTTAATTCTATCATCAGCACTTGATGGAATTATTGGCCATTCCGCCCATTTGTCATCTAATAAATGATGATAGGGCGAATGTTATTTTATTTGTGGGAACAATAAATTGGTCCAATCTAATCTCTTTCTACCATATTTGCCAAGAAAATCCCTCGAATTTCAGGGCAACACGGTCAATATGTAGAGTTTGTGATAAGAAAATTCCACAAAACTGTGCATTTGGGGGTCTTTTTACCTTATTTTCCACTGACAAGAAAACTCACAACTTCTTTGTTGAGGCAACAGGGAGGAAACACTGAATGGAAAATCCACTCACCTGATTGCCGAAACACTGTTTATCCCTATCACTCTTCACTCCTGCTCATGCGCCACTCGTGACACTTTTCCCTTATTTTTCCGACACTCGGAGAGAGATTTTTCCACAACACACAAGCACGAAGAATTGGGTCACGCTGGGAAACGATGAGAGAGAAATGCGATGCTCCCTTTGCGGCAAGAAGACACTGACTACCAACCACTCGATCGACCGTTTGCTCTTTATGTGCCAGAATCTACGTACATATAGCCGCCATGCTGAACAGGATAAGTGACTCACTCCGAACCAGCTTCTTGAAGCACCAGCGGCGCGCGCACAACACTCTCGTGCAGTGATAATTTGGTGCAATTCGCGGATTTTCTGAATTAGCCAACGGCGTGAAATGATAAGCTTAACACTTTCCAATACAAAAGAGATCAAGGAAGACATTGAAGACAAACATTTAGAGCTTAAATTACATATTCTTATACGATTATTATTAAAAAGTATTGAGTTTTTTTTATTGAAAAATTTGATTTAGAATAAAAAAAATATCTTTATTTAATTTGCTTGATTTATAAAAATGTCTTCAAAGATTAGTTTAATAAGACTTCAAATTAAGAAGTCTTTTGAAATATTAGGATATTTTCAATCACTAAAGTATCCTATCACTATAAAGATACATCGACCGCTTCCTGTTACATAATCGATGGCAATACTGCACGCATTGAACGACTTCATAACGGCATGCGCGGCTGTATAACAGAATGTGTGTATAATACCGCGCTGCGTGGAGTCGCGTGCATTTGTTGTGATTTCTCCGGCAAGGAGCTTCTTCTGTTAGTTCTTTCCTGTTTTGCCACTTCCTGGCAACCATGAAGGGCGTGTGGGTATTCTTCCTTCTGCTGACACTGCGCCTCTCGTCTGTGCTGCTCGTGAAGACTTCCTACGTGCCGGATGAGTACTGGCAGAGCCTGGAAGTTGCGCACAGGCTGGTTTATGGTTACGGATACTTGACGTGGGAGTGGACGCAGGGCATCCGGAGCTACATGCAGCCCCTACTGATTGCGGTATTATACAAAGTACTGGATCTCTTCCATGTGGAGTGCGTCTTCGCCCTGACGCTCCTGCCGCGAGTGCTACAAGCCCTCCTGAGCGCTTACGCAGATTGGCGGTTCTACAATTGGTGTCAGGGATCTAAATGGTCTCTGTTTGTCATCACCACATCCTGGTTCTGGTTCTACACTGGCTCCCGAACGATCATCAACACTGTCGAGGCGTCGCTGACCACAATTGCGCTCAGCTTCTTTCCCTGGCGCGGCGAAAGCGCTCTATATCTGTGGCTCGTCGGTCTGCTCGCCTTCATCAGACCCACATCGGCTGTGCCTTGGATTCCTCTGTGTCTGCACCATCTGCGACACTCCCGAATCCCCGTGATGCGTCTCTTGGTGACGCAATATCTTCCCGTGGGACTGATTATGGGTGCTCTGACCACGGCAGTTGACTCTGTGTGCCACGGATCGCTTGTCTTCACGCCGCTGCGCTTCTTCAAGCTCAACGTGTGGCAGAACATTGGCAGTTTCTACGGAAGCCAGCCCTGGCATTGGTATTTATCTACGGGATTGCCTGCCGTGCTGGGCATTGCAACAATTCCATTCATCCTGGCCATTGTGGACAGTCTGAAGAAAGTCTCAATCGGCGATTCCAGGCGCCTGATCCTAGTCATCTCCATTGGCACAACGCTGGTGGTCTTCAGTGCGCTGCCGCACAAGGAATTCCGCTTCATCCTGCCTATTCTGCCCATGTGCCTCTATTTAAGCGCTGATCACTTGAGTCACTGGAGTCACAAGGCCAGCAATCGCACTCTCTGGGCCGCAGCACTGACTCTACTCGTGGGCAGCGCTCTTCCGGCTGCGTATTTGGGACAGTATCATCAGCGAGGCACCGTTGAAGTGATGCCGGTGCTGGCGAAGATCGCAAGAGAGCATAAAACAGCCAACTTCCTTTTCTTGATGCCTTGCCACTCGACGCCTCTGTACAGTCACATCCACGCCAATGTGACGCTGCGTTTCCTCACCTGCGAACCCAATCTCACCGATGATCCTGGCTATGAGGAGGAAGCCGAGGCTTTTTATCGCAATCCCAGCGCCTGGCTGGACGCCAATGTTCCCGCGTATCCGCCCAGCGAAACGCCTTCTCACGTTGTTCTCTTCGACTCGCTAAAGCCCAAGATTCTGGAATTCTTGGGCAAGTATCGCGAGACGCACTCATTCTTCCATGCACATGTGCTCCTCTCTGATCGAGTGGGCAAGTATGTTCTTGTTTATGAGAGAAGGGATCAGAAGACTGAAAAACCTCACAAAGAAACACACAAGAAGGCCAAGAAAGAGCTTCCTGTTGAGGATTTGGAAGCGCGGAATAGTGAATTATAATAATAGTACAAGAAAAGAATTAAAAGCACAATTTTTAGATAGAAATTTCATGATTTTATCAAATCTTTTCTATTCTACTTTTGATATAATTTCCTGCTTATCTACAAAATCCACCTTGCGAAACTCCACGAGTGACAAACCACTCCGGGACTCTCTCGATCCGGTGAAGATCACCACAACGAGTCCATGAACGGCAACTGAGCTCCAGATTTGATGGATCCACTGGTCAACTTTCGCGAGTGTGGCTTTTGCCTGATCTTCAGCCAGCTTCTCGCTCTCAATGGCGAGATGAGTGACGCTGAGCGTGGCTTCTGGAAGAGACGCACAAGTCTTCGTCACAGCTGATTTGTTGCTCTTCTTCACGCTGATGGAGATTTTGTCCGATTCTCTCAATCTCAGAGGGAAGAACTTCTCATAGTCTTGAGAAGTGCCTAGAGAGGCGATGATATTGATTCTTGCCTCTGGTTTCTGAGTCATCAGATGACCGAGGAGATTTCCCGTGATAGTTTTCTCTTGGGCAGCTTCAGAGAGTCCTCCCAAAGAATCCACATCATAGCCTTTGTCCAGGAGTTTCTCCAGCAAGTGATCACCGAACTGGAGGCCTCCGGAGAGCTTCTTCTTCACCAGCTTCATACTCGCGATGCTGTCTTCAATGGAGTCGTGGCCCAGAGGATTGCTTTGAATGGTTTCGTCCAGGAACATTTTGGTCAATTCCTGCAATTTGCTGCTTTTCCTGTCCTCCCTGACGTTGTAGATGATGCTCGTGTCGATCACATAGGGATGGATCATGCGCAGAGCCTTCAGATCAGCATTCAAACTGTGTCCCACGAGAATAGCGTCCGCCGGCAGGAGATTCTTCAGGTCCTCCTGAACGTCTTTCAATGTTTTCGTGGCATTCTCGATGATTTGCGCAGTAACGCCCGAAAACTGTGTCTTGTAGTCAATCACTGGACGCTGCGGACGCACGAATGTCTCATAAATACTCTCACAAGCCTCGTTAACCACTGAAACCCTCACGACTTCGGTGAAACCGAAGGAAGTCATCACCATTTCGCAATCCATGGCGAACATTGGACTCTGCGACGTTACAGGCGCGTAGACATCCTTCGTGAACACGTAATTCCAGGTCGCGGATGAGGTTCCGGGAATTTGAGGAATTGGGAAGTTCGAGTCGATCATCTGCAGAGGCGACAAGAGCAGTTTTAACCGGGAAAACTTGTCCTCAACCGTTCTGTTGTGATTTATCTCGATTCTCTCTTCCTCCACTAGAAAATTCTCCACTTCCAGGGCTTTCTCGAGGCTTCCGTGTTTCTTTACAAGCTCATCTCGTTGAACCTCTTTGATTGGTATCTCTGTGAGCTCCTGAAGAGTCTGCCCTTTGCGATACAGCGGCATTACTGTGTCCAGTCTCGTGAGGAAAATCTCCTTGCAGCAACCGAAAGAGTCGAAATGAGTGATAAAGTGATTGAGAGTCAATCCATCCAGAATCACGAGAGCTGTCTGTGGGATTTTCCCGATTTTCTCGAGGTGACACCATCGAGGAACACCGTCTGGAGATTGGTTTCCCAGCAGAGAACTCGCCAGAAGGTGGCGAATGTCAGGCAGAACGATGGATTTCCTCTCCTTGGCGCTCACAGTCAACAGACAGGACTCTCCAATGTCCTTGACCTTCACTTTGGGTGCCTTCTTCTTCTCCCTCTTGCGCATCTCTTTAGCCCTCTTCAGAGCTATTGAAGATGCGCTCTTCCCTCCATCATAACTGCGTTTTCCCATGATTTTTGGATAATATGGATCCCCAGGAGTCAGATTTTCTGCAATAACCGAGAATTTGTGTATTATTTCCCTCAAAAATGCAGAATTATTGAGCGTTTCCTTACCACAAATTCACGCACGTGTTCGATGTAAACAATGAACTGTCAAAGACCCGACTGAACAGTCCCTCGAGATCCCACACGCGTACCAACACTTGTAGTATATCAATCAGACTTCAATTTCAACGGATTTTTTTCTTTATTGAGTTACAATTTGTGGGCCGAATTTCATCACTTGGAGCTTCTGGAGTGCTTCTTCACCTCCACCAGCGCCACTCCGCTTGAGGAGAGTGGAGATCCTCCCATCAGAACCAGCATGAGTCCATTCACGGCCATTGCATTCCAAATTTTGCTAATCCACTGATCCACGCGCGTCAGCGTGGCCTCTATCTTCTCATCCGCCAGACCACTTGGGTCGATCTTCACGTGCGTGAGCGCAAAGGCGACATCCATGAGGCCTGAGCACGTTTTGCTCACAGCCGCTTTGTTGCTCTTCTTCATGAAGCATGAAATTTTGCCGCTCTGCTCTTCAGCTTCAAGAATTCGCCTCGTGGTCACGTACTTCTCGTAGTCCGCCTTCGTGGCGGCTGATGAGACAATGAGCGCCGGGAGATTCTTGCGTGGCTTCTCGATGGCTTTCTTCAGCACTTTGCCTTCAATGTCCGCTAGGAGTTCATCGAAGGTTTCATCTTGGCGCTTCTTGGACTTCTTCTGCAGCGCCACATCGCCGAAATTGATGCCCTTGGACAGTTTCAGCTTTGTCAGCTTCAGTGTGGCTATGCTGTCCTCCACAGAGTCGTGACCCTGAGGATTCTTCTGGATTGTCTCGCCGAGGAATTCCCTGGCCAACACTTGTAGCTTGCTCTTGAACTTCTTGTCGCCCGAGAGATTGTAGATGACACTCGTGTCGATTACATAGGGATGCATCAGTCCCATGGCGTTCAGGTCCATGTTTAGGCTCTGGCCAACGAGAATCGCGTCCGCCGGTAGCAATTCTCGAATCTCCTGTTGCACTTCCTGCACAGTTTTCGTTACGCCCTTCATGAGATCCGCCGTGATGCCCGAGTAGGGCGTGAGGTAGTCTATGATGGGATTTGGCGGCTTCACCAGCGTTTCATAGACAGTCTTGTACTCCTCATCGACGATTGACACACGCGTCAATTCACTCAGACCGAGCGTTGTGCGGCACATCTCGCAATCCAGGCCGAACATGGGACTCCGAGCGGTGACCTCCTTGTACGTGTCCTTCGTGAGGATGTAATCCCCACACTTGGTGGCCAGCTCGCCTCTCAGAGGAAGCGGATATCCCTCGTCCACCATCTGCAGAGGCGACAGAAGGAGTTTTGTCCGCGAAAAGACGTCTTCTGGCGGCAATTTTGTGCTCCCGCACTCCTCCTCACTCGTCTTTTCGATGGGGAAAATTGACTTCAGCATAATGACTGGTTCCTGCATCATTTCCAGGGCGACATTGAGACTTCCGTACTGCTTGACAAGCAGCTCTCGCTGACTCATGGTCAGTGGCACCGAGGCAAATTCCTCAAGGATGTGTCCCTCCTGATAAGGCGGCATCACAGTTTCCAGTTTCGTCTTGAAGAACTTATTGGCTTCGCTAAAGAGACTTTCATACGCAGAAAAGTGGTACAGATAAATGCCCTCAATCACAAGAACCACCGAATGCGTGATTTGCTGCGCCTTCTCAAGCTGACACCACCGCCAGGGCGTCCGTGGAGAGTCCTTTCCGAACACTGCCTGCAGCAGGAGGTGCTGGATATCCTCCAGGAAGATTGGAGTTCTGTCACAAGCTCTCACATCCAAAGACGCCACTTCTCCGGCATTTTTCAACCTGATCTTTGGGATACTTTTAAGCTGCTTTTTCCTCTCCTCAATAGCCTTCTTCAGCTCTGTGTACTCATCCTTGGAGAACGACACCTTTCCCTTCTCATGCTTCTCATTGAGCTTCTCTTCGATCTTTTGACGCTTGACATCGGGCTCCGGAACATTGGCGAAGCTAGAAGATGCTTCATCCCTCACATTGAGCTCTGCAATTGCTGCCAACGCTGCCATTTTCTTCATCTTCTTCTCTAGACGGATTTCCTGCTTTGTCGGTGACATTTTCTCTGCAAAATGAGTGCAATTAGTGGTGTTTTCCAATAGTTTTAAAAGAAACAAACCATTTTTGAGCCAATGCCAAAACACACTGAATTTCTACCAATACTGCTATAATTTCTCAATTATACAGTAGAACTACGGCCAAAGATCAATATTCAGTGATTTTTAAACAATCTTCCTTGGATTTATTGGCAAAAATCGTGAAAATTGTGAAACAAGAATTACGAACCACGACAAAAAATAATAATAAATGTGAAGTTAGCAGTAATTCCCCCTGACGGAAATTTCCCGAACTAAACGTAGAGTTGCATCCCAAAATCTCGCATAAACAGAAATTGTGGAATGCTGCTCCTTTGTGCTATATGAATAAGTTTTGTAATTTCACCATTATTGGTAATCATACAACGAATGAGCTCTTCAATAAAATTATTTTAGTGTGTATATGAAATACTGACAATTGAACGCCGTCTGTCATTGTCACTGTATCGCGCGCGTGTTTTCCTGTTCTCCAAAAATCTCAGAAAATGCTTGAAATCGACGGGAGTGTGCTGGAAGGCGGCGGTCAGATCCTCAGGATCGCCGTGGCACTGAGTTGCCTGTGTCGCATCCCCATCAAAGTGGTGAAAATCCGAGCGGGACGGTCAAAACCCGGCCTGGCGGCGCAACACTTGCAGTGCATTGAGATTTGTCGCTCCCTATGCAAGGGGCGCGTCTATGGGGCGTCAATTGGATCCACGGAAGTGGAGTTCCATCCGCAATCCATCATTGGCGGCCGTCACAGCGCTGATACGAAGACGGCGGGAAGCATAGCTCTGCTCGTGCAGGCGTCGCTGCCGGTGGCGTTGTTCAGCTCGTCGCCTGTAGAGCTGAGCCTCCGTGGGGGCACCAATGCAGAGATGGCTCCACAGATAGACTATGTGACGGAGGTGGTGAGGCCCAACTTTGAGAAATTTGGCGCCTCCTTTGAGTACGAGCTGCTGAGAAGAGGATATTTTCCCCGGGGCGGAGGTCATTGCGTCTTCAGCGTGCGTCCGGTGGAGAAGCTGAAGCCCGTGATCAATGTGGAGCTGGGTCACGTGTCCAAGGCGTACGGATGGAGTTTCGTGGCTGGCACGCTTCCGCTGCAGCTGGCCGAGCAGATGGCCGACGGGGCGCGGAGGGCGATGGTGAAGATCAATCTGGAAGTGGAGGAGTACAAGGAATCCGCCTCCATGGCGCCGGACAACTGTTCGGGCGTGGTTCTGTGCTGTCAGACATCGACAGGATGTCTCTTGGGTGGCTCAGCGCTGGGCAACAGGAAGGAGGAGCCGGCAGAGACTGGTCGACGGGCTGCGCGCGAGGTCAAAGAGGCGCTGAATCTCGGCGTTTGCGTGGATCAGCACATGCAGGACCAGATAATCATCCTGATGGCTCTGGCGGACGGCGAGAGCCGCGTCCGGACGGGGCCGATCACTCTCCACACCCGCACGGCCATCCATGTGGCGGAACTCATGACAAAGGCCATTTTCACGCTCATCCCTGAAGGCGACACCACGATCATTCAGTGTCAGGGAATCGGGCTGAAGAATTCGCACTCTCTCATGTAATTCAGAATTTAAAATTGTATTTCATATTTCATCAGTAATTTGTTTCATCATAGATGTAAGTAAATTCAGTGAATATAATTCAAAGTGAGTAAAGACAGCAATTTAAAGATTATCAAGTGAAAAGCTGAGGGTGGAGTTCTTGGACGGGTTGGGAGAGTCTCTGAAGAAGGACGAATCCGTTCCAGTCCTTCTGTCGGTTGTATTCATGTCGCTTGAGAACTGCGATCCAGAAAACCCTGAAAGAAAAGAATTCTGCATTAAACCCTGCTTTGGAACAAGAACTTTTCCGGCCAACTCACCAGATAGAGATGTTCCCGGAGTGCGATAGGAGGATCGAGCCTTGTCCTGCGCCTGGAGTTTCGCCACAATCTTGCGAAGCCTGTCGTACTCCCTCTTCTTCTCCATGATACTCTTGCGCAGTCTGTGGTGCTGCTCCATAATTTTCTTAGCATATCCATTGCTGATGGCTCTCTGATCCTCCTGGAACTTGATCACCTTCTGGAGCTCCTCCAGTTCTTTCAGGGGATCTTGAAAATACTTGCGCATATGTTCCGGCATGTTCTTATTCAGCTCAATTGAGCGACACTGGCTATGGCAAACCGCACAGCGACCGTTGCTCGCCAGGACGCACGCCTATTTAAGATTTCACAGGATTTTCTTAGTTCTCCGTTCCCGTGCAAGATGCAAAATCATGGACAGATTCACTCACCTTACAAACCACGCGACGGCATTGGGTGATGAAAAGGTTTGGATCCTCCTGTCCAGTGCGGAAGCACACATTGCAGAAAGGAATCATTTTCCTCACAAATTTACCAACTTAATTGCAACCTCGAATGAATTATTCCCATGAAATTACACTTCCAAAGTCTACTTAGCAGTAAATTCACGATCGCTTTTCTGCGCGGTCGTCCGAAAAATTCGAATGAACTGGGAGCGCCTCTGGCGGAAATTGCTAAAGTTACAGAACATCTTTTCGGAAAATCTCAGTGGATTTGTTTTGCTCTGCATTTTCTGCAAAATTTGTGATTTCTGAGTGTTTGCATAGGTGAAAAGTGTGTAGAAATGTCGGCTTTCAGCAACTACGCCATGCCTCTCTGGAGCAATGGTCCTGCTCCTGGGCAATTCTACAATTTCCCTGGTGGATCTTCAGTGCAGAATCGTGACATGCAATTTGGCTTCAAAGGGACTTTTGGCTCGCAAAGGACATCGTAAGTAGTGAAAATTCATTTGGACAACTTATCTGACTGCTTTTTTAGAATTTCCATACGTAAAATACCCGAGAAATGGTGTTTTTAGAGGTTTCTTCCTACCTAACCTCAAACTGCTGTATCATTCTCTTGCAGGCAGCCAATCACCACCGGAACCTCTGTTGTGGGGCTCAAATTCAAGGATGGTGTGGTCATCTCTGCCGATACTCTCGTCTCCTACGGCTCCCTAGCTCGCTACACGTCAATGGACAGGGTCTTCAAGGTGAACGACTACACAATTATCGGAGCAGGAGGAGATTTCGCTGACTTCCAGTTCCTGAAGCAACACATCGATCAGAAAGTGTAGGCAGAACCCTTAAAATCCCTGTCCGGGAATCAATTTTAACAGTTTATCTGCCTCTTTGCAGGGTTGATGACATCGCGTTTGGCGATAATTACCACATGAAGCCGAAATCCCTGTACAATTGGCTGATGAGAGTGCTGTACAACAAGAGGAGCCGCTTTGATCCTCTCTGGCTGGACATTGTGGTTGGTGGAATGCAGGATGGAGAGCCTTTCCTGGGTCACATCAACCTTCGAGGTCGTGCTTATGAGAACAACGCCATAGCTACTGGATATGGCCAGCACTTGGCCATTCCGCTGCTCAGGGAATACACGGAGAATCCTCAGGTCGTCCTGGACAAGGATCAGGCATTGAGTCTCACGAAGAAGGTCATGGAGGTGCTCTACTACCGCGACTGCAGGGGTTTCAACAAGTACACGCAGGCCGTCGCGACGGCAGAGGGTGTGAAAGTGGAGGGACCGATCGATGTGGACCAGAACTGGAATCTAGCACACATGATCAAGGGATTCTAAGGCATAACTATTCATTTTCTACGCTTAAATGATTAAGAATGATAAATAAAGAGTTTTTTCAACAGGTTGTCATTTTTTTCTTTTATGATCACACAAAAATTCGTAATTAAGAACATAAAACATTGTTTTTCATCGAGTTTACATACATTTTTTCTTCCATATTTTTTTTATTCTGTCGAGCTCGTGAAGAAAGACGATTGAAATTCTGGGTTTAAAGAAGAGCAAAGCATAAGGTCAAGTTCAATAAGACGTTAGAAGTGTGGTAATAAATATAGAGCAATTCCACTCACACACTTCATAACATTATATTATAAATTGACACTCAAAGTTCGATTAAAGTCTCCTGTTCGCTGTTTTGTCAAGTGTCGTAACATTAGAGGAAGCGCGAAGAGCGAAGAAAGCAAATAAATCACGATCAAGGCTGTGCACTCACATTTGTGCATTACCTTATCATCTTGTTAGATAAGCGCTTAAATTTTTATCATTCGACACACATTTGCTTCGCCAGCATGACAAATGTGAATTTCTGGTGGGAGAAAAAGAGCGGCTCCATCAGTATCTTCGGCTGCCGAATAAGATTGCAAAATTGTACGTTCCACTCCATTCGCTCACGATCAGTCGTAGTGAATGGTTTTGCGTCTCGCCAGTGGCTGAAATTGTGCAGAAAAAGTGAGAGTGTCTGATCAAAAATCCCAGAAATTGAGAAAAGGTGTGTCTCAGTGGGAAAGTATAATATCTCTCGGGGTTTATTCAAGTGATCAGCAAATGGACAATAATTGGGAAAATCAAATCGTGTATCTTCAATTTAAATAAAAGTACGCCTGAAAAGACACTCTTGATGATGATTTATGATCGCAAAGTGACCTCAAGAAACGAGTTTCAAATATAAGTCTCTGGATCACGAATGATCTTCAAGAGTCATTTTTTATGCGTGCGTTAAGAAGTTTGCCAAAACACAACAGGTTTTCTTCGTGAGAACGAATATAACAATAAAAACCAACACCTGCAGACGCTAAATAACAAATAAATATTCTGATGTGTTCTTGTGACTGATCAAAAGATACTTCAGACAGACTATTCATTGGGTTGAATTCTTCAGATTTCAGATAAAGTCACCTTGATCACACAAAATCTACTACGGCACAATGGAAGTGGCTTTCACCATTAATGGAAAACCTTACCGAGGTGAGAAAATTGCCATTTTACCTCACATTCGATCAGTGACGATTATTGTGAAGAAAACTATTCCAGTCATTTCTCTTTCTGCAAATGTGTTTCATAATGACCGTAACATTATTTCTTAACCGAAGAAATTTGCATGGCAATTAATGCGAAGTGTTTGCCGCAAGGAATACAAGTTGATCATGACGCGAGTGGTATTTTTTTTCAAAAGATACTTTGCAAAACACTCACGAGGACATAAATGAGATGGACAATAGTGGAATAATTTCAATTATTAACAGCATTAATTTATAATTAATTGTGTGATCGTCAGCGCCAAGGTATTCCTCAGAGAAGATCAGAGGTTATCCGATGATGATCATTTTTCACATTATTATTTATCTTTAATTATTCACACATGAAACACATAGTGCAATTGTCGCGTTTTTAGCAACGTGACAAATAAAATTGTGGCAAAATTACTATTATGTGGATTGTGTGAATATAGATGAAAAAACTACAATTGCAAAAACTTAATTGTTCCATGTTTATATTGTGGAAATTAGAGTTTTTAGCCAATTAATTTTTAGCGTCAAACATTTAATTGAACATGTGTTTTTAATCATAGTATAAAAAGTCTTGCAATATTTCTTTTTAATGCAAATTTTCGTGATATTTTCATATTTTACTGATTCTGTTTCAGTGGAATCCGGGAAGCTTTCGCCCAATACTTCGCTGAACACTTTCATCCGGAGTCATGCGGATCTCACGGGAACGAAATTCATGTGCCTGGAAGGCGGCTGTGGAGCTTGCATTGTGGCGCTGAAAGGAGTTCATCCGGTGACTAAGAATGAAGCCACGTGGGCGGTGAATTCGTGCCTCTTCCCGGTCTTCTCCTGCCATGGACTCGAGGTGACCACGGTCGAAGGCTTGGGCGACAAGAAGAATGGCTATCACGTGCTCCAGACGCGTCTGGCTAAGAATCACGGCTCGCAGTGTGGGTACTGCACTCCTGGAATGGTCATGAACATGTACAGTCTTCTGGAGAGCCGCGGCGGGAAGGTGACGATGGAGGAGGTGGAGAATTCCTTCGGTGGGAATATTTGCAGGTGCACAGGATATCGTCCGATTCTGGACGCTTACAAGTCTCTGGCGGTGGACGCTGATCCGGCACTGATTGAGGCGTGCGGAGACATCGAAGATTTGCCCAAGAAGTGCCCGAAGACCGGAGAGAATTGCGTTGGAAACTGCCACAAAACAGAAGCCATCCATTTGACTGTGGGCGAGGGCAAAGAGTGGCACAAGGTCTACTCCGTTGCGGACATCCTGAAAGTTCTGGACGCTGTTGGGGATCGAACTTACATGCTGGTGGCAGGGAACACTGCTCATGGCGTGTACAGGAGATCCCAAGATATCGAGGTGTTCCTGGATGTTAATGCCGTGGAAGAGCTGCGAACTCACTCAATTGGGCAGAATGTGGACGTTGGTGCAAATATTCCTCTGACAGAATTCATGCAAGTCCTCACGGAGGCCTCGTCGAAGCCCGAATTCAAGTACGCCGATCAAATGGTGAACCACATCGATCTTGTGGCCAATGTTCCAGTGAGAAATGTTGGCACTGTGGCAGGAAATCTGACCATCAAGCATCAGCACAATGAATTCCCATCGGACATCTTTCTCCTTCTCGTGACTGTTGGCGCTAAATTCACCATCAAGGATGTGAAAGGAAGCGAACAGGTCGTGGCAGCTGAAGATTTCCTCGGAGTGGACATGAAGAAGAAGATTCTCACCAAGATATCTCTGCCTCCACTTTCCGCTGATAAGTTTGAGCTACGCAGTTTCAAGGTTTTTTGCTCTATCACATACGATTCTTGTCAGCACTCTAAAGATTATTACTTGTTATCTTGCAGATCACTCCGAGAGCGCAGAATGCCCACGCATATGTCAACGCTGGGTTCCTTTTTGAGTTTTCCGACGGCAGAGATAAGATTGTCTCAGCCAGAATTTGCTACGGAGGAATTAATCCCAAGTTCATTCGCGCCACAGCGGCAGAGAAGCTCCTGACGGGATCAGATGCTTTCAGCAATGACACGCTGAAGAAAGTGATTGATTCCCTGAAGGATGAGCTGAAATGCGACTCTATTATGCCGGATGCTTTGCCAGAATATCGCCAGAAACTGGCTATTGGACTCTTCTACAAGGCCATCCTCAGTCTGGCGCCCGCTTCGAAGGTGAAGAAGGAGTTTCAGAGCGGAGGAAGTCTCATTGAGCGACCTCTCTCGAGTGGGAAGCAGACATTTGACACCTACAAGGACAATTGGCCACTCACGGAACCCGTGGAGAAACTGGAGGCAGCGATTCAGTGCTCAGGAGAGATTAAGTACACCAATGACTTCACCAGGCTTCCTGGTGAACTTTGGGCGGCCTTTGTTCATGCCACAGAAGTTCAGGCAGTCGTCAAGGATGTTGATCCTGCAGATGCTCTGAAGATTCCCGGAGTTGTTGCCTTCTTTGGGCCGAAAGACATTCCAGGAAACAACAATTTCTCCCCAAAAGCCCTCATGGGAGACGTCGAGGAAATCTTCTGCAGCGGAAAAATCCTCTTCCACGGACAGCCAGTGGGAATGATCGTGGCTGAGCGATTCGATCTGGCCAATGAGGCGGCCAAATTGGTGAAAGTCACCTATAATCGTCCTGAGAGTTCAAGTACGCTTTCATCACTGTATCGCTTCCTTGTGGGCGATTCAAATCATGGTATTTGTCACTTTGTTCACTTGTCTTGGGCTGCATGAGGTGTGCACTTCTTGTTCTTATCCATCATCACATTTCTCTTCTTGTTCATGACATTCATTATGATTCTTCTGGTTAGCCTCTAATAAGACGATTTCCTCTTTCAGCTACTGGTCCAATTTATCCTACAATGCAGGATGTTTTCGAGGCCAAGGACTTCTCGCGTGTGCACAAGAGTGCCACTTTCCAGAAGGCAGAAACACGCGGCAACGAGCAGACCCGGAAAATCACTGGTCATTTTGAGATTGGTTCGCAATATCACTTCACAATGGAGGCTCAGACCACTGTGGCGATGCCCAATGAGGATGGAATGGATGTCTACTGCTCCACTCAGTGGATGGATCTTGTGCAGCTGGCCATCTCGCAGATGCTGAATATTCCGGAGAGCAGCATCAATATGCAAGTGCGCAGACTGGGAGGCGGCTATGGATCGAAGATTTCCAGAGCCACACTGATTGCATGCGGAGCTGCTCTGGCCTGTCATCTGTTGAACAGACCCGTGAGATTTGTCCTGTCCATTGAGGCCAACATGAAGGCCATCGGGAAGAGATATGCGTGCATGAATGACTACGAGGTGGAAGTGGATGATCATGGAAAGATTCAGAAGCTCTCCAATGAGTTCTGGCATGACTACGGATGCAGCTTGAACGAGGAAGTTGGAGGACAAGCGGCAGGATTCTTCAAGAATGGCTACGTTGACGATCACTGGGATGTGAAGTATCACGCTGTGCAGACGGAATCTCCCAGTCACACGTGGTGTCGCTCTCCAGGAACAACCGAGGGCATTGCCATGATTGAGAACATAATGGAGCACATCTCCAAGGACACAGGCGTGGATCCTGTGGAAGTGAGGTTGGCCAACATGCCAACAGACAGTCCTCTGCGAGGAATCGTCAAGGACTTCATCAAATCCAGTGAGTATTATGAGAGGAAGAAGGAAATTGAGAATTTCAATGCGGAAAATCGCTGGAAGAAGCGAGGAATCGCCATTGTGCCCATGAAGTACTTCCTGGATTACTTCGGAGCCTATCCAGCTTTCGTGGCGATTTATCACGGAGACGGAACTGTTGCCATTTCCCACGGTGGCATCGAGATGGGCCAGGGAATCAATACAAAAGTTGCCCAGATTGCTGCTCACATTCTCGGTGTCCCTCTTGAGTCGGTCAAAGTGAAGCCTTCCAATAATCTTGTGGCAGCCAATTCTTTGGTGTCCGGCGGCAGTCAGACCTCAGAAGCTGTCGGATTTGCGGTGAAGAAAGCCTGTGAGATACTCCTGGAGAGGATTCGTCCGGTGAGGGAGAAGAATAAGGAAGCTTCGTGGCAGGAACTTGTTGGCAAATGCTTTGGCGAGAGCATTGATCTCACTGCGTCTTATCTGTACAAGAAGGCCGACCTCACGAGCTACGACATCTGGGGCGTGAGCTGTGCAGAGATTGAGATTGACACGCTGACTGGGATGTTCCAACTGCGTCGTGTGGATATCCTGGAGGACACTGGCGAGAGTTTGAGTCCCAGAGTCGATGTGGGACAGGTGGAGGGAGCTTTCGTGATGGGCATAGGCTATTGGCTGCATGAGAAGATGATCTTCAATCGACAGAATGCCGAGCTGCTGACCAATCGCACCTGGACTTATAAACCACCAGGTAAGGGAGTTTGAGAGGATTATTGAATTGAGGTAAACACTGTAACGTCTTTCAGGTGCCAAGGACATTCCTGTGGACTTCAGGATCAGTTTCCTGAAGAATGCATCCAATTCCGTTGGCGTCCTGAGGTCGAAAGCCACTGGCGAACCTGCACTCTGCATGTCGATTGTCGTGCTCTTTGCGTTGAGGAATGCTTTGGATGCTGTTCGGAAGGATTCGGGTGCAGCTGATGGATCCTATTACAGCATGGGTGCTCCAACAACTGCGGAGAACATCCTGCTCCTGGCTGGAAACAACGTTGACCAGTTCAGTCTTTGAGTTATTCCAAGAAAATACTTTTATTTCTTCTCTAATGGGTTTTTCTTCGATATGTTTAGAGGTGAGTTTCTTGCACAATTTTTGTCAAATACATCTAAGATTAGTAAGGTTTCTTTTTTTTACTGTTTTTCTCTCCCTTTAGTAAATAATTCTTTTCGACATAAAAAGTATGAAATACACCTTGCTACGCTACTCTTCATCTCTACATCTTTCTCTTGCTTATATTTTCTTGTCCATGGAAAGTATTTTTAGGAGTTTTTTTTTCTATCAATCTTGGTTGATTCTTTTTACGTTCTAACACTATTGGCAGTTTTTCATTATAGTGATATTATATTAACTGGGATTATTTTCGTTGTCATTCTCTATCATGGGGAGTTTATCTGCACAAAACGATGTTTTATACGTCTATAAACTATTCTATATCTATTATTATGTTTGATATATAACTATTAGTTATAATCTTTCTTTTTTTATCAAAAAACAAAGAGAAACGAGATCTTGAGAAAGTCGCGACCAGCGCACTGTTTTTATGTTGTTCTGCGGCGATGGACAAAGTTTGTTTTCTATTTCCTTTACCATTTATTTTCAAATGGGGCTAAATTGATGTGTGTTTCTTTCTTCTGTGTATGACGAGAAAAATATATCAAAACAGCTTTCTTTATCGAGGAATTCACGACTTTTCCAACAATACAACTCTCTTCTCATAGCAACTAGGAGTAACAATGAATAAATTTGAATATATAATTAACGTTTATAAATATTAATAATTAGTTTTTTTTTTCTTTTCTCAACTTTTGCAATAGATTTCTTGTGCAAAATGCTCTCATCAATGGCAGATCTTTGTTCCGATTGAATTTCTGTTGCATTTGATGGCTGGTTCATCACAATTTGCATTCTCATGCTCTGCAGTTCGGGGAAAAGGTTGGGATTCTTTGTAGTTGTCTGGAGCCGGCGAAAGCCTCGGGGGCCTCAAGTCCTCTTCAGGGTGGCGAGGAGAGTGGTTCCCTCGCCGTATGACTGTCCAGTGTGGTTGGATCTTGGGTGTGTGGCCGACGCTATGTGACATCGAGGACAGCGAAGGCGTCCGGAAGCATGACGGCGTACTCGACGCCGTCCTCATCCTCCTCCGAGTCGGGATTGTCGCCAGCGGCCACGGTGATTTCCTCAGGTGAGTCATCGGGCGCCTGCAAATTACTTCATTTCATGTATGTTTATGGATTTGTGAGTTCGGCCGCGGCAGCTCTGACTTACCCATCGCGGAATGGCGCCGCGGCCGGTGAAGCCATTGAGGCAGGAGGTGTCACTCGTAAAGGTGGAGGAAACGGTGCTTCGACGGTGCTCTAAATTCTTGTATGAAGGTGACGGTGAGTGATCCGAGGCAGCGGTGTGGAACCACGCCGGGGGCCACAGAGGCTGCAAGGACAGCAGAGTTAGTTCATGGCGCTGGGGAGTCTTCCAATACTCACTTATTCTTCAATGAGATCCCATATCATGAGAGAGGCGTCAGTTCCGCCAACAGTCACAACCATGCGATCGCCGCACAGGAAGCGAGCGCAAGCCAATGTTCCCGAGTAGACCTTAGCTTCCGAGTACTCAGCCTTCGGGGTGATGCAAGGATATCTGGAGAGACAGAGAAAAGAGAGAACCATAAGAAAACTACAAAATCAACTTCAAAATCTGATCTCACCTGAAGAGTCGGAGATATCCATCTGCATCTCCGGATATCAGCATATCCTGTCCAGTAGCCCGACTTCCCGTGGAAATAAGGGTGGAATTGGATGAGTAATAGCGATTATTCCACACTCCTGCCACCACATATCCCACGGTGCAGTTGAAAGTCGCCCACTTCACGTCCTTCATGGCCATTGGGCTCTTTTCCGGAGACAAGGACTTCACATCCCAGAACAGGAGATCAAAGTCCGTGGTCACTGTTTGCAGATACACTCCGTCGATACTCCAGTCCAAGTGCGTCAGAGGCTGAGCGCCTCTAATCTTGTTGACCTTCTTGTACGAATACCCATCTCTGGACACTCTGAACAGATAAATGCTGCCGTTCTGCGATCCAATAGCAATCATATCGCCAGCCAGGTTGTATCCAATGCAATTGAGAGGTGATCCGCAGACGCGAAGGGTCAACATTGACGCCCCATTGTCGGAGTTCATGATCAGCAGATGACCCTCGCTACTGCCAGCCGCCAGAGCTGAGCCGAAGGGATGGAAGGCGAGGGAGATGCACTCGTACGCCACTTGTGAGGTCCACAAGAGCTTCTGCTTTCGCCACAGCGCGATATTCTTGTCATGACCGGCCGTGGCGAAGATGTCATCATCAGGATGCGCAGCCAGACCCCAAAGCTGACGTCCATGGCCAAACACCACCTGGTTGAAGCGTCTCTGGAGAGATCCCTCCAGGATGTTATTCCGAGTTGTTCCCACGTAGATGTTCCCATCATTGCGACCAGGACGCTGAGGATAAATTGTTCGCACGCCACCGGATGACTCCTGAAGCTTCGTCTCTGTGATGCGCTTGTAGTTCTGGAGCGAATCCCAGGCGATAATCTTGCGATCCTTCTCTCCACCGGACAGGAGAGTTCCCTCCGAGAGCATCACAAGGCAGCTTATACCCTTTGTGTGCGCCTCAAACTCCATCCTCACGAAGTAGGCTCCGTCCGCGTCGACGCTGTAGATCGTGATGAAGCCATCGCTATCGGCTGTCACCACGTCTCCGTCAGGCTCGAATTGGATGCTAGTAATGTGCGTACGAGAAGGCTGAAAGAATTCGCTGTAGCATTACAATCTGCAATAGAATGGAATTTTCTAAACTCACATTCTTAATGATGTCTGTTCTCTCGAAGAATCCATCCTTGCGACGATGCCAGAAGGCTAGATGACCTCTTCCATGAGTGATGATCAAGTTATCATCCAAGGGATGGAAGCAGGCTCCAGAGAGTCCTTCTTGGAGAGTCTGTGAAGAATAGTTGATATCAAATCATCATGTCAGATCTTCAAGTCCAATCGACTTACAGCGACTTTTCCAAGCAAATGACCCCATTGCCACTGCCATACAGACAAGATACTCTCTCGACCAGCGTCCACAGCGAGAACATAACTTCCGCCATTCTGCAAAGAGCACAGAAAAATTCCTGAACAACTACTTTCTTTGGAGCAAGTTCGCTGAATCTCACCAATTGTGAGAAAGCCACAGAAGTCACCCCACGATCGAGCTCTCCCATCCCGAAGACGTACAGAGTCTGCAGGGATTCTGTACTCCAGATGCGCACGTGTGCTTGAGACTTTCTGTCTCGCCCGCCTCTCTGTCCAGAAGCCACCAATTCACGAGAAGGATGAATATCCATGCACATGATGTCTTCAGTGTGGCCAGTGTAGTGGCGCTGGGCTTCCTCCTCCCTGTCCAGGAGTACCGCCACGGCGGCCACGTAGTAGAGAAGCTCTCCCGAGGGCAAAACCCATAGATTCCGGCGAGCGTCGATTCCTCTGTAGCCGTGCCTGTTGTGCCGTGGAGGTTTGAGAGTCAAGGAAAAAAGGAACAGCGCAGAAATTTTGTGAATGAATCGACTGGAATTGCCGAAGAGCATGAGTAGGGAAAAATTTCGCCCAAACTCACACGGCAACGCCACACTTCCGAGTCCCATTAGCACGAGAAAGGAGAAGAAAGAGTGTAAAAGAGCCCTAAAAACCACCCCAACAAAGTGCTAGTCAGTGGTGGAAAAATTGATATCGACATAGTGAGTCTCTGACCAGACCGGGGAAAAGGAGAACACTTTCATTCAACCGCGTTTGTCCCTGAGGCACGAAAAGGGGCTATTAATCCGGCACATGCTTTGCATAAATTTTCCGCGGAGAGTTCGCAATTAAAATTATTATTTACACACAGAGGAAAAATGGATTTTTACAGTGTGCTATCCTGACATGAATTCCCTCCGGTCACCACAGTCAATCCCGCCCACTTCCCACCCCATCAGAGTTGAGTTTGAAAAGGATACACCCAGTGGAGCTGAAGCTTCTTGTCCGGTGGGCTGTTGTCGATCGATGGGTGATGAATTGGTGGATAGAAAGTCCTCCGGAGTCCCTTGATGATCACCTTTGTGGGCTCCTCTTTGAGAGCATCGACAATCGTGTACTCTGCAAAAGGAGCACTCTCTCACGCATCGATTTTTCCCCAACTCCTGCGGCCAACTCACCTTGATTGGAGCGGACAATCTCATTTTCTGGCGCATAGAGGACCCTCGGGCGGCTTTTGCTTCGCGCTCTCTGGCGCACAGACCCCTTGGCCGTGTCCTCGGCCACCACGGGGGCCACCATGCCGGCCCGCGAGCGCGATCGGCGCTCTGGCGAGGCTGGAGTGGTGCCCGGATTCCCGCCGAGGGACAGATAGAATGTGTCCATGTCGGCGAACTCATTCCGCAGCTGCGAGAAGGATCGCACCTCCTGGCCACTGCCGGTGAACATCTTCTTCGCGCCTGTCATCTTCAGCACCTGCCCCAAATCCTCCACCACCTCCTCAAAAGGCTGCGACGTGCGAAGATTGAGAAGCACGCGACACTGGAAAGACATGCATTGTTGTCGCAAATGGGAAATTCCATGCTTGTCTCCCGCCCTGACCACTTCACGACGTCTCGCGTGAAGAATGCAAGTGATAAATTACACTCCAAGATGAAAGGGTGATAAATACTATCACACAGTGGTAGATATTATCAGTTTTATCACATAAGGACCAAGAAATTTTGGAAAATTCTATGTGCAAAAGGTAATTTAAACGGTTTACACAATCATTATGAGACATATTATCAATATATTAGTCCGATATATTATGCAGATGACATGAATGGTAATTCTTATGTAGAGTTTGTGTTGCAATATATTGCAAATGCAAGGAATTTCGAGCATCTTCTGCACAGGCCTAAATAACGTCTCGAACCGCGCCCCTCATTAGCTTCGTACGGCAATTCACAGTCCCAAATGGACGAGAGACACACGAGGATCTCTTTCTTCTGTTCCACTCAGACGCCGTCTCGCGTGTCCGGGAAGGGGTTGGTTTGTTTTGCCCACGAGAGGGTGGCGTATTAAAGCACCGGAAACGCTACTGAGGAGAAATTAGCATAAGAAAACTTTCCACATGTTTAGCGTGCGCGATCGATTTTCGAGTGAAATTCTTGTCTCACCCCCTCGCATTTCGGCCACCCCCTGTCTGACCACTTCAAGGCCGGCAAAGGGTAATTTATAATGTTATTAACATAATAACCCGCGAGATATGATTTCCACTTGGCTCACCTGAACCGTGTGATCGAGATTGTTGATGATGCGGATCACACGGCCTGCACTGGCCTTCAGACCGCTGCCTGAGGCTCCCGATGGACTCACATCCGCCTCGATGATGGAGGATTTCCGACGCTCGGCTTTGCTGGCGGCGCCCCAGCCCTGATTGCTGGGCGATGCGTACCACATTCCGTTCTTCTTCCCGTAGCTCGCGGGCTGCCGCGGACCGGAAAAGAAATACTCAGCGTTACTCCAGCGGTCATAAAAGTTGACTAAGAGGGGCCGAAGGAAAATCAATGGAAGTGCTTCCGGCTGCGATTGGGATCTCGCGGGGCTTTTCCACGGTACAGCCGAAAACAGAGCTCGAAGACTCGGCAGAGTGCTCAAGACTGAGTCTTCATCAACCGATTAAATCTTCGAAGGATTTCGTGTCACCATTTGGAAGCACAGACAAGAGCTGCGACTAAAGCACTGTCTCGAATTGAATATACAACGAGCTTGAGAAGAGGTTCAAAGGTAAAATGGCTTTCTTGATCAACCTGAGAATTAATTGGTGATGTCAGCACCACAAAAGTAACTTCGTTGTCACTGTCATACATTTTCTCCACTAAAACAAAACTGCACAACAAGTTCCCAAAAGTATTAAATAACGTCCTCAAGATTCACACGAGAAAATCACTTGCAAATTCACGGGAAACTGCAGATTGTAGAAAAGAATTGGCGCGAAACGATTCGCACTGCGGAAGGATTTGTGCAGAAGTGACGAGGAAAATGGCACACGCCAAGGCGTTGACACAGAGAGTGGCTTGAGGAGAGGTTTTCACGCTGTTGTGGCTCAGCTGAAACTGCGAAGCGGACACTGAGTGGAAAATTCAAATTCCCCCCATTCGGGAGCCATCCAACCACTCGCCACTATCTTATTTACACATCAACACGGTGTGGGGCGACTTTCTCCCTCACGACGACGTGATATCGTCCACGGGGGGAGGGAAGGGCTGCGCCCCCCGCCCGCGGCTTTCGCGTCGTCGCTCAGCGGATTTCTTTGCGGTTTTATACGACACCATGTAAATTGTATGGTAATGGGCTCTCGGGCAATTCATCCACCTGCTGTTTTTTCAACCCCACCATCATCGTGGAAAATGTATGCGAAAATGCGCGCGGAGAAAGTGTGAGTGAGAGCCATTAAGAAGGGAAAAATGCTCTCTTTCTCTGTCACACAATCAGAGAGATTAAACTTCCCAAGGATACACGATCTCTAACGTCTTTTGGACACCATTTTCCCACCCGGGACAGCCCAAAGTTCACAAAGAGAGTCACCAAATAACCTCGTCGCAAGCGATTCAATTCATTATGTAAATCCAAGTGTAAATCACTGCTCATTTGCACGTGCAACGAATTTTCCCCCGCATTCCTCATTGAAGTATTCAAGAATTTGTCGAAGAGGGCATTTCTTAGTCTCTCAGACGAATGAATGATTTCCATATAAACGGAAATGGGGTATTTTTTGCGTGTGAAAAACATCAGAAAGTCTTAATTAGGTGAAAAGAAATTGTAACAAAGATTGGGAGTAACATGAAAATTAAACGTATTGTATGCAAAGTATTCTTGAAGGATGAAGAAGTATGATTGAAATACACGTGAAAGGAAATAAGAAAGTATTAAACCTACATAAAGAGAGAAAAGTGTGCGATGAATGCTTTTTTATTAAAGGTTTTCTTCAGCTTTAATAAGAGTTCTCTGCAGAATGAATAAAGGAAAAACTTTCCTGTTCCACGATAAAAAACCGAATCTGGCAAATTTTCAAAATGCTATCTTCTATCTCAGCTGTCTTAAGTCTTTAGTCGAAAAGTGCAAAGGCGAAAAGAACTGCGAAACTTCCTGTATAAAATATTCATGAAACTCACATTTCTGGCAAAATTCCTGGAAAAGCTGTGCAGAATTTTTCACGTGTTTCAACGTCTCAATCCCACAATGTAGCAATAAATTTGCGCAATTCAATTGCACTCGACGTGAGCATTAATTTAATGCGTGTCGACCTGTGTTTAACATTTTACAACAAGGCAACACCCCCTTATTTGACTCTCTGGCAAAGTAGCGTAGTAAAATTCAAATCACACTCAGCGAAATCAAGCCACAAAACACACTCGAAGGACGAAATTATGAATTTGTAATCCTGAAGCAGCAATTATTCACATGTTTTTTCACAATATGTATATCAACTTTAATTTATGCGAATGACTTCGCAATTTGTTGTTGCTGTTTTTCTCCAAACAGTGATTTATTTCATTATGTCTTGAGAGGGAAGAGTTCAACCCCTTCACGCACACCTGCGACAAATTCAGGAGACTCACTCAAGAGGCTGTTTACGCTTCAATCTTTCCACTGTGACTGACACAGAAATTAATTTGTTGCCTAAATTATATACATTGTGAGGTGTTTTAATATTTTTCCCTCCTAATCATATTCGCCCTCAATTCCTCACTGAGATTTCCACTATTCGTGTCAAGATTGGACTCCTTCGACTCTGTGTGTGAGTGGCCAAAAATTTCCAATGGAATATTATGAAGCACAAGAACAACTTAACACTACATGGCGACTTACGAAAACGCCACACGCAATAAATCTCAAGACATTCTTCTCTTTCTCGCCCACAAAGCGACAAAGTTTCGGTAGCTGGGAATTTGTTCTCCTTGAGACGAACAGAGAAATTTATTATCCGGGCAAGGTAGAGAGAGAGTTCTCGTAAAAATATCACGATTTCTTAATTTGCTCATAAAAAACAATCGCCCTGGACGTAGGGTTAATTTGTCCTAGAAATGAAAATGGGAGCAATTTTCATCCCTCATGTGACCCCTTTTTTCTCCAATTTTTCGCTCAACGGCAAAGAAAAAAAAACATTCAGGGTATCACTTAATTGACTCACCTTATCGGTGTAAAAAGGGTGTACAAGGAATTTTCACAAAATATTTACCCCCTTATTAAGTGGTTAAATCATTTTCGCCGTTGTGAAAAAGGCGTCTCAGACACACTTAACAGCATTTTCACAGGTGAAATGACCTTTTTTTCCCACAGCACCATCAAGATTGGGACTTTCAAGGTTTCGTGGCGAGTCATAAATCAAAGAGGCAACCCCCAAAATATGACACAATCACTTCGGCTTGGATTATCGCTGAGATTTCTCAGCACATTGCATGCAGAAAGTTGTGGAAAGTGAGGGGAGATGATCGCCAATGGCACATCCATCAGCTTGGTAATTGACGTCGTGGGAAAAGTTCAATGATCTCGAAGTGGTGGTGACTTTGAAAAGAACCCTCGAATTACACAGAAGCTCACCGCCAAGGAGAATGGAGAGTAATGATCTCAAATCAGGCAGCTTTAAGCTAATATTTGCCAGAATTTAGGGAAAAATCAAAAAAGTTTCATTGTGGCTTTATTTTTGAGAAACTTTTCAATAACATTGTGGTTAAAAGTGTTATTCAAAAGCAGAATATTAAGTAGTGAATTGAAATATCCAGTGTCCGTGCTTATTAGTATGAATCACGGATATATTGGTCATTTTCTTAACTACTTCATCACACTATCCATCAAAAATTGAAGGAATGTTTATTGGTTTCAAGATGAATCATTTTTTTTAAATTGAGAATTCACGTTTAATGTGTCAAATTTCTCTCAGTGTTATCATGCAAAAACTCTTTAAAAACCTGTCCTGGAACATCTTAAGAAAATAACCCAAATCTTAGGGTCATTGAATTTTTAATGCTACAGTGATTAATTATATTGGTTGAGTGATTAATCTAAAGCTATTGCAATAAATTTCACTGGGAAACCCTGATAAGGTGGGAAAAAGAAATACCGCCGAGAAGGGAGTGAGAAATCACTTTTAAAGTGCTTTTGAGTGGCGATAAGACAAATGAGATGAATTAAAAATGAATTAGGGAGCTTTTCCCTGATTTTATCATGCAATCGAAATTTTGTTAATATTTTCTCGGGAAGACGATTTTCTTGTCGATACGTCGGAAAGCGAGGGCGCGAGGAATTGCGACACAAAAGTGAAAATATTGGCTGAAAAGCCGAAGGGGCGACTTTTTGAGGCCACATTACACATGTGGTGCGCGTCTGTATTGGTGGTGGCGAAGAAAACTTGGCCACTGGTCAAAGAATCGCGTGTGAAAATCAATGAGAGAGATTTTCCCTCGCGGCAAATCATGGGAAGGGCGGCAGACCGGCAGGTCTGGGACAGAAAAGTCAGCGCAGTTTTTCCACTTTAATTTTTCCTCCATGGTTGTTTCATTTCTTTTTAAAACATCCCCCAAATTCCATGAATTAGCGACTCGAGTGTTGGATAGAAATTATACACACCATTCAATATTGACGTGGTTGAAGGAGGTGGAGCGGAAAACAAGGAGAATATATACCATTTTTGTGACTTCCTTGAGAAATAAGGCACTCGCAATTTCAGTTTTTTTTTCCCTCAGCACGGAAGAAAATCCCATTCACTGCAGTTCTTTTCTGTCTTAATTAATGTTTGCCATGTGCAATTAGAGAGGACGTTTTCTTTTTTATTCACTGTCCCGAAGCCTTTTTTCTTCACCTCACTTTGGAGGAATAAATAAGAAATTTGCACGCCAATTGACGTCATTTTCTAGGTCAATTTATCACTCTCTCTCTCTTCGGGTCACCCTTTTCAGCGGTGCATCGCGAGCCGAGCCCACTCCTTCTGGCCAAATGAATGGACACTAATGCACTTTTCCGGCTTCGCCCATGCATATTTCTGGGCAATCATCCCACCCTCGATAATGGGAATTAATGCGCCATTAGAATCCTCAGCACTTTCCCCCTCGAAGGCAGGGAAATTGGAGCGAGCCTTAACCCACTTTTCATGCACTTCAATTTCCCGCCAATTGGTCGAGTCAGGAAAGCGTGAGGTCCTCAAAGTAGGGTGATGGCTCGGATTCCTGTCCACTGAACACACCTTTGCTCGAAAGCACGCTCGAGAGTAAGCCTTAAAGCAGATTTGTAACAATTACTGAGTGAATGAGGAAGTGCATTAATCTAGATTCTAAATAGAAAAGCTAATCAATCATAAACTCACGGCGTCTAGAACAATGTCTAAAATGCCACAAGGCATAAAATGACCCTCAAAATAAGTTTCTCCACTGAATTTTCGCTTCGGGTAATTCTAAAATCGATATAAAATGTTTGTATCATTGCAGTAACTTCAATAAATCAACTCGACAAATTATTCATATTTCAGCAACAGAGAAATGTGAAAATTGCCTCAATTACTTAAGTAACAAGAAATATTTTATGAAATTATCCTATTTATATCGCCTTTTTCAAACTCCTTCATCCTCCATCTTTCCAAATTGCAAACCGTACCTAAAAATTCAAGAATACAATCAGTTAACTGGAAAACTGGCAGTGATTGGGCATAACTTTACTCGGGAGACCTGAATTACCCTAAGGCACTTCCGTGAGGTGTAAAATTGAGTGCATTGATTTGCAAAGTCAAATATTTGTCCCTCTGAAATTGCACTAAACAAGGGTAAACAAGGTGGGTGGACTCGGGCGGCCGGCGCTGGACGCATGCGTCCGAAACGGGGTTAATTGGCGGGCATCTTTGGCGGAAAAGGGGCCCCCTTACCTTGAAGGTCTTGAAGCTGGACACCACGTAAGATGCTCCGTCCTCGAGCTCCTCCAGCGAGTACTTGCGATCGCCGTCCATGGAGAAGACGAAACGGGCGCCGCGCGGCAAATCCAGGCGCGGCGAGATCTTGTCCAGGAGAGCCTCCATTGTGGCCACATCCCGGCCGGGCTTGAAGCGATACTCGACGCCGGGAAAGAAGGGGTCCCCGTTGCGGTAGAAGAGCACCCGGCGCGCCTTCCAGAAGGACGCGTTGGCGTAGCGACTGGCGCCGAACTCGGTGCGACTCTTGGAGCGCGGCAGAGGCGCCCCCGGCAACTGACTAGACACTTCACTCATGTTGTCCATGGTCGGACTGGCGGCTCTGCTGGAGACGGCTCGGGAGCCCCAGTAGCTCGTGGCTGGGGCGCTTGTGGCGATTGCACTGTCGCCGCCGATGAACTCTTCGTCGTCACTCACGTCGATGGCCTTTGACCCATTTATGTCCACGGCGCCCGAGGCGTTGTTGTTGCTGACAGGCTGAGGCACTGGCGGATTGTGGGCTCCGTTCATGCCAAGGCTCGCAACACCACTGGCACGTGCTCCGTCCTCCAGGGCATCCTCATTCGACATGCTGCCCGCGTCGGCGCGATTCGCGTTCGCGTCCCCACTGCGCAATCCCTGGCTCCGGTCTCCACCAGGAGCCTCCACCTGGGGCAGTTCACTCTCGATGCTAGTGCTCTGCAAGACACAACGCCAGAACGTCTTAAAGCGCTCGCATCAGCTCAATTTCGAACGCATTTCACACACTCTTAGGATTAATCTTTTATCAATACATCTTGTTAAATTTGCCTATATTTTTAGTGCAGAACGCAATAAATTGAATCAAACCAGTGAACAGAAATCCTTCTGGATCATTTTCCTGAAACCCGTCTTGCTCTTCAGAAGAAAATCCTTTCCAATCAGGATACAAAAATCTTTCTGGTCCAGATTTTCTTTACCTAAAGGAAAGCTCATTTTTTCACATTGTTTTCGCTTAGAAATTACATATCCGGGAAAATTATGTAGGAATTGAAAATGTAACGAAATGTAATGATAAAGGTTCGAATAAATCTCATTCGGTTTTAGAGAGTTTAAAGAATTTAAAGTTTTAATGCATTTAAAGAGCACTTCAGGCTGAATAAAATTATAGCCAATTTCTTAATTCAATTTTGAGAAAATGATGATGTTAGGTTCAATGAACACTTAACGACTTCTCGAGTTTCATTTAATATGCTTTTAAGCTCTTTCTTTACACTTCAGAACTAAACAGTGTAGAATAAAAATAAATTTTTACTATTTGTGCGCAAAAACGAAATATTCCTATTCAGATAATTAATTCGTTTTAGCTATTTTTACTTATATTTTTATGCTTGAATATTGAATAAATCAATAAAAATTATGCAAATGTCAAAGAACGGAAAGTTTGTAACCCTGTTTCGTTATTATTATGCTCACATTGTATCCCAAGTTTTATAAGCATTTTATTAAAATGCATGTTGTTAATTGCAGTACTTGCATCAATGCAGAAAGCGACTCGCTAATTTTCTTGTCTTCCACACTCGAAAATATGAATTACTGAGGTGCTATAAAAGAAATACCTTATCTGGGTAACTTATGACTGTCCCTAAAGTCCCAGAGGAAAAGCGCAGAAAAATGGGTCAGCGACCAGCAAAGTGGCGCACAGAACAAAGAGAATGGGGGTGAAAATGACCACCGCGGCACTCACGACAGGCCACCTCTCATTTCTTCTTATGCAAATGAGTATGGTCGTTGCACTGTTCCACTTAACCAGTCGTTTTATATGAGAAATTATTGCGTCTTGACGAAGGGAATTTTTCCTTACGTTTGTGCGCTGTTTTATGTCGCGGATATTTGGAATAATAGCTTCTCTTTTATGATTCCACTTGATGGCCTTTTTTTTATTGAATAACTCTCTAAATCCACAAACACACTTCTTTCGCCGGATTAAGGCTTCACTGTCCCAAAAATGTGTTGCACTTGAACAAGCCTGCACTATTGATTGGATGTACGGAGGATCCCAAGGACTTCGAGTCTGGGCACGGATTCCTCCTCGGAGGCGAACTTGAAACCAACTAAACTTCTTGCAGGTCTCGTGTTACATTTAAATACGCCCTGTCCGCGAGTTCTTTTTCCTCTTTTGGACTCCCTCGACGCTCCACTTTGACTTTTTTCCGCCAACACTTTTTGCCTCCCGCCTTTTTATTACCTGGCCTCTTCTCACGCGCGAGCCTCGTAATTAGCCAGGTCGGGCCTCCGCCTCAGGCCATAACTCGCCTTATGCTTCAGTTGAGATTGTGCGCGACAAAAATTCACTGAATTTATTGACTCAGTGCGGGGAAACTTTCCTCCTTGTAATATTTCTATTAAAATAATTTTCGCCACTATCACGCTGAACAATCTCGACGTATGGCATAATTCCTCAGCAAACGCCGCGCAAGTAAAGGTCCTGTCACACGTGCAGAAACTTCTGGCTCTCTCTGTTCAGCAACAGCACACTTCATGCGGTCAATGATTAACTCAACTGCGTGTGTGACAGATCCTTAACTAGAAACGTCCCTCGCTCTCACAACCTCCCGATTGAGGGACAAAAGAGGCCCATTAGAATATTTATTATTTGCATAATTGGGTATTATTTTTACATCGGGGACCTTTTTTCTGCTTTGCTCTCACCGGCTTTCACTGCTCAGTGCCGCCGAAAAGTGCACACAAAGATCACCTTCACTCACGCACGAGACTCACCATCGCAGCAGCTTCTCGCAGACGACAAAAAGGACACACGAAGGACCAACGCTTGCCGTGCAAATGCAACGGGGAATCGCGGTGAAAAAGCCGGTGATTTGTCACACAACGCGCTCAGAGGATTTTCACCCCGTGTGGGTGGTTTGGCGCTCCCCAAGCCCACAAGACCTTTTTTCCTGCGCACTGGGCGGCCAATGGCAGCCGCGGCCCCGCCTTCTGCCAGTGTCCCAAATTGACTCCTCGCCATGGTTTTTGCAATTGCTCACAGCAGACGACAGTTTCTGCTCCCTTCCGGCTCCAATTGCCGATGCCCAAGCTGGTCAACAAATCGACAAGCGTCTAATGATCCCTTTCGTCATGGGAAAATTCTTGGATTTTCCGCCATCAGCGGCCAGGAAGTGAGAATCATTAATCATATTATCAATTTTGGCGCTTTTCCCACCAATTTTCTCACTTCTTCGTGTTATTTATTGCATGCTGTAATTTGATTTTCTAGACAATTTAGTGCAATTTCAACGGACAGTCATAGAGAAATTTATTTCTAAAATATTTATAATAATTTCCTTTCGACATTTGGAGTAAAACAGGGTGGAAATGTCTAAAATCTCTACGATTCTTCTGCTGTGTGAAAAAAGCGTAAAAGATGTTTTCAAGTTTTTTGCATGTCTTTAGTAAGTAATAAAATAAATATTTTGCAAGGTATTTTGTGTATTTTAGCCGAAAAATTCAGGATTCAAAGAACAACTGATTCTAAGCAAAACAAGAGCGATTTTCTTGAAATTCTTAAGGTTCAATCATTATGAGATAGGCGAATTTGAAAATTTGGTAGGTCAATAGATTTATTTATTCAAATGAACAAATAAATCAACCGTATTTTCAATCTATAGACTTCTTTTTCCCAACGGATTTGACTATTGAAGGCTGAGGAAAGACGTGTTCTTTTTACTTCAACACACTTCTTCTGAATTCTATAGCAATTCCAACCATTATATCATTCCCTTGGATTTAAATAAAATGCGAAATACAGAGAAATTCTTCCGCAACTCACAAAATCACCCTTAAATCTGTGGGACTGCGGAAAAAGGGGGCGCGACGTGGTCAAAAGTCGTTGCGTGTCTCAATTGCCACCTTTGAGCGATGTTCCCCCGGCCCTTCCCGCCCTCAATTGCCCACAATCAAATGCAAATCTTCGGCTGGCGTCTGGCCGAAGCCAAAACAAAGAGCCAGAGGAATATTTATACAGCGCCAGCTCTATTGGGGACACTCGTGAGGGTGGATTTTTGGAGCAAGGCCCGGCGAGACCTCATTGGCGAGAAGAGGAGAGAGCACACAAAATGTCCCTTTCGCCCAGACCATGGAAGAGGAACAAAGGGAAATTTCAATAAATTTCCAATAAAAGAAACCACTCTTTTCTTGCCACAAGTATTTTCCGTACGCCGAGTGAAAAAATGCGAGAGGGTGTATTAAATGGACTCTTTTCATGTTCGTAATGAAACATATTTTTATGATTTCCGCTCCTTATTTGTTTCTTTGCGACACTCGAGGCAAAGCAGCTTGCAAATCTCTTCAATCAGCACATGTTTCTTCGACTAGTGGAAAAAGTGTCAGGAGTTTTTTTTCCTTCTTCTGACAGAAAAGTTAATTTCTCCAATAAATCGCCACCAATTCAGATTGGCATCGCAAACTTTTCAAGGAAAAGCATTCCTTTGCTTTTATGACTTATGCAAAAATCATTTTAATAGAAGGATAAGAGAGGGAAATATGTGCCGAACTTCTAATTAATAAAGTGACTTCCATGGGTCAACTAAAAATATCCACTCTCTCACCGACAATTGTGTCAAACTTACCTCCGTTTCACCCTCACTCTGAGCTGCTCTGAGCAGCGCGACGTGTATTTAATTTTGGGTTTTACAAGCCACAATAACACCAGTCGCTGAAAGCAGTAAAATGGGACATTAGGAAAATTAGAGCTTTCGCATTTGATTTTCTAATTAGTGAAAGTCGCCGTCTCAATAAACCTTGGGCGTTTCCTCAGCAATCACTGCTCATTTTTCTCGTCTCGTTGGGAATTTTGAGAGACAATTAAGCTGTATCCTACCGTAGAAATTTAATTCTATCGCGCTAAATGGAATTACAAATGAGGTGACAATAAAAGTATATAACATTTCGTGTTGTGCTACTTTCGCTTCTTCTCCTCCTTCTTGGCCAGCTGTGAGATCTCCTTGGTGGTGTCTCTGTACGCCACATAGACGAACATCACAATCACGAAATTGACCGTGATTACAGCGGCCAGAACTGACCAGCACGTGTTCTCAAATCCCTCAATGTGAAAGCGATTCTCCAGCAAATCTCGCATGCCATAAAAAGCACCGAAGGGCAGGGTGAACATGAGGACACTGAAGAAGAATAATGTCAAGAGGGCCATTGATGTTTCCCGGTTGCGCTTCGCCTCCTCCTCGGGACTCAGAGGCTCCTCTTCTTCCTGCTCCTGCTGCAGCTGCTCCACATTCAGTGAATCCTTTCCCACACTTTCGAACGCCATTTTATCTAGAATATTACAGAAAAATTGCACCTGGTTTAGAAAATTTGACTTTAACTATCTTCATCTGCCACTTCCTATTGATATTTACCAGGGAAAAGCCGGGAAACTCCTCTTTTTTCACGCGACAAAAATGTAAACAAAGGCCCGTGTTTTGCTGTCACTGCTTGTCATGTGACTCTTGAACAATTAGTTTCTTTCACTTTCCCACCGAGGCGCTGATGGCAGTAAAACGAATCGATTTGAATGTGGAAAAGCTCTCAACGGTTGAGCGAAAATTGCTGAATTATCACGATTTTCATGCTCGTTTGCGCTTGAATTAATGAGACTGGCCAAAAGGTGCGCCTCGCATAATTTTATTAGGTGAGAAAACATGCCAAATATTATATTGGCTCGCTGCCACAATGTGCGTGGTTTTTAATTAGCCTTTATTAAACACCCCCTAAAATTGAATTATTAATGCAGAAATTGTAGAGAATTTATTACAAAAGCATGTATAATGTGCTTTATTGTCTCAGTTTGTCATGGAGTGAAACTTTAAATTTTCAGGAACAGAAAATCTTCTTACCTGTCTCTTTGCCAAGTTTCACTAAGTCTAGTTGTAACTCACAGTGAATAAATCCATAGTGCTGAAATCTGAATGATAATATAAATATTATTACAAGCAAAGTACAAGCAGGAATCTTCATACTTCAGGTAATTCAGACAATTGAGCTGCCATAAAACGGCAATCTTATATTTTCACTGACTTTTCGTGATTTCATCAATGCTCTTCACCCGTCCTAAGAACACAGAATATGTCGGTCATGGTGTAACCGGGAAGATTTCTATCGATTTTACGACTCAGCAGCACTGACCAGAGGAAATATGTTTGATATTTTCAGCCATCATCTCGCAATAAAATGCGTCGATGTGGAAGAGAGAATCTTTTGATGCCCCTTTGGAGAAGATCTCACATCCAAAGGCGCGCAATTTATTTACTTTAACCGTCACTCTTCGACACATACGCCCATTAAAATCACAGTTTTATTGTGATAATATTAATAGAGATCTTCTTCACTGTTTATTCGACTTCACGCGGGATTTCATTGAGAAGATTTTCTGGGGAAAAAGGTCAATGAGGCACTCTTGTGGCGGGAAAGTGTCTGGCAGTGAGATTAGCTGGGAATTTGGCATTCCGCTGAGTGTCTCCGGAAGTTCTCCTTTGCATAAAATGACATTCTCAAGCTTTCGTGGGTTGAGTGGATCAATATTCACAGCGGAATTCGCTAAAAAGGGCTCACAAGTGCCTCTTCTTTGGCCCTAGAAATTGACTACACCAGAAGTGAGATCAACAATGAATATTTATGACCAAATCTAAGTCCTTTTAAATGAGCTTTCGCAACTGTTTTTTCAGCGACAAGAAGTGGACCATATTTTAATTAATAAGGCCATTTTCCGCACACGGAAAATTTCCGTCACGCTGTGAAAAGAAAGTGATTTATCTTAATTAGAAAAAAATGAACTCGACGTTTAATAAAAAGGTGCGTAAATCAGTTTATGAAGGGGTTTTTTTTTACTTTGCACAATAAAATCACATGGGGTGAATAATTGTATTTATTCGATACAAATTCACTCTCGCGCATTGTCATTTTGCGGAGAAGAAATTGTGGTGAAAAGCCTTTGTTGGTGAACGATACAAATAAGCTGATAATGTTAGATGGGGAATTTTATCAAATTTGAACTTGAAAGCATCTCAAGGGAGCTTCGTCATGCGGAAATTGAGGAAAGGGAGGGAATACTCTGCATAAATTTTCTCTAGGCAAGCGAGGAGAACTTTTAATTAGGCTTCCCTAGGGAGGGAAAATGTTGAAAAAAATCTGAGCAAAAGAAATATTTCCTATGGCAAATGATTGACTAACGATTGCTTGATAATATCAAAATCCATCTATCGTGTTCTTTTCACACGAAATTGATTGATTGACAGTGTCTCTGAGGGGTGGGTTAAGTCATTACTCAGATTCCGCCCACCCTTAGAAATCTCCTCATTAATATTTAACCCACGAACACACTGAAATCCAGTCCCAAATTAACACTTTCAAGATCAAATTAGAGGATGTTCTGAATTAGCTTTAGCGCGGTGCATTCATAAAACTATACAATAAGACCTTCAATTTTCTCATTATTGTTCACCATCATAACATAGTCATTAAGTTGATGTATTAATAGATTTGGAATGGATTTCTCAAGATGAAGTGCTGCCAAATTGTTCTCTCACAAATAACTTTGACCCTCTTAATCATCCTTTTCCCATGCCATTTTCGGTTGCAGAGTTGATTGAGGCACTGGAATGACATTTTGAGCGATAACGGAGCATCTATTGTCCCTCATTTATCAACTCTGATGGAGGAGAATGGTTGGCCAGGGAGATAATCTTGAAGACATGCTCGGCAAGAGCGGATGAATTGTATTGATATGGATGCTTTTCGGGTGACAAATTTAAATCCTTATATCCCAACCCGCCCTTGGGACACGTCGAGGTGAAAATCCCCCCAGAAAGATTGACCTCTCTTCACTCCCACGCACCTCAATCACAGACTAAGCGGCCTTTCACTCATTCTCCTAATTAGACAGAATGGAAAATAATAATCGTAAGCTTCTACCCTTGATGGAAAGCTAACTGATAGTGTCAGAAGTACACACTCAGTCATAAAATAATCACCCTTGCTGCTTCGATGTGGTGACGATTGTAAATGTTTACTTTGAGTCTTCTAATACGTAGGGAATTGAGATCAGCGGCAAGTTGTGCGGAAGTTTCATCTAAATTCCCATGGAATGGAAATTTAATCCAAATATGTATTTAATTGAAGCTTTGACAGACATTTTGAATGGAATATACATATACTTACTAGTTGGTAATGTTTAACAATTTAGAGAGAAGTAAATTCAATTGACTTTGACTTGCAACTTATCATGAAACATTGAAAAGCCAGTTTATCAATGAATCAACTTTAATTCACATTGACTTAAAGGGAAAAAAAATGTGGATCTTTGTGTGAAAATTCAACCCCGTATAATTTCAAATGTTCAGCAATTTTGTCTATTTACACGAAGAAGAGGGAGCAAAAATCGCTGCGAAGCGATTATTTTACGAGTTTCACAGTCTCTTTATGCCTCACTCTCAATATTTGCGTGGTCAGAGTTGAAACAAATTGAGCTTTCAAAGCAATCCTCCCAGAAGAGAAACACACACCCTCGGAAAAATGACAAAGACCATTGAACGATTTGCTCTGTCAATAATTTATTTGGGAATTCCTCTCAGGGTTCCTTTCACCGGAATATCTTTTGCCTCCCTCTCAGTCCCAATAGAGGATGAATTACCATTGGATTGAACATTTTCCAATGGGATTGATTAGGAGTGTGTTTTCATAGAATTCAGGCTGCTTTTATTGAATTTTCATCAATAAATAATGCGGGGGGAATGAATTGTAAATATTGGTGGAAATTCACTGAATTTTCCACTGGATATCCTCTGTAGAACACATAGAAGGGCATAATGAAATTTGTATCAAAGACATAGAGTTTATTTTGAAATTGTAATTCTTTTCAGGTCGCATTCCGTGAAATAATGATTTGCTGTTGTGTTTCGAATGTTTTCAGTTACAGTAACTCAAAAATTGCAAATAATGGCACAACTTAAGGGGTTTATATTTTCAAAAACTATGTGACAAAATTTACAATGTCCTTATCCTTATAGCCCTGCATTTCTCTATGTGACAATTTGTGTAAATCTTGAATAATATAATTTATAGACTTAATGCCAGACGACACGTGAATGGCATTTTCTGAAAATATATCTCTTGTACAAAGTCTGTGTGAATTCAACAAGAATGAAAAGCCTTTTCTGTGTTTTGCCGCACAGCTCAATAGACGAATTGGTCAATTTTTAGGGGAAAAGCTAATGATTTTTCCTTTCCTCCCCAAATTCATATCTCGAGGCCATGGAGAAATGTTCAAAGTAAATATTGTGTTTTGTACAAGCTGAGGAAAATAAGCTTCTTTTCACCATCTTTGCGCCTCTTGACTTTCCTGTTCAGGATCAAAGACATTGACCCAGACGCGAGAGAAAGTTGAGAATTTTCTCATCAACTTGAATTTTTACCGAGAGGCAAAAGTGCGCGCCGTGCGGCAAAAGAAGAGATAAAACCAACATGCAAATTAAGATGAAATTTGTTGTGTGTGTGGATATTAATATGGCAAACAAGGGCCTGCATGACCCAAAAGTTGGTCTTTATGTAGAACAAGAGGTTTAATTAGTGTTGTGCGTAAAATAATTCCCTGAATGGCCACTAAAAGGCAGTTAAATCATTATTCTGTCATTTGGAATGAGCTTTCATTGTGTTGTCTTAACTCAAAAGATTCTATCGATTTTCCAGAACATTCCACTAAACTCATAAATATTTAATGCATCACACTCGTAAAGTAATTTACGAGGCATGTTGAGTGATTTGTCGAGAATGTTTGGATAATGTTTTACTCCTAATGTTAAGGATTAACTCGTGAGAATATAATGGAAAATTGTACACTATCATTCCGGTGATGAGTAATCAATAAATTTGATTATGATTGTCCACTCAAACAATTCACTCTTGACACGATTCACACCATAATTTCATGACCAACAGAGCCTATCAAGAGGATAATTATTGTGGAAATGCGTCTGCCACAGCACAGCGCGACCTTCTGCAGTCCGGAGAAATTTTCCCTGGGACTCTTCGGTGTTTCCATTTGAATGCCATTGAGAGAAATCCCAGAATCTCACCCACTTGCTCGCCCACTCCATTCTTTGCGAGACTCCGGTCTATTTATATGCCGTGGAAGCAACATGTAGGTGAAACTGAGAGTCCAAAGGGCTGCTCTTGGGTGCAGTACTGAGTTCTGTGTGGAGAAAATGGTTAGTTGCAAGCATCGCCTCGGCGCATGCCACGTGGAGAGTCTGCCCAGGGCAACGTTTTCCTCATGTGGCGGGAAATCCGCTAACATGTGTACTCAATATTTCCAAAATGAACAAACTTTCAATTGACATAAATATTTGGAAATGAATCTTGAAATACTCTCTGTCACTTCTGGGCTCTTTTCTCTGCAATTTTTCCACCGTGAAAAGCTCGAGTAGTCTTTTGCCATGCGGAAAACTCCCCTGGACAGCCCTGTGGGAGAATTTCCCAGCGACAGAGAGAGAGAGAGAGAAAATGCCCGTGAGAGAGTTTTCATGCAACAACCACTTGTGATTTTCACATTTCATCCTCATCGGTTAGTCGTCTGGGAAATCTTCACGAGATCAGTCGTGTGACTTTTCCAAAGAGAGCAATTTTCACTCTACTAAATTCAACACAATCTGAAGCAATGCCAAGAGTGGCATGAGTGAAAATCTTGGAAAATCTCTCAGTAACGGTTTGTGGCTGGAAGTTCCCTAATTTTCTATCGGTGCAGTGAAAAGTTGAAATTAGTGGAAAATCGCGTGGTTTGAGTTTCGAAAATTGGAGGGACTAATTAAAAGGTTCAAATTGATTTTGTATCGTATTACAATGATGACTTTTTCTCCCATACTCATGGCAGTTTCAATCTAATTATGGCATTTCCATCTGGTTGTGTAGCTAATGGTGAAATATCAGGATATGACAATAATTAAATCCCATTCCAAAGCTGGGATTAATAATTACAGTCCTTGTGTAATCTGATTTTGCCAATTCTTTCAATTTGCTAAAAGATCCCCTTTGTGTATTGAATTTTTTCTCTGTATCAATCTCAATTTTTGTGTCGGGAAAAATCCACATCATATAGCGCCTTCGAGGGACAATTTACATGACAAAAGAGACCTCGAGTTCAGTATCTTTATATGAGGTTTTATTGGTTTTTTCCGGACGCACCAGTAAATTATGTACAATCCCTTTCACCCCTTCTTGAGCCCTCTTGAGACAATTTATTTAGTAAAGAACTGACAGAGATTATTTTCCACTGATTATATTTTTCCTTAACCTCTCTCGAGTTTATTTATATTTATCCCTCTTTTGAACTTTCGTTCAGATTTCAGTGGTGGGAAATGTTTTCATTTAATCTCATTGCAGTGTTGGGTTTATTTACATGGTGCTTTTGCATATTTGCATTTAAATCTCTTTTTGGCATAAAATAATTTAATTAGTAACAATATCATGGTGTTGAAAGCATAATTAATAATTTATGAACAGGTTTCCGAAGTAAATCAGGAACTGAATTTTATTAATACAAATTTACTGATCAGTTGGAAAAATTATTGCATTCATATTTTTCCCGAGAAAAGCTATACAATTATTTCACTTCTCAGGAAATCCTTATAATTCTTTTTCCATGTCGTTGCCATGCGAAACAACCACGAATTCTATTTCCATTTCTCATTCTTCCCCTAAATCTTCGCCTGGAAGAAAAGTTCGAAAATCGGGTTTCTACATCATAATAATAATTCTTCGGCCAGAACAAAGAAAGAGAAAAAAAGAAGGAATCCCAAAGTTGAGACGTGCGTTGATTCCCATTTAATGCGATTGTGATTTTATGCCATCCTATTTTGGTTCTTCCCAGAAGCATTTTCTGTCTATGTGTGGTTTTCCGTCAATCTGACTCCTTATATATCTTCGCAAGCTTTCGATTATTGTTATTTTGTGAAAAAGAAATTGTAAAGCTCATTACAATTGACCTTCATTGGGACTTTTCTCAACTTTTCTGGGACAAAAGGTCCTCTTTATTGACTATGGATTTTCAGGGGAGAAATTTCATCCTCGATAACTGCATAAAATTGATCCCATTTCTTAAACCCTCCTCCTGCTTGATTCCTGTGGATTTTTTCTTTGCCATGGCAATTTTTATCAAACATCAAAATGATACCCCATGGAGATCATATTTTCCCAGCATTTCTTGCTCTCGCGTCAAAGACTGGATGAAAAATTTTTCCATTTCCCTCACCACGAACAGGAGGTTGAGTGACAATTTATGGAAGTTCATTTTCGTGGGGTGGAAACATTTTTTCCTCTCTCTCCATCTGTGAACTGTGAATATTGGCTGGGCTTTTAGTGTTTTCATTTGCAATTTTTCAGCAATGAAAACCACGAAGCAAATGCAAGCATCGCTGTGAACAGTGAACAATTTTACATAGACAAAGTGACGTAAGAAATCAGAACAAAATCCTGGTGTGACAGTGAAACAGTCAGTGTTGTCTCACTAATGAATGCAAATGGATTGAGCCCAGAGCTGGAATAAGAGGAAAATGCGGTGAGAAGAAACTGTATGTGAAGAGAGAAAAGAGCGTGAATAAACGAGAGATGAAAAATATTTAATTACCGTGTCTATCAAGCTCTCCATTTAATTATGGGATGTGCAATAATGGATATAGCAGCTGTTTAGAGACAACTCGTGCTACAATCAAGCCATATTGAAGGGCAGCTCAGAAGGGACGAGTAAAAGGTAATGGAACAATTTTCTAGCTTGCAGAGGGGAAAAGTTTAAAATATTGCTGGATAAATCTTGATTTTACGCACTGGGAATTTGTAATGAAATTTCCACGGGGGTAATAAATTGCAGAGTTGAGGGCTTTCGAATTGAGAGTGAAATATACAAATGATTGCATTGACCTTAATTTCTGTCCCATGTCGAAGTGATTATACTAAGGTATCAAACACAATTTCAATGTCAACATTTGGTACGTGTATTTGTATAATTTTTATAAAGCACCCCTTGAGTTCTGTTGCTCCGTAAAATATCCATTGAATTGCTCTTTTTCCCCGCTCCGACATACATTTTCGCTATCCATTGGCAATGTCGGTAATAAATTAATAGGGAATTTTCCGTTTTTCAACGAGTAAGCAAAAATTTTTGCATGTCTACAGAATTTATGGATTGTCTGGTAGAAAGTTTCCCTTTCGCAGTATTTATTTACTCTCTTAACAACAAACAAATCTTGAATTATATCTAAATTTTCTAAAGACTCAAAAAAGAGACATTAATTCTCTGGAAAAGTATGATTGAGAATTATCTGCAATAGAATGTGTGGGAAATTCGTGAGAAAACCACGGTGAAATTTTCATTTTAGAAATGTATCATTTTTTAAAACTCTCGACAGATGAATAAACGTGTGTCATTAGAGTGAATATTTGCGGAAAAAAATCAACATTGTATTTTGTCGCGCTTCCACTGGAATTACCCACAGAATGCTCTGTCCTGACAAATGGTAAATGATGCCAAGTACCAGGTGGTCTTCGTGAGCTGAAGAGGAAAAGTTCCCTAATGCAAAAGTCTTCTTGCCAACTTTTATATTGTCAGCCACTCTACTATTTTCTCATGGCGAAAATTCAATTACACACAGTAAATAATCTCACCGCGTCGCTCAGGATGAAATACCGAGTGTTTTTACATATTTCATGTGTAGTGTGACGGCAACTGGAAAAGGCCTGCCTTCGGCAGGGGCGCAAGAAACCACCCCCATTCTTCATCACATGAGAAGGCGGAAGGAGGATTTGTGCGATGTAAATTTCACGAAGATTGTGATATGAAAAATGAATTTTAATTCCAAATGGGGTGATGTTTGCTAAAAAATTCACATTCTCATTCTTCTGGCCACAAAAATAATAATAATAATAACCATGTGATCCCCTGACAAGGTGGACCGCCCGTGTTCCCTCTGTTTCAATATTGATTTTGGGATTATTGTACGTTTTTGTTCGTCGACAACGCGCTAAAATTTCCCAGCATATTCACGTACGTGTGCTGTCGCCCATCCTTCAGGAGACCTTTTTCGCTCTGTCCAATATTTACATACACACGCGGAGTAGTTCTTTATGCCTTTTCACACTTCGAATATTAATTTCAGGATCCGTCTTTCTGTCACAGCATCGCTCACGTGTGAATTATAAATGTGTGCACACGCTCCTCATATTTGATCATGTCCATGGGGGAAAAGATGGGAGAATCTCCAGTGCAGCCCGACAGAAAGGCTCAGCCCTCAATTGCTTCCGGGCTGCAAACTTCAGACACTTCCTGTGGGATTTATGCCCTGTAGGGAAAAAGTGTTCTTTGATCTAATATTCCATCAATTTTCAATCAATGGCGATGAGAACCCATGGAGGTGTGTTGGGCGATTCTTTAAAGCTTAGAGAAGGTGCTGAAATCTCAACCGAGATAACATTGTAAGATATCTGAGGGTGAATGCAGGGCAAGTTTGACTGTGTCCTGCACATTTCAAACTCAAAAGAAATGTGTTGAATGAGAAGAAGGAAGGAGATTCAATGTTGCAATTTTCGTTTCCGACTTTTTTTGGACTTCCTTCCGTCACAGACATATGAATGGAATCATAAATAGGACATAGATCCGTATCGGTGTCCTAAATTGGAGACACATGGATTATCAGCTTTCAGAATTATTTGTTAGAAAATTGAATATTGCAGTGTATCTTCGTGAAATCTTAATGTGAGAACAAGAAATTCCCATCGTCTCAATAGAGAGAATGGAAAAATTCACTTGCCGCATACTTTCATCACGCATTCACTAAACATTTCCCTCTGGAAAAAATGTGGGCGTATCAGAGAGGGTGGATAAAAGAATTGTTTGATGATGTTCTGTGAGAATGATCAAATGGACAAACTTTTAATGTCTTCCCTCTCTTTGTTAGCACGCCTATTTTATTGGGATGGAAGAGAGCTTCAAAAATAGCCACAGAACTCAGAGGAGAATTCCCAGGAGGAAAATTCTCGCAACTTTTTTCAAGCCATCCCCGATGATAGACACGAGGCAGAAGTGTGAGAAAACGATGGAAAAATAATTACAGAGTCGCTCCGTTGAGGTGGAAAAGTGTTGAGGCACTCGAGTTGGAACACCTGTTGGCTGTTTGCGCCATTTGTTTGGCTTTTCAGGGTGTCTGTTGAGGCTTCGACTCTGGCAGTGCGTGAAAAATTCGATAAGAGTGTGCCAAATGCAGTCGCACAAAGTTGATTTCAGCCCGACAAATTGGTGAACTCATAGCTGATAAGCATTGACTTGCCGTGGCATCAGACTGGAAACTGACAAATTGTTGGGTGTATAAATCAACATAAATTCCCGCACTCTCGTGATTTTCATGTTTAACATACATGAAAATCGCGGTGATGAAATTCAGTCTATGGCAACATTCTCGCAATACTTTCCTTAGACGTGGGGATGATTGGACGTAGACAGAATCGGGATGCGCAAAATAAATTGATTTTCCACCACAAATACGCATAAATCACACGCTCTCTCACCTTTGAATAAATCTCACCTCGCGGAAAAACCAAATAAAAGTTTTACCCCATCAAAGAGTGATACTTATGGAAAAATATGGAGACTATGACGTCGTTGAAGTCATTTATTACCCAATGTTTCTGTGATTAGGACCAAATTGTATTTCTTAGTAAACTGGTTTTTCCCAGAAATTTACGCCATCGCGAATTCATTTGGCAAACAATGGAAAAGATAGATTTCTAACAAATTCTAATGGTCACTAATAAGGTGATAACTCAAAACGTCGATTCATTGTAACGACAAGCTCGCCATCTCACTTTGTACAAATAGCAATTTGGCTTGCCGAAACGAGGAAGCACCACGAAAATCTCTTTTCTGCACGAGATAAGATTAAGAGGGGCGCGAATGACAAAACACACAAAAGTCATACGTTACCGCATGGAATTCACACAATTCCGCTTATCAATTGCGTTGGCTCTCTAATTGTATTGATTCAGGGCTATGTAAAACGTTAGGATGGAATATTTTGCCTCTTGGAAATTCTAGTGTGGTGGCAATTAACCTATTTTGCCTAATTACACTTCAGATGGGATGCGCACGTGGAGGGAAAGTATTCTAATTAAAATCGCCAATTGAAATTCATATCATGAAGAGTGCTAGGAAACGGGAGCAACACTACAGGGAATTTGCACTCAGTGGAATTCATGAGAGATGGAGAGTTTTGAAGAAAAAAAGTCGTTAAGAGTAGTTAGCAAAAATGAATACGTTTTAAATTTGACATTTCGCAGATGTCATTTCTCAAGGTCTAAATCCGCTCACTTTGGCTTTGCATTTTGCGTAGCGGACAGAATTTGGGAACCCTGTGCAAGTTTCTTGGAAGACTTTGTGGAGTTTCACCTGGAATTTCACATTTTGAGTCATTCAGATGAGGTTGTGCCGTCTGTGCCTTCGTCAGAAGTTGAGTTACTGTGTTGATTTAATCAATTGGCGTCCTAATTGGCGGTGCAAATACGAGTGCGTGCTGGAAAATGACTCGATGAATAAGTTTTCAACATCTCGAGTCACTAAACCATGGACCTTCTTTCCCTCCTAATCTACTACTGTACGTGGTTTGTGATCGTTTATCTGTCAGTGAGAAGTGTTACCGAAATAATGGCCATCATTAAATCTCGCAAGAAAGGTAAATGTTCATCAATCTTGAGGTCTCCACTATGACATAATCTCACTTCGCATGAGATAGTTTGAATTTCTATTGTGAAATGTTCTCCGATGGCATCAGCAAATACTTCATGTCTCCGATGGTCACAAATCTCTAGATTAATTCATCTATAATCGAGTCGGAATGACTAAAATCTTCTTATCAACGTCGTATGTGGTATAACATGATAATCCTCGGCATGAATCTAACGCTCTTGTCTGGAAATTGAGTAATATTTATCAGTGAGGCAAGCTAACAATGGCATCTTTCACGCAAAGTTTGAGGTATTCAATTTATCAATTGAGGCATTCAATATGCGTATGAATAAAGAGTCAATTTTTGGTGAGAAGTGAGCGTACCGAAAGACGCCACAAAGTTTCTTACTGAACAAAGATCGTGGAAACCCCAGGAAAATTAAATAAACTCTATACGTTGTATGGGAAAGTCTGGCAAAGTATTCGTCCACTGCATTATTATGCTCAATAGAACACTTTCTCGCCCGGAAAATATCTTGAATTTCATAATAACATCATGCAAAAGTTTTTTGCTATATGAAAACCTTTGTTCATCGCGTTCATCGTATCTGTTTGAACTATAACGATGAGCAAATAGAAATTCTGCATGAATTTCTGCTTTTAATTTTATTATGGCAACATTCTTGAGACGCGAACTTGCGGTTAGAGCTCTGAGTTTTCCCTTAGAAATTTTTCCCATCTGTAAACATTTGATGTATGGAAAGATACTTGTCGACGAGAATAAAATTTGTCGCTTGAAGTTTTTGCAAGCGAAATTTAATCCATGTCTTATCTTGCTCGCAGGCTACTACCGGAGGCCAAAACGAAGACACTCAATGCCAGCCAGAAAGGGGCTGTTGGCGCCCCAAAACACATTCTTGGATACAATAGCGACTCGCTTTGATGGCACACGTAAGTAATAACTCGCTGAATTTACTGCTGCTCAAGATGTGGAAATGGTTGTCGTAAAATATTCTTCCTCTACTTTGTGAAATCTCACGATCAAGAACAACAGCCTTTTGCACTTTTTCCATGAGAAAATTTATGGATTAATTTAAAGCAAGTCACTTTCGCTTGGTGGATCTGAGATTTTCACTTTGTGTATCGCTTTTATGTGAAGCACTTTTGTTGGTGACCAGTAAAAAGAACTTCATTGCCAAATAATTGGGAGCTGTTAAGGAGGGAAATTTGTTAATTTTCTCAAAAGTATTACGTATGCTAATTTTGGCGGGAAAACCTCCAAAGAAGCGGGGAAATTGAGCTATTTAGAGCTACTCCCCAAGACATCGCCGAAGAGTCGGTCGCTTCCATCCGTAATTACTCAAATATTTACATAAAATGAAGTCAGTATAATAATTTACTCAACACTTCAGAAGCAGTTCACCGAGCGAGTGAGTTTTTATAGAACACGAAAAATTGGATTTATACTGAAATTATGCTATATTTATTGTGGGGGGAAATTACTGAATGAAAATTCTGCGTGGATTTATTTTCAGACCATTCGCACTAATCATGAAGCAATATTTTTGCGATAAATGTTTGTTTGCTCAGGTGCAACAATTTTTCCATTTAGCTCCTCGTGCAGCGCGATAAATACGCCAGATTTGCCTTCGGGGACGATCAAATAAATAACTTTTAATGACTCTGTGCAGAATTTTCAGGGGTCGGAGAGATGTTATTGAACGAAGGCATAGGAATTAGCGAAATTGCCCCGGAATATACGCGCGGGGGTTGTTTTCTTGTTCGCGAAAATGGGCGGAATTTGGATAAGAATCTTGTGAGTGTGTTCCTGAAACACGCTGTGAATCAAAATGATCATGTGAATGCCTTCCTCTCTCACACCCATAAACCATACCACGAAAGACCCCATTTAAGTCGCTTTATCTCCACATCGCGTTATCCCATTGTTGAATATCTCATGGTAAGCAGCAAACGAAATTGCCATGATAATTGCTCGGCAAAGAAAAGGTATTCAGGGTTGGTGGCGTTTTCGATATGGGACGCTGTAATTCTGGGCGCTTCCGATACTTAAAAGCAGGTGGAATTACTTGATTGAAGAGAGCTGGCAATGCTTGAGTCTGTGATATAGTATTTGTTCAACTAACAAATAAACACAACTATCTCACGAACAATTTACACTCAATAACACTCAATAAATATTGGGATTCGACATTAGAGAGAACATGCCAAATGAACAATCCAAACATTTGTCTTTCAACCATTAATCCGGGTGAATTAATGAAGAGATTTTTGCTCTCACCTCTCAAAAGAGTTACCTTTAAGCAAGCCTTTAAGTTTTTCCGTCCTCTGGAATTGTTAAAGATGCCCTGATCCCGAGGTGAAGGTTCCACCGCACTTACCCGCCAACGCACCATAAATATTCCACTTTTAATTAATTGTGAGTTTCTGTGAAATTGTAGCAGAAGTGAGGGAAAGAAATTGGAGAAGGGTGAAACGACCAAGTAAAAAAAAACATTCGCATGAGTGAGAGAATTAAGGAGACACACAGAATCCACGACAAAAAGGTGAAAGAACGTCGCACAGTGACTTTAATTTCCGCTAATCATTAGGAAAGTTTTTCTCTTCATCTCAAATTTTCACGGTATGGAAAAAGAGATTCTTAACACGAGAGAGAAGCAAGACAGCAAAATCTTGGCAAAGTGTCGCGACATTCCTGACTGATGGAGGGGCTTTTTTAATTGAATTCCTCCCGCGAACCTCTCATGGTTGACAAGCGCGCGCCAGTGAGAAAATATGAGGGAAATGTTTTATTCAATTTCTCCCAACCTGTGTGTCATTGAATGCTCAAAAAGTTTGGAATTCGTGAGTCAACATTCAACCTCTTCTTCGCACTAAATTTAATCATGAACCCATCGATTCACAATTTTGGGGGGTGGAGAATGCCAGGCAAAAGGGAATCGTATTAATTTTCATGCGCGATAAACACATATTTATATGGCGTTCTTGGAACATAATTAGTCGCAATTTCCATGCACGAGTTAATTGATATTGCAATGCCATGAACAACGAAGTATCAATAATGTGTCATCTATCGCATTTGGGCTGATAATGCACTTGTGAGCTTTCACAAAGTATCTCTCACCTGAATTAATATGCAACACGTCGCCCTGGAGGTGTTTTGCATTATTAATTTGTGCTGTGCAATTAGTTGAGCTTCAATAAAAGGGAGAATAGAATACAAGTTTGTAATATATGTGATGTTTATCATTGGCTAATAAATGCGGAAGCTAAACCTACATTTGGGGCTAAATTAAGGTTGGAGTTTATCGATATAATTCAAGCATTACATATTTAGAATTTTCATTCTAAAATCGAGAACTTGAAATAGGCTCCTCATTATGTGTAGCCTTGTTTAATTTCCACCCACTGAAACCACTAATCTTCGCTATATTGCTTGTGAACTAATTAAATTAATTTTCCTATTTATTTGTTGAGATGAAATTACATCGGAAAACACCCTAGAATTTCATTCATCACGCTGCGTCGCTCTGGCGATGGTGGAGGAATAAGTTGAGCTTTCATCAGGTAGCTTTAGAAATCCTTGCCACAAGCACGTGACGATGAAACCATGAAAATGGCAAATAATACATGACTGCATGAGATTATGAGTCAATGCTCTCAATTTTCATCATCCCCATTACATAACGTTGAAAATGAAGAAAAGTTTTTTGGTTTTAATATGTTCACGTTTTATTTGAGTTTGAAAAAAGTTTATATCAACCCGGGAATATATTGAGTTTCTCCTCCTGGATCTGCACGTTTATCGCAATTGATGGGTCGGAGGAGAGATAGACGAGAGTATAGGTACAAGATATAAATTGCAAAAAAGAGAGTTACGCTTTTCACAAGATGGATGGAATATTTATTTATCTCTCGCAAGCAATAAATTTTTCTTCGGAGAACAACTGTGTTGAAAATGTTAAGACGCGCTGAGCTGGAGGGGGTTTCTCATCTTTCCTCATGTGCTTATAAAAGTGGAGGCTCAACACTGATTAGTGATGTCTTGAGTGTTTTCCATGTGTAGGCATCCTCAATAATGACTAAATGAGTATTATATCATGCCCGAGTCCCTGTGGCAATTAATCATCATCAACTAACAACGTTGTGAATGGAATTGTGTGTGCTTCAACTAAATTGCTATATAAAAACACCTTAAGAAGAGAGATAACTGGATTCAATCCATGTTATAGTTGCGCTTATGAAGATTACTTTCATTGCAAAAGTGTTTCCTCCACAAAGTTTCCTCCAGTGACACAATGAAGGCGGAATGAAATATCAAATGAAGAGTCTTTATAGAGTGTCTCTAGAGGTATTTTCCATTAAAATATCCTTAAGTTACCCACGTCTCCGTCGCGTCGACAGCCAATGAAATGTGGCAAGGAGTGACGAAGAAGGTTGACACACGGCGATATGAGGTGACGACGAGGATGCCACAGGATTTTCTTCGGTCATAAAGTTTTGAAGAGCCAAAAGGTGTTTTTGCCATGATATATTTTATCGCAGGGAAAGCAATAGTGTAGAATAATTACCCAGTCGACATGGCAAAGTTCAAATAAACACTGTGATGGAGATTGTTTTATAAAACTTCTCATTACCCACAACTTGCAGGATATTCCGTATATAAATGTCCATGTGGTCAAAGGCAAACATTAATAGAATTATTCAACATTTCCTCTAGCGTGGAAACTCAGTTTACAATAGCATTTACCCAGGCGAGAAAAAGCCATCAAAATGCAGCATCAGCACAGTCGGGATATCTGTGGGCGGAAATACTGGGAATTTAGTGGGTGGAAAAAGACATTATTGCAGTATCTCTGCATGCCATAAAAGACCCTTTAACACCTCCTTAGTCCTTATCGCTATCCTGCCATTTTTCCTGCTCAATGACACAGTCCACTTGCTTCCTTTTTCTCACTTTATCGAAGAGGAAATTAATCAATTTCTATTGCCAAGAGCACTGATATGTGGAAATGAGGTGGAATTTTAATTTCATCCATAAATTATGCTCTTGCTTCCCTTCCACCGTTTCACGAATATGCAGCCTTACTAACAGTGTTTTCTTATGAAAATTAACACCATTCACGCAGGAAGTTTATTAGCGCTTGCACACGAATGGATTTTACCTCAGGGATTTTCCCAAGACGAGACTGAAATACCAGGAAATCATTGAAGGATGTTCATATTAAAATTTATAGCGCGTATTTCACAGCAATTTACGACAAATATTCAGTTTTACTGTAACTTCAAATCAAATAGGTACAGATGCTCTGATATTTTCTATCTAAACGAAACGAAATTTAAAGCTACAGAATTGTAGATTTTGTGAGTCAAATTTTGAGTGCTTTCCTAGTGATATTATTTTGTTTTCGAGTATCGTATGAATTATTCGTATTATGTATGTATATTCATGAGGTAAAAGTTGTCTTCAAAGATAAATGAGAAGTTTGTCCAATTTGGAGAAAACTGCCATCAATAATATTTCCGAGTTTGATTTGAATAGAATTCTCTCGCGAATTTCTGCTGATATTGCAGAAATAGAGATTAAGTGTACGAATGTTTCTCTGTATTGTTAGTGGTTTTCATTGAGCACATAAAGATCTCTCGAGATATCTTTCATCCCCGTACAAGTTTTCATATGTTTGGTCTTTTCCTTGTTATACACACAAAAACACAAGGCAAACACAAAACTATGATAACAAAGAGAAACCATCAATGCATACCTCAAAATTCCTCTTTCAATTTCTCTTGCAGATTCGAATTTTGTCCTGGGAAATGCTCAGGTGGCTGGCTATCCAATTGTCTACTGTTCAGATGGTTTTGTGGAGCTGTCCGGATTCTCTCGTGCACAAATTATGCAAAAAGGTTATTCATACGTATTATTTCACAATTATCCCGCAATTTCTCCGACATTGCCAGTGATATTCTTGGCCAGAGATAAAAAGCGTTGGAATTCTGTGAAATAAAAAGCTGCCTCTTTCAGGATGTGCCTGTCGCTTCCTATACGGCTCGGAGACAAAGGATGAGCACAAGGCTCAAGTGGAGAAGAGTCTGGATGGAAAAATCGAGCTCAAGCTCGAGGTTATATTCTACAAGAAGAATGGTGAGTCCATTTGTACAGAATGATGTGAGGCTTTCAATTTCGTCCTCAAAGCATTCTTTAAATTTTTTATAATCACAAAAGGCAACATGTGAATGCTGGAATGCGTCTATTCTCCAAATTACTCGCCTCTTTTGTGGCAACCTTGTGTAAAAGTCATTCTCTGACGTCTCTTGTGGCACATTTTGGGGTGACAGAAAAAATATATTGCGTCCATGGGGAGAGGGTGGGACCTTTTTTGGGGTCGAAGGCGAACTTTCACTGAAATGTCTGCATATTTCATTCGATAAATTTATCGCCCATTTTCCACCTCAATTGACACTCTCTTCCGCCTCATCTGACACAGTTAGTGTCTCTCGGCGCGACTCTCGGGAAAGTTTGTGGATTTTCACTTGTTCCGATAAGAGGAAATCTTTTCCGTAATTGAGATCTGTTATCTATCATCACGCTCGCAGAAACGCATATTCTCTCGCCGGAGTGATAAAGCGTCGCGCGTTTTGCACACAACTTTCTGGCGGAAATTCTCCTCTCGGTTTAAGTTTTCATACCCGCGGCGAAAGTTCTCGTATAGCAACTGCTATTGCTGCGGAATGAATTGCGGTTGATGATATCCTCCTAGTAAATTATTCCTATAAATTATAATACACTTGTGAGTGAAGAAATGAACATTATTCGAATGGTTGATCATTGTTCCTCACCCATTAATTAAACCGCTTACTCATTCGCATATTGGACGGTCTGACACAGGCAGAATTGACAATTTGGCAAGCGCCAGTGTCATTTAATATTTTCCCTCTGTCTTTGATTAATTGGTGAAATTTATCGGTATTACTTTTGAGGGCGAATTTTGCGGTTTCCTGGCAGATAATACAATACAGCGACATTAATCGATAAGTCTTCTGATCCTTAACTTTCGGAAATTGAATTAAGTGCAAAATGGCCAATGTGATTTATTTCAATTTCCACTGTGGTCTCCCTTTTTATATAGAAAATCTCTGTGAAAAAGTGTGCATGACAAAATATTCCGTAAATGTGGGATGAAAATATTCAATTTGGTATGCTAATTGAGATTAATGTCGAATAAATAAATTTAGCAAATTATTCAAATTACTCACTGACTGGCTGTGGTCAAAAAATTAAATTATTCACTTTTTGGAGAAACATATTGCCCTAGGGTGACTTTAAATGACTTTACGTTCAATTAATATGAAAATCATTGAGGAATGCTTTGCGGATTATATGTATTTTGAAATTGTTCTCATCTTGGGCAATTTGCAATTATGATGATTATTTTTAATGAAAACAGAATACGAGGGAAAATTCACATTGTTTGCATAAACTCTTTTAGTCATTCTATCTCCTTGTTTTGTTTCGTATTCGATTTGAAATTGTTTTTATTATTTTTCAACTTCCAATTTCTATCCTCGTAAGGAAAATCATTCCGCCTAAAAACTCCACATTCTTTAAATAAAGAATTCCTAAAATCAAGATTTGTGTATCTCAATTCAATTCTTGGTTACAATTTCTCGTGTTCTTGTTTTTTGGTTCAGGCTGGGGAGAAAAATTGCCATGGAAATATTTCTTAAAGTTGTTTTGATGATGCCTGTTTTTCGTCTTGTCTCTGCAGGAACTCCTTTTTGGTGTCTTCTCGATATTGTTCCAATTAAGAATGAGAAACGTGAAGTGGTTCTATTCTTGGCGTCGCACAAGGATATCACAAACACCAAAATGGCAGAAATGTCCTTGTCTGATGAATGTGATAGCGGTGAGTAAATAAAATTTCACGCAATAAAATTTACATCATCCCTCCTCTTAATCGTCTAATAAAAAAAATGGTGAAAGAGAAGAGCTTTCTATCAACTTTTTTGGTACATATAAGGGCTCTCAACCCCCAAAGAACTCTCCTCTCTTTTATCATTCCATTTCTGTGGCGCACACATTTAATACACCAATATTATTTATTACATAAAAAGAGATTTTTAGACACGTTCACAGAGCTTTCTATGTACATCAGTGTAACACATTTTTACACATTATGTATTACACATTTTATTTCACTCGATGGAAATATATATGGAGGCTGCTTTTCCCATACCCACAGAATTTCCCACTTCGTGAGCAACATCAGAAAAAGCATATTCCTGAATGGGCTTGTGTCTGGAATTGCATATTTGAAATTTCCTGCCAACTTTCGATATAATGTGAATGAAAGAAGTGGCGAGAAATATGTGTTTGAGTGTTCATACATATTTTTGGCTCGATTTTAGCCGCTACATAAACCGAAAGTTTTGATTTTGCCATCAATCGAGCACTTGACTCACCTTATTTGTCACAATTTCCTCAAAATTGCCGATAAAAGTGTTGTGAAGAAAGGCAATAAATCACCTTTGGCACGAAAGTAATTGAAAAATATTATAATATTTGTTTTTATCATTCTGTTTGCCTTTAATTTGATAACGTCACTAAATGGCAATAATACACTTGATCAAAATCACAAATTGTGATGGTGATTTTCAAAGTGAAAATATCTGTATGATAAATTTTGGGAGTTTCTCACCCTCTAAAACACACATTCATCGGTGTGAGCTTTCAGGCAGATCGAAAGCTCCACAGCAGAGATACATATGCGGAGGAAAATGAATCACTTCGTGTGTTCCCAGCAATGAGTGAGCGAATTGAGTCAACAAGCGTGAATCACTTCTCTTTTTCGGTGCTCCTCTCTTTTTTTTGTCGCCACTCGAGGGCCTCCTTCGTGAGGCAAAGGGAAATGAGGAAAATTTTACGATGAAGTGTGGGTCGCCCCCCAGCATCTCATTCTCTCGTGTGTTGAGGGTTCCTTTTCCGTGGAGAGTGTATCGGCACGCATGTGGGTGGGAAATATGTGATTGTATGTCATGACAATGTTGCTGACTCTATCGCATTTTGTGGGGTGTTCGTCTGTGTTTTATACATCACATTTTCATCATTTTAAGAACATGATTATATTGTCAATTGTCATGGTGAGAGGGAGGAATTTTTCTGAAAGGCTTTCCCCACATTCGCACTCATCATCGCGCGAAAGGGAGAACGCTTGTGTATTTTTATTTCATGCTCAGGGGCGCGTGATTTTGGCGCAATTATTTCATTCTCCAGAAGGGAATATTGTGAAATTCTCAGAACCCCTTTCCTTCGGCCTTTTCTGTGCCGCCAGTCCAATTAAAAGCCACCAGCGATTCTTCTTTTCACGCCTGAATTGGCGAAGGATTGAAGGGTTTTTCATGGAGAGCCACACCAGCTGCTGCACAGATATTCAGGCACAATATTGCCTGATGCTTTAATTTAATTATTATTATTCGCTCTCTGACGCCTCATTGAATTGAAAATATAACAATTGGGTGATCATTTCTTGCCCTCGCCATGCGAAAGAGGAGATAGAGTCACAGAAAATGAGGGAAGGAACGTGACTGTTGGAATTGAAGAGGAGGAAAACGATGACACAGTGCCTTTATCGTTTAAAGGGTGACTTTTTCACGGGAGCGAATGGGAAAGGTTTGCTTTATTCTCTACCTATTCCTTAGCGGAGGAAATTTATTGAGAAATAAACATTCAATTTGCGGTTAGTTGACCAATATTTATTGGACTTTGCCATGGGCTCAAACTACAAGACTTTCGGCAATGTTGAAAGGAATGTCTGAGAAATGGCAATTTAAAGACATTCATGGCTATATTCTTATCTTTCGACCACACACTCTTTCCTTTCAATCAACCCTCCAAATATAAAATTATCCCTTGACCCTTTCTCACCACTTCTTCGCAACCCATTGGAATTCCTTCGTGGATAGAACATGATTCAGACAGAGCGTAATTGCAAAGGAACAAAATCAATTTCTCTATAAATAAGTAGAATTCCAAAAACTTAATTTTATATATGTATTCGACTTAGAGATGTTTTCTAAAGTACAATTCTGGCACTTTAATACACAAGAAACGAGAAAAAATCTCAAATCGTGAATGAGGAGAGTAAAATAAATAATTTATGCTGACCCTCTTGCTGTCCTCTGAGATTCATGAAACTTTTCCCATTCACATCCAATTGACTGTGTTGAAGTAATTAAGAACAGTTCTTATTATCTCATCTCATTTCATGGAACTTGAAGATATTTTCTCCGAATTATCAAGTCAAGAGACTATTTATTGAATTATAACAAATTAAATTACATTTGAAAATCATTTTCCCAGCGCCGGAACTGGCAATTGTTTTCAGAAAGCTTCAAATCCACCGAGATTATTTCCTTCTGAGAAAAAAAACAACTTTCTTATCCACAAATTATAATGTTTGTACGCTCTTCTCAATCTCCAAGGAACTGAAGTTTAAAAAATAACTCCTCCCATTGCGATGCTACATTTTGAAGGCTTGGGGAAAATTGCCTGCTCATGGAAAGTGACTTTTCAATTTAAACGACTCACCAACACCTGTTGTACCTCTCTTTTTTCTTCAAGTGGATTATCTGACTGGCATTGTTCCAACTAGTTGATGCCAGATTTTATGAAGGCGCAGAAGTTTTCTGTCTTTCGAATGCTGTGTTGAAAAATCAGCGAAATTTATCTCGAAAAAAAAAAACACTTTTATGGACACATTGATAAGGGAAATTCTTATGCAATTAGTGTCGACGTCTTTCAGCTTAAGTGTCACAAATCCTCTAGACTAGCTGAAAAAAGTGATATCAGGAGAGTGAAGAAGTTCAGAGTTGCGTAGAAAACATTAAATAAATTTTATTGCAGAGATTGCACAAGTGTTCCAAAGGAAAGTTTTTCAGTGGCAACAAGGAAAAGTTGGACTTTGTGCTTAAATATTTGATCATGTTAGAAGTAATTTCTCAGCATGAAACTCAAACTAACACAATGAAGACTACGGAGAGACAAGTGGCTCTTAATTGCTACTCTGGCGCACAAAATCTTTTAGAGTTTTCATCTCTTGGATATATTCTCAATGACTCTATCTCATGGGATTGTCTTGTGAACCTTTTTGCATCACTTCCTCTTTTCCATGTCCACAAATGGTGGGAAAAGATTCACATGTACAGCTTGTGAGGCGGAGAGAGACATTTCTTCAACTTTAGCATTTTTCCCAGTGCCTATACGGAAAGTTTAATGAAATTTTTCCGTTTTTATCTCTTTCACTTTAATATTACAAAAATATAACTTCATATATAATTGAGCTGGATATTTGTAATGTTGTAAGTATTTCTGAAGAAAAACCTCGACAATAAAACAGTAGTAATGCAAAGAAAACCTTCTAGGGGTGTTTTTAAATTTATCTCTTCTTCTCTTCGCAATATATATAGAGCTAGAAGTCTCGCCAAGAGCGAGTCTGTGAAAATATGCTGTAAACTACATCGCGCGCTTTTGCATGTGTCGCTTTTTTCTGCTTTAGCTTTCTTGCACAATTTTTCATCTAAATAGCTTGTCTCTCACCATTGTTATTCACCAGCTTACCAGCTGAAATAATCCCCTCTTTGTCTATCTCTCGCTCTGCCTCATTTGTATGGCAAGCTTTTCCCGCATCCTGCAGAGGTCTCGTCCCAAAAAAAGGGTTGCAAATGGACACCCTCGGACACGTAAATACAACTCGTGGGGAGGAGGAGAGGGCCTGGGAGAAAGTTTAGATTTAGACCCCCGAGGATTGATGAACAGACGACAGGGGGGAAATTTGTGGAAATAAAAATAAAGTGGGTGAAGGGGAAAAGTGTCTGTTAAAAGCCAAACTGCACCATTGACAAATGGTCGGGTGTTTTTGGGAGTCAAATCATCCACACCAAATTGTCCAATTGAACGGACATTTGTCTGCAAAGGCTCAGACAGACTGGAAAAACATGGCTCAAATCTCTGGGTTGAAGGAGAATCACATTGGAACATGTGTCAGCGATAAAATGTTACCAAATGAGACATTTGCATGTAATTTAAAAGTCGAATCACGTACTTTTTCCACTTTCTCACGGTTTTATTCTATTTTTGGGGCGATGTTTTTCTCACCTCAGCTTTGGGGATATAATTGAAAATTGAATATTTCACTTAACTCACCTCCGCTTCGTTGAGACGTGATTTCCGAACTGGAACAACTTCTGGTTTTTAAGTTTGTTTTCAGCGGAAAATCCTTTAATCCATCAGGGAAAGTTAATTATCATTTTTTAATTGCTTGCAGCTTTCAAACATACATAAAAACAAGCTTTTTGAAAGTTTACTCATAACCAAAACTCATTTGGCTTTCAGTTAAAATGAATGATGGGCAATGTTAAGCTACTGATTTTATCTTTACTATTTCTCTACTCTGACTCTTTCGCCTATTTTAGTGAGAAATATACTTTGTATCAAATCATCAGAGAGATTTTCTTCTAACACCGTCAGAATTGCTTTTTTCTAGGATTTCTGTCCTTTCACGCAATAAAATCTTCATAAGATTTCCGTGCCGAGAAGAAAGTCTCTCGTGAAGCTGAGATTTCAAGTGTGTTTCTCAATTAATATTCATTGAGTTGCGACTCTTCACGAGGAGAGATTGAATTGAATTTATTTCGGTCACGTGATGCAATTTTCTGTCTGGGTCCACAAGACAGGAAATTGCAGAGAAGAAGAGCTTGAAAGTGTCATGAGCTTTTCCTCTGCAGTCAACTGTGGTTGATTAAGTGGACAATTTAAGTGTGATCTTTGATGGGTGTTGGTCATGAAATTGGACAATTTTATCCTTTGCAGCTGCCTTATTGGGTGCACGTTTTAGATCATCAGCTGACTCCTCCTTACTTCCAGACGATGGTGGTTTGGCGGGTGACTTTGATGTCCCAAGTGGGGTCAACATGGGCCGCAGGCGATCACGGGCAGTGCTCTATCAACTGTCTGGCCACTACAAGCCAGAGAAAGTCAAGACAAAACTGAAATTGAACAATGTGAGTGTCAATATTTGAATTCACCCCTTCTTTTGATGGTCATTTCTCCAGCTAGAGACTTGAGGGAAAGTTTCCACAACAACCCCAACCCGATGATGCGGAGAGTGTGGGAAAATGGCATGAGTCGTGATAATTTTCAATTTAATCGACAAACACTGTCCTGGTGAAACGGGGGTTGTGAGCAAAGTTTCCTGATTAACACCCCGCAAACATTCTTCTCATGCAATTGCTGGGAAAATAGCAATTCAGAGAGGCATCAATTTGGAGTATTCCAGATGACGATGGATTTTCCCTTGGATTTTCCACTGAATGCCAAAGGAAATTTATTTACAGAGTTGAGCAACAAAAGTATTTCAAGTGTAACTTGTCTGCAGTCGCGATCAGCCCATGTCTCCTCCTATTCTATGTTTCTGCACAACTCTGGGGAATGCTCTAGAATTTATCCAATTTATAACATCACTTACATCCCGACTCTTGATTATCCCCGCAGAATCTGTTGCACTCCACGGATGCTCCCCTGCCGGAATACAAGACTCAAGCCGTGAAGAAGTCCCGCTTCATCTTGTCTCACTATGGCATGTTCAAGGGATGCTGGGACTGGCTGATTCTCGTGGCAACGTTCTATGTTGCCGTCGCGGTGCCGTACAATGCAGCCTTTGTCAAGACGGATCGCATGACAATGGCCTCAGACGTTATAGTGGAAGCTCTTTTTATTGTAGGTGAGTTGCTTAATATGTTCCCCCATAACACTTATGTATGCACACCATTCCTCAGAAAGTGTGGAGCGAGTTGGGTAATTTAATACATATTCCGGAGCTTTAACCACTTAAAGCTTCACAGACAGTAACACATGCACATGCATGCACATAGCGTTACCCCATAATAGAGACAATGAAAATCGCAGGGCAAATTAAATGAAGGTGGAGCTTTAAAGAGTGAACTTTAGACAAAAGCTTTGCTTAAAGCTATTAAAAAAGTTTGACGCTCTTGAAAAATTTATGGAGAGTTTTTGTAATCTTCCAGCGACTCTTTTACAATGCCATAAAGTTGTGAGTTATACATTGTGGATTTGCTGGGAATTCCTGTGAAAGAGTTTTTCAGTGGAAAAACATCCTTACAAATTCATTAATGCAGCTCAGCGTGCTTTTTGTCTTGCGTACGCGTTAAAATTCAAAAAGTCCTCCCAAAATCCCATAATGTTGAAGAAGCTTTGTGAATTGCTTGAAGCCATTAAAGATGGATTTTTTGTGGATTTACATCCACTCTATTGAGCTTACATTCTCATTCACATTCTTCAAGGAGGGACAATGCGATGCGGGGCAAAAAATTGAGGAAATTTAATGTCTCGTGTCGCACTTATTCTCACTCCACTCACGATGGGAGAATGAACGACGAATAAGGCATTTTTGTCCTTATTACTTGTTTACAATTGCCTCACACTTTTATATAGCACCGAATGACTCTTGAGCACTGAATTTTTGATGACGGAAGTCATTTATCTGTATCAAGAGGCAAAGTAATTTCTTTACAGTGAATGCGCAAAAAAACACAACCTCCAGTGGAGATTGCGAAGATGGAAACCAAAGTATCTGAATAAAGTAGTACATACTGAGAGAGTGTGAGGATTTTTCTTGCGGAAGTCACGTCTTCGAGTAAATAGAACATTAGATTATGAATTACTCTAACATGCTTTCCACATTAAAGCGTGGCAAATACAGAATGACTTGAGTTCACAAAGCGTACAGTAAATGAGATTTTCATGAGTTTGTCTGGGTGTGTTTGAAGTGAAGTTGCGCATGCAATTATGAAGAAATTAATTGCGAAATTGCATGATAAATGTTTCAGAATGAAAGCTGCTTTTAAAATCCCACACATGTGCGAATAAATCGTGAGTGTTCTAAAATAAATCTCTCTTTTGGAAAGCAACTTCTCAATTTTACTTCCTATACCCTTTTCAACTCAAAGTGCCATGAAAACTATTCAGAAAGTTTGGTGACATAAAAATTTCCTCTCTTATGAAGTTATCAAAGCTCACATGACTTCATAGCTAAATACGAGCTCTCTCAATGGGGCTGAAATTCAATCCAACGGTGAAACTTAAAGCCAAGTCGTAGAGATTTTATGTTATCATATTATAGCGCGCTCTCTCTCTCCTCACTTTTCCAGATATTATATTAAATTTCCGGACCACGTACGTGTCTCGCAAGGGTGAGGTTGTGTCCGATTCGAAAGCGATAGCGCTCAACTATCTCAAGGGGTGGTTCGTGGTGGACCTCCTGGCAGCTCTGCCCTTCGATCACCTCTATGCCAGTGACTTGTACAGTGGCGAGGAGTCGCACATCCACCTGGTGAAGCTGACGCGACTCCTCAGGCTGGCGAGGCTACTCCAGAAGATGGACCGATACTCTCAATACACGGCCATGATCCTCACACTGCTCATGCTGTGTTTCTCACTTGTTGCACACTGGCTGGCGTGTATCTGGTTTGTGATTGCAGAAAAGGAGAGGATGTACAATGACATCGATTGGGACATTGGTGAGTGATAAAATGATTTCCCCACGAAGATTATGTGAATAATATTCTTCGGGGCTGTGAAAAGTCTGTGCATGGCATATGAGAGAAAAGGGAGTCCATCGATCCGATAAGTGACTTTTGATTTATTTCCTAAGAATGAAATATAAGGGAAAAGTTTCTACCCCTCGAATAACCCAATATAATCCTAAGGGATGGAAAAGAATTCACCATTTTCCTTCAGTCCATTCGTGATGGATGAAAGAATAGGGAGCTTTTCTCACCTCTACGGCCAAGGCTTTTCCTCGGAGTGTGTTTTGGGAATTTCAGAAGAGTCACTGTGGCAATTTACAAGTTTATCATTTTGTGTCTGGTGAGTGGCAACTTCCACTTAATGCTCCAGGAATTGCCCTCATTTCGTCTGTCTCAGAACCTCTCGCACGTTCCACCAATAAAACGGATAACATGTAAATGTGTAAAGGGTGTGTAGTAATTAGCTTCTCAACCCACACCACCCTAAGTGTTCCACAAATTTCACTCGACATGCTCATTTAGTGCACTGCGCGAAGGTACAGCTGGGGAAAGGGTTAATTTATCTATGTACACAGGCTCTCTGCTCAGAGCTTTCGCCTCGAAAGTTCACAAACATTCTCTCTGTACTGGAATGCGAACTTGACACGAAAGTAAATGGTGTTTTTTACACAAAGCCAACGCATTATAAAATATCTTCGGCTGTCCTTCAACTGTCTCTCTATCAAACATCCTATTAAATCTATTGTGGAAATTATTCACTTTGTTATTGATTTCACTTTGCATAACTGGATTTTGCTATTTCAACAACTTTCGCGCCAATTAAATCCCTTCGGAGAGTTTTAACAGATTTAAAAGTTGGAAAGAGCTAAATTATGAATAGTTTTACTCCATTTACGAAATGAATTCTGTGCTGATTATGCAAGAACGAACGTGCCAAATTATTTGAAAAATGAAACTTCCTTCCAATTTGCGCAAAAGCTCATCTTCAGCTTCAACTTCTCCGCACGAGATAATTAATCACAGGGCAATAATAATATAGTAAAAGACATTTTCGTTGTGTAATTAATGTGCAGGAAATATTTCGAGCTCTCTTTTCGAACTAGCAAAATCATACAGCGTTCATTAACATGATTTCCTCTGGCAAAAACAATGGAGATGTTGTACAGTGGCCAGGAAGCTCAGTAATTGATTAAATCCACTAACATTCTTACTCATCCGTTCTCATCATCCCACATAATGTGTGTCAATTTAATTCAGGCGAGCATAAAGAGTGGATTTGAGTGGCAACGATGGCAACAAATGCGGAGGGATTTAAATGTGAACGAGAGGAAATTATTGTCTTCCTTGTTAGTTAATTTCATCATTGTGGAATCAATTTGGCTGTGGCCGCCCCGCTGTTTTTATCTCCTCGAGGACACCAATGAAAATTTTATGATGGAAAATGGCCTTCTTCCAAGGGTGATTTCTTGGTGAATAAAAGCTCTCCAATGAATGATGATGTGCCCATAAAAATTATACGATGATTTCTATCTTTTCACAATTGTCCCTTGTTGGCTTTTCCGCTCTTTGGAGTCTATTTGACGCCTCTCAGGAAACAGTATTAACTTCAGACTATATAGTGTTCACCTAATATTTGATTTACATTGAAAGTTTCGTATTTATACAAGACACGGGAGAGCGGTTCACGAGTTATTGTAGATAATGAGCGCTTTGAGAGCTTAACGCCTCCCACAGAGCTTTTGTTATACATAACAATACGAATTGGAGTCATGAATTTCCTCTGGTTTCACAAAGGCCCATGAATAGGTGGAAAATGCTGTGATTTTGGTAAACGGAGAAAAATCCACTTTTGATGAGATTTCTTGCATTTTCCTCTATTCAGCATTGCGTTGTGTGAAAAGCGATGTAGAACGCAACATTTGCATTTCGTATATGGAATAAGAGCAGGATCAAGGGCAGGATATAAAAAGATATGCTCAAAAGAATTTCCACGAACCCATGAAAGAGATTTTCAAGTACAGAAGAAGAATACGAAGAGATTTTTCATAAATTTGACTATCATGTTTAGTGCTTTTCTGCGAAAGTTTATCCTTTCTTCTCTCCTCGTCTGCTTACAAACACGTCAATATCAGTTGAGATAGTTTCATGGGAGTTTTCAAGTTTGGCTAGAGTTTGAGTCGTTTGAGTGATCTAGGGTTTAAAATCCATCAAATATTAAGTCAAATACAGTCCTTCGCGTAGTCAAACTCAACATTCAACTTGATATGATGTTTTTTGCAATTACTGGTTCTATTCATAACTTTTATTGACTGATTTGTTCTCTTCTGAACAGCTATTTGTATTTTCTTGATGAATTTGCCGCAAATATTTCTTGCAGGATGGATGCATACACTCTCGGAAAGGCTCAAGGTTCCCGTGACGAATCTCACTCAAGTGGAAGTTTATGTCACCAGTCTCTATTTCACCTTCACCAGTCTCACTTCTGTGGGATTTGGCAATGTGAGCGCCAACACCACAGCTGAGAAGGTTTTCAGTATCATCATGATGCTTATTGGGGGTGAGTTTTGCATCTCTTTTTCCGAAATAAAGAATTCACCTGAAATTTTCTCACCTGACAACATTCCCAATCGCCCAAATAGCTCTCATGCACGCTGTCGTGTTCGGTAATGTCACAGCCATCATCCAAAGAATGTACTCGAGACGGTCTCTCTACCAGAGCAAATGGCGGGATCTCAAGGATTTCATCGCACTGCATCAGGTAGAATTTTCTTGAGTGATTTGTCAAGTAGAATTCCGTGTACATCGTGTCCTGTCTTTGCAGATGCCAAAGGAACTGAAACAACGAATGCAGGACTATTTTCAGACGGTGTGGTCTCTCAATCACGGCATCGATATCAATGAGGTGAGTGTGCGAAAGCTCATAAAGGTCCACAGGTATATGTATGTTTAATTCTATTTTTGGTCATGCAACAAGAGGCCGCTATTAATAGACAATGCGCTCAATTGGTTGGCAAACAAGTCATTGAATTTAGCGTGACGCTGAATTTGGAATATTCATGAGGGTGGCTCTGTGCCGAGGAAAAATACTCACTCTCTCTCTCTCTGTCCGCTGACCAAGATTGTGATGTTGGAAATAGACATGGGTTTGCCACAGACTCAGCTCCAGAATTGCAAATTGGAGGCATCTTCTGTCCAATTTCCTGACATGTACAAGACATTCATGATGGTGTGAACAGCAGGATATGAAGTCACAGCTCACGTTCGTTGGACAATAATAGCTTTCCCGGGCGGTCTTCAGGTGCGTCGTGAGGAAAATGGATTTGATTGTTAAATTGGATTATATCGAAAAATACACACTTGAGAAAGCTCCCACGTTGGATGGAAAATCCAACTGGAGGAAAAATTCCCAGGCATGTGGATTAGTAAGGCAAGAGACTTTGCTCTTTTTGCCAAAAAAAACAGAGAACTCGTAGGATTTTGTCATAGTCAATTATAATTGAGAATGTGGGTTGAAGTATTTTTGGGTTTATGAAAAAATCTTAAGAAGTCACCTTGTCTTTTTGCGCATATCTTGCCGAAGTGGGTCAAACGTGCATTTTGATAGACACTCGTCGTGTTGATATCAAACTTCTCTGCCACGGGTACCGATGGTAAGATATCGATAAAATTGAGTCTTATAATCCAGGGGATTAATTTTGAGACGGGGTTTCAGTGGCTGGAAGCTCATGCGAGAAAAGTTTTCTCGAGTGTTTTCGATGAGTGGCAAAGCTCTTCCTATACTCGATGTGAACTAGATGCCACCGATGGCACTCTTTTCCTCATGGCCTCGTCTAGATTGAGAGTACTCTGATGCTGGCCGAAAAGGAGGGATGGAAATTGCCACATAATTCAACCAAGAGAGCAACACGTAAAGCAATTTATGGTTAATAAAACGCTTAGCTGTGGGGTGTTGAAAGTGGGAGTCACTTTATGGATTACAATCCAATTAATAGTGGCACTTGAACCACATAAAATTATGCACCACACGATGGGTCATCTTCCAAGATTGCACAAACATCCGGGCATTCTCTAAGAGCGGAATGATGACAAATTACAGATGACAAATCCCCTCTCGTGTGGTTTTGGTGCGCAAGGAATTTCATTTAGGAAATCACTCTCAAGGTAGCAATCTGATGGGAAATGTAAGTCATTGCAAAATGTATTGTACAGAATTTTCCACTTTGCGAAGCATTCCTCGGGAAAAAAGGCACTAACAACATCTAATTGATGAGGAAATATCGAATTTCCCACACTTTATGCCTTCGCCAGGAAGACAAAGGAAGGAATTTTTCAATAAAGAGATTTATAAAAGGCGATTTTTGCTCATCTTCCTCACGGACCAGAGGAAGAGCAACAATTGAGCATGGATTTTCCTCAATTTCTCCGCACGTCTTTCGCTCGCATTTCCCTTCATATAAGATTTCTCTGTGTGAGACGAATGAGTGAAACTGAATTGAGATATTTTCCCCAATATTATTCCCCCTGGGGAAGTCTCGGTGTATCTCTAATTAATGGTTCAATGTTGACGAGAGGGCTTCGTGCTGTATCTTACACATCAAAGGGATTTTGCGGTGAAAATTCGCCAGAGTCACTCGTCCATGTACGAAAATCCTGGTGTCAGAGAAAATTTTTGGGTTTCACGATCAACATCAATTTTGATTCAATATAACCGAGGAATTGAGAATATCTTTCACTTTGTCGTTCTGAGGCTTCACCAGAGATTTGAGCAATGGCAAGACATGGAAGGGTGATCAATCACATTGTCTCACACCTCATCATGTTTCTCACAATGCTTGGGATACGCACAGCTTTCGGGCTGAAGACGAGGGAATATCAACAAAGACTCTTTTGTTCTGGACGACAAGAACATGTTCTGCACTCGGGGTGGAAAAGCACACACACACACACATGGCGGATTTAGTGATATTAGGGAAACTTTCAGATGAAATGTATCTTTGGGTGTATAACTGGAAGTCCAAAAAACTTTTTCTGCCATCTCAGGAGTTTCTCTTTAAGAAATATTACGAGCTTGAAACTTGCTTTCAACTACTAACTGAATAATGAAAGAACTTGACGGAAAAATGCCGGAAACATGTATTCACCATAAAATTGATTTGTTCTTGGAGTTGAGAGGGAAAAGCTTAAATGATTGATTTCTGCCAAATGTCGCTCAATTGTCACAACATTTCTCTTCCTCCGCATTTATGCAAGTAATTGATTTGGATGGATGCACATTGATTCCTCCAATGGTTTTCCACCCTGAGGCTGTGCGGAAAATCCCTCTGTGGCTGATGAGGAACTGCTCTGTTACAATTCTTTGCGTCTCTGACGAAGACCAAATATTTCTTCACTGGCGGATGGTGTCTCGCAAAGGCCGGATATTCGGACGGAAATGAGGAGAGCAAATAGAAAAGGATTAGAGGAACGATGGATGGACGTTCTCCGTCTCAGACATCGCAATTCAGGAGATTGGACGGGAAGGAAAAAACTCACTCAAGTAATTTTTCGTGAATTATAATAATAATAATAATAATAAATTTATTCTTCCTTCTTTTTCTTTTGTGTGCGGCTGCCGCCGGCTTCATTGCCAACCTCCCCGAGCAAACGGCAGAAAGCTCGGTTCTTCGGTCGTGTATGCCATTTGGGGGAAAAGTGTTAGTTACATATATAGGTTCACAGCCTTACAATTTAATAATTTAAAAACTAACATTTCTGTTTTGAGGCCAGCGTGTCACATATTAAAAGAAAAAGGAAGGAGTAGTGGGACAGCAAAACTCTAAGAGTTGAAGCGCTGCCCACGGGTTCAGTGGGATCGGGATACATGGAGGGAGAGGGACGAATATCAGCAATGTAATGGAAGAGAGATGCGAGTACGAGGTGGAAACTTCATGAGCAACGCGAAAAACAAAGAACAAGAGAGCACCAATATGAAGGGGGGGATGCAGGTGGCTTCATCCCATTAGGACGCTGGAGTTTGCCAAAGTGCGATGGTCTTTGAACTCGCGTGTACTTCTGTGTTGACAGTGTAATTGAAAATTTGCCAATTTTCACCCTTTGAGCTCAAAAGAATTGTTCTTCGAAGGCCTTCTCCACCCGAGGCCATCTTCTCGCAACGAGTGAAAAGTTAAATAACTTACTCTAACTAATCAATTAATAATCTCTCGTGGGTGTTTTTCCTCCAAGGATATCTCTCAACTACCCGTCTTTATTTATAGGTGAAGCACGTCAATTTAATCCAATTTCATCTTTCTTCTCTCTTGCAGATTCTCAAGGAGTTCCCAGAAGAGCTGCGCGGCGATGTTTCGATGCATCTCCACCGCGAAATCCTTCAGCTTCCCATTTTTGAGGCCGCCTCTCAGGTATGTTTTCACATCAATTAAAACTCCACAGCGCGTATTTTCACAAGGCCTTCGTAGGCGGATTCTCAAGAGCTTTCAGTGAAAAGCTTTGCCTCCTATATCTTTACATTCGCGCTTTAACGATCGACAAATTTCTGCCATTCTTTAATGGCTTTTCATGGTGCAATAAATCTTTGTATTTGCCGCAGCGATCCTATTAGAATTGACGCTTTATGGGCGCACATTTTAATGTTTTAATGTGCATCCAGCATCAGATGAATAAAATGCTTTGTGAGGGGAATTTAATTGACAAATTCGGAAATGTGAGAAGAAGAGCATAAAAATTTTAATTACTGCGTGTCACTGCGATGTTTGAGCAATTTATTGACTTTTTCACTAAAATGTTTAACACTGGCATCTGTGCAAATTACACCTGGTTTTTTTTGGCCAGTGCCTGAGGTGAATTCAGAAGGTTTATCAGTCACCATACAGAAATCCTGGGGACGTTGAATTCATTTAACTTGAGCTTGAGGGAGAACTTTTAATTTGATTTATAATATTTGCGAAAATTTCAAACATTCGAAGCATTTATTCAAATTATTATTTTATACTATTTTTATAAGGTCAAAGATTTAGTTCATGTCAGAAATTTAAATTCTTTCACAATAGCACATCTGCTGTCCCACCAATACACATCCTGGACACTGAAGCTTTTCTCTTTCATCTGCTGAAGCAGTTCTAATTTGACCTTAAATATAATTTCGAATTAAAAGCGTGCATTTATTGCAAATTCAAAAAATATCAAAAATAAACTATTTCCTACGGATTCAAAGGAGTCACTCACCCAAGGCCATTGCTTGAATCCCTGAAATGAACAATGCAAAATTAAAACAATAATCAACTTCAAATTTATGAATTCTTTTTTACTTGTCATGAGCAGAAAGAAACACAGAATTGAAAAATTGAATCTCATTTTCTCTGATTCACAATTGAACCAGCAATGAAAAAATGCACAATACTGAATCATTATACTGAACTTATAAAATATTTCAAAGGCATAAAATTACAGACGATAACATAGAATTTTACTCACAACTTTTACGACTTTATGGTTATTTATAAAACCATTCAGCTGCATCTTCAAACTAAATCCAATGTTCAACTCAAACTGTGGCAGACTGTTTGAGGCTGAAATATAGGGAACTGTATCAGTCACTATTCGTTAATCCTGCGAAGTTACAATAACATACTTAACTAGAGCCTGGCAGGGAAATTCTATCAGGCAAACTTCTGGACCATCGAGAGTGTAAATAAATTCAATCAACGACGATACTAAGTAGTGTACAGTCACAGAGTTTGATCCTCTTATTGCTATGAGTAACTCTGCGCTCTACAGGTATTGTGTAGTTCGCCATCGTTATCGCAATCTAGGAATTCAGAGATTTGACCCGATTTTACACACCAGGAAATACATGATTGGGATCACGTTCAATACAATTACCATGAAGTTCAGCATGGGAGTTTAGTATGGACGAGAAGGGCGCATTAAAGGAATTCGGAGAGTTTGTGTGTGAAAACAAAAGGATTGAATTTTGATTGAATTAAACAGCCACATAGCAACTGAAATGGCAACATTTCATTATACAGATTGCACGTCAATTCGCAGTATTTCCTGGTCATTCTCAGGGTTCTCCTTTATTCGCAGGGATGCCTGAAGCTGCTTTCTCTGCATATCAAGACAACCTTCTGCGCCCCATCGGAATTTCTCATCCACCGTGGTGATGCACTAAATCACATTTACTACATCTGCAATGGTTCCATGGAAGTTATGCAGAACAACATGGTCGTGGCGATTTTGGGTGAGAGAAGACTTTCAATTGAATTTTTTTGAATGACTTTCGCTTGAATTGGAATTTTCTTGGACATCTTACAAATCCTCTTTTCACTTCGGACGACAAATGATGCGAATCGAACAGAGAAATTGCTTGCAAAACGAAATTCTCCCCACAGCGATTCTAGTCAATGGGGAATGCAAATACATTCCTGATTTATGTTGTTGTGAAATGATGCATTGGAAATTGAATTGCAGAATTTTTGACTTTTACTAGCGAATGATGAAATAAATACATATAGGAAGATTGAAGAATTTTGCATCAAATAGCATTATTCGACAAGAGTTTCCTTTCAAAACAATCCATGAGAGATATTTGTCATAAACAATGACTATTCGAAGCTCTATAAATTGAAAAGAGCATAAACCTTGCATAGCTCAGCAAAAGCAGTTACCCAGCATACGAAAAACGTATTCGTGAATCAAAACTACTCATTTCATTCAATGTTTCGCTTTCCTTCTATACAATAAATTCGACATCCAGAGAGTCGTTATTTGTTTATGAGTTCATTGTATTTCTACATTTTCCCTCCCTGAAGATATAAGAGGAGGAAATGAATCAAGGAAAGACCTCAAAGAATTGATTTTCGCTGAAGTGGAAAGAAATTGTGAATGGCAGGACGATTTCTAATGGTTTGCCATTGAGATACAACATTTCACATTCGCCTTGTTTTAACAGGAAAGGGAGATTTGGTCGGATGCGACATCTCTGCGCACTTGTCCACCCACTCCAATGGTCAAGGAGCCAACACAAATGCCCAGACGTCGCAGGATGTTGTGGTGAAGAGCAGCAGCGACGTGAAGGCGTTGACTTACTGTGATCTCAAGTGTATTCACATGTGTGGCCTGGTCGAAGTCCTGAGGCTCTATCCTGAGTATCAGCAGGAATTTGCAAATGACATCCAGCACGATCTCACGTTCAACTTGAGAGAAGGATACGAAGCTGAGCAGGAGTCAGACATCAATGGACCTTCTCTAGCTCTGCCATCGATCAGTGAAGACGACGAAAACCAGCCAGAATCCGATGCGCACTCAGCTTCTCCTCAGACAAATGTCGCGAGATCTCCGCTGCACACAAGCAGTCCCAGGCACGGGAAGTTTCTGCAAAGGTGAGGACTTAGTCATAAGCCTTAGGGATGATAGACTCCAAACTGCGTTACGTTTTCCAGAGGGAGATCCTTGGCTGCCTTGAGGGAGAGAGTTGAGCGCCAACGATCCGTTCCCAATCAATCGCCTACGATGCAACGCACACAGTCCAACAGTCTGGAAGGCCTAAACCTAGAACAACCCCATAAGCGCTCCCACGATCGCCTGGACAGTCTCCACCAGGACGTGGCGGCGCTCAGTATTGAAGTCCGCAATGCCATCCAAGCCCTCCAAGAGATGGCCATGTCTCGCCTGGCCTCACAGGCAGATCTATCAGCTAGTCGCTTCGCTCCGGCGCGCTCCATCCCCAATCTGCCCAACGGCACGGGCCCCATGATGGCTTACGAGCAGCTCATGATGGCGCGCAGCTCATCCCATCCACCAGAGATCTGGGGCAGGGAGATGTCCCTGCCCGAGGAGCAGTTCACGCGGGGCGGTGGAGCGCCACCCGAGTATGCCGAGTCCGTGAGGAGTCTCAGTACCGTAGCCACGCAAACGGACGCGGCGATCGACTACGAGACACTCGAAAAGATCGTCCTCCGCAATCCGCGGCTCGTTCTCGGCATCCTCGGGATAGACGCTGTTTATCGCACGGAGTGCGAAGTCACGCCCAAGCCATCGACACTGAACACCATTCCGGAGGCTCTCAGTTCGCCAGAGGTAAGAAGAATCAGCCCCAAACGGAGTCGGTTGCATTACAAATGTCCTCTTTCAGGTGAGCAACAACAATCTCAATGGTCTGCTGAGTGATGAAATCATCGGAGAGGAGGTGCCCAATGAAAACTCTCGCTCCACTGATGCCCTCCTGGGCAACAGCTGCGAAGATGTGGCCGCGAAGGAGGACAATCCCGCCGAAAGCACCTCCTTTGCCGCCACTCTGAGGGAAAAGTACAAGTGGGAGAAGAGCCTGAGGAAGTCCATGTCGGACTTCGGGATGAGCAAGTCTAGCAGTAGCAACAGTCTAACCACAATCTCAAATAGCAAATCCACGGACTCAGACATGACGGGGAAGCAGAAGACCTCGCGGAGGTCCTTCAAGGGAGCGCCAGAAAAGAAGGAGTACGAGAGATTCTCCTCGGCTGAGAGCCCACCAGAGTGTCTGCCCTCCACGTCGGCCTACTTCGATGAGGCGGATGAGAAGAGAGCCCTCCTGGGCAGAGACACCAAGGTGACTCTGCGGCGCAGCAGCAGCAACTCTAGAGCGCCGGCAATCTATCGCTTCTCGGCAGGAGATGCTGACAAACTGGAGGCAGGCATAAAGAATCTGCCATCGACGAGATCCCTCAAGGAGAGCTGAATCCTTTCTTCACTCCCCCCATGTCTCTTCCCTCCACCCAAAATCACAAGTAGAATTTACTCTATCTCAAACTGTCCATCACGTGTATTTTTGACCCTTTACCTCTAAATTTCAGTGATAAGAGAGGCGAAAAAGTAATAATTTTGTACATATCACAAAATGAGAGTTAACAACTCTCGATGGGAAATTATTTTTTTCAATTAGAGTGCCTCTGAATTAACTTCTAAAAGAAAGAATCAACAATTATAAACTGAATGTTCAGCAAGAGACTTTGGCTTATCTTAACGTGGAAAAGAAACACTCTCTATACTCTTTGAATGTACATCTTTCGGAGTTTATATTTTTAGGAGAAGAAAAATCATGTGAATTACTGTGAATCTGTAACATTCCACTTACGATAAATTAACTTGAATTAAGTGACGTGATAGTTGGTAGTTAAGCACATTGATTGGCATCAAAATCTGCTTTATTTTAGGATGAATAAATGAAAATTCAATTGCATGATTTGTGTTGATGATCATGATTTCGAATAAAGGCGGTGCTAAAATTTGTTGCTTTTTGAGTAGATGGCGGTGTCATCGATGGAACATTCCAGATTTCCCAGATTTCCAGAAAGAAGCAAGTAAGTTGGAGAGCGCAGGAGAGCTCCTATCTAGACGGATTTTGCCCAGGAAACCTTCCTAATCCCGTTATCAGTGATAAATAACGTGAATTACCCAACCCAGCAACCTTGAGATGGAGCAGAAAATGCAAGAAGTGAGTGTTTTGGGAAAACTGGCCAAGAAATCCCGTTGCCTTAGGAATAACCTTAAATTTTGTTGTTTGTCCGGTAGCTGAAGAAAGACGTCGAAGAACTCAAGCTGCTACAAGAGCAAGCGGTTCGGGTGCGCGTCAAGGATGCCCTAAGTCTGGAGAGGAGGAAGTTAGAAATTGAACTCTCGACACTGCAGCAGAATCTGATCAACAGCAGCGCTTCAGCTTCCACTGCATCTTCCGGCCCCAGAAGATACGTTGTGGAGTTGACGAACTACGCGTTCGACCAGAGCGATGCCTTCGTGAAGCTCTTCGTGACCCTGGACGGCGTGCAGACAGTGCCTGAGGAGGGAGTGACTGTAACCTTTACGGAAAAGTCGCTGGAACTGAGAGTGTCTGATCTCAATGGAAAGGATTACAGTCTCGTGGTGAAGAATCTCTTGGAGGCCATCGTCGTGGAGAAGAGCTACAGGAAGATCAAGACGGATATGATTGCTCTCTACCTGAAGAAGGTGAAGCCAGGCAAGAAATGGGATTGTCTCACGAGCACCGAGAAGAAAGTGAAGGATAGTAAGAACAGCGCCTTTTCTATGGACGATGACGCAGACTCTAAAGACCCGTCAGCAGGCCTCATGAATATGATGAAGAAGATGTACGAATCTGGAGATTCAGACACTAAGAGAATGATCGCGAAAGCATGGACCGAAGCTCAAGAGAAGCGCGACGGTAATATGCCAATGCCGCCAATGCCAGAACTGTAAGCAGAAACGTTCCAATTCCGAGTAAATACAACTTTATTGTAAGCCCTAGTACAGCTGAACCACTTCTATCGTGTACCACTTGGCCGTTCCTTGCGTCTGACTGATGGTCTTGTTCTGGCTGATGCTGTACAAAACGGGTGACAAATTCGTCAGTTCATTGATATTCCCGTGGAAGCTGGAGATGGCTTTTCGCCACTTCTTCAAACACTTCTCAATCTTTTCATCCCCGCACATCACCAAGTGATGATAGTGAGCATCCAATAAGGCGGTGAACCACTGAATTATCCTCTCATCACCATCCCAGACTCTATCGCCGATCATCGGCCGCTCCTCGAGCTCAGATTCCTCCAGGACCGCGAGCAGTTGCTTCAGGAAAGAATTGACGTGATCAGCATTCAATTGACTTCGCAGTTCCTCAACCAGGAACTCATGGGAAAAGTCCACACTGAGCACTGTTAGGAGGAAGTCCCAATTCTGCTTATCCAGAGCATAAATCAGGCAGTTCACCAGCCTTTCCTCAGATACACAACTGTAGCGTCTCAGGCAATTTGTCGCTTCGTCTATTGTATCGCTTGCCAGAGTTAGAGAGATTAATTTGTTGGATATCTCATACTCTGAAGCCCCAGAAACTTCCAATTCAGTGGCGAGGAACTCAAATTCCTTCCTCGAGAAGACAGTCGCATGCGGATGCGTGAAAACCTTCACCTCCACTCCATCTTGGTGGCTTTTCTCAACAAACTGCAAAGCAATGCTTCGTCTCTTCAGTAAACTCAGGTGCTCGGCGAACTTTTCCTCCGAAGTCACGCGGAAAACACGTCTGTTGAATTGGAAATCTCTCTCTTTTCTAATCAGAGCCACTTCTTGAATATCTTCATCTTCTTGGCCGAGAAAATTCCGAGAATCTAATTCAATTTCCTGTTCCAGTTCATCCTCTTCGTTGATGTAATCCTTCTCCACTTCTCTGAATTTCTGAGGGCTTTTCTGACTGCCCACCATGTCAGCTAATTGAGCCTTGGATATCCTGAATGGCACAACAGCAAGAGTCTGTCCAGCCACAATGAGAATATTCGAGTCCACAACGAAGAGGCGAGAATTGTTGAAGTACACTTTGAAGAACTGCTTCGCTTGGGCGACATTGAAGAGAACATTGTAGAGGATCAGCGATGAGCCCTCCTGGCCGATGTTCGCCCCATAAATTGCCAGGTAGTCTGGAGAAACACTGATCACACTCAGAGGTTGCTCAACACTCACTGCACTGAGCATGGCGATGAATTGTCCTGGTCCATCTTCCTCCTCGTCGAATCTAATCGCTCTGCGGAAGATTCTCTTGTCTGACCAGATAGTGATGAGAACAAGGCCTTCTGTGACTGTGTAGCCCACCAATTTGCTATGTTGATCCCCACGCCGGAGATTAATCCTGACAGAATTACCGACAGGAGTGTGAGAAGCGCTTTCCAGGACGTAAAAATGAGCTTCCACATCTTTAGTCACCAGATTCTTGGCGAAATAAGCGAGGATAAACTCTCCTGTGAGTGTGGTCAAAACCTTTGGATGTTCAATGTCATAGTCCTGACCAAGAAGACCATCCTTTAAGGAGGCTGTGTTGGTAATCACTGCCGAGAGGGAGACGCTTGTGCCATCTTCAAAAAGGACTAAAGTCTCTCGATTATCGCCGAAGGTCACGAGATCCTTCACGTTTTTCTGCAACTATAGGAAGCTTTGAGATCTTCTCATCAACTTCTAGTGTTTCTTCTCTTGAGATTTACCTTAACTTTCCGAATCTTTTTGAGGTTCGTCTCGGAATCCGACCAACACTTGAGACTCCTGTGTCCAAACACTCCAACGTACTTTCCTGACTCTCCATCGAACACCACCTTGTTGGATAGCTTCTCCAACACTGTCCAGCTGCGAATTTGTTTCTGATCCTTCAGCTGGGAGACCAAAAACAAAATGTGTTAACAAGATCAAGGTGTAAACATAACCTCATCGCACCTTTGTAATTATGACGATGTTTCTCGCAAGGGTGTTGATAATTGCACCATCTTCTGCATCCGCTGAGACACCCAGGAACTCTCGGCTATCGTTCACAGGGCAAAGAGTGTAGTACGCGAGTAATTTAGCCATTTTTGCCACCTGAAAAACACCGAACAAAAACAACGCACGCGTGATCTCTGCCACTGACAGCCGCGAAGGGGAAATCGTGTGTCGCAGAGTAGGAGTGAGCGAGACAACTATATGGATCGCGTGAGATGCCAACAACAATAGTGGTTATTTTCTTATCTCACATTAATTCCTTTACATTTTCATTCTTGAATTATTCTCGTGATATTATAATCATGTCGCTGTGATTCTGTGCAATATTCAACCACAGAGTAACAATTGGAAGAATTCTGGGGGGGGAAGTTTTGAAAATTCACCACTCGGCGGGAAAATCGAGGGGACTCATCGACGATGAAAATGGAGTCCTTGCGAGTTTGCCGCGTCGCCGCCGGAGGCGTTGGTGTCGCACATCGAGTTTTCATCGACGACTCTCTTGGAATTTGTTTATTGTGAGAAAAATCGCTTCTGGCATCGATTAAACAGTGTTTTCGGCCTGTAAAATATTTCAAAGTGTTCCGGGATTGTCTATTGTGCCGCTGGTAGTGCTTATGTGGTTCCAGTAGTGACGCAAGTGGTAGTTTTTGGGGCGACAGCCAAACCTAACCTCACTCAGTGTTGGAGGCCTTCGCCTCCCTCTTTTGCGACTTTTTGGGGCTCTCTGCGACTGCAGAGTGCCTCGGGGGCTGGTGAGGGGGCCCCCTGGATCCAAGTGGTGGCCGCCAAATGGCGAAAATGTCGGAGTACAGGTGTGTGAACTACTACGAATTGTGTCGCTTGTGCACTGGGAGTCATGGGACAAAGGTGCACATATTCTCGGAGGATGGGAAGAAGAGGAACCTGTTCAACAAAATCACGGGCTGTCTGCCCATTCAGCTGAGCGAGAAGGATAAGCTGCCCAAGATAGTGTGCGGGCAGTGTTTGCAGCAAGTGGAGTCCATTATGGAGTTCCGGGAGACGTGCATAAATGCCCAAACAATGCTGGAGAGTTGTCTCAACTCCTCGAAGCTGCGCAATGAGGGAAAGGTGTACATCAAGGATGTGGTGGCGAAGAGGAATGTCCTGCCAACGGCCACTCCTGCCCTTGTCACCGTGCGACCGGCGACAATGGCGAACTCTGTGAAGACAGTGAGCGCAATTCCAACCAGTAATGTCACTCAGATTTCCACGCAGAACAGCGACTTCCTCAGCAGCATCATCCAGGCAGTGGGAATACCGGTGAGCAGTTGAAGAATGCACTGGGATTAGACGCAAATTCTTATTGATAGCATTGTTTTTGTTTACAGTCTGTTGAGGAGGGCACCATTGAGACACAGACGCCAACGCAAATCACTCCTCAGTACACGCTCACCCTCGATGGACAGACTCTCAAAGCCAATCCCATTCAGTACAAGATCAAGGAAGAGCCCTCGGGACCCACTCTCGTGGCCACGACCACTGAACAGCAGCAACAGCAGCAATCGTGAGTATTCCGTGAGCATTGATAATCCGAATGGCGTTGATTGACGAATTCACTGCATTTCAGGGCATATGCTCAAGTGGACGAGTTCTTGAAACTGAAGACCACCACGCAAATTGGCTCCACGCAGATCACGAGGCGCACCGTGAAAGCCGTGAAGGCGCCCGAACCGCCAAAAAACAAGAAGCCCAAGATAAATCTAGTTCTAGCCACACCAACGGCTTCTCAGCAGCAGACCAAGGTCGTGACGACACCTTCGATCACTACGACGCCGGTTGCCATGAGCACGAGTCCCACTAAGACGGTGGCTCTGCAGGATTTGAAGATTTTCTCACCCACCAACAAGTGTTTCTTGCCCATCACACTCAAGGACGGGAGCACAGATCAGCAGATACTCACGCAGATCGACACAAAGAACATCGTGCTGCCGGCGGCATTTCTTCAGATGAAGCTGCAACCACAGCTGACGACCGTGGATGGACAACCGGTGGTGCAACTCACGCCTGCCGCAATTCCCACCAGTTTGTCCATCTCATCGACGCCCACGGCGCAAATTCAGCAGGCGCAGACTTCGACGGTGTCGTCGAGTCTGGCTGAGGCGGTGCAGAATGCCGAGATCATCTTCACGACGTCCACGGCGCAGTTCCAGCAACAGACGCAGCAAGTGCAGCCAGTCAGTCAGGCGTCGACTGTTCGCATAACACCGCTCAGCAGCACATCTCCCGTCGTCACGGCGGCCAGTCCGTCGCCCCAGAAGATCTCTCAGCCCGCCACTATTACCATTCAGACATCGCCGCCAAAGCCACAGTTGACGAAGCTGGCACAACCCGTGCAACCGAGGAGGATCACGATTACGAAGAAGCCCGCACCAGTACCGGTCGCGCTGCAGAAGGTGGAGCCTCCGAAAGCGCCGACACCGGTCGCGGTGAGCACGGTGATTCCCACGACAACCACCGCCACGACGACCACCACCATCCGGACGGCCAACATTCCGCCCAACTGCACCACCTGTGACACGTGCGGCAAGACGTTCAAGCGCAAGGAGCACCTCATTCAGCATCTGAAGCTGCACGCCGGCCTGAGGCCGTTCAAGTGCGAGGAAGTGGGCTGCAACAAGACGTTCAGTCGCAAAGAGCACCTCATGAGGCATGTGGTTTCGCACACGGGAAAGAAGATGTTCAGCTGTGAGTTCTGCCATAAGTTCTTCTCACGCAAGGATAACCTCAACAAGCACAAGAGGTCAGTGTTTTGTTTTTGCAGCTTCTTTTATGTTTGAGAATTCTCTTAGTTTCTGTGTTAATCTGGGCGGTGTTTGGTTTCAGAACCCACTCGGAGTACGTGAACAACGGCCCGTTCTACTGTGAAATCTGCCAGAAGAGCTTCGTGGTGAAGATGTACTACGTGCAGCACAAGGCGATGCATGAGAAGGAGGGAACGGACGTGACGGGAGGTGATGACTCCAAGGTAGACCAAGAATTCCCTTGAGTCGCTTCCCTGTGACCAAAACTCACATCTTTCAGTCCAAATCGAACGTGAAGAAGGAGGCTGGAGAGGAGGGATCCACGCAAGCGGCCAATGGTGCTGGTGAAAGTGTGGCTGAGGTGGAGGATGCGGCGCAGGAGGGTGGCGATCAGGAGGGTGGCGCTGAAGAGGTGACGGGTGAGGAGTCGATGGTTGTGAGCACGCCATCGAGTCAGCCGCAGATCATGCAGGTGCACTTCACGCCCGTGACTTCGGGTCAGGGCGGCGGCGGCACAGCGATGGGCTCTCACGACACGACAGTGCTCACGCTGCCCTCCAACATCTCCAACTTCGTTACCCTCAATTCCACGCAGTTTGTGGCGTCGTCAGATGTGATGAGTCACTTCAAGATTGACAACAATTGAGACTCTCTTTGCAGTGATAATTCTCACCTTTCTCTCTAAAGAAAAAAAAAATGCCTCATTTTGGCAAAGCAGTCACAATTCCCTCTGGACAAGAAGGGATTCTTCGTTTTAAGTGTATTTTAGTGTGTGTGTGCATGTAATTTTGTGTGTTGGTTTGTTTGTGGAAAAAGTTAAGATTTTTAAAAATCTGATTGTGTGCTAGAATAGAAACAAGAAAGAAGAAGGAGAAGAAGAAAAAATTGAAGATATTCAATGATTTAAGATAAAAACACTAGCATATAAAGGATAACAAGTCATGAAAAAAAAATAGCAGAAAGTAATTTAAATGATAATTATAAAGTGACAAAAAGGTTAATTCTAAAATGATATAGTAATTATAGTGTTTTTTGTGTAAAATGTAATCTCAATTATATTTAGAGGATAAAATCTTAATCAGAAATTCTTTCGCATCACTGTAAGGAGAGATTTTATCCCAATTTCTCACATGAGAATTCAGCACAAGAATTACCTTAATTGTTCCGCGCATTTGCTATGGAAGGATGAATAGAAGCTAAGAATAGTCCTGTATTTATTTCATGATTTCACTTAGAGCCACATTTTCGTTGCCATATTTTTTTTATTGTATTTAAAATAGCGTTTTGATTTAATCAAATTGATTGTGAGAGATTTTTTTTAAGGGTATTTATTATGTAAATGGTTATTTTACAATTTTTTCATACCTTCTTAATTGCAATTCGAGAATCTGTGTCACATTTTAATTTATAGTAGAGGTAATTTCTCGATTTCCTTCCAATTGAGGAATGAGAGTACGTGAATGAACCACCCCTGAAATCGCGTGTAAATATTTGATAAATGGAACAAATTGCTTTTTTTGTAATGTTTCTCTCTCTCTTCAAATACATTTTCAATACATAATAGAAAGTACACAATTAGAATTTACATTTGGAATGGCATGTGTTTATTGCTAAGTAATCAAATGAGGTTCTATTCTGGTGTTGAGGCACAACGGAAACTGTGCGATGTGCTTTTTGACTGGAGTAGTACTGAAAAGTGAGAGGATGTAATGGAATTATGTAACAATTTCGCGTACCAAAGTGTTTTCATTTCTCTCTCTTTAAATTAATTGTAACTATATTGCAATGATGGAGATCTTAATAATTATAGATAAAGCATATGATGGAGTTTATTAAGAAGTATTCTAGATAAGTCAAAGAGACCATTATTTATTCATGGAGATATTCTTGAAGGAGAAATCAACACACACACACACGCATACAAGATAAAATTCAATTGATACTTGTGTAGTGTAAAAAAAAACAGAATGAAGATGATTTGCTGATAGAAGAACAAACCCACAAAGATCTAATGTTTAAAAAGGGGAGGAAACAACAATTGTAGATTTAGGAGTAATGAGAGTATAGTGTGTAAAATTTAAGCTAAAATCATGTCTCTAGCCATATTTTATTTTGAAAATTTACTACTGTATGTAATTGTCACATGACTATGTTGCGTATCCGGTGATGGAACGAATGAATGTGATTACACTTTCACTCTCCAGGTGATATTTGTTAGCTCAGCAATGGAATTCGCCTGTGATCTATTTTTGAAGGCAGCGCGAGAAGCCAATTCATTCGTTCGTTCAATCGCCGAGAATTCTCCCTCTGTGCAATCATACTGAACAGAGGTGAGACTTGCAAACTCTGTACACCCCCAGGAAAGTCTATTAGAAATCAAATCAAATATATAAAAGTATGTACAATTAATATGTGAACTCCCTTCCAGGGTTTTTGGGGATTCGCATTTCACCCTCAGGCTTTCTTCTGTGCGCCACCACAATCGGCCGATCTGGCGGCGCGACTGCTGTACTTGAAGCTGAGACGATCCAGCTGCTCGAGATCATCCCAAATCTGAATGGACTGCGTCTGCGAGATGTCCAGCTTGTGCGTGAAGCTGGCCAAGAAGCTGTCGTTCTCGTAGATGATGATGCTCTCGCGATTGAAGAGGAATGAGACCTGGAAGCGCTGCGACGGGCGCGTCCATGAGACGATGTCCGTGAACTCCTTCTGCCAAATCCCGCCCACCTTGTGGTTCAGCACCACGCGATCCTGCGAGCTGGTTGTGCCGAATTCCGTCCTCATGTGGAGAGGAATGTTGTCGTTGTTGATGACGAAATTGACGGAGAATCTGCATCGCGTTGGGTTGATATTTAATGTTTCGTTCGTTTTTTTTTTATTATATTGTCAACACATTAAGCACAGTGAGAAAGTCATAAACTTGGCAAACTTCCCATTCACGCAAATCGTGAAATTGTGGCACGAAATTCTCCTATCACACTTACTTCTTTGCCGTCGCCAAAGTGCTGCCTTCGATGACTATCTCATCGTTGGTGGAAATCTTCTTCGGTAGGACAAGGGACAGCATTTTTTTGATGTTCTCTTATGAACGCCTCTCGCTTGACTGTGCCTTCTCGGATTATTGTGCGGTTATCAGAAGAATTGTAGCGATAAGATTACACCTTCCGACTCTCACAAGGGTCACTGACGAATGTGGCGCTCTGGCGAGAGAGCGCGTCCTGAACAGGCGCCTTTTCGTGTCCGGGAAATGCGAAATTGCGACTTGTGACACAATTTCACAGCAATTTGTGGGTGAAGAATGTTGAATAAGGAAAAAGGAAAGAACGAGGGAAAGTGCACTTGTTACAGTGGCGAGTTGAAGAATGGAAACAGACGTTTCACTGAGTAAATAATGATAACAGCTGAATTGATTGTGGTTAATTGAGTCATTATATCGCTGAAAAGGGTGGGGGGAGTGAAATACAGTTTAAAAGATTTAGTTGGAAAATCATGAAAAATTGATATCATTCTAAGTCTCACCACTGTAATATGTATAGCAATACTTTCCACTCACTGTGGTCAGAAGCGCATGAATGAGCGCAAGAATGAAAAGAAGTGGAGTAAATTCTTAACCATTTTACTACGATATGTAATTCTCTATAAAAACAAATTAAAAATTCAAATTGTCGTTACATTTATACGGTGAGTGTGTGTGGGAAGGCTCTTTGATTGCTTTTCCCAGGAAAAATAATGAGCAGGGCGCGAGAGCTGAGAAGGTTTAGTAGTGCCACATTGAGTATATAGAGCCGACGTAAAGAGAGGAAATTGCCTTCGACGAACATTGAGCGCGATCTTTTTCCCTGGAACTCGTCGTGATTCTCACACGCTGTTCTCGCTGGGGTGCTTGTAGCGGAAGATCACCTCCGTGATGTAGTCGAGATCGTCCCAGATCTGCACAGTCTTGATGTCACTAATGTCCAACTGGTGGTCGTACTTGTATTGGAAGCACCGGTTGTCGTCGTCCGTGTAGACTGTGATGTCGCGATTCGTGAAGAGGAATGTGAGGATGAAGTCCTGACCAGGTCCGTCGATCCACGTGTTGGAGTTGATCACTTCGTCGCCCCAGACGTAGTTCTTGTGGTTCTGGATCACGCCCACGGACGGATCTGCCCTGAAGAGCGTCTTGAAGTGGTAGGCAATGTAGGACGGCGTTGGACTCGACTCCAGGCAGAAGTTCACGGAGAAACTGGCGTCAGAGAGAAGGGAAACGCCTTAGAGAATCTATTTCTTGGAATTCCTCACTGGCCGGTGGTATTTTTAGAGCGGTCGCGCGCGGAAGGGGCAAAAGGAAGTCCGAGGAAAGTCATTAATTTTTCACAATGCGTCCTGAGCTATGGGGCAAGGTGACCTCATTTCTGGGACATGGTGTACGGATGGGTGGTCTTTTGACGCTGAATGACTATGACTAGTCCCAGAGGGAGAAATTGCGAATGGCATAAAAAATTAATTACACGCATTCCAACATAAATTGCATTGATTTACAAATCACAATAGTCACGAAAGTGTTGTTTGCAGAAGGGAAGGAAAAAAAAAGAGAGGAAAAATTGTACTGCCGTTGCTGAGAATCCTACAATCATCGCTCTGTAGAGTCTAGACTTTTAGTTTGTAACAGGGAAACGACAATAAAGATAATGGGAATGATTGATATTAGAGATAACAGCACATGATGACAAAACAAAGTATGTTTTATCATTCTACTGAAGTGTTATTAATTCAACAACAGTTTATCGATATTTTGCAGTAGAAAAATTTCACTCTCTACCTTAATAAACATTAAACGGAAAACTGGGATTAAGAAGCCTAAAAAATTGAGTCACCGAGATTTTTTGCCTTCCATCTAATAAAATATTGATAGCAAAGCATTTATATGAAGAAATAAAACTCAAGAATTAGTTTTCCGATCAAAATAAACTAAAATGGGGTTTAAATTTAAATCCGTGATACGGATTGAGCAAATGTTGCAAAAACGGAGTGTCTGGAAGATGATTTTGCTGAAATATGAATATTTTACCTTATAAGATTGAGAATTCACTGAAATTTCCCAGAAAAATGTAGTTGAGAGAGCAATTATACTCACATTTTCCAAATCAATTTGTCAAAACATTTATTCAAGTGATGAGAGAACGAAGAGACACACGCGGAAAGCAAAGCGCTGACCGTGAGTCCCTAATTTATCAGCGTGTAGCTGGAAAGTGGCGGATTTTCTCGGTAAACTGTGTTCATCAGTCGCTTTACTTTACTTTTTAATTATTCACTTTGCTAAACAAAATTCCCTGAATACCTCCAATTATATTGATAAACACCATGGGAATCTCTGTGCAATTGAGACAATTGAGCAAATTGACTGGCGATTAGTGTGTCTATGTGAGAGGTGTACGACCTCCTTGGGGAAATGTTCCGCCTTGGCGGGGCGCGATTCTTGAGAGTTGAGGAAAAGTGGGTGAGAGAGGCGCACGCGAGGCGGCGATTTATATGTTTTGCGGTGGAAAATCGTTAAAGAGAATTGAAGTGTGTTGGACCCAGGGACGGAGTCAGTTTTGGCGGCAAAATTCCAGAGTGTGTCGGATTCCAAAAATGAGGCCACGCTGACTCATCTATTGTGAGATAATCGGGCCGAAAATAGATCCGGAAGGTGAACTTACACCTCGGCGTCCTGCTTGATCTTCCCCTTGAGCACGATTTCGTCGTTGAATCGAAGCTGTTGCGGCAGGACAGCATAGAATGGTCTCTCTGTCATCTCAGGGACACTCTCCGAATGGGCAGCACTCGAGCACACGCGGCCGCGGGGCCTCACACACACATGACACGCGTGGGCGACACTCTGTCTCACTGGACAATCGATTCTACTGCCACTGACACGTGCAAGAGCATCTTCAAGAGAGATTTCCTTCCTTCGAGCCGATACACTCCTGGTCAGCTACTCTTGCTACTCTTTCTGCCGGCCGCGAGGCAAATGCGAGCGCCGAGAGAGCGAGGCTGCGCCAGCGCCTCTGGTGTGGCGGGAGGCCGGCGAAATGGACGCCATCTAGCGATAAGTGACCATTATTGCACTTTCAGGTTATCATATTTGACATTTCGAGGGCTTTTCTAGTACTTCTTCAGCCACAATTGATAAAGAATCTGCAGCATATTTTCTCTGCTTTTCCTGGTTTGTCCTTTGAATTGTACAGTGTTTATGCAATTGAAAGTGTAGAGTATCTGTTCGGCAAGTTTATTTGTGGCTATCGCGTGGAAATGCTGATGGATTGAAGAGTAGGTGAGAGAGTTTAGATTTGTGTTTTTTTTTCTCTGCCTTGACGTGTTTTGCTTTCTCAGAGCGAAATGCAGTCGTCGAGGATGAACAAGACTGTGGCCAAGATTGAGATGGAGGACATCATTGTGAGCGCCTTGGGACTGGATACGATAAAGTGTCCACAGTGCAGAAAGCGCTTTGCCACGCCAGAAGAGGTGGAGGAGCACCGGAAGGTTCACATGACAACGTACTTCTGTGACGAGTGCCTCAAGTCCTTCACGACGCAGGGCGGCTTCTGGAAGCACATGAAGTCCCACTCGAACGATCGGCCGTACGTCTGTCCGACGTGCAAGAAGAGCTTCACGCAGGCCGCCAATCTGCAGAGGCATCAGCTCGTGCACAGCGGACTGAAGCCGTATCAGTGCAACATCTGCCAGAAGACCTTCAGCCAGAACGCCAATGCCCAGAAGCACATGCTGTTGCACACAGGGAAGAAGCCGTACAAGTGTCTCACGTGCGACAAGGCCTTCGCACAGCAAGCCAACCTCACCAAGCACGAGAGGGTGCACACCGGAGACAAGCCTTACACGTGCCACATCTGCAACAAGTCCTACACGCAGCTCGCCAACATGCAGAAGCACCTGGTTGTGCATTCTAAGATTGGCGCCAAGCACAGTGAGTATCCTTGAGGAGTCTGAGAAGCACTTCAGTAGATTTTGGGCAACATTTTCAGCTCTGAATATGCATTGACTTTATGACTCAAGTATGTAAATGTTTTCTGATTGGGATTCATTGATCTTCACTGATTTTCGTATGGAATCTTACTGATATTTGAATGATTTGTTTGTCTCTTGAATTAAGAAGTTTTGTCTATCTTCTTGTTTCAGTTTCCAAATACATCAAAGTCATAACAGTGCCCAACGACGCTGACGAGATGGTGGTCGATGTGCAGACGCAACCGGATTTGGAGGACTCTGACGAGGAAGTGATTGAGGAAATTGAAGACGTTACGCCGCCGCCCCCGACTCGCGAACGCAGAAAAGGCAAGCAAAGATCGTCAAAGTGAGCAGCCGAAGTCGATTCGAATTCTTAAATTTATTCCTTTTTATTGAAAGTACAACAGTAATTTGTATTTTCAATAATAAAAGTATTAAAATCTCTGACTAAACATTAAAATCTCTCTTCATTTTAGCTACGTCAGTGTTTTTTTTTCGCTTCGGTTTTTATTCTCATGCCTTTCTTTACAAGTTTCGTATTTATCCTTTCGACAATTTGACAAATTAACAATTCTGTATCTTATTTTTATTATTATTGGAGTCGATGAAAATTTTGCTGGGAGGAAAATTTTTTGGCGATTGTATTTTATTATTATTTACTTTCAACACCCCGCTTTTTTGACGTTGTGACTAAAAATTGCACTCATAATTTATATGAGAATATATAGCCAATAATTTTTTCTTCTTTGTATTACTGGAGAAAATCCGTGAAGCCTAAGAGGGATCAAATTGAGTGGTGAGGAATAAAGTGGTTTGCAGTAATAAATCTTGTCCATCGAATCTTCTCATTCATAAATTAATTATATGATAATTACTCATTTAAAGTGTGTAACTTTGATACACTAATGACGGTGTTCAATGTGTCAATACGAAAATTTCCCCTTTTTTTGCTCCACACAAGAAATGAGAGAGAGAGAGAGAATGAGGAAATTCATTCCTTCCAAATTGCCTCCCCAAATGTTGCATTTCAATAGTAAATGTGTTCTTCTGGACTTATCCACTAATAAGAGTCTTCTTACGAGATACGATAATTTAGCATCTTTGTAACTATGTTGAATTATTAACACGACTGAATGTTGAGGAGTTGAGTAATGTTATACATCTGTTGGGAAAAAGTCTTTGAGGAGTATGGTGCGCCTCTTCTCCGCGATGTCCATCTGATTCTCCAAATCTCCCCGATCTGTCGTCTCTGCGCGCTCCACCTTCCACGACAGATTCTCAATCTCAGCCTCCAGGTTCGCCTGCCAAGAGAGCCAAACGTGTGTGAGTCACGCGTGCTATATTTAGGTGGCACGACACAAAGGAAACGCAGTGAAAAGTCGCAAATGCGAAAAATAGTGACGGAATCTATCAATTTCCCAGCAAGATTGAAACGGAAATGCTTCCAATTCCGCAGGATGTACACATTTTTATGTGACCTAGTCACATCAATCAAATTATCCGAGCTCTATTTAGAGGAGACAGCGGGGCACTTTGGACACAGCCAAGGAGACCAAAGGACTAATGCAGACTGATGATGCAAAAGACTGAATTCAGTGCTCAATTCTCAAGAACAAATCAATTCTGAGACTTCAGAAACAAATTGAAAGTGAACTGAATAACGAAGCAATTTCTGAATCAATTAAATGATTCAAATAAGATCAAATTCCTTATACGTTTTGAGGGCAAATAATGATCACGTTGCTTCTAATTGCTTTCTCAAAAGCCTTGCAAATCTATCTGAGACTAATAAAAAAAAAACTTTCGCTTTCACATCTCCATCACATGTGTGCCACATTTCCCTATGACTTCCTGTCGCGAACCTTTTTCTTCTCAGGTGGAAAAATAGCACAAAACTCCAGTGGAAGACTGAAGTTCATGTGCGAACAGCAATTATCATTTCAATGAGCCGATAATTACTTCAATTACCCCAGCAATCGCTCGATATTTACGCGAGTGGCGGTGGGAGAATGGTGGCTCACCTGCTGATATTCAAAGAGATCCTTCCTGGAGCCAGCCTCCATGTAGTACGCGTAGGGATAGGTGTACTGCAGTGTATATCGACATTTAGCTAGTAAGGCGGCAGCATTGAAGAGATATTGCCAGTCTATCCACGTGCCAAGGCCCTTCATCACCTTCTCATTGATGCGATCCCTGAGGCGATCCAGCGTCTGCTGCTCCAGCTGCAGCGACTTGGAGTGGTTCTCCCAGCGCTCATAGTAGTGCAGGTACTTTTTGAGTGCCTCTCTCGCCTGCGCATGAACCGACTCATGTGCAATATTGGGGTTCTCCTTGTACCGGGAGCACTCGTAGTACTCCGATCCGTGGCTCTTCCAGTCGCCCAGACACATCCAGCAGAAGTCATGCTTGCAGTGGAAGCACTGCATGTGATTGCAGCCGCCGTTCTTCTCAATGCAAATATGGCATTTGGGGCAGTCTTTCGTGTGGGCGCTGATGTAGTTGGCAGTCTCGCTGTCGTCTGCACACTTGGTCAGCCACTTCTTTATCACCTGACAATCCGTCGGCGCGTGGTACTCCATGCCGCACTTAAAGCAGAACGTCGACTGGCAGGAGCGGCAGTACGCCTTCTTCGGGCTCAGATCCTGGCTGCGGATGATTATCTGCGCACAAGAGAAGACAGACAGAGTTCATTTTATTAGCCATTCGTTCGCCCCATTTGACTCTTCTGATTAAATTATGCAAAATTGTTGCGAGGAAAAACATTATTTAAATTATATTTCATCGCGAAACTTGATTTCCGTGAACCTCTCGGAAGTGGAAATTGTGTATTTCACCAACTCTTTGACTAAATTGGTGTAAATTTGAGAAAAAGCGACATTAGGCAGAATGAAACTCGCCATGCATGCATTTTTCACACATTTTTCCCGAGTACTTTCCGGTGTTGAAATTAAGGAAACGCTTCCTCGTCCTCGAGACGCATTTAAAGCATTGCTTCCACAAGAGGATTTGCGATACTACCTGACAATTGGGTCCTGGGCAAAATCTCAGTTCCGGATGCGACTTGACGTAGTCCTGAAACGCAAATTGGAGGTATTTGTCACGCATGTGTGGCCCCTTGAGCAGCTTCAGCACCAGATCCTCAGGCACGCGGACGTCACACTTGGGCGCCATGCAGCCGATGGCCGTGGAGATGCCCTGGGTGATCTGCGTCTCGAAGTGCATGGCCCAGCAGTCGCGGCAGAAGGAGTGGCAGCAGGAGAGGTTGAAGAACTTCTCCATGCTCTGGTACATGACACACACGGGACACATGAGGGACCTGTAAGCGCCCACTTTCGCGGTGACTGGCTTTATCCGGGCGCCCACCTGCGAAGGAAGCCGCGAGAGAGAGAGAGACCAGTGAGACTCGTGGGAAGCTTGGCCACAAGCGGAACAATGATGGGAAAGAGAGACGCTCACCAGAAGGTTAACTGCATTATCACGATACTTATTCACGATGCCATCGACACACCATTCATTCTCGTGGAGGAGGATTTTGGCCAGGGAGGGCGAAAGCTGCAGCAGCTCGCTGACTTTCTCCACGGCCTCGTTGAGGAGCTTCTTCACCTCCTCAACCGTGTAGCATTGGAAGTCGAAGAACTCGGGATCGTACTTGTGCGGATCGAAGGGCTCCACGTCGCCGTCCTCGAGGCCTGCAAGTACAGCCGGAACACCCTCAGCACCAGTGTGGGGCTGTGATAATGGCAAAAGTGATAAACTAACCATTGTAGTAGTCGTCGACCTCAGTATCGGAGCACGATTCCATTCCATTCTCATCCGAGTCGGCTGACATCTTTCGCAGTGGCGAAAAATCTCATGCGATTTTCACGCGCTTCCTAAGCACCCACGTGGCCGTTCAGTGGCGGAGGCCCTCGGGGGTGGCCCAGGGAGTACACGGGGACGGGGCGGAGATGCAAAAAGACGCCTTTTCACACCGAAATTCACCAACCAAAATAACACGGATTCTCTTCGCATTTGCACACTGTCATTGTGACATTTCACTCTCTCGCGAGAATTTCGTGCTCTCCGTCTTTCTCCCTCTCTCGCATTCTAGCAGTTTCAGCATCTCACCGCATTCAAACGCTTTTTCGGTTAATCCAACTTTATTCTTCCTCAATATTCAGGAATTTTTTTTTCACGATAAATCTGCGAAGATTGCCATAGAATTTCTCTAAAAATGTAACATGGAAAACTTGACTACATCAAATTTGTGCTAAAAAATTTTGCGTGGAAATCCGTCTTCCTTACAAATTGATTTTGGCGCTCAAAGAATTGCTCTTCGCCACAATGACCTGCCTCAGCTTCCTGGCCCGCTCGCGCTCCACTGACACCCGAATGTACTGGATGAAGGCGCTCTGCTCGTGCGGATGATGGCCAGAATGCAGCTTCTTTCCCTCACCAGAACTCCCAGTGGCACCATTGTCCGGTATTTTGGTGATCTCGTGCTCAGGAAAGATCTTCATCACTGTCTCGAGTGGTTTGGTGTTGGCGATGTACTCGAGAATCTCCTTCAGCAGACGGTGGTAGAACAGCAAAAGACCTCCGTTGGACTCTGTGGCATCGCCGGCCTTGGAAGTTTGCACTTGAAGGCAGTTGATGAGAAAAGCCCAGTCCTCGTTGCGCGTGAATCGATCCTTGCCATACTCCAGGACGCATTGAGGGCACACATTAACAAGGAATTCTGTGCACTCCGACACGGGTAGGAGACACGAAATCACACTCTCAATTCCAATAAGATTAGGATTAGAGCATATAAACTGGGAGACTTCATTCACAATTTCATCCGGAAGTTCTCCGCTGGTCAGGAGTGCCTGAAAAATGGATTGATTTTAAGTCTTCAAATACAAGAAATATTATATGCATTATGTTTCTTACTTGTAGCTTCACACAAGCGACATTTATCTCCAAATCCTGGGGCTTATCAGGTGAATTTTCCGCCTTCTTCAACTTGATGAGGTAATCCAGGAAATTGTCATGAAGAGGCGGCATTAGATTCAAGTAATTCCATCTCTTCTCCATGAAGACAAGTGTCTCATCCACGCACTTCTCCTTCAGAATATCCTTGCACCTCTTCAAGGACTCGAACAGAGCATCAATTTCCTTCTCAGGAATGTCATAATCACTCAAGGAATACTCCTTCAAGTCGTTGTCTTTCTTCACACCCGCGCTGTGGCTGCTCAGGAATCCCAAGTGGGATCTCACCAGAATCTTCATGGCTTTTCCAGTGGCTGCAGAGCCAAAGATCGACAGAGCTGTGTCCACATCGGAAGCCATTGACGAGGACATCTTTCTAGAGCTGTCCGCGTGGCCACTCCTTGTTGTGTTGCTCACAGAAGAAGTTGTAACGATAAATGAGGCAGAATCTGATGATTCTGACTGGTCCACAAAGAGTTTCTTCTGCTCCACATATTCCACCAAGTACATCTCCAACGTCAGCATCAGAATGTTCTTCCCAATCTCACTGCCAGCATATCCAATGCGCAAGGACGTGAAGTCAATCAGCATCTTTAGCAACACCTCAAAGGGCAGAACTTGAAGATTCACGAGGAGATACTTTAAAACTGACGCTGTAAGTCGCTGAATGGATTCCAATTGGGACATCAACAGACAGTGTTCTGTGAATTCCGAGAAGATCACAATGGAGTGACCATTCTTGTGGTTCATCGACGTCTCGAAGAGAATCGTCCAGTTCTTGCTCAAGATACTCAACAAACTCTCCGTGTCGATAGTCTCAATGAGACATCTGGCCACTGTTGCCCGCTTCTTTCGCACCAACTGCAGTGCCACACACAGCTTCTCCTCATTGGTCTTCTCCTCGCGCGCCTCCAGAAAGTCCAGGATGTACTCTCCCATGCGATTCAGAAAAGTGCTCGACTGAAGAGCAATTGTGGTGATGTCTCCTGGTGAGTACTTGAGCAGAAGATCAAAGAGAGCCTTCATGAAGCCACCATCTCTATCGACACGCATCTCATTGCCGTTATTATTGTCCATGAGAGGAGTTTTTGCACGATCGCCAGTGAGGAAATTCATCTCCTCAGAACCTGGCTGGAGGCGAAGGAAAAGCTGCTTCAGTGTGTAGATTATGCCGCCCATCGAGTACACTCCGAGCTGCTCAAATTGAATGCAGCGATTGAAGATGTCCGCGACGGAGAGTTTTCCCATCAAGTAGTACGGCAACGCCATGTAGAATTCCTCCTCGTTGGCTGACAAAACGAAGAAATCAGCGAGAGTCCGACATGATTCCAGGAATAAATTCTCCACTTCTTTATCCCCATGCTCTAGAAATTTTGCCAAGGACACCTGATTCCTCATGTTCTCCACGGGTGACATTCTGGCCAGCTCATTGGCTGTCCGTATCATCACGTGAATCTCTCCCATGAGGTGAAGAAATACTTTGGGATTCTCCGCCCTGTGCTTCAGAGCGTATCCCTCAATACTCCTATAGAGTTGCTCAGCCTTCGGCTCTTGCAGCACTTTCAACCGCCAAGAGTGACTCTGTCTGCGTTCGCGAGAGAAAATGACAAGATTTCCCGAGGATGTGATGAATTTCTCTGCCCCGGAAAACGTGTGGATTCCCAGCAGGCAAATGGGATCATTGAAATTGGGTCCAATCACATCCAAAGTGGTTGAGTAGTTGAGGAAATACTCGCATGGACTGTAGAAGATCTTCTGTCCAATCCTCAGGGTGTAAGTCTCCACGCCAACTTCCGTGAGAACGTGCAGAACAGAGTCCTTCAGAATGAGATCTACAATGGGCGCTGTGAAGGAATAGGTGGCGAGAATGTCTGTATTCTGGCGCCACTCGTCATTGTTGTAGAACTGATAGAGATACCCGTCTTGCTGTGTCGCCACCACCAGAGCCACACTCACAAAATTCCTGGAGTAATTCGAGCCAAAGATGTTCTCACTGCTCTTCTCCGGGCACATCTCGCGCCTCATGTACAGCGGATTGACGGACATGCTCTTGAAGGACTCGTAGATTGGCTTCTGTGACACTGGACAGGGCAATCTGAGCTGCAGCAGCGGCTTTATAGTGTACTTGGACAGTGTTTCAGAGTCCTGAAGCGATCGCAGGATGATCAGCATGTCGTGCACGATCTCCGGACGAACGTCCACATTGGCCCCATTTTCATCGCTGTCGCTCGCCACTTGGACTCTGAACTTCTGCTTGTTGATCGTGCTGTGCTTGCAGATCGTACGGAAATCAAGAGTGTCCTTCGTGTTGATCCTTATCGATCCGCTGGCGTCTGAGCTGAAGCTCTCATCCGAAATGTCCACACTGATGCTGGGCTCGTAAACTTCTGTGATCTTGAACAGGTTGAATGTGAAGTCACTCATGCACGCAATCACGCCCTCAGTCAGCGTGATCTTCTGCGGTGAGAAGCTCAACTCCACGAAAAAGGGCACCTCCACGAAGTCAATGTAGTTGTACCGACCCGTGTCCGTTTTGCAGGATCTGAATTGGTAGAAGAGGACTTTGTTGCCCGCCACAATGGCAATGTTGCCCGTCACCTGTGAGCATTATATCTAATTAATTAGCACGTCGCAAATTGCAAATTGCCACACACACGGCGGAGATTAATTACCTGACAACATGCCACACAGCGCGGCTGAGTCTTCAGGGGCAGCTCTATCATTTCCACATCCTCGGAATTGATGTATTTATCAGAGGGAGTCACTTTGCCAGCAATTCTCGCCCTCAAGATTGCCATTGACTTTGATTTGCTCGCACCATCCCAATTGCAGTAAATCCTCACAATTCGCCACTTTATATTGCGATTGTCCTCCTTGCTCTCAATCGTCACCAGATAGTTGCCTAAAAGGACGAGGGAATTACCAGGAATTGCAGCGATTAAACACACTATAACTCACCATTTCTGCAGTAGTGAATCTCCTCAATTTCATCCACAGCGGGAAATGTGAAGGAATCCTTCGCGTCGCCAGCAAGACTGCGAATCTCCACATCGAGACCAGATGTGGCGATGGCAATTCTATCCGGCGGCACGAGGCAGGAGGCATTTATGTCGTCCGAAATGGTCAATCCACCCTCTTCAGTGAATTGATATACTGAGAGAACTCGCACCATAGCGATGATCGAAGTGCTGACAAAAAGTAAATTCAATTAGCAGGACATTATTCACAAGGAGTGGTTTCACGAGGCGCTCCTTCTATACACAAAAATTCCTATTCGAGAGCCACCAGAGAAATTCTATCCACTTCCACCCCCTCTAAACCACCCCCCATGGACAAATACTGTTTACAGAACATTGTGACGTAACAATTGTGGAAATAAATCAATCAATTATCCCAAGACAAATTCCATATTTAAGTGAACATACGGGAAATGGAATTACTCTCTTACACTCGGCAAAGTGTATATAATGTGTAGAAGAAAGGACAACAGATTATGTATTCTACCTTGGTCAATTTGATGAAAAATTCATGAAAATTTGCACAAAGTGTTTTGCCACTAAACAAGTGATAAGCACCACAATTTCATTGCTCAACGGAATGTTAGAAGACTCATAAAATGAGGCAATCAACTATAAAATTCAACAAACAACACCTCCAGTCACAATTTCACTCAATTTTCTCTCAAATCCCAATTGCAATTCCCTTGTAGTTGAGGACAGAAAAGTGACTAGCAACTTTGTTGTGTATTTTCCAGCACTCCTCCTCGGTATCGAGTGTTTTTCCCCGAGAACCCAAACCACGCATGTGCCGTGCGGAAAATCGGTTCTCTGTGGCAAAGCGAGGAAGGCATTTTGGTGCATATTTAATTCCTTCAGACCCTTTCGCCAGAGATCAGGCACTCTGATAAAATGTCTGGGGTGCTTTTTCTGCGCTCCTTCACATTGATAGCCAAATCAATTTGACGGTCACTCCCATAAAGCTTCATCGCACCGGCAGGAGGGCGAAAAGGCGATGAAGACATAAATAGGAGAGGATTAAAATAACACTCGCGTGTATGGAATAATTTCTGTGATAATCTGCAAAGGCACCGAATAAATCTTACTGAATAGATACGGTGGGGGAGGATTTTTGTTGGGTGTGTGAAGAAAGACAAATAGCGGATTTGGGATTTTCCGCAAAAACCGGAAAAGTCTAATATGTCGTAATGAACTTACCATGATTTTGCGATGTTACATCCGAAAAACTACTTCCTCATCGAGTAGCACCAATCGTTTCCCACGCGATAACACGACAATAGAATAAAATCATAAGATTGATAAGATTTACGTGAACTCTTCGCAGTCTCACTTCAGTCTTATCACTGGTGAATGAAGCAATTAATCAAATCCCTCTATAAATGACTTTAAACAGCGCAAATGTGGTTTCAGTCGAGTGTCAAATATGGAAAAGCTCGGTGAGAAGAAGCCCGTCACAGCTGGGGAAGTTTGTTACAATGTGTTCAATAACTTGAACCACATTCTCGTGGGATTTGTGTGCATTTACATCACTTATGGATCATTCAAGACGGGCTACAGCACTCTCACTCTCCACACAATTCTCTGCACTCTCGGCTATCAGCTGCTGATGGCTGAAGGCATCCTGGCACTGGCTCCTGGAAATGTCTGGTCTCACTTCTTCACCAGGAGAACCAAGACGATTCTTCACTGGATTCTGCAAGCCATTGGAGCACTCTTCGCTCTCGTCGGGATGATTGTTGAGTATCGCACAAGAAATCGACACTTTGGCAGTCTTCATGCCAAGCTCGGTATTTCGAATAGAATATCTTCTGCAAATTGTATAAATATTATCATGTTAATGATGATTTGATACTTAGGCCTGGCTTCTGGAGTCTTCCTCATCATCACCCTCGTGAATGGCATCACAAATCTCTACGCCAAGGAATTGTCTCGCTTCATTCGACCCGTCTTCCAGCGATTCTTCCACAATCTCATGGCTCTGGCCACATTCGTCCTGGGCATGGCGTCACTCTACTACGGTTACGAGAAGCGTTGGGTGAGGAATATAGCTTCCGATGAGATTTGCTGGATGCTGAAAATCTTCGGGTGCTTCACAATAATATTCTCATCTGTGGCAGCCATAAGAAATGGTTACGAGCAACTGAGGAATATCGTGCAGAGGGATTAAGACACCAGTGTTACATAAGATAGAAATGAAGTGTTGTATTAATGCTGATTATGGCAGGATATTGAGCGAGAGAAGAAGCAAATAATCTTTGAAATAATTTACAAAACTAGAAACACAATACAAATTTGTGATTATTAAGCTATGTGTCTATCTAAGGAGCTTCTCCTTCTCCGTCCTCTCAATTGTGATAGTGCTCCTCAATCTTTCTGCACGTGTGACAACAGTGCGTGCTGTAGTACGAGTGACTACAGAGCCGAGTCTGCCGGATGAGGAAGTGACAATTGGGATATTCATCCTTGCACTCCTGCACGATGTCATTCTGCACAAGATCCACTCGGGGCTCTGAATACTGTTCCGTTGTGGCTGTGCCTAGAAATTCTCCATTGTACAATACTCTCTAAGGTAATTTTCTCTCAAAACTTCCTACCATCGCACTGATGACCGTTGCATCGGCGAAAAGCCACTGGCTTCTCCGAGTACAGACAATTCTGTGATTCCTTCATCAGCTTCAGGTGAATATTTGGCTCAAAGCACTTCACAACGCGTTTCTGACTGCCTTCGCCGCATGCCTTTGTGCACTCTGTCCACTCAGAGTACAGCCAACGTGGCCCACACTCCTTCACCTCCGACAAACTGCACGTTTGCCATGTCTCTGGCTTCAGGGACTCATCGCAGTTGTCGTCGGGAATGATCGCTTCATCTCTGATGCACAACACTTGGCGAGATCTCGTGAGATTGAAACAATCTCCTGAACACTGGAGAGCACAAAACATCCATTTGAAACACTTCTTCCTGTAGAGAAAAACTCATGTAGATCACTCACCTCACTCCATTGTCCAGCAAACCAATCCCCAAAGTTGCATCTCTTCTCCGAAGTGCACTGCTGCACATTGTCTGGCGTGATCTTCAGATCACATCGATCGGTATTCGGAGGTGATCTGTCGCAAAAGATCTGACGATACTGAATTCCAACTCCGCACTCCACGGAACACTGAAAATCAAACACGATTAGAGGATGAAGAGCAGTTGAGACACGAGAACCACTCACCGATTCAGTCCATTCAGATACCAACCAAATGCCGGCTCTTCGACTCGAGGGTCTCCTGCCCGAGTGCTGGTGTTGCATTCTCGTGTGTCTGGGCGTCGTGGCGTTCTCAGAGCCATGCTGATAGTAGAGCGGTGCCAGGTGGTTCTTATGCACCTCCATCTGAGGTGGCTTCATCAACTTCGAGCACTCGCACGACCGACTTGTGCTCGGCTGCTGATCAATACAAGCATCGTTGTTCACTTGAATCACTCTGTCATTGACAAGCTCCTGCACACAATGCACCTCACGCATCTGGAAGGGTTCATCACCGACAGCTGCTCCGCACTGGCACTCTTCCCACGGGGAGATTTTCCAGTATGCCGGACAGGGTTGAATGTTGCAGCGAGTTTCTTGATGACTGAGCGTCGGCTTTGGCAAATGAGCGCACTTCTTCAGCGGAGAGATCTTCACGGAACCATCTCGAACGCATTTGATCACCGGCAACTGAACTCCTCCTCCGCATGTTTTAGTGCACGGCTGGAATCGCAGAACTTTCCACTGAAATCTCCTCCTGCGATGCGTCTTCGGCTGACTCTCAGTCTCATCCCCAGACTTCAGGGTGGACGCCTTCGAGGGAGACTCAGTTTCGGCAGAAACACTCTCTGTGATCTCCTCCTCAGATCCAGACTGCGTGAGTGCGTTGATGGGTAGAAGATACTCGTATTTAATGCCTGGATTCGGCTGCTGCGCCAACACCATCAGCTGAATGGGCTCTGCTGTTGGTCCGAGGGATGTGATCCACTCAGTAACGCCATTAATGGCATTATCGATGCGTCGATAGTCAAAAGTCGTTCCAGCAGCCTCATAAATTCCACTCGATGACACTGTATAGTCCCCATTGATGATTGTGGACTGATTCTCATTGCGCAAAACCAGCAAATTTATTGAATTCTTCTGCTCCGTCACTGAAATATTCGACGCCCCACTTGGGATTGTGGCAATGTGGACATAACCCGTGGGCAGAGGATTCTTTGTGAAGATCTCTGAAAATTGCAAAATTCAGTTTAAAGGTGCTCGCATGACACGTTAATCCTCAAGAACGCACCAGAAATTGGGCGACAAATCAAATTTCCGCAGCGCACAGCACCATTATTCATGTACGCGCCGACGATGATCCCACTGTTGTGGACCATCTGAAAATTGAATCATCATATTAGCAGATACTGCATTTCACCACAATCCTGCCAAGATCCAAGGGCCTTTTTGTGCTCACAGCGTGAGCAATCATGGGAATTAATTTCAAAGGTCACAATTGCGACAAATTGATCACGATTCCAAAATCACCACATTCTGATTGATGGCGGAAAATTAATTTTTCCCCCCTTTTACAATGTTGAGACGCACAACATCATGAGGCGTCATGACAAAAAAGACGACCAATTTACCAGGCAAGTGTGAAATTCAGACCATTTTGAGAATGTCTGTTTTGTTATGATTTTCATCTCTCCTTCTTGCGGCTTATTTTAAATCACAATTTCATATTTTACGACTCTTCGGACGACAGACAAGTCGAGGAGACTTCACAGATCATGATTTGTGTGATATGAGGGATTACATTTAAATTAGCAAGCTCTCTGTGGACGAGATTTGAGGATTTTGTTGTGCGCGCAAAGAGTGTGCAAGGAATTTTTACATCTCCGCCTATCTCACAAATGTGACAACAATACTCACCAACATGATGAGCAGAGTGACTTTCTGAATGGACATCTTCATGATCACTTAACCCTTAATTTAATTTATTCTCACACTTTCCTACACCGGCAAAGAAACTAGATCTAGAACGGACGGAAGAATGAAAAGGCATTTCCTTTGATTATTTATCACACCAATAGAAGTTTATCCCCAAACTAATTTATATCAATCATTAACTGAAGGCAATTAAGCAAATTTGTAGCCGTACACACAAGCACACACGCATAGGCAAATGTGGCGCACGCAATATCCACAATGTACCGAGATTGAGAATATTAAGCCAGGAAATTTTTGCCATTTTATCTCCAATCAATTAGCACACATGCTTCGCCTCGCATCTCCACATTTTATATTATCCTATGATATTATGCTAATAGCTAATTCTCCCATCGGTGAATTTTCTTTATATCGAAATTATACCATTAATATGCTGGCATGTGACCGTCAAGACATTCTTGCTTCACCATTCAGCATTTTATGTATTTTCAATTACTTAAGTACGAAATGTCGCCAGAGTGCTTAAACAAAGACACGTATCCAGCGGAACAACTCTTCTAAGAATTGCGTTCAATATATTCTTGCCAAACATAAATTATTCGCCAGCCAAAAAAACCGCCGCGTGATATTCACTTCACGAAAAATCATAAATTAGACAACGTGATTAGAGTTTAGATGACTGTCGATGATAAAGTTGAATAGCATAAAAACACCAGGAATTACGTAAGATTGAGGTGAAAGTTTGACTTTGTCCTTCGGAAAAATCCAACAAAATTTAACAATTATGTTTAAGTAACAACACCCGCGAAAGATAAACAACGTGAACCTGAAAGCTTCTCATCATCTTCACAAGTCTCTTCCTCAATCAACTCAACAATTCTCTCACAGTCGAAAATAAATAAATTTCATATATAAAGAGACAAAATTGGCGGCGCTTTGTTTCTTCTCCTATGCAAAAAGACACCAGAAATAGCATAAATTTATTTCTGCACGCATGCTTATGCTTAATGAATTGGCCAATACAGGTAATTGCAGAGGTACATATTGGCAGAGATGCATCACAATTGCTTGAAGATGAAATGAGGCTGAAATCCTCAAAGAATCACCGCCGAAAGATCCACTATTAACCAATATTTAAGCATTTGCCACAGACATCACTTCACAACGTGAGAATTATGTGCAATATTTATAAATTGTTCAATTGATGATGATGGAATAGAGATTTTCTGTCGGCACATGAACGTGAAGTGGACCTCAAAATGCGTGCTGCAAGTTTCAATTTGGGAGAAAGCTAACACACGAGTGAGATAAAAAGACAGGAGAGCCACTAAGAAATCATTAGCAATGCTCTCTTGCCCTTTGATATTAATCTCTCTGCAGTATGCCTCTAAGGAGATCCACTATAGATTCTATCAGCACTTTGGCAGCCGGAATCCCGATAGACCAGAGAGACAGCACGCTCTTGAGTTGTTTTCGCGTCCAAGTTACACTGTGAATTAATTTCCTAAGCGTCCACTTGGTTGAGGTCTTCCCGTGGAAGAGCAAACACACCAGTTCAACTCAACTCGTTAATTCGTCATCTAAAATATACACACGCATATCAGTGCTTCGGCATTTCTCATTCACTCTCACTCACGCCAAGGCAGAACTTATTGTGCGGTCTCAGAAGAATTTCCTCAGACGAAAATTGCGAGAGGCCCAAGGCAATAAAACTATTTTCCACCCGCTGAAAAATCCCATTACATTGACGTCAAGCTGAATTCCCATTTGAGTACAATCCCAACCACCCTCTCGCACTCCCTGCGCGCCCAGATCGTGAACTCTGGCAAGGCTGGTCATCTTCAATCCACACATAGGCGCACTGCCCGCCGAGCAAATGAGGTTGGGTCGTAAAAAATAAAATTTTCATGCTGATTCCGGAGAGGAGAGTGATGCGAAAAAAAATAAGAGGAGCATTATTAACTGAAACCGGCAATAAGAGAGTAGCCATCTGGAGCCAAAATGACGAGCTTGATTATTTGCTTTCGGATGACGCTACAGCATTCGCCACAGTATTGAGATTTTTGCCCTCATGTAAGCCTATTTAAAGAGGAAAAAAAAACGACTAGAAAATGTATGTAGAACACTTCAAATTCTGGATGGAATCATCTCCCATCCCAACCACATCCGTCAGACATCAGTCGAGAGAGCTGTGCGTGCCAGGAAAACTCACAAGTATGTAATGTAGGTACTTTTGCCAGGAAATGCCGAGTCAATTTGTAAATTAACAGAGACTCTTATATTGATTCTTGTGTCTGGAAAATAAATCTCCTGCCCGGAAAGGAAGAAGACTGGATCGATTTACAAATTATATTGGAAAGACACATAAACCACATACTAATGCAATAAAGCCACGAGAGAATATTAAAGTGAGAATGCTCAGGAGAAATTCTTCAAGCCGACAGTCAATAATGTGATGGTCAATGTTACAAACAGACTCTAATTCAATGAGTTGAGGCATCGTTCGTTTTTGCCTCGTACAATCAACGCAAATATTAATTGAGAATGATTGACACATGAAAGTATGTGTACTTTTTTAATTCCTACCATTTGATTAATAATACTTTTTCCCCAATCATTATTTACTCCTTCATCGGCCACATAAATCTTCATGGCTCAAATGACTCTCGGCAAATGTAATGCGGAGTCAGAGATCTTCTGCCACTCTCTGTAAATGTTTGCATAAATTAATTGACTTACGACAATTGAAGCTGCGAGGCATTAATTTGATTAAAACGCGCTACTGTTGCATATGTTGGACTCCCAGAACCAAATGGACTGACAAGACATCGGCATTTGTAAGCATTAAACTGCAATCTTTAGTGATTTTGATAAACATGCATGCGAGAGTGCGTTAATTCTCAGAAATATATCCTTGTTTACGCAGAGTTATCAAGGTTATTCTCGAGGAGCAACAATGTTGTGGAATTAGAAGGAGATTCGCTGATGAGTTAAATTGAGGTTGAGCACTGATGCCAGAGTGTAAACATCTGCTTCGAGACATATTAGCAAAACATTGTGAAACAACGATCCTTGATTAATTATTGGAATTAATTGACATGATATTTTCGAATGTGATGGGAAAATTCGGAGAATTTTCTTGACCCATTTGTCCAACCGGAAGTATTTATTGAAACATGCGTGGTGATGTTTCCATGTTGACTTATCAATCAATATTTGCCTACATCATTCAGCATTTTAGTCGTGTTTGAAGATCACTTTTTGTCTCATCTCTCAAGCTATATACACATTAATCTGCAAGGCATCTTTCACCCCGTGCAATCAATGAGAATTGAGACGAGAGTGTGTCGCAAGAAACACTTCTTGGCGCGCGAGAAAATGCTCATCCGCCTGGCTGCACCCACATTAATTTCGCACATGAGCCCTTGGAGGATTTCTTGCATCACTGAAATTGATTTAACAATCTAATAACAGTGTTATCGCTGGGGTATTCCTCGCCAGCGAGCTGGTCAATTAGGCTCAACAATGGCTCATGCCGGGTCAAGTGTCAAACATTTCAATATCATATCCTCTCTCCCACTGTATCAGCCATCTCTCAATCGAGTGGCTATAAAAACTCAAATGAACTCCATGGAGAGCAATTAGGGTATTTATTGTAGTTCAATTGCCTTTTGTTTGTTTCTTGAGGTTTAGCCTTCTTGCAAATGTTTCTTCTTTTGCACAGTGTTTTTTCGCCCCATCACAGAGAGAGAGCTCATCAATGAAATTGAATCATATATTGTTAGAAAATTCTTTTGCCCCACAGGACAATAATGTTGTGGGTGCGCCGAAGAGAATATTAGATAATGGAAAAAATGTAGATAATATAGCCTAAAGGAGCGAATACTAATCCAACCATCTGATTAGGATGCTTATTGCGACCACAAATCACCCACAGTTGATCCCTAGCTGAGATTAAGTGCAGTATTTATGATCATTTTTGCCACATTAAGATCGTAATATCAGAAAAAGAGTGATGATCGTCACACTTCTGACTACATTCAGGCGATTATAAGCAGCAAAATCGCGCGCATTTCACCACGGATCGCGCACACTTTCCGCTCCTCGTGTGATAAATTATTCAATTAATTGTATTCTTCATTCATAACATGATGCCTGAAGAAGAGTATTAAGCGGTTCAATACCACGAGACACACTAAGAGAAGTGACTTTGCAATATCATTACCAAAAGAAAAGCCTCTCTTTCGTACACACGCTCGTTTGGGGCGCACAAGGAAGAGCCAGTGTAAGTACAAACATGATATTGTTATACATTGATCATAGTTCAAAAAGGCGATAGAAATCGATTCTGTACGGATGAATTGATGAGATGACAATGAGACACGCTCAATTACGCGGTGATACACTACAAGGCGCATTGACAATCTCCAGATAAACCCCAACTTGAGCCGCGAGTTTGATGGAAAGCAGTAAGAAAAAAAGCTTGATTTTGATCCATCTCTCAATACAATTTCTCTAGATTCACGAAAAGCATCTCCTTCTCGAATGGAATAAAATTAATTGAGAGCGTAATTAAATTCATTAGGTAATATCCGAGTCGGAGTAAATCTATGAAAAATAGCACTTCGCTCTCACTCTTTCCCCGGGAATCAATCGCGCAATGGAGGCTTTGGGAGAGATGAGCCCCCCATTCGTTTGGTGCACAATTTTTGTGATTGATCGTCAGTTGAATTAAGCAATTTATTGACTCCGCACGGTGATAAATGGCATCACTCCTCTGATCTCACCATGTCAATCAGTGAATGAGGCGAAGAGACTCTTCTTCAATCTAATGTGGGAATAATTGGCTCATGTATATATGGCGCACTCACCTTACAAATTCCCTCAACACACACAGCTCGTCCCTGGAAATTTCTTCGATAGTACTCTGCCGGTTTCGTGCACGGCGTCCCATCAATCACGGCGTTGTTCAGTGTGGCGAAATAATTGAGTCCAACAGGCTTACAATTCAATTCACACTCGGCATCCTCTGCAAAATGGCATGCAAATTTATTCACGGAGGTCAACCCGGCATCTCAGAACCGTCTTCCTCCCCTCTTCTCATCTCATTTGCTTACCTTTTATAAATGCCTCCCAGACATAGCGCTTCCCGCGAAAAGTTTGGTTATTAAATTGGGCACATTGTTGCCCACGAAAATCCCTCTCGCTATCCGGACACTCCTGCTCGTTGCAGATATTATACCTCTTGTACAGACCAATGCATTCTGTGTTATTTCGGTAGATGACAGCATTGGACTTGTTCCTGCCTTGCCTGTTGTTGTTGCTGTTGACAAATCTACAGAGAGCGCGAAGCATAGACATATCATTAGAGTCATACAGCAAAATAGTTCAATAGCGAGGATTTCTCTTTTGAAAATCCAGGAAAAACACAGATGGGAAAAAGAGAAGCCATGGAGAGCCATTATTTCTGGATTATGAGAGATTCGTGAGCCGCCTGGACAGTCGGAGATCAAATGGGTATATTGTTCAACCCTCAAAACTATGAAACGCTAAATTGTCAATAAATGGGATGATGTGGAGAAAAAGCGGAAGGTGGGACGAGAGTGGAGCGGATGAAAGAGTGGCCTCAAACAATAGTTGTCTGCCGCGACAATATATTGGATAATTTATCGATCAATTCATAATGGAATTGACTTCACACAGAGGCAATTCAGATCAAATTCACAGATTTACTCCTCATTTCATTCAACGACCTCTAAACCCTAATTCTCTCTTTCCCCTGTTCTTCCATCATATTGTGAGGTATTAGATTACCTACAAGTAACCCAGAGAAAAAAAATGGCATTCAGGAGTATTTTCAGCCATTGCATGAAAACATTGTGATCCTTTTGTGCTTACAATGATAGAGTGAACAATGATGAAAATTAATAATATGACTCTTTGCTTAATTCCCGAGGAATTTCAATTATCATTCCATTCTGAAAGGCAAAAGTGGAGAGAGAGATTAAATGAATATTATCGTTGCGAAATTGAGAGTTACGAGCCCGGAAACTATGTCTAATAATTGATGAAATCAACACTCACTTGTTCAGAATGATTTAAAACAACAAATTTCCCATCATCATCATCATCTGTATCCCATTTTAATTCACACATTTTCAGCCACACTGGAGCCATTTTCACTCCCCCTCGCGAAAGGCAAGAGCGACAAGAAAACCTCCACAACCGTAAATCATCGGGATTGTAAACACCAAATTAAAATTTGCATTATAAGTGGATTAACACTGTGGCATCAGATTAGAGATTTCCCGGAGAAAATCTCTAATATCATCTATTTCTGGAGTGTGATTCTGAGTAACGCTGCAAGGGAATTCACAAAGGGTTTTCCCATCTCACTCTCTCTCTGAACTGCAACTATCTCAATCTCATTGAGGAGGCACCAAAAAAAAGCAGGTCACCGAGTTTGGAGCTCATAAATAATAGAGTCGGGCGCACTAAAGGGAAATTGCTTTGGATTCCCTCCCATATTCTCTCAAATTCAGCCTTCAATGGCACGGAACTCTTCCTCACACTCGCATGGAAAATTGACGGTGAGACATCTTGTGAAAAAAAAGAGTACAGAACTCAAGACAGAACGGCTTCCAAGAAAGGGAAGATTAATTAATCGAATTATTTCATTGTTCCCCATGCATAATTGGCAACACAACAATAAACTTATTAGAATATTTGATCTTTTGTTGCCATCTTTGGTGGCAATTTTCAATTGACTGTAGAAACACTTTTATTGCCATTCTAGCACCATATTTTCATGGACATTGTTGCACTGTACGCTTTCTGCAATGATGCAATTCTCTCATCTACTGAATTATTAATTTATCAACACTTTGTTTGATGACGATTTTCCCACAATCCACTAACATTGAGGTAAATATTTGACTGTCACTGAAAGGCAATTTGGGAGATCTTGAAAACAATCAATTGGTTTTCCCTTTCCCATGTGGTTATGCAATGCTTTTTGATAAACTCACACTTTAGCTATGCATTCGCGAGCCTGCATCTTTATTCCGCCGCCACAAGATCTGGAACACTCTGTCCAGTTGCTCCATGGACTCCAGTATCGATATCCATTCCCACTTGAGCCCTTCCTTGGTTTCTGTGGCTCTTTTGGCTTGCTCCTCCGTGGCATTGGTGTGGTGGTTCTAGCCATTTCTGTCGCCGTCACCTCAGCAGCATCTCCACGCCTCGACACATCCATGTTCCTCACGTTGTTCCTCAGCTGAACGCCGTTCGGCGCTTCAGAAGAGGATTCATCGGACGTATCAGTTGTGCTTGACAATGTTGTGGTTGTTATATTGGTCTCCGCCTCAAAGACATCATATTTATTCCGCTCACTCTCGTCATAGAGCGATGGCGGATCGAAATCCTGCTTCGGCATGAACGAGATGTCATTAGAGTGAATTGGCTCCTGGTCTGTCTTGAATTTGATGACTTTGCGGAAGTACGAGGACTTCTCCTGATCCTGCATTTGCGCCTTCTGTGCCGCCCTCCTCTCCAGCCATGCCTTGTGCATCTGCCCGAAAGATAAGAGGTGGATGGCATAATTATGAGAGCCATGATAACAGGTTAATTGCGTAACTGTTGGTGGAGGAGATGAAAGAGACACTCTCTTCAGCTTTTATCTCTCCACACGCTCTATACAGAATTTTATGCTCCTCAGAATGCAACTTGTTGCTTGCGAGGGAGGAGAAAAAAATTAGATTAGATAGCATAATTTTACATACTTCATATACTCTCCATTCAAACAAATATTTTCTTAACACAATTTCCACACTTGAATTTCCCATCTCCTCTCTTCAAACCCAAACCGCACACTCTTGAGATTATGTACATGCTGAGGATCTCTTGCGTTTCTTTTTCTCCTCTTTGACACTCTTCCCCTCGGAGACCCATTTCCCATCGACTTCACAAATATTTAAGAGATTATTTTGCAAAAATATACATCATTTGGGGCTACGGAGAAAAAATTACATCTAAATTGGTCTATTTATTCAAGTGAGAGAAAAGAGTGTCTATAAAAATGTTATGAATCGACGAATCACAGTTATTGCCATCGAGCGAATTAACTCTTTGGACAATCGACAAGATTCTGAACAAACTATGTGCAAAAGAATGATTCTCTTTCTCATCCTGCACGGTAAAATAGTATTACATGATTTGAGTTTTATCTTTCCGACATTTGGAACAAAGTTGTCCCATAGCATTTGAGATGTTTGCAACAATGATATTTTCCTATGGCCACATAAGAATCATTGTGAATTGAAAGTCTCCCAATTTTACACGCACTATTCTTGTATTTCTTCTGTCCTTTAGCTCTCCACAGCATAATCACATGTTTCACAGTGAATTTCTCGCAATACACAAGCACATGTAGAGCTATTTTATGGGACTACTTAAATATTAAATTCAATGGCTTGACTTCAGCACGATCATCTCTGAGAAGAAAGCTGCTGTGGAGAGAGAGAGAAAAAGAGCGCAAAGGCTTCCCAAAAAATAGCCTCTCTAAAGTGCATTGAAATAGTTTGAAAAAATACTCAAGAAGCGATTTAATGTCTTTTGTAACTGATCCATATCTCTATGCTCTTCGATCTTATGAGAACAGCTAACGCCAAAAAATTGACTCCAGATTTTTCATTGCACAATTTGAGGCTTTTTTTCCACTGACTATGGCTAAAGTGCATGGCAAAATGATTTTTGTGAGAAATCGCGAGGCATCATCATAGCCATGCTTCTTTGCTCTCTTGCTTTGCCTCCGACATGAATGATTATGATCTCAAGGGAGAAATTTTTGAGAACGTACAATTTTCCTGTTAGTCTCGATTTTAAATGATGTATTGGATTGCTCAAATTTATGGGATTCCTCTCATGCACTGCCCATTTCTCTCAGTGCGCGCCTCTCAATCTATGTGGCGGTATTGTAGAGGTTGAAAAATCAATTTCCGCTGTCTTACCTGCAATCGTTCCCGAGGGGACAAGTGATCCCCCGATGAGACACTTATGACCGTCATTGCAAACAGCAGCCAAAATCTACAATGAAAGAGAGGAAAAAAAGGAATGCTTAGGAGTCGAGAATACACATCCGAGCTGTGGGAACAGATTAATGCCCATCATGCATAAATGGGTACTATTGTCTATCTTGTGATTTCTTCCTGACACGATAAATGTTTAATTTTTGTCCAAAAGTAAGCCCTATATATTGTTACACTTTATGACGGCTTTATGACATTGTAATGTTACGGGTGGAGTGGGAAAAAGTCTCTCTCTCTCTCTCTTCCTCTCTTCTATGATTCTGCGTTAGCCAAACACACCACAAAGTTGAAGAACATGTTGAAGAGATGTGTACAAAGGGATTGTAACATACTCGGTATATCGCCTAGTTAATTATGACACTTTTTGTGGATATTACCTGGCGAGAGACAGCGCAATGATAACACCACAACCTCTCACCTCATCTAATTAATTGCTGTGTTTCCTCGCCTCATTTGTGGGAAAGATCACCATCAAATTGCCCGAATTAGACGAAGAGACTTTAGGAGAGACAAAACGTCACATCAATTGGACTCAATCGACTCAATGCTTGAACACAAAATCCATAATCTCTTTATGACATAACTTAGCATTCTACAAACACCTCCACTCCAAAAGAGGATTTTCCGAAGTAATTTCCATGATAGTTTATTACAGTTACTTGAGACTTTCATGTCTCTCACATGCGAATATTAAAAAAAAAACTAAATATTCACACCTTCCCAGAGTCCAAACGACATCAATTTCATCCAATCTGTAGTTAATAATTCTGAGGCTTCATTGACGAGTTCACGAAGTCTGAGTGAAATCAAGGCGCACGAGGGTAGTAAAGTGGCATCTTTTGATGATAAGGAAGTGGAAATGTGTCATAAAATCTCTCTCTCACTCTTTCCCAAGAACATCACACCAAAAGGCTCAGATTTCATTAATTGAAATGGAAATGATACCAAAAAAAACGCCATTAAATATTGTTATCAAACATGTTTCACCAACTTTTACGGCTTGCGATTGACTTGATATCATCGAGTTATAAATACAATTTCTCAACTTGAAAGATTTTTCTTGAGGAACATTTGATTATTTTTTGCCACTCTGCACATTTTTCCCTTGCCGAATCACTTGTGCTGATGTTTAGATTTCCTGCAAGCTTCTGTAAGACCATATTTTGCAACTGACGATTTTTTGTACATCATCATTTTCGTCTCAATGTTCTTAGTAGCATAAATCAAAGCCCCAATTTTAATTTATTGCGTCCTCTTCAGAAAGACTCTCCACGCCGAAATAATAAACCAATAAAGAGATACACTCCAGCGTTTTTTGTCCGTCTATCCATCATTTGGGCACTTTTCGCGCCACAACTTCTCTCACTCTGCTATGGACATTGGAAATTGGGTGAAATGTGTGGCGTACAGTTGTTACAACAAGAGATTCCTCACAAATTCCACCATTGCAGCTTCTGGAAAAGTGCATCCAGGAAGAGCACATCGAAATGTGTTTGTCTGATGTGAGACGACTGACAGGGAGAGAAAGAAAGAAATAGGCGACGAGGCTCGTCGCGATCAAGTTCTTGATTTTCACGCTGTATTTTTGTCAGGTCATCCTGCTCATCTAACCATTTGGAGGGAGTGTGCGACATGTTCAATTATCCAAATTACCGGGTCTTTTTTCTGCTCTTTCTCCGTGTTAAAGAGAAAAAGCACTTGAGAGCGTCCCGAGTCACCGTTTCTTGGACAATTGGCGCGGTAAAAGTTCAATTTGTCTGGGCACTGAATGTCGATGGTGTTTTTTGGTGAAGTTGTCTCTCAAGATCAACAGCCGCAAGAGAGAGAGAAAGAGAAAAGGACAGTGTTTGTGAAAGAAGAACGTCTTGCGCCACGAGATCTGATTGATTAATGATAAAATATCTAAGCCGATTCCAGGCGTCCCAGTTCCATCCAAAAGCCACTTTTTTATTGAGGAAACTCTGCACTCCAGAAACGGATCAAATGCTCCAAACGTGCGCATCCCATTCATGGCGCAACAATGGGAAACTTTGCAATGAATGCAATATAGAGAAGATTTGGCGCTTCTCTCTCATTAAGTATTCTCCAACTGCACTGCTGTTGAGCAAGTGTCCTGAAGAAGATCGTGACACGTGCTGAAATCGCCCATGAAACGCGGGGTATTAATTAATGATTCATGTGATCTCATAAATCTCTGTTGAAACATACTTAATCCTCCACAATCGGGGGTATAATTTTATAATCTCCTTGCTCAAGTTCTGATCAAAGTCTAATTATGACTCAAGCGCGAGTGATCTTTATGCAGTAGAAACTTTGCCTTTTTCCCGAGAAATCCAATAATATTGTACCGAAAAACCATGACAAATTGCCGCAAAAAGGACTTGGCAAAGACGCGCATCACCACGAAATTGTACTTCATTGTATTTTCATGGTAATCCCTAAGTGGTTTTTAATTTTTTATGATCTCGATCTGAGCTCATCAGTCACAGAGCGATAGCAGACAATTTCCCACTGGATTGTCATTCGCTGGCGAACGCCAATTTTGAGAATTAATTAACTTATTGTATTGTTGGTGGCATATGTAAATGCTGCGTCTATTGAAAATGTGTCACGCATTCGAAAAATGTGTATGTCTCTCAAATGGGATTTTTGGCCATCCCAGAGCGAACGCGAAATGCTTGAATCTTCTTGTGGTTTCACACATGAATGACACTTGAGGTATTTTTCGATTGACAACATTCATCATTGCACACGGAAATTAATTGCAAGAAAGCCATATAGAATGTTCTGCTCCAACTCTCTCGCGAGCGCCACACATTTTTTGATAGATTTCATGAGTAGTTTTTCCAAGGAGAAAATATTATTGACAATTATTGTGTCAGAGATCAGCAAAAGAGTGGAAAAGTGAAGAAATTAGAGATATTTATGCAGTCGACAAATTCCAAGAAATTTGGGATTTGTTAGAAATAGTGCATAGATTTTAGACACATTTTCTCCCCCTTGAATTGTTCCTTCACAGAAGATCGCGGTACATTGACTTTTGGATTTTTTGATCGATTGCAAATGTTGGGCGCATTGTTTGCTGTAGTAGAGCTGAGATTTGGGACAAAAGGTGCCGCAAAAGTGATTTTTAGGTGCCAAAAGAGATCAAATATCAAGAAAATTGAAATATTCTTTGCTTCTTCCCGAAAAATATTCGAAATATTTGCCTTCAAATTCTCAGCATATCTAATTGAATTTGATTTTTATTGCTGCTTCCTTGGACTGCAATATATCATCGTTATTGCTTTAATACTCAATTAGGCAACAGCACACTTTTAATTGCTGAATGTTCCTTGAATTTCTCATGCTGTTCTCATCACTATTTTCCTCCCTTAAATTCTCACCTCATCATTAGATGCATAATGACGAAATTGATAGTTCCTCTCACTCTCTCTATTTGAATTGCGTGTACACACTATAATCTTCCGTCACTCTGTGCTATCATCAATTAATTTTGGTCAGGAAATTCACACATCAAATTTACACTCTTCCACCATCCTTTACTCTTTTCTTTATCGGCGCGTCTGTGTGCGTGCTCAAATACTTCATTCACGCACAAAATATTGTTGGATTAATCTTATCACTTTTTATTTAAAACAAAATTCTGTCTGTCTTGCGCGCGGAAACACACTGGCGAAATTGTTGTGTTCTTCTTTACTCTCGCAATATTGGTTCTACACACTCTTTGTCGTATTAAAATCCCTCATCCATTTAATATTCCACTCTCACACGCGCTATGTCTCTCTCTTGCTCCCCAAATCAACAAGGTGGATTGTGCCCTAAATCACTAATGGTGTGAAAAAAGATGACAAACTTCATTTTGTGCGCCTTTCAATTCACGATATGGGGGGAAATCAAAGAGTTGGGCGGAATAGGAGGGAATTTCCATGTGAAAAGAGATGAGAATGTGGGACGATTTTTCCCTAGCCCAATGTTATGAATTGACTTTATGATGGCTTTTAATTTGGCACTCCTCTCCAATTCTATTAGAATCAGCAACTTATTGATGCGGAAACTGTGAAAAATTAACCTACAATCGCCGCTCTATAACACTGATTCTTTTCTATTTTGTCACTCCAATTTTTTTTTCCAGGGATCATCGTGAGATCTCTCGCGCCATTGAGATGGTTTTGCTTTCACAGAGGTAATGTAATAAAATATTGGGAAAATTCTTGAGTTACGCACATGAGAGGCGCCTCAAAACTCACAGAGAAATTCTTCGCCTCCCGAGTAGAATAAATCAATTGAGAAATTGCGCCAAGTCGAGAGAGACTGAAAATGGTAAAATCCAATAATTCCAGTACTCCATCACACTGTAGTAGCTGGGTGGTTTGTAAATAAACATTAGATTGGAGTGATTGTTGAATTTCGAGTGAAGAGAGAAAAAAAAATTATAATACGAATCTTTCCTCTCCCTTTTTCCCAATCCTCTTGTTCTCTAGAGAGTGTCCAATTGAAAATTTTGACAGGGAGAGATGATGAAAAATGCCACAAGTCTCGATAATCCTTTTCTGAGATCAGAGAGCTTTGGGATGAGCGTGAGATTAAACACACTTCTCCTGTCGAACAAAATATCACCACATGCTTGAGGGCCTAGACGATTTGCGCCAAAAACCACGTCCCGGACACACTCTTCAATCTCACGACCAGCCTGTGCGATATTCTTTTGGAGACTGAAGCCACAACATCCAGAAAGTATTTAGTCAGCCTCATGGAATCGCTGCTCAGTGGTTGTTTATGGGCTCAAGTACACGAGCAATGGGAAGATCGCTCATCTCGCTCTACCATCGCTACTTAATTATTCCACACTTTATCTTTCCTATCTCGAATTCAAAAGGATTAGTTTATCCACTTAAGTGTGTCCTTTAATCTCCCATTAATTAAGTCATTCTTAGGAAATTTCTCGCCCCTTGAAATCGCGCCTCGCCGTTAGGCAACCCGCTCGGCACGCGCTCTTTAAAAATTCCACTCGCCACCTTGCTTCCCAGACTGTCCGCCGCAGCACGTCGTCGCTGCTGTGCCCATCCCAGGAAAACTCTGACAACCAGTGCTTGTTTCTGCATCACCCAGTAAGAAAACTACCGATTTGTTTGTGAAAACGCGAATTTGTGCTTCTCTGCGACATGGATTCTAATACTGAGAGTACCTCCGTGGCTGAGGAGTTCAAAAATATCTGCCTTAAGTTGAACATGGATGCTGAAACTGAGAAGAAAACCTGGGCCTCATTCGAGAACATTCGAGACAATTACACCCTTGAGGTGAGTGTTTTTCCCACATCCACCACCTTCATCCCCACACCCGAGTGCTTTGGCACCTTCTCATCCACTGCCGGACACCTGATCGCCCAGAGAAGCGCTACAAAACAAACCCTTTACCCCTTGTGAGGTTATGTTGAGCATCATTCCGACGCCCAGGTGAAAAGTGCGCCAAATCAGCTGTCATTTGTGGCAGAATCATCAGTAGCGGGAATTGGAGCGTGCTTGCATCGCCGCAAAAGTTGAATTTTGCTGATTTTACACACTTCCTGTGCCTTTTTCAGGGCAATCCCATTCACTGGTTGTGCTGTGCTCTCGTTATTGCTTGCCGCGACTCCTTCACGCGCACCGTTGGGAGTCAAAATAATCTTGTCCTCGGCAACGGTGTCTCACTGTCGTCAATCCTCAGAAACTGCACCATTGGGTGAGTCTCCATGTGCTCCCACGCCTCATTCATAGCCACTAATTCACCCCCTGTCACCTCATATCCCCGCAGATTCCGTGAGTTCTTCGAGAAGATTAAAACATGGTGCGACATGGCATCCGTTCCGGTAGTTGTACGCAAACGGATTGAGCGCCTCAACGACAGCTTCACCGTGTCCAGTGTGGTGTACAAGAAGTTTGGCCCACTCTTCCAGCAAGTATTCAACTGTCCGCCCAACGAGGAGGCTCGCCATGGAAAGAGCAAGAAAGCAAAGTGAGACTGCAGCAAATGAAAATCGCCCGGAGAGGCACAAGCTCATGCACCACTCTTATCTATCCTGCAGAAATATTCCTTGCAATGCTGTGAAACTCTTTGAGTTTACCTGGAAACTCTACACGTGCGTGAGGGCTGAGGAGCCTAAAGAGTCTGTGGATCTCGTGACATCCCACCATCTTCTGCTGGCTTGTGTTAATCTCATCTACAGCAACGTTATTGCCGAAAACCGAAGGGACTTAGTCAATACTAGTTTTTCAGGTAAGCAAAGAGACCTTTGCCAAAAGGCACCTTACACCTGTTATCTTTACAAATGGCATGCTCGCTTTGCCACCGTCGATGAGACTCACTGAGTCGTCACACTTAATTGCCTTTAGAGTGAGAAAAGGTGTCCTTTTTGACCTCCGAAATATTTCAGCGCTAGAGATTTCATATGATGCACAATGATGATTGTTTTACATATATAATCCATTTGTTATCTTATCAGTTAATATTTCTATACAATTACTTATTGTGCGCGACATTATTGATAATGGCCCTAATGATTTCACCTCCGCAGGAGTACCTGAAAATTGGAATTCATCGAGTTTCGATGCAAAAGCGATCTCTCCCGTGTGTGTTATGTCAAAGTTGTGCGATTCGGACTCAATTGTCGAGGCGCTGCACATCCAGAAGATCAAGTGGAACAAGATCATCAAGAGCTTCTTCGAGAAGGGCCATTTGCAAGGCGACTCTGAGACTTTTCTCAATCTCATATCGGTCGCCAACTTCGACAGCAACTTCCGCTCCATTGGCAACCTGTACGAGCAGTACGTCATAAGTTGCGGAGAGATTGACGAGACGATCTTCCTCAGCTGCGCTCAGACGGGTTCACTGAACTACGGCGGCAAGATCAAGGACGAGAACACGCGGGAGAATACATTAGATCCGGGCACACCGGTCACGAGGAGAAGCATGCTGCCGCCGAAAGAGAACTTGTCGCCCATCACGGCGGCCGCCATGAGTGTGAAGAAGCTGCGAAATTGTCTGGGAAACATCGAGGCGTATCCCCATGCGAGTCTGCGGGACAGCTTCAAGAGCTGCAGCGTGGATCCCACGCAGAAGATCAAGGACATTCTTGAGCGCATGGAGAGGCAGTTCTGTGAGAAAGTGCCGCGATGGCCGGCGGAGAGACTGACCCTCACGAAGGCTCTCTTTTATCGACTCCTGGAGAACATTGTGCGCGATGAGGAGGCAAAGAAGAAGACCAGCGCCAAGCACGTCTACAGCTCAGAGACTATCATTGTGCGGCTCATGGCCATCAGCGTGGAGATTGTCTTCAGAGCCTACAATTGCACGCATGAGCTTTTCCCATGGATTCTGGACTGCTTCCAATTGGCGGCATTTGACTTTTACGGCATCATTGAGCTGGTGGTGCGTGCGGGAGAGGAATTTTTCACTCGGGAGATAATCAAGCACCTCAACTACGTAGAAGAACAGTGTTTGGAGGAATTGGTGTGGAAGAATCACTCGCCACTCTGGGGAAAACTCGCTCATGTGGATAAGTCCAAACTGTCCTGGCAAGATGTCGATTTGCCTGCTTTTACGGCCGGCGATCTGACGGGAATCACACCGCACAGCGCTCCGCTGATGCGAATCGATTCGCTGAGCACTCCTGGCCAATCTCTGGCTGGGCCGTCTTCGTCCAGAATCATTGCGAACATTGGCAGTGGTCCAAACACACCCATCCATTCCAGCGAGACACACAATCGGGAAGCAGCAATAAGGAAGCAACTCTTCCGCTCTGATTCGGGTCCCAATCTCGACAGTGTCAATGGATCTGCCACAACGGCTCAGCAGACGCCTCGGCTGCCGCGACCACCGTCTGAAATCATGGACGATGTTACCACGACGCCCCAGAAGAAACAGTCACTGGTGATTTTCTTCAGGAAGTTCCACAAGCTTGCCTATCAGCGCATGAGCTTCATCTATCAGGAGCTGGGATTGGAGGATCGTGCCAATTTGCGGAAGATTTGGACCCTCTTCGAGTACTCCGTGCTGAATTACACTGAACTGATGAAGGAGCGACACATGGATCAGATTCTGATGTGCGCTATTTACGTCTTCTGCCGCGTCCAGAAGTTGCAGAAGAATTTCAAGGACATCATGCAGGCATATCGCCATCAGCCGCAGTCGGCCAGCCACATTTACCGCAATGTCTTCATTGGCTACACGGGGAATCAGAGGAGCGGAAATGGCGTGCCGGCCGCCCATGAAGCCCCAACGCCTCAGCGGCCGGCGCAGCCCAATGAACTGGCCGGCACGTCGACATCACACGAGAACGAGGAGCGCGGAGACATTATCAAGTTCTACAATTTTGTCTATGTACTGAAGATGCAGCAGTTTGCCATCAACTTCTCCAGCACTGCAACGGTGAGAGTCTTACCAATTCACGCCCTGACAATTTTGGTGTGATTCCGAACCACCATAAGTGATGAAATCAATCAGTGGACTAATGTGTTAAGGGTTAATTCGATTAGCAACTTATGATGGTATTCTTTCTGTTTCAGAATCAGATTCTGCTCTCGCCAGTGCCCAATGCACAGAGTACAATGTGTTCGCCGAGGAAGGTGTCTGCGTGTGTTTTCGTCCAGACACGCGAGAAGAAGGAACTTCTCATGTCCCCGGGATCACTTGAGTACTCTGTCTTTGACAGTCCATCCAAGGTGAGTCTGTCACTAATAACTCCAAATTTTTATCTGACGATTCCCAATTTTGTCCCCACAGTCTAACGACTTGAACGCGATCAATGAGCTGATCAGTCGCAATTGCGGTACGAATGGAAAGCGACCTTTCCCTATCAATGGCGCCGAAGGTTTTCAGCCACCCACAAAAGTACCCAACATTCGCAAATTCAAGACTCTGCTGGACGATCGACAGGAACTGCAGAATCAGGACGATCGGAAGGCCATTTAGGAATTTGTGAAAGGGTTTTTAGGAGAGATATTTTAGTTGAAGTAAAGCCACACCCTTATTATTTTATCACATTTTCCCCCCCCCACGAATAACAGAAAAACATTTGGAAGACATGAAGAAAAAAAATCAATTTTATGAACTTTTTAGTAAAAAAAAAGAAAACTACAATTGTGGAATATATTATATGAAGAAAATAAAATAGAAAGGAAATAGAGAAAATTATGACCAAAATCACCATTCATGAGAATTTATTTGAATGAAAAAAAAAACGAGAGAGAAAGAAAAGCGAAATTTTGTTAATTTCACGCAAGATAATTCATTTAGTTTTGGCTAACCAAAATAATTGTATTATTTTTAATAAAAAAAAACTATACTAAAAGAAGAAATTCTTTAGATTTCAGCCAATATTTAGGTTAAGGTCCGCTGGCGTTTATCCTAGAACAGTTGGTGGAATTATGAAAATTGATCCAGCCTTCAAATCCCTCCCATTGAAAACCCCGCGAATCCTTCATTAAAAACCCATTCGGAAATCCTTGCGGTGCAGAAATAGACACGCCAATTGCGGGAGCAATAAATAATTCCCGCCATTTATTGAGTGAAAACAACGATATGACTCGCGTATCAAGCGAACTGCCCGCGAAGATTCTTCACCTTGACTCATGGGATTTTCGCGCACACACAGGCCTTCGCCGGCCGGCTGTCATGCACATCTCAGTGGAAGCCACCCGAAAATATACATAAAACTCTCCAAAAAGTCAAGGGATTTGATCTCGGCAGAATGTAGGCCTTGGGAGCCCATCTTTTCTTCCCTCCTCATTCTTTTTTCGCACATCTTTCTCTCTGCAATCCACCACGCATTAAATGGCAATTTGTTTCTGCTTTCTGCACTCGACTCTCTTGAGGCACATACAGTGGTCTCGCTCAATTTTCGCTCATACATGCAGATGTTCGCTCTGTATGGGTTTTGAGAGGGTGCTTTCGGCGCGCGATTTGCTCTACAATTTGTCGATCGCGCGCTTCTGTTCCATTGCATCTGCCTTCCTCTTGGAGTCTCTTCGACGCGCTGCTTTTGAAGAATGCGGTGTTCCTCTCCTAATCTACTAACTTGTTCCATTCCAACATGTATGATTCATATCCTATTTTCCACGGATCCCTGGACAAAATTCCTCTCTCATGACTCCAAAAACTACTGTGTTTGACGTGCGCAAACTACAAGAAAAAAACGACCGGAAAGAGCAATAACACTCTATACTCGGCAATACCATTGGATTTTTTCCAATTTTTCCATAAATTTTTGAATTAGAATCCAATTAGGATGTGTAATTTACTTGACTTTTTTCCATTCTGTGTTCTCTCGCATTGATACCAATGCACACAACTCCACTCACACTCATAAAACCGTTTTTCTGCGGGCTGTTCGATGAGAGGCATTGCCTCTATCGTGCTTGGTCATATTGGTAGTCTCATACTATATAGAGCGTCGCATGTATTCATTTTCTCTCTCTCACTCTCTTTCTCTCTCTCTGCGCATCAATTTAACGCAAAATCCAGTTCTTTGTGTCGAGAGGCTTCCATTCCATCAAGAAGTTTCGTAGAGTTTAGTTCGTTGATTAAATTGTGTGTTGTTTGTTCCCAATATATATTCACAATTCAACACTCAACCGAGAGTTTTCCCATTTGAAGGAAAGATCAGCGTCTCTTCTGTGTCCTATCGAATTGATTTTCAATCCCCAGAGTCATTTTAATTTTCACGCCGGAAAAGAGCGCGCGCCGTGGTCCAGGCTCAAGCTCACAAGTTTTATCCGTTACTTTTTCGCCTCTCTCCTTCATATATATTGGTGAAAAACGCCGCAGCAGAGAAGAAAAAAAGACAGTGTGTCGGAAAATTTTCGAGTTTGGCGCAATAGCGTAATAAGAAGTGCTTTGAGAGATCATTTTAGTCGATTTTGTGTGTCTGGAAGGAAGCTTGTGCGCTCGGCTTCCTCGCTGTCCCCGGAGTTTTTGGATTGCGGCATATGGTGAGTTGTGTCCCGCCTTTATGATGGATTTCTAACGCTTCATCTGACCTCCCTCGAGGCGCATTTTCGTCCGCTTCCCATTGCGAATAATCTCGAATATCGTTTGCCTGCGAAATCCCAGTCAATTGCACCATCCTAGACGGTTTTTTCCTCAAGAAACACCCTGCCATATGGTAGTTGTATTCTGGGCATGTCCTCTCTCACCTCCTCCCTGACCGAAACCCACCCCGACAAAAAACCCATATTTTATACTCTGCCAAGTGCTCACATTCATGCCTCGGTATCTCGGGAAAATCTCACAGATTGCTGCCCAAATTGTCCATTAAGGACCTCCTCTTCTTCGCGTCCTCTGGAGAAATATGTCCTTTTTTATTTCTTCAAAGTGTGTGAAAGCGCAACTTCATACTTTTGCAGACGCTCTAGACGCCGGCCATAATTTTGCGTTTGTGCATCGATTTCATTTCCTGTCTCTCGTGTCCTCCGCGCCCATCTTGCCTCTCTCTCTCTTTCACACCACCCACAAGGAATTTCTTGCACATGGTCCACAACCGCATCATGGCTCTAATCCTTTCATTCTCCAGAGGATTCTTGGCTTGAAAATCTCCTCTTTTCCCTCGTCAATTCCGCCTCAACGGACACACAACACATAGCCACTCTTTTTGCCCTTCTCCACACACTATTCACAACGCAACACACACACACACGCACGCCCGAAGAGTGGATGGAAGAATCATAGCGATTTTTTCCCTCGTCGCCTCAAAGCCTATGTATGTACATAACCAATTTCATCTGCCACACCCTGTAAGCCAGCCGTTTGCCTCAGCAAGTCTCTCTCTGCGTGAGAAGGACAAGTTTCCCATTTCATCATTTCGGGGATTGATTCCATTGTTGTCACAATGTGTTCCGATACAGTGGCACATTATTTGAAATACAATCTAATGCATCTACATTTTTTGCCTCTGCACACACTCTTCATGGATTCTATGCCCAGAAACCGCCTAAAGGCCTCGGGATTATCGGTAAATTAATACAGTATGTGGGCTTATTGATTTTCATCGGACGGGGACTCTCAGTATTCCTATGAATCACATTTCACTAGACCTTCTCTCCTCTTCTTGGGAAAAAATTCCTTTTCCCCATTTCTGTTTGGTCTCACTATTCGTTGTCCTTTTTCTCCATGCGTGATGTGTTTTCAGTAGAAAACGTACAAGATTGTCAACATTTTTCAGAAGATGCGAGAGATAAGATATCTCAGAAAACAAAACTGGGTATTCCACAATTCCAATAAGCTCTTTTACACCATCAATTTTTCCTCTGATTTAACAACCGCCTAATCAACGAGTCTATTAATAAGAGAAATTACAGTGAAATTGTATTTAATTACCACTTCCTTTTTTCACATCCCCCTCACTCTCTCGCTGTCTGTCTTTTTTTCCAGCTATTTTAATCCACTGCAAGACCGCGAGTTAATTGTTTCGGATCTCTCATCACTTGATAAACGCATTTGAGCGCGCTCCATCCAAGATGACAGAAACCACCGAAGCGCCCGCTGCTGCTCAGCCAGAGAAAAAGACACCAACAGAGGCCACAAATCCCGAAACCACCCCCAATGAGGGACAACAGGCCGCCAACGGCAGCCCGGAGAAGAAGGCCGCCGCCGCTGAGGAGAAGGACGCCAGTCCACCTGCAGAGCCGCCGAAGGAAATGCGAGCTGTCGTTCTCACCGGATTTGGCGGATTCAAGGGCGTGAAGATTCTCAAGAAGCCCGAACCGAGCCTCCAAGCTGGTGAAGTTCTTATCCGCGTGAGATCATGGTAAGAAATTTATGTTCATCTTCAACACTAACACACACGAGCGACAAGAAGCAAAAGAGATACACTTTCGAGTGAAGGAAAAAAACTGTCGCTTTCATTGAGATCAGAATCTCTCTTCGGGCAAACACACACTTTTCTCGCTTGTCTGGAGCAGAACGAAGGAATTATATTGAACCATGTGGTCGGCACATGTTCAAGTTCAACATTCCATCTTGGAATTCCATTTTAAGAGACTCTCTCTTTATAATATCAAGCAACAAAATAAGAATATACTAGCAAATTTCGTGAAGGCATCGTTCGCATCAATTATCCGGGCATTTGTCTATCTCGCCCAGAATTCTCACATTAAATTGCTCATTGAATTCCCCGCAGAGTCGCCTAGGCATAAGTGGATTTACACACGCTGAGAATATGACGAAAGACTTGACTTCTCCCCATTACAACGAGCAAGTATCGCGGGGACGGGATGAACCCTCTTAAATTAAATGATTGATGATGAATGCTATACACTTTTTCCTCCATAAATCTTATCACAGAGTCAAGAGCTCCCGATGCATTTATCACTATTACACACTTTAGCCAAATATGTAACCACACCAAAGAGTCGCTGCTCTCCTTACAAATATTGATGGTTGGTGTATTGTGTGAAGAGGAAACAAGATAAGTCACTCTTAGCATTACAATAGGATCTTGTGTAGAGAAGACTGGGGAAGTTTTAGCCACAAATTTATGTTGTTTTTATCTTGAGAAATCGTGCGCCTCTGTGGACGGATAATGGCGAGAGATGATGAATCTGATGGTCAATTGGGTGGAAAGCAGAATGCCACACTCATGATTGACAGTGTGAATCTGCAAATCGATCAACCTTCCATCACTTGACACACTCACGCCCATTGAAACTGTTGCTGAAGACATGCACTTTGCACAAATGAAGTATTGCGCCCCATGTAACTTGTCGTAAGATCTCAACTCTCTACCTGCAGACGCGTGAAAGAATTATGCTTGATTTCTAATTTCAACTACGCCTCAGAAAAACCCCATTAAGAATTGACAGATGAAAAAAAAGAACGACAACACTAATTAGTCGTCTCAAAAATCAACATGATAAGAATCTTGTCCATAACACTTCTCATTGCGATCTATTCCGCCTTTGTAGCCCTCATCTGTCGGCAAAGATTCAAGAAAAATTCACCAAGGAAAAATAACAGATTCGCGAGATGATGCGAGGAGAGAAAAAAAATGTGTGACGCTATATAAAATGTTTTTCTTTTCTACAACATTCCATTTCATTTAGCGTGACGGTTGCTGCACGTCGCCTAATTTTGCTGCAAGCAGAAAGCATACAAAATGTTATTTTTTTTCTTCTTCTCTCTCTCCGCACTAAGCGCGTATTTGTATTTACCAGCAAATAAATACTATAGCTTTTTTACACACATTATAAACCCACATATAGATTGTACACAATTTCTTCCTAAACACGCTAATCAGCTTCGAGACTCGACTTTTTCTCATTTCTTTTTTCAATAACGCTGTTTACTGACTTCCTCCACATGATATCATCGCGCTGAGGGGCTGATATTTTGTCACACAAGAACATATGACAGGGATTTTTGCATCTTCTCTGCGGATGTCATTAAATAAGAAAAGTACGTGCATCATAAATGCACTTGAGACACTCACTTCCATTCTATTGTACATCTCACACAGCTCAAGAGAGTCTCCTCACTCTTATTGAATCTCCCTTTCAGACTGTCAATTACTCTTTTTATTGAGTCATTGGCTCATCTTCTTGCTCGGGCATCCCTTCATGAAGTGTTGACTTTTTGTTGGTGTGTGTGTTTGTGTTGTGTGGATGCAATTAAAAACCTTACGGCTTTCGCTTGAAAATGTCTGCGCAATTATGATGCCTTGACGAAAAATATTTCTTTTTGCTAAAATTCATTCAGTGAAAACAGCCATCAAATGCACACACAAGCTCATGACTCGCCAAAAAGAGATAGTGAAATTTTTTAAATCGCACAAAGGCTACCCGAAAGATTGGATTAACAATGCCCCGCGAACGGGATGATAATAATAATGAAATAGTTACTGTCGAAGGCCCCACCACTGCTCTTTTTTTTCGGTGGCAGCGCGATTCGCAAGACTGACTGTTGCTCTCTTCCATCAGCCAAATAAGAATTAAATGGGGCTATTGAGCGTGAAATAAATGCGAACAATGCGAACAATAAATGGCACAATATGATCATGAAATTGATGTACATTGGGATGCTATATCAATTTCTTTCTTTTTCTCCCCACCGCGCGCGTCTTCGCAACCGCCAATATCGCGCGCGGCACATCGTTTAGTGAAATTATAGTCAGTTTATTGACCTACATTCAATAAAAAATCAACACACAAGCTTAGCTTCTCTTTTCGGTGGATTTTCGCATCGGAAGCATATTTATTTACCACTGACTTTTCTGCCTGACTTGAGGAGATTTTCCCCTACTAAATGCCATCAATGTGTGTGGTGTGTTCTCGGTGAGAAAAACCCCTCCCAAATCGTTAGAATTCATGATATGTTCTCTGGGTGAAATGAGGGTGATTTCCACACGCGCGCAATGGTGAGAGAAAAATCCCTCTCTGTGCAATTCCATCCATTTGCCACCCCCGGTGAGGCAAATGATAAATTGACGTGTTGATCAAATTCTTGAATAATGCCCAGCCAAGATATCTGGAAGATACACACCATTTGGCCGCTTGCCATTCATACTAGAGCAACTTGTATGCTTCAGAAGTGGGATGTTGCATCATAAAGCATGCTCACAGACATTGCATACACACGCACATGTTGGAGCACAAAAGCCTGGGAGAGATTCTTCTCAAGTAAGGGCTAAGGTCAAATTGATGTCATTGCACTTTTCGATTGTCCACAAGTAATCTGCGCACTCAGTCGCACAACTACAGACTTGCCGGGGGGAATTAAAAGATTTATTAATATGAAAAAAAAGTACTTTCAAAGAATGCGAGAAAGAGAGAAGAACATAGAGAAGAGGAGTGTGTTTGAGATGAAAAAGTGTTGTCATGCAATTATTCATTTACTCGAGTTGCTCTTCCTTGACTTTCTTTCTCCCTCACATATTTTCCTTCATCATCTCTCTCGCCCATTTTGCCAAGTCGAAAAATTGTCTGAGTCACACGCAAGCATCTCGCGCGGTCACCACAAGACGATAACGCGTTCCACACAAAAGCATTATCATTCTGGATTTATTTGCAGCAATTGAAACATTAATATGAATTGATGTTGTAATGTCAAAGAGACCAATGAATTTGATTTCTCCTCCGACATCAATGCGAAAGAGGAAGGACAAGTAAATTATTTAGCACACTCTATCTCTCACTTTTCGCTGAGATAATCCTGACAGTGGGATATCCTCTCGAGAAAGGTGTTTTCCTTTCTCCTCCATCTCTTATGTAGTACATACGAATTTTCCCAAGGAGGCGCCATCGTACAACACACATAAATGTACAATACATAGAGCGAGAGAGAGGTGTCATTTAGAGGCAAAAGGCGGAAGGATACGCGCATACGGTTTTGAGACGCCTACAGACTTTTCCCGGCAAATAGCGTCAGTGCTATCGATCGAGACTCTCCTCAACAGACTAAACATAAAATTCCCACTTGAAGAACGCATAGATATAGCGAAGCACACAGACGAAACTCTGTCCCTTATCCCATTTCTGAATCATTCCCATTGATTGTACCGAAAAGCCGAGAGGGAAGCGAAAATATTTCCTCACGCAAGCAATTCCTCACCCAGTTTTTTTTTATTTCTTTCTTCTTCCCCAACATCTCTCATCGGCGATTAATCATCCCAACAATGACTGTATTTATGTGATATTAAAACTGATTGCACTCGAGATAATGCAATTCCATGGGAAAAGATGAGTAATAGTGCTCATAGACTAAATTGTTCACGTCCCAATCAATAGTCGAGAATGAGACTTCTTGATCTAATCAAGCAGAAAACCTCCTTCAGCAAAACACTGACTAATCCACTTCTACACCATGAGTTAGATGAGTAATGCGGTTTTCTCTCGGCATGTAAATAAATAAATCTTGTAAGATTGCCAGAGAGAGAGAAGGGGAATGAAAAAAATACAACGTACTTGAGAGTTCACATTTCAAGTGAGGATTTTTATGCATCTCCACCCTTGTGTTTTTCTCAAGAGTAACTCTATCTGAGACTCATTCTTTATAAGATGGATATTGATTGACAGTTATGCTGAACAGAGCAACACAATTTTAGTCATCCAATCCCAAGATACAAAATCCTAGAGGAAATCATTTCTGCAAGAGATTTCTTCCTCTCCCCTCTCTCTCTCTCTCTCCCTGTCCGAAGCTAGTCTCAACAATATAACACCCACCCTGAGAGATGCACTTCGTCTGAAACACTTGTTCCTCTTTTTTCTGTCGTTGCAGTGGATTGAACTTCCAAGATTTAATGGTACGTCTGGGCGCTATTGATTCACCCCCCAAGACCCCATGCATCCTGGGACTTGAGTGCGCTGGCGAGATTGAGGCTGTCGGCGAGGGTGTTGAGAACTTTAAGGTACGTTGAATTGAACATAAAATTGTCATCATGTCTGACATGTTTGAGAGGACATTCGTCATGTAACCAATCTCCTCTGTGTCATTGCCCAATTCAGGTTGGAGATCGTGTTGTCGCTCTTCCCGAATTCAAGGCATGGGCAGAACTTGTCACCGTTCCGGCCAAGTATGTCTATCACATTCCCGATGAGATGTCCTTCTCAGATGCCGCTGCTATTGCCATCAATTACATCGTGGCGTACATCATCCTCTTTGATTTGGCATCCATCAAGTCAGGAAAGTCTGTGTTGCTGCACTCAGCCGGCGGCGGCGTGGTAAGTTTATTGATTCTCTCTCCCACAAATATGATCAACACTCACGCAATTGTCAATGGTGGAGAGAAAGAGGCCTAATGATAGTTGATAAAATACAACCAATATTGCCCACAATCATCCACCCATATAAGGGCAGCGCTGTACACGACTCTAATGCAAAATTGTGTCGTGTCAAATATTCATGCCACTTCCACAATTATTTTTGCCTTTGACGGGTGAAAGTTCGTCAGTGCTTTGAGGGGCGCTCCATTGCTCCCCCTCTTGCCCCTGTGTTCATACCAGCTAAATGGAACGAGGTTGAATAAACTTGTGTATGCATTTAAACAAAATGTCCTAAGGTGTACCTCCTCCATCGAGGGGAGTACAAGTTCGCACGTAAGTAGAGACAGACAGACGGGCGCCGCGATAAGAATACATTTAGTGTGCTCTATTTTAGCCCCTCTCTCTCTCGCGCGCGCGACTATCACGGAAAATTCAAACCCCATTTTGTTACCTTTTCCTTATTGCATTAGGGTGGCCCCACCCGCGCTGCAAAGAGCGCCCAATTCGCCCCTCTCACCACATTCACCTCTCGCTCAATTTGTCTGGCTGCGGTCTATCGACACTGCATGCCATCTAATGACGATGGAGTGGCAGAAATTAAAGTTTAGCAATTAATTTGGGTCATCACCACCCATATTAGCTGGAGAGACATTTGTATGCTAAATTGGTCTAAACACATATTGGGCCACATTTACATACTTCATCACCAACATCACCTGTTAGACTCAACTTCAATCCCATGGCGATTATGTGATAAGAGATGTGTGCGCAAATACCTGCGGAAATTTATTTAAATTCATCTCCCACGACCATCTCTCATTTGCAGGGTCAGGCGATTGTGCAGCTGGCTCGAACCGTGCCCGACGTGACGGTGTTTGGCGTGTGCTCCAAGAACAAACATGAGGCCCTCAAGGCGGGTGGTCTCATTGATCATCTCCTGGAAAGAGGATCAGATTACACAAATGAAGTGCGCAAGTGAGTGCAAGACTATATTTTCTTCTTTCCGCGATATGACATTCATGTCCAAAAAATCACCTTGAAAGAAACAATAAAGAGAGGCATTCTCTTCCACAAACTCTCTCGCTCTCTCTCTGCAGATAAGACAGGAAAATAATTCAGGTTTACTTTGCATATCGCCATATCAGACGCGAATTACATGCTAATTTCAAGTGTCTAGTGCGGAATAGAGCGCGACTTTCCAAAGGTGTTTGTTGAGCTCTATGACTCATGCAATATTGTAGAGGGTAATTATTTATTGGAAGGCACAAGTGCAATTTCACACATTCAAAGCATACGCTAATGATTTACGCATCATAATTAATTTATTATTAATATTCATAGTCATTGTCAATCAATTTTCACCGATGAAATATGATAGAAACCCTCTCGGTGGCAAAATTTAATTTCATTGTGCTCCCATTAACTGTAATTGTAGTGCTTTTGCGTACAGACGAACATTTATGAATCACTGTGCGATGAGTAATTTTGTTTCAACTCTTTAATTTGTCTCGAAAACGTTTGATTAAATAAGAATTCCGCAAAATATCAGAAACGTGCCGTAAATTAAAGCGCTGATTCATACAATACTGACATGAACAAAATATCATTATCTGCCTTTCTAGACTCTCTCCTGAGGGTGTTGATGTGGTCTTGGACTGTCTTTGCGGCGAGGAGTGCAACAGGAGTTACACCCTTTTGAAGCCCATGGGAAAGTACATCCTGTATGGATCGTCGAACGTCGTCACTGGAGAGACTAAGAGCTTCTTCAGCGTTGCTCGCTCATGGTGGCAAGTGGACAAGGTGTCGCCGATCAAGCTGTTCGACGAAAACAAGAGCCTGGCCGGCTTCAATCTGCGACACTTGCTCTACCAGCAAGATGGTGTGGAGTACGTGAAGAACACTGTGTCGACGGTCTTCGACTTGTGGAAGGATGGCAAGATTAAGCCCACCATTGACTCCACTTGGGCACTCGAGGATGTCGCTGAGGCCATGCAGAAGATGCACGATCGCAAGAACATCGGCAAGATAATCCTGGATCCGGCCATGGAGCCCAAGCCCAAACCTGCCACTCCTGCCAAGGGCAAGGCAAAGGCCAAGAAGGAGGCCAGCGAGGAGAAGAACGGCGACAAGGAGAAGAAGGTAAGGTGGAAGAGGAGAGCCAATCCAAATTCAATTAACTAATGCAAACACACACTCTTGTGTAGGCCGAAACCGAGGGCGAGAAGAAGGAGGAGGCGAACGACAAGGAGGCCACCGAGGGAGAAGCTGCTAAACCAGCCGAAAAGGAGAACGGCGAGGCGACTGAAAGTGAAAAACAATCGAGCTGAATTAATGATTGCGCATAAAAAGAATGCAGAAGAAATCTTCAAGCAAACACACAACATAAAAATATCTCCCTCGAGAATCTGCTGGATTGTAAAATTTTTCTTTTTCTTATGTTAAATATTATTAAGTCTACTCAGCTGATGGAAAAGATCAAATCTTGATGTTGTAGGAAGATCACCGCCGCGATCCAGCGAGAGAGAACATTCATTTATCAGAATATTTGTAAAAAAAAGAGAAGAAGATGAAAGATCGTTAAGAATATTTTCCGACGAATTATGTAAGAAATTTTCTGTAGTTTCCACCATATTTTTTAGGCATTTTAATGATATATAAAATAGACTTTAATAGAAGGACAAAAAACTGCTCCAAAAAGTTGATGATGGGAAAATGGGAGAAGATTGAAAAAAGTGCTTGTGTGCTTTTAATGTGTCATAATTAAATAAATTGAGGAAAGGAATGAGAACATAATGGAAAAAAGACGTAATGATGATCAATCACTCTGTAAGCTTTTGTTGAATTTAGTTTTATAATTATAATATTCATGGAAAAAATGTGGGGAGTAAGAAAATTTGCAAGAAATTAAATTCACTTATATTGTACAATAATTGTTCTTACACAATTCGTTCGTTGATATAAATACACAATGATTACAATTTATTAAAGAAAAAGATATACATATAAATATGCTATAATAGAACTTATTCGCTATCCAATATTATCTACTTATAATCATTCTCTTTCTAAAGGAAAAAAAAACAATGATAGAATAAAAGAAAACAAGAAGAGAAGAAGAATATTGCAAAGTGGAAGAAAAAAAACTTAAAAACGGTTTCTATATGTGAACCTTTCTATCTTTCTCTCGTAAGAAGCCTAAAACAACGCATAAAGAATAAAGTTTCAAATCGAACCAATTCTGCATATAATTGTGTGCTTTCGGTGTCAGCATATTGTCATAATCAAGAAGTAATCAAATATAAGTTATTGTACGACAAAGTCTCTTCATAGGGAATTCCTTACCAACTTCAGAAGCACTATTCCAATACATTTTTACTCAACAACTTATTCTCTTTCACTTATGTTTTGCCCACTCAAAATCATTTTCACACTCACCAAAACACAATCTCACAGAAATGATAAGAAAAAAAAGAACTTTATTTTTGTGATAGAAAAGTGAACACACAAGATGAGAGTTGAGAAATTTTTAGAATATTTTTGTAATGGCGGGATAAAAAAAAATGTCACAAAATGCTCGTGGAAAAGGTTGAAAAGCTCAATTTTTTACGTTTAGAAAGCTAAATAGAAGAAACAAAATAAAAATCATTGCCAGTTTACACCTAAAATTACGATAAATCAAAAACAATGAGCTATTTTATACAATGAAAAAAATATGTAATCGATCAACAATTTATATACACTTAAACACATATTATATTTGAATAGACAAAAACTAAATATTTCTAGCTTTTTATAATACCACTTTTGCGCGCGAGAAATTCAATAAAAAGAAGAATCATTGACGAACCACACATTATGAAAGTATTGGCTTTTTCTACCAACATATCAGAATGGATATATCAGCATATTTTTTCACTTACACACAAGAACACATTTTCTTAATAATAAAAAAAAATGAAGCTACGGCATGAGAATAGAAGATAGTAAAAGAGCGATATTTTGAAGTAATGGAAAAATTAGAAATTATTGAAGTAGTGCGACCAAAATTTCTACAATCGACTGCATATTATATATTTTTCTACCTTTATTTTTTGTACTCTATATTTACAAAGGGAGGATAAAAATTTTTTAATCAACGCGTCTGCCTCTTTCATGATAAAACATCTATTTCTTAAAGCAAGTATTAGGAGAAAAAAAAATGCGCCCGTGTGAACAGCGTTTTTTGCTTAGAAAATGATTTGATTGAATTGGATATTAAAGGAAGATTTATAGGGCTATAAATTGTGGCAAGGAATTTGAAGAAGAAAAAAAAGTAAAATCAACATGCATTAGGTGACAATAAAACGCACACGCAAGTTTCAGAGCTGAAGAAAAAAAAAGAAGATACATACACAACAAATACACATCAAGAATATCTCAAAGGGCGAGTGTAATAGGAAAATCAGAGGAAAAAGAAGAAGGTTTTCAAAAATTGCGATGGAAAATTTTAAGCCCGCCAGATGGAAAATGGAATTACTAAGTAAACTACCTAAATAAATATTTAAAAAACAAAAATGATGGAAAAAAATATTGTACTATTATGGATGAATGTGCTTATGAAATTTGATAAATTTGATGAGAAATTTCATGCAGTTATTGATAAAATGGAGGGCATGCATTATTATATATTTATGAATCACAATTCTCTATTATATGATAAATAAATATATGGAAAAAAGATGTGTTTTCTTTTAGCTTTAAGCAATTAAATCGGCAATTTTCTCTCATGTTTTAGTGCATGTATTTTGCGAGTTTTTATGGTTTGGTCGAATTTTACTTGTTGTGTTTTCAAATGATTGCCTCGCTTTTCTGGATCTGAAGCAGTGAATTGGTATGATTTAGCGACGATTTGAGAGAAAAAAGGCAATTTTTTCTCAACAATTTCGCTCAGAATGATGATCTGCAGATGGTTAACGGCAGAGCCATTCAAAATGTTATTTCTACTCAATCCCCAGATGGAGTTTGCATCGAAACGCGACCGAAAGTGCGCTTGCTTACATGAAATCACGTGAGTGAAGAAACCAGCTATATTGATGGAAACACATTTAAAGAGCGCTGTATTGCTATTGTGTGTTCAGATCGGCAAATTGTGTAACAGTGTGAATTGGTGACGTCTGTGAGAGCTGTCATGAAAAAGTGGTTGATATCAAGCCAAGAGAGAAAACACACAAGTCCATATGTGCTGCTGGAGCACGCCAGTCAGACTGAGGTAGGAGTCCTATTCACAACTCACATCGCGAGTGCGTCTTGCTCTTGGTCAAAACTACCAAGTAAAGGCATCAAAAGCACCACAGTGAAGTGATTACGTGTGCACTTAGAGAGAATCCACCAATTTGCGGAGACCATCTTTTCTCTGGGGCCAAAGCTGAGCCTCGAGATATACTTGGAAGTGAACTTTCAGACAGCGGTAAGTGACCTCAGAGCGTGGCCCTGATTTGGCTGGGTCTTTGCGCCTCGAGTTTCAGACTTTTGGGACATCCAATTGCGAGAGGAAGTGTGTGTGTGCCTCAAGTAGAAAGTGTAATTATCATCCAACTATTACAATTGAGTGTGTATCTTCGCCATTCAACAATTTAAAGATGATGATTTAGCAAAGTGTTTATATGCGGAAAATGCTGTAATCATTGCAACACAGCAGAGTCACGCATACGATAAGACCTCCACCTTGCAATTAACCCCTTGCAATTATTACAAACTCTTTTCCTTCGCCTCTCGCCCGTGCAGCAATGAAAGATGGAATCTCACGCAGTGGTGGATACGCAACAACAACCACTAAAGCCAAATTGCATCTCGCCGCGGGACACACGAGCGGAGCGGACGTTCTAAGTTCCACGCGGCTCGGGACCTTCTGGATGAGACTGAAGCACAAGCTCTTCGACACACCCTATGGCCAGCTGAAGAATGTCCACTGGATGAACAAAAGAGCGCCACCGGGGACGGCTTACACCCCAACAGAGGCAAGTGAACCCCTTTGATATACGCTAACCAATCAATTATTAACAGCGTGGGAAAAATCACGAGTTACGTACTCTCTTTGATTCTCTGTCTTTGTATAATCTATGAGAACGGCACGTGCAGTGGTAAAAATAAATGAGAGCACACATCTATGTATGAAACTTTAAATGACATCAGGTGCAATCGTAGAATTCACGAGAAAACTCTAGGACAAAGACGAAGAGAAAATCAATTCTATATTATGTTGCTCGCAAATAAGCCCTTTTACATTTACATACGCGTTTACATATGACCTCATCACTTGCTATTAAAATTTAAGAATGTTATTTCCGGTATTTTCCTACGTTGTTTTGCTTATACCCAAAATTTTTTATTATTTATTATAAGCAAAAGCTAAAAGAATTCTGTACATTCAGCAGTATTCAGCTAAGCTCAATTTTGGCGCGTCACGTCGAAAGGAAGACTCTCAGTCGCTATAAATCATAATCAACCATCATTTGCTAATTATTATTAGTATATCTGGAAGGAAGCCTCAATCTCTGTGCAATGGCAAGCAATAACAACGCATTAATTTCCTCGTTCTCAAGTGTTCACGCCACTGACGCGATGGCAACAAACATTCCTTATCACCGCATGGTTCATTTCTTATCGTTACTTGATCCAATATTGAGAACTTGTCTATGGAGACAGTTCTTCACTGTCTGGACTGTCCATGGACTTTGACGTAGGGCTTAAGTTAGATTACAGCTAATCTAGGAGCGACGTAATTGATTACATTTCCTCCTTTTCAGGTTGAGCATATTGCCAATGTCATAACTCATGGGATTTGGGTGGGTCCTGCCGTGTATGCAGGCCTCCAGTTGATCTGGCGAAGTGGAAGTGACGCCCAGAAAGTGGCTGGTTTCATCTACGGAACAGCTCTCTTCCTCCTCTTCGCCATATCGACGTTCTTTCACACCGTCTTCTACTGCAATCGTAACAGGTAAGCTAATAAGAATTCTGCTTGATTGAATTAGCGTTCTAATATTTTGCCACGCACAAAAAACCCATACAGTTACTCATGAAATGCTCGAATACCATCTGAAATAGACCAATCGATAGAAACACGTGAAGTAGCCTGAAAGTATGTATATTTATCCCAATATTTGCTATTGCCTCTTCATGCTCTTCTGCAAATAACAGTTAAATATAAATGCCACTGTGATAAACGAGAATTTCTACCACACATGAATTGATGACTGTGGAAAACCATCAACCGCGAAAGGTAGTAAATCACACGTTGAGATCCTCTCATACTCAAGAGAGACACACATTCTTTATCGCAATGCAATAATTTCATGTTAAATTTTCAAGTGACGTTCTCTGCAAAAACTCTTTATCCTCTCTGTGTGAGTTTGTGCGGCAAAAAAAACTTGCTGAAGAATTCTGGTTTCTTTGCAAACTATCTGTGTACAGATACATTAACGAGGTTAAAAAATATATACACACTCAACATCTAATTACCGAGCTATTTTAGAAACACTGTACCTTTACCATAATCAAGCAGTTCTTTCTGACCATGAATTCTTCCACAATCAGAGATCCGATCCGAACCAAATAAAGTTGGGCTGCAGAGAGTGCTTTTTTATGACTGACTATGTCCTTTAAGAGGAAAGACTTTACAGCAAGATTAATCTGCGAAGTAAACATTAAACTGGAGGGAAGATTAAGAAAATCCTTAATTAGGACAATTCAACTCATATCAATCAATCAAGTTTACGCAGCGTACTTAAGCACCCTCAACACAGTCTAACAAGTATAAATAGGGACTAATTTCGAGATGTTTGTGCTCATAAATACCATCCTCATTCGGTGATTTTCCGCCTACACTACATGGGAAATTTCATTTCGTTTCTAATCTAATATTCCAATGTCCACGTCAATTAGGGCTGCTTTTAAAGGGTATGTTTATTATGCATTCGTAGGTTATATACAATGCTAAATGGAGCTTCACAGTATTAGACAATCTGGATACATAAATAATAATTCTTACTCTTCATTTCACCAACTTTGCTGCTACATTATGTGCCTTCAAACTTTTCAATTATGAACTTTTCATCCCGCCAAACGAGCAAAAGGTATTGAAATGAGGTCTGATATCGTGTCTATTTCTCCGACAGGCAACTGAAGGATGTCCTCCATCGGTGTGACCGTGCAATGATCTATGTTTTCATCGCTGGATCCTATTACCCATGGCTCACACTCACACCGCCCACGCACCCAACGATAATCCTCGCCCTCAAGTGGCTGGTGTGGCTCCTCGCGGGACTAGGCATCCTCTACCAGCAGGCAAGCGCCGTCGCCACAACTCGCGTGGGGCCAATTTAATCACAGTCACACACCTTTTTTTCAGGTCTACCATGAGAAGTACAAATGCCTGGAGACATTTCTCTACATCGTCATGGGACTCGGACCGTCAATTGTGATAATGATCTGCGGACACGAATTCAATGGCATGGACGAGCTCAAGATTGGCGGATTGCTGTACATTCTGGGCGTGTGCTTCTTCAAAGCCGACGGCAAAGTGCCATGTGCTCATGCCATTTGGCACTTGTTTGTCGTTCTGGCCGCCAGTGTCCACTATTTTGCAATTCTCAAACATCTGTACTCCTAAACATCACACAACACATCGCGTATCTCTCTTGCGCCACCTCGCAGAGGGGGCAAAACAAATCTAGAAAATGATACATTGTGATACCGGAAGATACCGTCGGAGTGAATCTTACACGGTACAAAAGAAGAGACAGAAGCAAATTGTACTCATGTACAGAAAGAGACGAAGAACAAACGAATTTCATTTGCTTCGATCTTTTTACTCCCTTTTTTTGTCGTATACGAAATGCAAGATTGTTTGATGTTGTAGAAATGTAGAAAAAATTCGCATAGCAACTTACAAATTATATTTTGATTGAAATTTTGTGGATTGAGTGTGAATTTTGAAAACGAAATGTCACCAAATGAATGCCCGTCACTATTTTAAGTTCTCTTTGTTAACACAATCGCGTAGATCAAATTGAACCTAATTTTTCATTTGAATGTGATATTATTTTTTGTAATTTAATATTAGCAAAACTCTTAGAGAATTTATTGTAAATCAAAAAATGCCCAAATCCATTCTGTGGGTTATTTAGGAGAGACAGTTCATTACCTATTGTAGACTATATTGTGTATAATAGAACCACCTGACAATTGTAGAATAAGAGAGACATTTACACGAAATATCCAGTAATGTTCCACCATTAAATTTAGAAAAAAAAATCCACCCCAGAAAAGCAATGAAACCACGTATTTCTCTAATTTGATACTCAAAATTGAAGTCATCACGAGTCTTCAATGCGTATTCAGCCCTCTTTCCCGCCAAAGACAAATTGAAACCAATATCACAAACCTATAAGAAAGTATTTCAAACAGAAGAGCCAATGAGTATTAATGAAAATGCGAAAAGAGATATATCAAAGTGCCAATGACGAGTTACAGATTCAATAGCGAGAGAATCCAAAATTGTTATAAATCTCAAATTACCGAATAAATATGATAAATCTGTTTTGTAGGGGGCCTTTTCAACCATTATAGACTTAAAAGGAAGGATATAATATAAAAGTTAACTTGCAATACAGTAAAGTTAAAAGAAAAAAACCATAAACTTTCACCACCAAAAATATTATTAATAATGAAGAAAAACTTGTGCTTCGCAATTATACAAAATTGCACCAATAAATTTGAGAATAGGAGATGATATTGTATTCCTTAGATACTTAGCAATTTTGAAAGGTTAAGAAAAACAAAATGCTGACAAGAAATTGCCACATCACACGATATTGTATTGTCTTCCTAGACACTCTATAGGAAATAAAAACAAAAAATTGTTGATAAGTCAATAATTAGCGTAAAAGAAGAAGTTTTTGGAATTCAAATAAACAAAGACTTTCAAACTCATTTCGACCGCCTTTTTTGCCTTCCCATGGAAACCAACTATATGTGTTACAAATTAATCAATAAAATGTCTCGATTTAGAAAATTCACTGCAAAATTTCTCGCCAGGAAAAAGGAGAGAAAATTGGAAAAGAGCACGGCAGAAATTATATCAGGAGAGCAATAGTGAGTACAGGAAATTGAGTTGAAAGCCACAAAAGGACATGCATAATTTAATTCAGTGCTGCAATTTGCAAGCGTCGATGCTTCGATCGCAAAGTGCAGCATCAGGAAAAGTTCCTGGAGGAGCTCAAGTTGCTGGAAGAGAGTCAACCGTCTGCCTATGAAGCGATGCGATTTCACAGGCACTTTGCCGTGACCACAGTTTGGCCGCCTCTTCATCGGGACATCGAAATCGTGTTGAAGAACACTCACAGATACCCCGAGAAGGACGACTCGCGGCTCAAGCAGCTGCTCAAGTACAGGCAATTCTAGGCAAGCAAATCATAGTAGGAAAATTGAGTTTTCACAAACAATGTCACAATCGTGTCTGAAGAAGGACTTCATTTCGGTCTTTTACAGCGGAGGAAGCAAACCTCTGAACGACTGGAGAGCGAGCGCTCTGCAGACAGGACACGGCAAAATTATCACAGACCAGCAAATCAGGGGCTTCGTCCTGGAGCTGATCAGCACAAATGTCTCCACGGCCTTCATCGAGACCCCAAAACATCCGGAAGAGTCATTAAATATTGATTGGCCCTTCGTGACGCTTCAATTAAAGAATCTCAAGCGATTCTTTGCATTCGAAATTCAGGTATTCAATTAATCTGAACAATTCCTTCCTTCCTCCGAACAATTCTTCTTGCCTCTATCAGATCCTCGACGATCAAGGCATCAGAAGGAGGCTCAATTTCGCCAACTACCAGAGCAGGTCCAAAGTCAGCATGTTCTGTACGCAAATGCCGCTCTTCCTTGCGCCCGGATGGAATCAAATTCAACTCAATCTCGCAGAGTACATTCGTCGAGCATACAGGACGAATTACATCCAGACAGTTGGCATAAGAATCCATGCCAACACGCGATTGAGAAGGATCTTCTTCACGCAGAAACTCTTCCCGGACGAGATAAAACCTTCATGCTTTCGCCTCAAGATCTTTACACCAATGACAACCCTCCGTGAGAGATTAAGGAATTCTACAGATGATAAACCACAGAGACAGCTTCCGGCAAGTCCCAAATCAACAACATCAGCAAATTCGAGATAAATTTGGAAGTATTTTGAAGAAATTGCAGAAATAAAATGTAAGAAAACATGGCGTAATTTCGGGAGTGATGAAATTCACACGTAAATTGATTGTTATACATTTCTGTACAAATTACTTGCCGTCGTTACTGGAGATTATTAATATAGATTCATCACAGCACTGATTATTATATTTCTTTAATCGCTTTATCAAAGGAAAATGTTAAAATACTTTCGCAAGAAATGTGCATGAAAAATCTTGTCGCGCTAACGAACGAACTGAAAACGCCACTGGAGGCACTGCTGGCGCTAAAGAGGACAACATGTGCGAGTTTGAGGTTAGAGCGGTTTGAGCAGAGAGCGGAAGTTTTGGTGGATTTTTAAGCTCATTTTTTCACGAGGAATAACCCAGGAAACAATGGCAGATGCGAAGAGAAAGAACTACTTCAAGAATCAGCACATGAAGCAGCGTAAACACAGCTTTCTGGAGCCAGGCTTGAAGGGTTTTCTGGCCACTTGTAATTTCCGTGAGAAAGATTGCGTCCGGGAGTGCTATAACATCCTCAACCAGTACAGTGATTCACCCAAGGAGGTTGATACTCAAGCCAACGAAGAGACTGCCAAAGAAGACAAACTCACTAACAGCGATAATGAGGAGGAGGAGGACATTTCCAAGGCATTGGAGAAGGATGTTGCCGCAGAGAAGCAGAAGAACCAGAGAAGCAGCTTCAAGTTCAACGTTGCCGACACTGGCGTGACGAACTGTGTTTTCATAGCCACATCCCTGCCTGATCCGCGAGAGCTGGGACTGAAGATTGTCCGGGACATTGCAGAGACGAAGGTGCAACGCTCCAAATTCCTCCTGCGTCTGGTTCCGGTGGAAATTGTCTGCCGGGCAAATCTGAAGAGTATGTCAGATGCCGTGGGCAGTCTCTGCGATAAATATATGTTGCAGGAGCCGAAGACATTCTCGATTGTCTTCAACAAGCGCTACAACAACGCCATATCCCGGGAGGACGTCATCAAGGAGTTGGCAGACGTCGTGTCAGCCAAGAATGCTGGGAATCGCGTTAATCTCTCGGAGCCCGAACTGTCCATCATCGTCGAGGTGATCAAGGGCCTTTGCTGCATCAGTATCCTTCCAGATTATCTCAAGCTGAAGAAGTACAATCTGCTGGAACTCTCAGGAGGCTCAGGAGCGCCAAATCGCAACACCGGCGAAGGCAGTCAGACACAAGAGACAAAGTCCTAAGCGAAATAAACGGATTTTGCACTAAGTGTAGGTTTTATTCTCAAGTCTGCATCCTTTCATTAATAAATATCCTCCTATATCGATAAATTTCACTTAGTTTTCTGTATATTATGACAATTTCTGTTCATTTTCCACAAATTTTTCAATGATCGCCTAAAAAGTTAATCGCAACGGGAAAAGTAGTGTGAAATCCTTTTGCTAAAACATACTTATTACATATTTCTAAAGAATTTTTTTTCCTTTTTGTATATTTATACACGTTATTTTTGAAAATTTCCTAAAAACTCTCGTCACTTGAAGATGTTTCGTGAGTGTGAAGGTGTGAAATTGTGTGAATTATCGCCTAATAGATTTTGGAATTACAGTCTAGGTGAAAGTATTTCATATCTCGTCTTCTCTCTCATGTCCTAATCTTTTCTTTATATAAAAATACCCTAAAAACATACAACGTTGCATATATTCTGGAATATACACAGTTCTTCTTTTTTTCTTCCCACGCCCCAACACACTTTAGCTCACATTCACACTCGAGTGTTCCTTTTTCAACTTTCTCTCGCACTTCATATCCTCACAGTTGGGAAAGTTTTGTCTCTTTTGATCATCATGCGAATCCTCAAGATCTCAGCACACAACACTCACTGTCCACACATCAAAATGCCCTCATTTGTCACGTCTGTAGCCATGGTGGGAGCGGAAGTTGCTGTGGAAGACGCCGCGATGGCGCCCACGAAAACCACCGCCGCCGTGCCCCCGATAGGGCTGGTAGTGGTGCGACTTCTGCCGATAAATGTGGCCCTGGTACCCCTGGCGGCCGTTGTTGATCCACGACCAGTTGCGCATTTGGTACTCCTGGAAGGGATTGAAGCCCGGATTGTCCTTCCCGGGCGGATGGTGCATCTTCACCTTCTTCATCTTTCCCCTGTCGAAGTCCCCGTTCTCCGCTTGGTGTTCCAATTCGCGCTTTCGCTCCTCCTTCTTCTCCTCCTGTACCTGTTTGAAACAAAAGAATTGAAGAGTTAATCCAGTTAGTCCTGCTCGTCGGAAGATTTGAACAATTGAGAAATCAGATCTCATGAGACTCACCTCTCGATCTATCGTTGTCTTCTGTCCGTTCCACGTGTACACGGAGGACGTGCCGTATCCCCAGGGTCCGCCCATGTTCACGAGTGTCTTCACCGTGGCAGTGTTTCTAATCTCAGTTCCATTTTCCGCCTTCCGGACAGGTCCGTTTGTCACGCCTTTCACCACCGCCTCGTCCACTGGCGTCACTTTGTACACCCCGGCCGCCGTCTTCACAATCACCGGATCCTCATTCTCCGACGGATTGGACTCATCGTCCGATTCATAGGGCACCAGGCTTTTGGGCTTCGCCTGTAGCGGCGTCACTGCCGTCAGTTTAACCTTCTTCGCCGCCGGCGGTGTCATTTCTGCCGCCTTCACGCCATTGGAGCTCCCGTTGAAGTGAATCTTCTTCGTCACACTCACCAGCTTGCTCTGACTGTTCTGCGATGACAACACTCTAGCGCTGGGCGGCGTGATATTGAAGGTGATCTTCTGGTGCGGCTCACCATTGAGCGTCACCTTCCGCGGCTCAGGACTCTTCTCGCGCTCACCGGGCAGCAGTGGCCCAATGAAGCCAGGCATTGTCTCCAGCTTGCTCACCGCGCCCGCTGCAAACTGCTTCACGGGCGACTCAGACGCCTTCTGACTCGTGCCCACGCCGTTCGTGCTGCCATTCACCAGATCGCCGTTCAGCGCGCCCTCGCGACTGCTCGCACTCGTGGCGGTGCTCGGCGGTGTCTGGTGGACTCTCGTGGGGCCCTCCTCCAGTTCGTAGAAGATTATGTAGGCGTTCGTCTGCAGCACGTTCTGCAGGGAAATGGGGCGCACAGAGCTGTCGTCAAAGTGGTAATAGCTGCCCGTGTCTGTGAGTCCGATCGCCGTGTAGTGACCGCAATTCTGCGACGCCCCCAAGTGCGTCACCATCGCGACCAGTCTGTACACCAGCGGCGCCGTCGCGGAACCTCCGCGAGTGTACGGTGTCAGGTCCAATCGTGATCGAATCGCCACGTGCTTATTGAGCTTCGTTCCCGCCATCGAGAACCTCTTCAGCTGAATGCACAGCGCCACAGGCGCGCGCTCCAGACTGAATTGCTTCGTGGCGGATGTCTTCTTCTTGCACGCCTCACACTTGTAGCCCATGTCCTCGAGGCGCTCCCTGGCAAAGTAGCCGCCCAAGGCCTCTTCAACCGTGTTGGCCTTCCGGATGTCCAGCAGAAGATCCTCAAAGTGCTGAAAAGTCGTCGACACATGGCCGCAGGCCAAGCACCTGACTGTGGAGCGAAGATATCCGCCCAGGATCTGGTTAAGAGGCGTCGTCTCCTTGCTGTACTGATCCAAATCGCGGCTGTTCTTCACGCGGCCCAAGTACGCCTTCTCCATTGCCTCCACAAGGTAGCGCAGGAATTCATGCGCGTCCTCCTGTCGTCCTGGGAAGAAGTGTTTGCACACGAGTCGCAGTTTAGAGTGGATGAGCCACGGCTTGATGGGTGATTGACTACTCTGGGAGGAGATCAGCGTTCTCGCCATTGCACAAATTATACAGCCACCTTGACCGCCACCTGCAAGACGCAAAAGCCACACGTCAGACAATATTCGTCACTCCTTAAGATCCCTATCCATTTGTATGTTTATAGTTCAGCGACATTCTTATCTCATAAACATCCTCAACCTATTGCTCACCGAGATCCTCGCATTTATCACGGTGACTCTCGTCCGCCATGAGCCAGTTCGCAATCGCCGGCACGTGGAAGAGCGCCTGAAGGGTGGAATTCAGGTAGCAGGTGTTGCCCATGTTGATGAGGCCAGCTCCCACCTGCCACTTGCGCCCACTGGCTCGCCATCCCACCTGGACGCTGTCCCTGGCGAACAGCACGCGCTTCGGCGCCGGCAGCTGAGCATCCCTTCCATTCGCAGACGCCGAGGATGTGCCGTTGGTACTCGAGCAAGGACCTGCAGAAACAGAGAGAGAGAGAGCGCTGTACCAATTTGATCCAATACGCCGCGTCTTGGACATGTGCCAGTAGACCTGCCACCGAACGGCCGATCTACGCGCGAGAAAATGAGGTCACGGAGATTCCCTCTCCCAGAGAGAGGGAAACCCGTCAACGGCACGGCGGGCGGCTATTGATTTTGCGCGCGGAGGGCGAGGAGTGAAAGCGGCCAGACGCTCTCGCTCTCGCACGCGCGAAACCCCCCAAATGCGCCCCAAACCCCCGCACGAGACTCGCACTCACCGGCGGCGGACACGCCAGGCATCTTGGGCTGTGCAGTGACACCGGAAACCACGCCGGAGGTCGGCTTGAGCACGATGTACTTGGACTTGAGGGCGTCACAATTGGTGTGTGTATCCAAATCTTCGTACTCGATCTTCGTGAGGAGGATTCGTTTTGTTGTGCTGACAAGCTGCGTTTGCAGATTACGATCCGCCGAGAGTGAATCGCGGAGAGCCGCACTCACGTCACAAACCATCGAGGCGACTCTTTTGGGGTTCTCGTTCCCAAAGGCAGTGTGCGAATGAGTTTTTCAATGGGAGAACACCGTTCAATCAACACGGTGTCACATCTACGCCGTGCACGGCACGCGACGCCACATTTTCCAATCACGCACGCACAGTTTTTACACCTATTTCCGGGAGAAAATTGTCTTTTTGCCACAACACATGTACATTTGGTCTCACAGAAGAAATATGGTGACTGGCGTGAAGTTGGCTACACTATCGCATGACAGCGCGACTGCAGCGCCACGCAATTTGGCTGTCGCGTGTTTCGCGCTCAAATTGAAGTTGTCGGTCAAAAATTACCCCCTTCGCGCGTTGCACTGAACGGCAAGAGAAAAAAAGGATCATTCTGGTGTTGAAAAAGAGATTCCATTCCAACAAAATAATAGTTGTAAGAACTCCGGAGAAGGTTAATTTTCAGGCTCGCAATAAAAGTCACATTTTTGGGTTCATTTCTGTCCATATTTATTTCAAATTTCATAACCAGCATTCTCATTCCCCCCGCCATTCAACTACCCAACAAGTTATTAATTCTTTTACACACTTAGTAATTGATTCCATTTTTCAGCTGAAAGTTTGCCTCTAACTTATGATTTTTTTTTTCTTTTTCTTATGATCTCGTATCTTTCAGATAATATTTTGATTACAATAATTACACTTTCATTGGAGGAAAAATATGTTATGTACGTTATGTATATAAGATTAAAAAAATACGAGACTTTACAAAAACTCTTCGAGATAAAAGTGATGCATTTTGCTGGAGTTTTCAAGAAACATAAGTTAATGCTGCTGGAAGATAAAGACGTCTTCTTTTCATTTTTCTGCTCATACAGTTTTTCGAAAAATAAAATGCAATGTTGTGCTGTTTTGCCCCATAAGAACAGTATGGTGTTGTAAAAAGTGTATAGAATTTGTGTGCTCGTAAAAGTGTGTCACGTCCAAAAATTGCATATCTTTTTTTTCTGACTAAAATAGCGTCACATCTTCTCATGTTCACGAAAAAAGATTATTACAAACAGAAGGGCCGCAAGATAGTTGGATTTTAAGCTCGACTCGACGGAGCGGAGATAAATATTCTTATCCATTCTACTTAAATTGTACAATATATTAATTAGTAATTGATTCCTTTATCTTTTGTTAATCCCTCAAATATTTTCTATTATATTTAGTGATTTCCACTTCTCTCTCATAGATTTCTATCATAAGAAAATATCCGTAGATGATATTAGGTAGAATTTTCGATAGCAAAAAGTGTGTGTCTTCTCCACTGTTGCCTCTTGTGTATGTCCAATGAATTTGTAATTCTAGAGCATGTGCGCTAATTAGATTCCGAAGAGAAAGTTCATACAAATTTACAGGTTTTCTTTTGGCCTTCCACAATGTTTTGAAGTCTGCACGGTTTGCATCACACAAATATAGAGCTAAAAGTTATCAATTGAGAAGGCAAGACATTTTAATCCTCATTTCGATAGTCTTTGGTTTGTTTTTTTTTTCTTCATCATATCGTCAATATAAGAAATTCGCCCTCTGTAGTAAAAGTGGACTTTTGAATATTCCTTTTGCAGTTGTTTAAATATAGAAAACACGCCATCAAGGCATGGAAGCAGGGAAGTGTGGCATTTGGGAAGAAGTTGAAGGCAGAGTCAGTAAATATTTTAGCATTTTCCCACAATATTTATAAGCTGAAGCCAATGGGAAGTTCTTTAAGCGGCTTTTCCCCTTTGATGGAGAGCTTTTCTCATGTGCTCTCCCAGTTTTTTTTTTCATCTCCTCACTCGTCCTTCCGGGCTTCTTCGCCAAAGACACCAACTCATCGGGGGCTGGAGATGAAGAATTACGCCGCCAATCGCGCCTTCTGCTTCCTCACGAAATCCACGGCCTGTTTGTCCCCAATTCTCGACTCCAGAATCTGCAGAATTGGATGATCTGAAAGTAAACATAAGCCTCTTAGTTGAAGCAGCATTTTTCCAAAAAAAAAACCCCGAAGAAAAATTGTAATATTCAGTTACACGCAGATCTTGAAAAAAAACCACCCACTAATTCCCGCCCAATTCCCACTTTCCCCCATTCTTCTGAGATGCATGAAATAAATCATGCAAATCCACCTTCTTCTCAGGCATTTTCCGTGGAAATCAGATTTTCCCGCTGCGTCCAGCAATAAATTATTCACGACTGGAGCACATTTAGCGCCCGCATTTCAAGCATGCGAGGTGAAAAGTGCTGAAAAATAGGGCTGTTTTCCGCCCCAACGCGGCATTTGAGAAACGGATGTATTTGGCAAACAAAAGATGCGAAATCATTGCGATAAGCACAAGGAGAATCGACTGGAAGTGGGAATACACTCACTCTTATCGTGTTGCTGCATCAATGGCAAATCCACGTGCTTCAGCCCGTGGAAATTCTCCACACTTGTGCTGTAATCAGCGACCCCGGGAATATTTCCCAGCGCCAGGAAAGCCTCTCCAGCGAAGTCATTTGCCGTCAGCACATCGTGATCCATGACTGTGAATGCAATCATTGCGCCCTCGGACATGCACTGCTCCAGCGTTACGGAGAACTCAAAACACTCGTCAAAGATGGGATTGAGGGTTTTCTGGAACAGCGAAAAAAGTCAAGAACGCTCGACATTTAATTATCGGGACACTTACCTTGTGAACATTGGTTTGCTGCTCAGTGCAGTGGCAAAACACTCTCCTCGGTAGGAGTTCCAGGATAACGAAGGGATCACTGAAGCCATTGGGATCAAGCGGAATGATGTCTCTGGCGTGGAGAACTTCCACGCACAGGGAATCGTGATTAAAGTAAGCTCTCACGGCTAGGATGCCATAAGGACCAGGACAAGTGGCGGTGAGCTGCTCCTGAAGGCGCTGCATGTGGAACAGATCCATGAGATGGTCAGTGTCTGTCTTGTGATACTGCAAGCGCTGCTCCACGCGCCAATATCCATCGCAGTGGAGCACATCGATGTGCAATCCGAGGCCCTCGGCATTGAAGAAGTCCACGAGCAGGTGCAGAGCCTCGTAGAGACGGTCGTGGAACACTCTGGGACGATCACCATCTCCACCAGTGTCCATCTGGCGCGCAAGCTCACCCAGAACGGTGTTCCACACGATTGTCAGAGCTCGATTGAAGTTCTTGGTCAGCAGAGCGCTGTTTAGAGCCGAGAGGTGAACGTCCAAGTACTCCAGCAGTGGCACAATGGCCTGATTCGTCGGCAGAGTGTCCGGAGACCAGGCCAAATGGAACACCGCCTTCTGCAGAGGGCCCTGCATCAGCGCACCCAGACGCCCCAGTACTCTCTCCGCCCTCGTCTCCAGTTGTTGCAAGCTCGACTCCAGCAAGGCGTCCGTACTCTCCGGCAGAGTTCCGCCGTCTGACCGGAATTCAGACAGGGAGCGGCGCACGTACTCCAAATTGTTCACAGTCACGCACATGTCGTCCGATGTGCGAAATGGTCCCGACTGTTCATAGTATCCGCCATCCGCGAGCGCCTGATGAATGAGATCGCCATAGTGGACAGCCGAAGCGCATGCGGCATCCACGAGTTGAGCCTCAAAGTGCGCCCCAGTGTTCAAGTCCGGCCACATAAGCAAGCCCCAGAATTCGCGCAACTGATAAAAGCACGAGGCAGTGTCCACTGAGGATGTGCTGTGCCGCACAATTCGCTCTCCTTCGCAGATCTGATCCAGCTGAATGGATGCCCGGACGCGATTCAAGGCGCGTGCTTTGCTGACGCTCAGCCAGCGCTGAACAGCACCTTCGAACCATTCATGGAAGTTCTGCAGAGACAATTGCTTCTCAGGCGGCTGAGGCATCACCGAGAGGTGTTGCTTCAGTGATGAGAATTCCTGCAGGATGAAAAAAAAACGGAGTGAGAAACAATTTCAGGAGATTTTGTGCGACGATTCTTCTGACCTGTAAGGCAAGATAGAGCTCGAATGGTCGCGTGTCGGCGGGCTCCTTGTCGCCCTCAAGCAGTGTCCAGTGATTCAATGATGTCCCTGGCATCTGTCCCGTTTCCATCCTCGATGTCACCTCCTCGGCCAGCTGCACGAGACAACCCATAAATCCTCCATCTCTTCCCACCCACTTTCCTTACTCACCATTGCGTCGAATTGTTTGTAGATGATGCTGAAGTACTGAATCCCATTTGTGCTGTTGGGGCAGAAAAACCGGGGAAAAAGAGGAGATAATGAGATTGGGGAGAAATGAGCAATTTCCTCAATAAACCTTACTTGTCGAAGGGCGCGTGGTAGTAAGTGAGACCAAGCTGAAGATCAGCAATCAGGGTGGAGGTGAAGTGAACCATGGGATTCCCACTCCGCTGCGCCTCTCTCAATCCATGCTGAGCCCACTGAATGGAGCCCTTGCGCAGCGAAGCTACAATCTCACCGCGAACACCCTTATTGAAGGGGCAAACCTGCAAGAAAGCCACTTAAGCGTGCTAATGCCTCGAATTACAGCAATTTACCACTGCGAAAATACCTGTCGAAAGGCCTTCATGGAGCCCAGCAAGCCAAGGCATCGCAGAAGGAATTCCAGGCGCACCAGCGATGGCGGATGAAGAGCTGGAAACACCTCTCGATGTCGCCGGATTTGATTCAAAGACTTCTCCACAAAGCCCGTCATGGCGTCGGCCAGCCACTGATCTCCATCACGTGTGAGAGCTTCCTGGCCAGGCTGATTCCACAGCTTGTCCGAGTCCACGAGCAATCTGTGCAGAAACTTAGGGTCGATTGGAGTGCGTCGATTGAGCTTCACCGCCGCCACATATCTTGCCAAGCTGCACTGCAAATCCGACAAATCTCCCTGCACGGCCATCTGATGGAGAATCGTCAGCGCTGGCCCAGGAAGTTCTCCACTCCACGTCCATGTGGGCTCATGCGTGGCCAGTTCGTGGGACATGAACACCGTGTGGAGTCTCTCGAGCTTTCGCACCTCCACAAAGCTGTCCTCCTCCGATGTGCCTCGATCCTCTCGCGTGGACAGCCACATCTTCAGCTTGATTCGCCCCTGAACGGTGCTCCTCTGGCTTCGTGCCTCCAGCTTGAACCACCCCTCGAGTCCCGTGGAGGGAACATCCTGCCGGATGGAAACACAAGGGACAGACGATTAGCTCGGGAATTTTTTTTTCTGACAAGCAAACGACACTCACCGCCACGGGAAAATTGACACAGCCCAGAAAATCATCCTGGGATCCCTGACGCGCAGACTGACAGACTTGCTTGAAGAATCTGCCCAGGCCACGAACGCCACGTACTTCATTGAGCCTCGAGACGGCGTCCAGGACGCAACTCTCATCGTCATGGTCCCAAATGTCCAGGTGGAAGACATCAGTATTCAGGTCATCGATGTCACTGTGAACATTCAATTTGGATTTCACACACGAATCTGGCATATCGCAATCCAGAGGGACACCCAAGAAAACACTCACAATTTAAACTTCTCATTCCACTTCGGACAAAGTGTATGAGGCTTTATGGAAGTGGCGCGAATAAATTTGGCTGGCACTGGTCCGCTCAGCGAATCTCGCTGGTCACGCCTGGAGCCCTCTTTCCTCTTAAAACTCAGCCTGAAGCTGTGATGCTTCCGCAACTTATCTCCATGCGGCGAATCCAAATTATTATCCATGCCCGCCTCTGACAGAGTCCTCGGAGTTAACGGCGGCGGTTGGGGTGACACTGGGGCTCCGCACGGTTGGATTCCCAGCATGCAATAGGGATCACTGAAGCCTGAAACGAGAGAGCGTGTGCTTTAGTCGCGTTTCATTCGTGTTTAAACTTTAATATCGCGCGCCGTCATATGTACGGAAAAAATACATATTTGCAAGAAGACATAGCAATAAACATGAAAATACCTTCTATATTTAGCAGAAAATTCACATTGCGGCCGTCTGTGGCCCTGTCCACCCTTTCTCTGCCCACCCTTTCGACCAACTGTCCGGAAAACTCCACCCCACGGAAAGCCACGAAAGGAAAGTGCGGAGGAGGACCAAGAAAACATAAATTACATCGTCCCACCGAGCAGCGTGAATGGCAGAGGAAATTCCGTAGATGGCTGTGGTCAGGGTGGGAAGCAGAGGGTACAAGAGAAGGTCTGACCACCACTAATAATCGCACAAACACTGTAAGAAGTGAAATGTGTGTGCCCAGGAATTCATCAATAATGACGATAGCGATCTTTTGATGTGCAATTTTAGTGGAAACTTCTGCAGTACAAACTTTCCATGCCCACCGAACGCAGGCGAAAATCGCTCTAGCAGAGCTTTTTCTTGTTATATTCCCATTTTCGTGGTTTGATGGAATTAAACGGTGTTTTCTATTAAATTTCCTCCATCACTGTTTCTCCCTCTGAGCTTTTTATTTCGCCATTGTGAGTTCACACACGATAGACGCATTATGGACGTGAGGATGGAGGGCTTTCACCGCCACAAAATGCTTCTCAATTCGCATGGGCTGGTGTGGGTGGCAGAAATATCTCTCGGGGGACGACTGAGGCAGGCAATCACTCCTTTTTGCACCTGATTCCGCCTCTCACGTCATCTTCTCTCGTCCCTTCCAACGACGAAAAGGAGGACGGGCTAATCATTCCTCTGAGGCTTTCCCCAAATTGCGAATTTCTTCCAATATACTTCTCTTGATTTGAACATTTACCTTAGAAAAGGGGTTTACAGAAATTCTCACTCGAAGTGATGAAGTGGAGTAAGAATTTCCTTGTAAATATTTATATGAAATTATTGTTAGGTACTTTTTCAAACGTGTGAAGACATAATCGTCCTTTTGGGGTGGGTTTTGTTTCTGTGATTACAAAGAATGACGGCACTCAATATTTCATCTCTTCACATCATCTTGAAAATAATTTTCTGCAAATGTAGCAAACACTTGCCCATTAATGCGATATCATTTTATGGAAAATCGATTCCCGACGGAATTCCAGGTGCGTAAAACCACTTAAACAGGTGAAGAGCTGAAAGATTAGCCCTTCTTGTGCTCAGGTTGAGGCGCTGTCGGAGGCGATTTCTCCGTCTGCGACTCAATGGAAACATCGATGCGCACGTGGAATGAGGTCAGACCAATAATAAATGGAGAAAATAAACTCCGACGGTACACATTTCATCCACCCTCTGCGGCCCCACCCGCAGCCCTCGTATTATGCACACCAGCAATTCCTGGGGGGTGAATTCCTCCACACGACAATTCTGTGGGCGAGAGTGGCCGAGGGTTAACCCGTCTATTTTTGGAAAATTATTTTATAATCTCGCTATTTTGAAGTCCACCCTCGCTCTCAAGCATTCAACCCAAATCATCCACGACACCTAAATCACTCAACCTCGAAACTCTCACCCTCGATGGCTTGTGGGCCACCGTGATGGGGTGTATCTCATTTCATTGAGAAATTTCGCCTGATGGATTTATATATTGCGGGGAAATTAAATGGAAGTGTAGAGAAGCACCCCATCAGCCGATTATAATCCACAATATTCCCTTTTTTCCACCAGATTCACGTGGAAAATCCCTTGCGAGGGAAAATTAGAAAATGGCTCAGTCAAAAGTCAATTTTTTTCACGCTCAAATCCTCACCCATTTCACGATTGGAGAATATCTTGAATTAATGGTGCTAAAATAAATAATAACATCACGTTAGAGCGTCTTTGGAGTTTTATGAGAAACAGTTTAAAAGGATTTTCCCTCTCACCATCGCTCCAAATGGATTAGTCTGTAAGAATTTCAGGTGCGTCTTATCAGATAATTTGCATCTATTTTCATTTTGAACATTTAATCTCTACACCAATTTCTTGCGCTTGAGAAAATGGCTGAAAACTTAAGAGAAAGAGTGCAATTCAGAACTTGAAATATGCTCTTTGCAGAGAATGTGTGAAAAGAGAAAGAAAAGCAACTTTCCCGAGAATGTGACAGATATAAGACATGAATGTATGTACGTTGAAAATATGACGTGAGATATTTCCACAAAATTTTCATATTCCATCAACGAATGGTGATGAAAAGTTGTGTCTTTTTCTCTTATTCTGCGCTCTCTGTGTATTGGAAAATGGGATGAAATTGTGTGTATGTGTGAGAGAGAGCGTGACAATGATGACTTTTGCGTGTCCCATGAATTTTCCCTCTCTCAATATGCCACATATACAGCCCCATGTGATTTTCCCTGGGAAAATCCTGTCTCCGGGAATTGCCTGCGAGTTGCTAAATACTTTGGGCGGGGAGAAAACTATGTGGGCGAAAAGGAGTTTGATGGAAATCCTATGTTGAGATTCCCCACGAAGCCTCAATCATATTTCTTAAGGCTCTCTTCTCACACTCGCGCCCCCTTTTGTTTTTCCCCTTTTGCACACGAGCAAGACTGAAAAAGAGGAAAATATTTAATCGAAAAGTTTACCCTGAGAAGGATTCCACACCACATATATAGGTTTCGGGAATGAGAAAAATGCGGCAGATGTTTCTTATCGTTTGGTATTTTTCATTGAAAATTGTTACGCTTACGCAATGTGTTGAGCTTTTGCTTTTCACCCGGTGAAAAATTGCACACAACTCTCCTCACTTTCAGCTTATTTCATTCACATTCACTCTCTTCATACACGCCACATGATACGCGTAATGAGGACTCTTTCTCTTATCGCCAAGTATTTATCAAAAAATTATTATCCCCAGAAAATATGCGCCTATACTTCCACACTTGACGCTTTTATTGTTTCTCCTACCAATGAAATATTCCTTCACCTGTTGACTATAAAAATATTTATTCATTTTGACCTAAAATGTTTTTATGGCTTCTGCTAAATAAAAACACGGATTAAAAGGAAACAAGCGTAATTCCTCCATAGTTCAGTGAAATATATCATTAAATGTCCTCCAATTCCTCTTTACTAAGGCAGTGAAATCCCTTTTTTTGCATCTATCATACTTGGATGATTAAAACATGGGAATTAATTTAACTGCTGGTTTTTTCTACCATTGCTGTTGACACATGAAGAGGACATTTCACGTTTAAATTAGCTCTGGCACTTTGCAAAAAAGGTTGAAAAAGCGTTTGTAATCTGAATATGAACAATCTGACAATTTTACCACATGTGCACATTTTTTGCGTATATGTAATTCTGAGTGAGAAGAGCATAAAATATGAATTTAGGAAAATGTCGTCTAAAAAAGTTTCCATTTCACAAGCAAAATTTGTCTTTCATCATCCTTTCGAAGGCTTTTTTTTCTTATCTCAATCTAACCCTTAAAATATTTCCTCTCTTCATTCATGTATTTTCCAATATTTATGCTAAGAGAAATTCTCTTTTATCTGAAGTTTGACAAAAAAAGACGGAGATATTTCTGAATCCCACAAGAAACTCTGTCATTCAATCTCAAACTGGAATCTCTTTGCCGTTTGTATTTCTTTGCCTTTCATTTTTTTCCTAAAAAATGGAATTGCTGAACAAATTGCCAGAGTCGCTATGGCAATTTTCACGGATAAAATATCTCTCCGAACAGACATAATTTTCCAGCACTGTATATTAAAAAGGTCTATTAAACATTCTACTGTAAAAATACAGAGTAATATGATATGTAGGAATTGCAAATAAATTTTTGGGTATAACGAAATATTTGACAGTAATTTACCACAGGAAAATCTCTGATGTGGGACCAATTAAAATAAAATTCCCCGGACAATTAAATACTGGGGGACGAAATAGTGAAATAAATTGCAGAATAAATTATTAATAGCTCTGCCTCAAAAAAGTAGTGGATACAGTAGTGGAAGCGCAAAAGGATTAAGAGATATTCCACTATGAATATTCCATTCAGGAATATCTGAACTCGTGGACGATCCTCTTGAAAACCCCCTCGCCGCCATTCAGATAAATTATTCAGAGGAAGAGTACTTGAACCATGAGCAAGTGCATCCCTGGCAATGCTCTCATTCTGCGAGTACACATTTTTTGCCGCATCCCAGATTTAAAATGCAAATGAATGTGGAAATAATGTTCAATGGAATTCCGAATACTTTGCAATTGGTAAAACACCGAACAGAACTTTTAAAATAAAATGATAAACATTCCATTGCAATGATTGCAATATATTTGCCAAAGGAAATGTTTTTCCACTTGGAAAATAGCATTACTTTGTGAGGGTGAGAATTGAGGATTTTCAAGTGTGTTTCGACCACTTTCGAAGCAAGCTCTTCCTCTTTCCTTATATGGCGAGGACACAGTTAGAAACTTCAACTTACAATTTCACACTCAAGGACAATTTATGTAACTATTATTGAAGCACGTAACCATTCAAGCACTTAATGGTGCTTATGGCAAATGTTGGCACCAATTTACACTTCACCCTCCCACTTCCTCCTGCTCTTCAGCAGAGCTTTTTTCCCTCTCAAATGTATGCCATTTTGATGAAAACTCCCGGAGGAAAATCTTTGCATCGCACACAAACATAATTAGACGTATTTGCTGTGTGTGTGTGTGTGTGTGTGTGTGTGTGTGTGTGTGTGTGTGTGCGGAGCCCAATTTGGGGGGCGGAAAGACGGAAAAGGAAAGGCAATCACCAATAATTTTGCACTGCAAATTGCTGTTTAGTTTCAAACTTTCAAGGCACTGAGGGCTCATTTTTATGGCTGTCTCATGTCTCGAATTTTCACCCTATGCATGAAATATGAATTAATTCACAAACTGTAGGAGCTCTTTGTCCTCGAAAATTTCCACTACTTCACAAGATGATATGAATTT